AATGCTATTGCACCTGCATGAATGATCACAAAAACCACAGGTAAGAACAAATTTAACCAGATAGGGGAAAGATCTCCACTATGAGACACAGGTGAAGGAAACTGAAGAGGACATAAAAACAGAAGAAAATCACAACATTACTTACAAATACAATGCAATTACCACCAAAAGACCTGTTATATTTTTCCTAGAACTAAAAACAGTACACTATTATAATTTGCATGAAATCACAAACAAACCCAAATACCCAAAGCAATTTTGAACAAAAATAAAGCAGTAGGTATTATAGTCTATGAGTTTAAAATGCATTACAAAGTCACAGTAGTTAAAACAGTATGGTACTGACATAAATAGGTCAATATCACACAAAATAGATGCTAGACATAAACTTACTCATTCTGTCAAAGGTGCTAAGAGCACATGTTCTTAATAAATGATGTTGAGAAAACAGTGTTTGCATGTTGAAGAATTCAACTTCCCTCCTGTATCTAAACATGTACAAATATCAATTCAAAATAGATTAAACACTTACATTTAAGACCTGAGACTTGGAACTGGCTAGAGGATAACAAAGGAGTGTTTAGGGTATCGGCCAGGACTTTGATGGTCGGAGGTCAACAGCACAGCAAACCCAAATAAAACGAGCAACTGAAATTCCGTCAAGCCAAAGAGCTTCTGCAGAGTAAAAGTAGAGCAAAATGACAAAAGGCAAGTGTCTGGCAAGTATGTGGGGAATGGGAACACTTGCACACTGTTGGCAGGAAGGCAAAGTAGGACAGCAGCTGTGGGAAGCAGTGGGAGCTTCCTCAGAAGACGAAAATCCATCTATGCTATTATCTTGCCATCCTGCAACCTGGCACGCCTCCGAAGGGGATGAGTTCACTAAAGAAACAGTAACAGAAATTACCTTCTAGTGCTTATCTTGCCTTAAGTCAATGCCTTACATAGATTTATGCATTAGTTCCGCATGACGATTTCATAAAGTATGGCTACTGTTGCATTTTACAGAGGAGGAAAATGAGCAATGGGTAGGGTCAGTAACTTGCTCAGTTTCCACATCCTGCAATGTGGAAGCAGCTAAGCTGAAGATTGTGCACAGGTATTTTGACTCCAGGATCCATGCAGTGGTACAGAACCCCATGGCAAGTCTTGCTGGACTGGGGCCGAGTCTCACGGAGGTGACCGTGTAGGAGCAGATCTCAAGTCGAAAGTCCAGTGGAGCATAAGTCCAGCACGTGACCTCAGGAAGAAAGAAACACAGAGGCACAAACTACCTGAGGCTGCCCACAGCTGTCAGGGCACAGCTTCCCAGCTCCCAGCATGTCTTTGATCAACAGCCTCTGATGGCCTGACCTCACCTGCAAACAGGGCAACTTCTGAGGCCACTGTTTCATCGGGAAGCTGGAAATGACTGAATAAATGACGGCCATGTGGCCATGTGGCCCCTCAGCGAAGCCTTTCTCATGATTATTGAGTTCCCCAGACCACGTTCTGAACTCCATTGTTCCTGCACCCTAGGCCATACTGTCAAGATGAGCGTTCAGAGCACACTCTTTATGAAGATCCTGCCATTTGTAAAATAAGTAATCTACCAAATTTTGAACATATCAAAAATTGCCTACAAAAAAAGGAAATCAAATAGATCTTCATACAAGAGCACACACCTTTACAAATTATTTGTTATATTTTAGCAGATTTTATCTAAAAACTCATGCTTCCTGGCAAAATTTCAAATTCCTTTCAAATTCCAGTCATAATGTCAAGCTTTGTGTTTCATCTGTGTTATCTTCAAATTTACTCGTCAGCTCCTTTCATCAGTACAAATGCACAGCTTTCATTTTAGGACAGCTGTTGAAACACCTATACCACCAGCATACCATACCTGAGCGTCATTGCAAGCCTGAGCTGCTTTGCTTCCAGGTCAGCTCCCTCCTCATGCCCCTGGCAAGGCATCAGAGTAAGGGCCTGGCTACCTGTCAGCCAGGTTAAAGGCCGGGGCAGAGTTTGTGGCTCCTCACTTCTACCAGGGCCAGACCTGGGGCTATTGTAGCAAATCGGAAAGTGAATCAGCAGGTGGAAGATTTCTTTCTCTGTGTCTTCATCTTTCTCTGTCATTCCGCCTTTCAAATAAATCAACCAATCATAAAAATACAACCATGTGAATATTATTCTAATTTTACATTAACCATAAATTATATAATTTAAGAATATATGACATCGTAATCAGTACACATATGGTTTGCACTACTGTTTGAATCTCTTCCTACTAAATAGTATATGTGTGTTATAATTTCTTTAAGCAGCTCTGTGCTGCTTGACATCCAGTTTGCTGAAAATTAGTGATACCTATAACAGCACGTCTCTCTGTGCTGTTCCTGATCCGTTTGCAGGCAATTGTCAAGACACTTGGAAAAAAACAAAGGAATTCCCTACTTCATACTCAGTTGGAAAAAAAAAAGCTCCAGGTAGAATCTCAGAAGGAACTACAGCAATCATTTATCTGATCTTGGAGTAAAAAATGCCTTTTTAGTATAGATTATCCACAATGTATACAGCAGAAGTTTTTAAATTTGGTAACATGCAAATTTTTCTATGTGACTAAAGAAGATATTGAAGTCGAATATAAGTCATTAATTTTTCTAATAACATTTTTTAAAAATAAGAAAATGCAAGAAAAGGAAGAAAAATTCAGAATACAAAACAGATCTCCCAGAAGAGATAAAGACAGAAAAATTATTACATAAACTATTTATAGAAGGGCAATTTTTAAGTCCATGGGCTACTGTTATCCTTCATTGGGAGATTTTAAAAATGTTTTTATTTTTCATGATACAGTTATATAGGTATAGAAATTGCCCTGTTTTTCTCTCATTTTTCTATCCCTCTTGTCCCCACCTACCATTTTTCTCCCATGTTATTACAGCAGTATCGTCCTTTAGTAAGTTACTAGTTTATCAATTCTGCTATTTAAGCACATCGTAGCTTTGCAGGTCAACAAAGATAAACTAGGTAGGAGGCATAGTTAAACGGGAGCTGTTTTAGAAAACTGGAAGCATCCAGGCTTGTCATTCCCAAAGCTGTGATCAGAAATATCATGAGGGGGAGGGTGTCACGATGCCTTAGTGCCTAATCCTCCTCTTGCACATGCTGGGATCCCATTTGGGCGCGGTTCAAGTCCCAGCTGCTCCACTTCCCATCCAGCTCCCTGCTTGTGGTATGGGGAAGCAGTAGAGGATGGTCTAAGGCCTTGGAACCCTACACCTGTGTGGGGGACCCAGAAGAAGCTCCTGGCTCATGGCTTTTGATCAGCTCACCTCCGGCCATTGTAGCCATTTGGGGAATGAACGAGTGGATGGGAGATCTTTCTCTCTGCATTTCCTTTTCTCTGAGAATCTGCCCTTTTAATAAAAACAAACAAATCTTTAAAAAAAATAGTCTGGAGAGTGACAAACACTGACCACAGAGACCAGGATTGAGCCGATTTGGAAATGGCCTTGGGGTCTAGAATGTTAAAAGTTGTGGGATTCTTACGTGCAGTATTTGAATATTAATATTTTGGGCAGAATTTCCATTAATTTGGATATTGAGGAGTCTTTTTATCCCTATCGTGAGGGAGAGTATCAAACATCACAGTTTTTCAGGAAGTCATCCGACAAAATTTATTATCATGTATTAAAAGGGGAAAAGTACATACCTTTGGATTCAGGGATGCCACCTGGAACACCTCATCTTAGAGAAACAAAATCAGTAATACAAAAATTTTTACATGCATATATATGCAAAAACATTCACTGTAGCATCAGTGTATGGCAAATATCTGGAACAACTGTTGAAAAAAATACGGTTTTGTTTCATTGAGCATAATGTCCTCTGGGTTCATCTATATTACAGCAAATGAGAACACAGTAGTTATAATACATACCTATATGTTTATATTATAGGTTTTGCTGTATTTAAATATTATATAAATACATACATATCATTATAACCAATTATATTGTGTACTTATTTAAAGTAGCTGTAACCAGAGAGGTCAATAACATACAAGAGTACAGATTAAAAATCAGATTTATATGGGAATGTATCATTTGATGAAGCTTTTGAGGAGAACAAGGAGACTTGATTATACTGCTGCCACATTGGCTTGCTGGAAAGAGCTAAGGGGACTCTAAGATGTGGGCATCGGGGACCAGCGGTGATGGAGATGCTGAACGTGGCAGTCTTAACGTTTCCAGGTGACGCTGATGTTAATGACCTTGGGCCCATTTTGGAAACCAATCATTACTTGCACACCTATAGTTCCCAGTCAACTTGCCAAGCCCAAGAAGAGGTGTGATACAGGATCGGGAGTTGGGCTGGGCCAAAAAATGTGGCTTAGAACTAGGGGAAGCCACCTGGAGTGCAGTCCATTGCCTTGGGCAACTGCTTGGCATCCTTGCTGAGTCGCAGCCACTGTCTGCAGGATTCCAAATGGCCTAGAAGGTACATCTACAAGGCCTTGAAGTTAATCAGCAAAGAAGTTTGGATTTCTTATCTACCTATGACACCAAGTGCAATTAGAAGCAACATGGCTCACAAAGGTCTGCCCTCTCCTGATGGGATTGTGGTTTTCAAACTCAGTGCTATCTCCACACCTGATTTTTGCTGACAGGGAGGGGAAGAGATGAAAGCAATTGTGAAGCACAGTCATTTTTCCCCAGATCTTCAGTTTCAAAAAATGTGACATTCAAGTACCAACCTCAGTTCTCTTACTCAGCTTTCCTTGTTGACTATCCTGTAGACAGTCTGTTGCCCTGGCTTTGCATCAGCCGTTCTTAACCTTGCCTGTACCCTAGCAGCTCAGGGAGTTGTAGGGAATATCCTAGGTTCACCTTTTTCTTCAGCTTATTAATTCAAACTTGAGTTCTAGTTCAAACGAAGGCCTTTCCTTGTGGTCCCCATGGATTTCTGGTGGGTATTTTACACCTTGGAGGTCAAGATTGGTGAGAAACAGAATCAAAGTTATCCTTCAGCATCTCATTACTCTGGGTAAGGACAGGTGTGGCGATCAGTTCAACAATCCTAATGTGTTGTTGCATCCACATCTTTAATGATCACATTAAAAAAATGCCTCCACTCATTGCACAAATTAGCTTAGCATTGTTCATGACTAAGTGGAAAATTGCTTCTAGGCCTTTAATGCTTGCAAACTGAACTTTTTATTCTATTTTCATTTGCACAGATGGACATCTTTGCACTTCAAACTGTACCCCACCACAACACAAACCAGATGATAAAAAATGTAGAAGGGAATTTCCTGCCTCCCAACAGAGGCACAATAATATATGTAGTATCACATTCCATCCACAAATGATTTATTGTTTCTATTGGGTTCCTTCTAGTTTCCTCTATCAGAAGATGCAGGACATACTGTTGGAGGAAGATACACATTCTTATGTATGGCAAAGGCTCAGTGAACTCTTAGTGAGTAATTGAGGCTTGACTCCTAAGGGAGCTTGAAGAAGGTCCCACCATACAGCAAGCATCCTATAAATAGTTGGGAAGTGAGTGAATTTCAAGTATATCCAGAAGTGCTTGCCCTGGTCACCTCTGCCCCAGGGGAGTAAAGCATTCGGAAACCTCTATAGTTTCTGCACAATTCTACATGGAAGTTTGGTGATGATGATGATGGAGGACTCAGAGAGCTAAGAACTCAATCACCGACTGAGGTCAGGCAAAAGCACATCAACATGAGGGAGGCCTTGCTGATCTGGCCATCATGAGTCACCTCACTTCACTGTTCGTCCTTCACAATATTTTACATGGCTTTCTACTGAAAATTTATTGTTTTAATTTCTTAATCTTTGACATCAAGGTGTAGGTTATAAGCCTGTCAACATCAATATGCTTTTTATAGTAAATTCCAGGCATCACTTTGTCAAATTTCCCATTAGAGCCTCTGTCAACATTTCTTCTTACTTCTTAGGAAAGCAGGGAGTTACTGCTGTCTCATTTACTAGGAGCACAAGTATGCTCCTTGGGCAATTTCCACCAAAGCTTTTCGTTCCTTGTTGGAGTTTCAGTTGTAGTTTTTCAAACTCTATTTCTCTAGCTTTGTCTTATGGTTAATATTTCTAACATTTCTATTTGCTTCTGCAAATTCCATTCCTACAATATTATAAACTCTCTCCTTCTCTTTCTGGTTGTTTAATGATGTCTTTACCCATGCATTTCTTCACCCAACCCTCGTTCAGAAAAATCATTCTTTTTTTCTTGGCCCACTACAGGACTCTTCAAACTTCTCATTATAGAAAATGAGCCTCTTCAAGAGTCATCAGTGTCCTTTTATACTCTGATATCCATCTAAATATAAAGCCCTGCCCATTCCAGAAATCATTTGACAAACATATTCTGTGTCTATTGCCGGAGTAGCTGCAGGTGGCAGTGAAGATGCTCCTAATATGACTCCATGATCTCTCTTGGAAAGATCTTGAGATTGGAAGGATACTGGTCCTGGGTCATCTCTTTGGCCCTTGAGAAAGTCATGGCCTCATTGCTTCAGTTCCTATGCTCACTGGGTCCCCTATTTCCTGCCTATCCCAATGTTCTACTTGACTCTTCAAAAACTTTAGCAGAAATGTACATGATGCACATCAAGTGCCTCACCAAGAGTTTCAGAAAGGCACAAATGGGACCACCCTCTTTTTTCTTAATCAAAATTAGCCATTTTTTCCCTCTGACAATATAGGACACTTGAATCTCCAGTGATGGGTGGTGCTGGGGAAGTCACGTAACTGCAGCGGGGAGGGGAAATGCTTCTGTAGTGTCCTATTGCTTGCCATGCCAATCCTGCACCTACTGACTCGCTGCATGGTAAGTGCTACGCTGCTCCTGAATGGTCGTACATTTCCAGGAATCCGGAGGAGGCATGGTGGGACATTGTCTCTATTCCCTGAGGGGAATGACAGGGGAAGTAAAGTGGGAGTGATGGAACAAGGAAAAGCAAAACACACATGACAGGAGTACCCACAAGGGGAAAGCCCGAAAGACAGACAACGTGCATACTGCCAGCCAGGAGCCATGGAATTCATCAAAGCAGAGGACAAGTGAAGAAAAAGAGAAGGGTGAGAACAAAACAATGGATTTAAGAAAGAATAGGGCAGTGCTTTTTTAACAGTCGCTTCAGGTATGTGTTTGAAATGAAAGCTTCCTGGCCCTCCTTCAGGAGATTTAGAAACAAGCCCAGAACCAGAAGGATATGCCAGCCCCAGAAAACCTAACTGAGATGATATTCATCTCATCTGTGACAGGCAACCACAGAAAATGGCTCCAGAAAATTTCTATATCTCAGCTTGATATGAGCACTCAATATAAAACAGGATTTGTAAACTCCAATGCCTCCTGTCACTAGGCTGATATTGACAGGTTGATGGAATATAAGTGCATATGGAAAACTTGTCTCCTCCCATTCTTAAAAGGGATAGCAAGTAGCGTTTCTAGGGGGATGCGTTCAGGCTATGACAGCTTTTAATTTTCAAGAGAAGCCAGAAACCTGGGCTTCGTACACCCTGTCCAAATTACTAAAGGATGAATTAGAATGCTGAGAGTATGGAATGATTTTATCTGGGCCCCCCAGTTAGCAAAATCAAAGGGGCAGAGTGAAATCATAATGTATATGGACTTGAAAGACTAACATTGTAGATTCATAGGCAATGAATATAATTGAAAGCTTTGCATAAAAAGGATCTGGGCAAAAGAAGCTTTGAGGAAGCCAATGAGATGGTTGTATTCCCATGAAACAGAATGGAGAGGAGCCACAGACGGGAGAGCCTAGGAGGTGCGTCCAGCTATGTAAAGGGCATTGAGGAGAGAATGTGAAAGGGGGAAGAAGAAAACGAATCATCCACAGGGCCTTCTGCTTAAATGTGCACTGCCATTAACCATCCTTTCTCCTGAAGACACACCTAACATCCTGCTTCATCCACTGCACGCCAAAGATCACTGCCGTTGCCTTATGATCAACACCTGTGTGACAACCAACAACTTCAAACCCGATTTTAGAGGAGAAAGAAAGCCAAGACAAAACATTTTACAGTATCTATAATAAATGCAAAGAAATCAATACAAACAAAATTTGGCTTTAGCAAACTGTACATACATAAATAACATCTTTTTACTATAACATTCTTTTCACATAATGCCTTCACATGATTTTATTACATATAGTTTTTCCTTATATCTTTAAAAAAAAAAGTGCCTTTCAGATTTACAGCTTGTGCTTCTAAAGCAAAGCTAACATCATGCCCCAAAGGAATATAAAGTAAAAAGGAAGCTGCCATTTAAGCTTTTAAAAACTGTATGTTACAAAGTACTAAAGTCTCTTGAGCACTGGTTGGTTGGTAGATTAGATGATACTGACATGGCGCTTGGGAAAGTTGTTTATTGGATGGAAGGAGCAGTTCCATGGGAACGCTGCCCAGAAGGTCTTGTCAAGTTCTTGGCTGTGCACAGAAAGACAAAAGTCCAGAATTCCCAATTCCAGGAAACTTTGGAAGTCCTCTCCCTGTCTTGTCAATGCTAAGGTCCAGAGTCTCCAAGAACATTTCTTCCAAACATTCTGTAAATTGTTGGCTCTTCCTCATTGCATTTTATCCACTGTTGGAGTCATGATTTGCACACATGGGGCATGGAAGATGTACAAAGCTGGCACACCAAGGGCTTCTGCCAAGATTCAGATCCTCTCAGTGATGCTCTGAGATACTTTTTTAGTCCTCCTAGCACATCTGGCACTTCTGCCAAGGACATCTGCTTAGTTCAGAGTGGAGGAGGGCCATTGGTGTATCGGAGCATGGGGTGGAATGATCGGGCAAAATTATTGGAGAGGGCGCAGCTGTAGTCTTCCTCTGACATTGGTACGAGGCAGGCAAGCCCGATGAGGAGAAGCAGGAGAAGCTGAAGGGGAAGAGCAGCCCGGAGGACTCTAAACAGGAAGGCTCGGCTGGACCGAGCTGGCCGGGCTTCAGAAAGGGAGGAATCGGAGCCACCTTTTGTGGACCTGGGAGAAGAATTGACATAGATAACTCAAGTGCTGGAGAGATGCTGGTTTTCTCTGTGTGTGTGTGTGTGTGTGTGTGTGTGTGTGTGTGTGTGTGTGTGTGTGTTTCACTTCTGTACCTTTCTTGTAGCTACAGTGTCAAACACAACCCGATCTGGAGAGGAATTACCAGACTTCTGCAGTATGCACAGGTCATTTACTCACCAAGAGAGTTGTTGGAAACTGTGCTCATCAAGAACAACTTCGGAGTTAATCAGTTCAAATAAAAAACTGGGTTCAAATTCCAGCTCTTTATTCTTTAATTTGATAAAACTGTTCCCATCAACATATACTATTATTATTTTCACACTTTCTACTAGCATAAATTAATGAGATCCAGATATTTAAAATACACATGTTTGACATAGTTTATTTTTGGTCTGACAATACACAGAATTAATTGATGTCAGAATCAGACAGGCCATCCTGGCTGGCTATCCCATAGACCAAAACCCATGCATCAAGGACAAAAAATAATCCCAAGCATTTTGTACAGACTCACGATGCTTAGTTACTCTTCAGGTATACCATGGTTTCATCTTGCACTGGATTAGCATCTGGCCCTGACATTAGCAGGTTTCCAAGCTGTATGAGTAAGTGCTGTGGGTGGAGTCGGTTTACAGAGTATCACTTTAGAAGGATGGAGACTGTAGGTTGATCCTGTCACCAGCCCTATGACTTTGAGGGCAGATTTTCCTCATTTTTAGAACTTTTATTTACTTACTAGAGAAGCAGAGACAGACAGACAGACAGACAGACACACACACACACACACACACACACACACACACACACACAATTGTTCCTGCTGGTTTAGTCCTTAGATGTTTGCAATGGCCATGCTGAGCTAGGGACTAGGATTTCAATTTAGGTTTCTTGCTTGTGTTGCAGGAACAAAGGTACCTGAACCATCACAAATGCCTCCCTGGGTCTACATTACAACTCTGGAGTCAGGAGCCAGAGCCAGGTTTGAATCCAGGTACTGAAATGTGAAACAGAGGCATCTTAACCAAAGTCTTAACAGCACACTTGTACCGAGATTGTAACTTTGAAGGCCCCTTGCAGACTCAAAGTTTCAGGTTTTCCTGCTTCAATTTTATGTTCCTTTTAAACAGTGCATTAGAGACAAAGTGCAAACTTTAAAATTCAGAAGAAAGACTTTCTGAGAAACACTGACTGTGGAAATAGGTATACATTGGGTGCCTCTGTTTTCTTTTTTGAGAACAGCCATACATATTTTGCTTGATTATTCAGTGGAGAAAGCAAGGAAATATTACTTACCAGAGGGATTTTGTACACATTCACACCCACACCACTTTGCTTTAGCAAGAAGAATACATGTAACAATGGCAGATATTGTAATATGCCTAAAGTGAATTCTCTATTTAAAAATGCTTCAGAAAGCGAGAACACTGAATGTGAGCCTGTTGGAAAAATATAAATGTGTGTAAACTATATTGTTAACTCAGTTCTGCCCCCAAGAAAACACTATACATATTCCCTATAGCTATTACTTTCTGAAAACAAATCACTTTATTATCAGTGGAGGACAGTACCAGAGAAAATAAACATTAGAAATCACATAATCCCTTTAAGGGAACAAGGAGATTCCTCAAGCTCCTTCATTAATATATTAAAGAAAGGTGGTAGACAAAATATGTCTGTGGGGGAGCCAAACAGTCCTGTATAACTCTGTTTCTTGTACAGCTCTTATACTGATACAAAAATGTCACTTAGCTGAGTTAGACCTTACTGTCTTCTGAAGTTCAAAAATTATGGCAGCGTCACTTCAAACCAGTCATTTAACCTCCATGTGCCATGTCTCCATGAATATTTTCAAATGGACTAGGTAATCTTTTACCTTTAATATTTTATATGATTTATGTCTTCTACTAGCTGGTCAGTGTAAACTATGTCTCTACTAAGAACCCCCAGGAGTTCAATCACCATCTAGTGGTCAAACTCATTAATTGCCCTTACGCTAAAATTAATGAGTTATTCTTAATGAGCCATGAAGTGGGGGCAACTGGGGGGAAAATCCAGTACAGCACATAAGCAATTTTCCATATATATTATTAACAGTGGTAGAAACTTTTTGAGTTAAATAAATATAAAACACTCATCAAAGATCCTTAGAGAGAGCCTAATCCATCTCCTAATTCTGTAGGTCAGCGATTCAGGACAGTGTTTGTACTTCACATGGCTGGGAAACATTCCAAGCACTAACATCATGTTCTCTCATACAATCTTTATAATGGGCATCTGGGTTTGGCATGTCATCTTCTTTTTATGGGTGAAGAAGAGAGCTCAGAGGAGTAAATAAACCAGCTCAAGTGTACATACCTAGCAAGTGGCAGAATCAAATTTTGAGCTAGGATTTTTAACTACCGGACTTTGAACTCTATTCAATGGGCAGAGGACTTCCCTATAATCCACACTTAGAAGCAGCCTGACAATCTGACTCAGGGTTTCAAAACCCCTGAGCAGTCATATCTTTACAATGCCATGCTCTGTTGGTCAGTATTATGAATGACAGTCCTACAGATCATGTGTTTCCTATGCAGCTCTTATACTGAAGAGGAAAAGACATTTCCCATGTCACAGGTGTTTCACACGCAGAAGCACCCTAGAAATCTACGGAAAAGGAGTTTTCTTGTGTCTAAACTAAATGTCGCTCATTCTATAACATTCATCAAATCACTATACAGACATAGACGCATTTTGTTCTGAGGCAGCTGTGAAACCATGGACAAATCAACTAGTCCCCTTGGTCTTCACTGTTCTCAAAGAGCAGGATACCACTGATACCCTAAAATCATTTTTCTTCTCTGATATCTTTGGATTAGATGGTTTGCCTTAAAGTATCTGAGGAAGTCTGAGATAAGCTGCCCCTAAATATGGGATTGAACTTTTCCTCAGTCTATCTTTCCTTTGACTTGAATATGCCCTGGTATGTAGCACTCACCAGGTATCGATGAATGAGTTACAGGACAGCCGCAGAAGAGAGCTTCACATCCCCTGAGGAGTAAACATCTAACTGAGCCACTGTCATTAGGAGCTATCCAACTTTAGTTTTGGAAAGATTCATGCATATCATTGATACTACTACCTGAAACAGCTGGAGAGCCCGTCTTTGCTATTAATTTCTTTGAATAACTAGGTAAAAGATTAAAATCAAAAACCAAGGCTTTCCAGTCAATAATTCATTCCAACAGAAAGTGAGAAAGGGTGCCATGTTTGGATCATGAAGTCATGTGTTACAAAGTTTTTTTAAAGGACAAGGCACATTCAGTAGCATCAGAGAATTCTTCATTAAAATGTAACTGGCATGTGACTTACAATGCTGAAGAGTGCCAGCACAGGCCAAAGGAATGCTTTGGGATAAGGGTGGAGAGAACACACAGTACTTAGTGACCAAGTCTGTAGAGTGGACTGCTCTTGAAAATGTCCACTCTAGGGGGTAATGACCCAAGTTTCAACATGCCTGAAGTTGTCTATTCCTCAGGTTGAATCTGTTTTGGGAAAATTTAGTAGTAACAAGTTAAAAAGGGAGCTCTCCATATTTTCCTACTGACCTAAAAACTACCTAAGTTTCAAAAGTCTTAGAAACCTCATTAAGGGAAGGAACAAAGGCAACATTTTTGGATCGGTCACTGTTTCATTTTATACTGGTCTTAATACTTAAGTTGATACCAATGTAGGTTGTATCCATAAAGTGAAAAGTAAATGTATGAAGTAACACAAATAATTTAGTTATCATTCAGATAATTCTCTCCATTAAAAACAAACAAACAAACCCGTGCTTGTCCTCTAGCAGCAATTACATATTTTATCATTCTCTTTACTCTTTACAATTTCTAGGTAAATAATTTCCAAGGAAGTTTTTCATTTCTGGCTCAAAACATACATACAGATGAGGGGAAGAATGGTGGCAGGGGAAGGATTAACACAAAAGCACTTTAAAAGTTTTGGGAAAATGGAATTAAAAAATAAGCTTATTTTTTATACAAAACATTTTTGAAATCTATGCACACATTTCCCATTAAATGCATTTCCCATGAACTTTCTAAAGTACTCTTGTACTTTGTACATCACGTAAAGAAAAAAAATATGTAATAGAGATATGAAAAGACTGAACAGCGAGTGTGTGACTCACTGTCAGAATTTTGCATAGGCTAGGAAAATAAAAAGATCTAATTCTGTGCATGCATCATGTAAAGACAAATGAAAATAAAGTTTCAATTCATCTTGCTACTTGTAGGCTGACTCTGGCAGGAACATACTGTACTGAAATTTCACAGCTGTCTCTGATCTTGTTGCTTGGTGAGTGGGGTCTACAGACCAGTGCTTCCTATAGTTCAGAAGACAGGTTTCCAGAGTCAGCTTAGGTTTCTAACTCTCCTTTTTTAAACCAAATCTTCTGTTTTACCCGATGGTGCATCAAGAAGCCTTTGGTGTTCTAAGCCTTCAAACTGTTGTGTGTGCTATCTTATCCAGCAATGGCCCTTCAGTAGAGTGGTGTGGTTAACGAGTTTGGGTACAGAGTCAAGAAAGAATTGGGTTGAAGTCCTAAAATTTCATTCTTTAACTTCTCAGCATCACTACTATAAAATCAAGGGACATAGCCATGCCATAGAGTTGTGAAGGCCACAGGAGGTAATGGAGAGACAGTATTAAGAATGTGCTTGGAATACATTAAGTACAAACTATACATCATCAGCTTACTGTTATCATTTCTACTATTACACCAAGGGAGTGCTGACGCATATTCTTTGGCTTTGTCTAGATTTAGCCTTTCTTTCCAGAAAACATGTTTTTAAAACATGATGAATTTCCCAAGTGCCTGACTCCAGAAATGGGGAAAGGCCTACCTTCAAAACCTAAAGAGAAACCTACTGGAACCCTATTCCATGGCTCTTCTAGAATCAACAGCAGGCTACCTCTGAGGGAAAGCTATTCTAAGTTGAGCCTCTCTCAATGATTTGAACAAGTAGATTCCCAAATGGAGTCTAACACAAAAGACTTGACAATAAATTCTATGAGAAATTTTCTAGTGTTTACATCGAGGACCCAGTACATGTGCAAGAATCCACTGGGCTTGCTTAAGTGTATTTAAATGTCTCAAATACATTTTAAATGAGCTATTTTTCCTCTTCCATTCAGTAACTCAGGCGGTCACTGGTGACGTTTTTTAGAGACCAACAATGTCTAGGACAATTTTGCATTCTATAATTCTAAACTTTAGAATGAAGACATCAAATCACCTTGTTCAGACTGAAAAACAATTATTCCCTTGCCTTGCTTGAAATGGGAGTGAACTTCTAACTTGTCTAATTCAGCTCAGCTACAGAAGTGTTTTGAGAAGTTATTAGCAATTGGAGTAGAAAAGATACCAACTTGATATCCATGCACAGTGGCTTGACAGAACACTTCTAAAAGAGGTTCAATCTAAAGGACTATGATACAGTTAGAAATGTAAGCATAGATTTCTTTTTATATATTTATAGTTTTAAGAAGTGTTGGGGAAATTCTTTTAAATTATTTAAGAAAACTCTATATTCTGACACATTATAAGCCTTTTAAAGACAGGAGCCATATTGTGTTGATCTTGTAGATCCAGGGGCTAAACACAGAATGTACTTGGTAACTACTGCCTTCAATCCACATACAGGGTGATTCCTATAAGAGGGCACTGAACCAACATCATCAAATCAAAGCAAAGCATTTAACAGTTCAGTATAGGAGAGGACTTCAAAAAGTTCAAGAAAATGGAATTCATTTTGTTTTTATTCTGGTGCAAAAATTTCAAAATCTATGCATCATCTTTTCATAGGTGTCATTTTACATGAAGCATTTGAACATTCCTATTATTAATATATGCACTTTAAATGACAACAAAACCACCACCACCACCACCACAAAAACACAAACATATAAGAAAGCCCTAAACTTCAAGTTGATGTCCAGTTATTGCCAACAAGGCTTCTTTCATGTCTCAGGGAGATTGAGTGACTGAAGCTTCCCATTGTAGACACTAGGGTCAACGTTCTAAGCTACCCGATCTTGTGCAGTAACCTTCCAGAGTTGCTGACCCAGTGCAAGATCAAACCCGTGGTATCTTTATTGTCCAGGAAAAGGACCACCCTGACAGCCCAGTAGGTGTGAGGCTATCTTTTCCCCAAAGTTTTGACATTTCATTGTTGGTTTTGGGTGCACACATACACATGCAATAGTTAGGAAACTCCGGCATATTCAACCACAGCCAGTCTGCCAATGTGTTTAACGAAGTTTGTCATTCTGGTAAAAATTTGAATTCCAACCCAACTAAGTAGCAAAGTGAACATTGTGCTGAATTCTTGGAAAGATGTTAATCAACAGTGTGGACAAAGCAGAGCTGAAGGCTGCAGTGAGAGTGTGACTGTTGTAGCTGCAAAGCCTTGTTAGGAGGCATGTGGACACCCTTCCTGCCCTTGGAAATGAGCCTTGGCGTTCTAAGGCCTGAATGGTTTCTAGAATGGGGGAGCATAGAACCAAAGGGTAGCTGCTATTGGTGTAGTATATCATGTGAAACCTTTCCCCTTTTCCTCACCATCATTTGTGTCAACCAAAGATGTGATCTCTCACATCCTCAAAGGAAAAATATGGGGATAGTGTTCACTTGTTGGTGGTGGTACGTTAGCATTTCTGGAGAGCAGGACTGTGTAACACAGATATCGTCTATGGTACACAAATAACTCCTCTTTAGGGATTAAGAAAACATGAGAGCGCCCACCAGTCTCCATCATCATCTTCCCAGTCCCTCTGAGTTTTTCTCCATATTACATCATTACCATTTTGTTATGGGTAGGGAAGGAGCCCCACAAAATTGTCTTCAGATCACAACATTGATTAAGAAATAAATTAGAAAGTGAAGCTTAAAACCAGAAAACATCAAACCAGTCTACATTTGTTCTGCTGAGAGGGGGTGGCCCAGGGAAACAGCCAGCCCTCAGCACATAGCTGCACAACAGGTGCTGTGACTCTGGGGTGCTTTACATCTGCTTCTCCTTCTCCTTCACCTCATCCCAGGGATTCAGTCTCCTACTCATTGGAATGAGTGTCCAGGGATATGGGGGTAGGGGACAAACTATTTTCACGGTGAACTCCTTAAGGGTAGGAATGAAACTCTGCTCCAATGAAAGTGTTTTTATTTTTTGGAGAATCTGTCTGGGACACATGAGTGCTAAGTAGGATGGAGGAGCACACACATGACACGACGAAGCAGGCAAAGCACTGCTCACTGCAGAAACACGATTTGGTCAGAGGCAAGGTGGGAAGCACAGAGGCGCACATGGAGTGGCCCTGGGGCAGCAGGGCAAGGGGAAGGATTACTGTTAGTTCAGAGTCAAAGAGTTGCCAGGCGTCTGGAGAGAGAATGATCGAGTGTTGGCTAGAGAGAAGGGCCAGGAAAAGTTGAAGAGAGAAGGTGCTTATAAAGTTTAGATGAAGATTACCAAATAAGAACTTGCTATATTGAGACTCCAAAACCCACAATCTGGATAAAACATGAAAATAAAAAGCTGGGGATGTTAGTAAATTTTATGCAGATCTGTGGGTTCTGTGGATGGCCAAATAATCCATTGATCTGTTTATTACCTATCTGATTGTAAACTCTAGAAATAAAGAGGATGATAAAAGTCTGCCATCAATCAAATGGAAGCTATCCCAACTGGTTGTATGGAATCCTTGTAATACAGTGAAGACGATTCGTTGGAAAGCATCATGTGAGCTGTAGGTAAATGAACAAAGTTTTGGTGGAGTCCAAACATTTATGCTCTTCGATTTACTTGTACATGCCTTTTTACAAAATGTGCCTTATATTTTGTTAGACAATTGCCTAGACTGAAATGAATAATTTCTTAAGTGCTACTACTCTGAGGCAGACCATGTGTAGGCCTACGTAATCATGGACAACTTTCATCATCCTCTTGGAGTTCTAGAACAGTGTGGAAACCAGGAGAACGAGGTACCTGCTATGTGGACTGCTGACAGAGGGTCCAGGCTGTGAGGGACTACCTTTGCCTCGCGGCTGTTTGCAATGAACAGGGGGTAAAGAAAGAAGAATGTTCAGTCCAGGCAAATAAAGACAAGCTACTGATGAAAATTAAACTAAAAGTGCAGCAAAGGAAAACAAATCAAATGGAACAATCAGTACCCATGAATTAAGGAAACTGGCTTTTCTTTTTGGCGAAATCAATTTAAACCTGTATTAATAATCATTAGAGAAATGTAACTTGGGGCTCTGAGGTTTACATTACAGTGGGAATGTGGAAACCAACAAACCTATATTGATCAAGTATCTGTAGAGATTGATAGTAAGTTCACTAGGCCAGGCCAAAAACATGATATTTTTTTCATATTTTTCTCATTTTGCAGAACTCTGAAACAATACTCATACAATTCTTTGTAGATAAACATGTCTAAACAATAGTACCATGAGTTTGTTCTTTACAGGAATAAGACCCAATAAATTCAGCAAGTTTAAAAAGGCTAAAATTTGACTTGAAAAGCCAGTATTCCTTCACATTCTTAAACTAGGCTCTATATGAAACTAGTGAATGTAGAAAAAAAAAAAACTAACAACAATCCCAAAAGAGAGAATACATTTACCAGCATAGAACATAAGTGCTTATAACGAAAGGGTAAAAATGAAATTGACACTTCTAAAAACTAAGGCAATATGGGATGACCATAATCAAAGCCAGACAAAAAAGTAACAAAACCAAAACAAGCTTCTAATTACACAGAGAACTCAAAGTATAGAGGGTAGCAGGGGCCATGTTGGTCTTCGCATCCTCGATGTTCTGCAGTGAGGACACTTCTACCCCGGGCCTTGGAAGTGGGGGGCTGATCTGCTGCCACTTTTAGCGGCACTGGATGACTAAGCAACTTCCGGATGCCCACTCACAAGCTTATTTCCCTGCTAATCAACAAATCCTCTGTCTTGTCAATTTAGTGGGTTCATAAGACATTCACAGTTCTGTCCACTGCTGGCTGTCCTATTCCTGTCCTTTTTTTTAGGTGGACATAATACTGGAGGCTTGAATGAAGGAGCTACTAAAGGGACAAGTGAGCACCATTATGGAAATGGCTATTTGAATAAGAAAACTATGTTTTCTCTCTGCATCCTAGGCACTGTGGAGCCCTGGTTCTTCTGAAAAAGGGAATTGTTTTTCAATTTTGGAGTGCACGCTGGAAGGGCATGTGACAGGCCGAGGAAGCCCTACTAGGGGCGGCCCTCATCTGTCTGTGGATTTCTGCATTGTGTAGGTAGAACCTCTGGAGCCTGCAGCAGGTACAAGTAACGGTCACTCTCCAGTATTCCCTCCCCGCAGGCCAACTGAAAACCACCCAGGCCAAGTTACCGATTTCTGTCTGTTTGGAGTGCTTCTTCCTGATGTAGGACTCACAGATCCTGAGGTGTCCAGTTCGTCAGCAGAAGACCAGGAAGACAGATCCTAGGCAGGTAAAAGGTTCGTCAATGAACACCATAGCCCAGAACATGGAGGATGCACTGTTCACTCCACCCCATCTACTCAAAAACATTAAAAACAAACCATTTCAGGGGTAAAAGGGAACCAGATGAGCCTTGAAGCAGGACCTAACTCTTCAGCCCATTGCGCTTTCCTGGCTATATGTTTGGCCCTTCTAGAAAACCAAGCCATAGCATTGCTAGTGAGATGAATCACCTATAACTTTATCATGTCTTAGTGACACAGATGAGGATGGACAGGTATCAGCTGGGAAGGGAAGAAGTTGGCCTTAAGGCTGCAGGTCAGTAGGGGTACAGAGAAACCAACGCAAGTGAGTTAGGAGCAAAAGGCAGTCATCCAGGAGTCTGCCTTTAAACATCAGAGAAACTGCGTTATTTCTGACTCTGATGCTATTCAAAGTGATTGCCCTTTTGCAAGTGGTTAAAAAAAGCAAAGCGTTTCTGTGTCGTCCAGTGAGTTTCGCAAGTGAATGCTTCAACTCTTACCAAGAACTGCTGTACTTCCAAATGCTTTTCTCAAGACCAACAATTCTACCATGACGCAGTCACTTTAGGAATCACATATAAAAACACATGAACAGGGGAGCATTTCCATGGCTTAGCTGCTGTGCAGTAAAGGAGAACCCACAGTTGACAGGGTTGAATACAGCATTCACCAGCAATACCTGGTTTTCTCTATTGTCACTGTGTAATGGAGCATGTGGGGACTTTTCATTAACTGGGGTGAAATAAAATTGTCACAATATTGGTGGTATTAGGATGGTAGGAAGAAGTTCAAAAGATCTTTTGGATAAAATACCATCAAAAGCAGTGTTCTACAGTAAATGTGAATGAGTGTGCATTTTATATCTGAGATGGGAGCTGGAGGAGAGTGAATGAGAGTTGGCAGTCTTTTCCCACAAACACGACGTTCTAGGTCTATAGCACTTCCTAGTTACTGGTAGCATTTCATAAGAACTTGTGATGTAAGTCATTAATCAATCATACATTAAGAGACTGACTGTAATCACCTGAGGTTGTCAATGTCTTCTTTACAACTGTTATTACTACTGCCCATAAGTAATGTTGAGCTAGTCCTCACTGTGCTTCCATTAGTGCCACATGGGGCACATGTTGACATGTATTCCTGCATGAAGATGTTGGACACTCTTTTTTTGTCAACCTAGTGTCAACACTGATAGCTTTGCTATATGTTCATTATCTTTGTAGGGATGACGTTTCACTATTTTTCACTCCTCATGTTGGACTGTACATAAGAAGATGCATAATGGAAGTGTAGTGAAAATTCACATGTTCATAGATGGAAACAGAGAGAAGTGTGTCTCTATGCATGCAATACCAGGATGCACTCACAGCGAAATGGCTGATCATCTATATTATTGGGAGACACCTTAATGCCAGCATGAAGGACTTGAGAAAAAATTCACAAGACATCAATTATAAGACTGGAGGGGAGAACAGTGCTAAAAGGAAGGAACTTAGGGAAAGGGAAGGGAGATTCCAGTGCCTATTAAACTGTGTCATAAAAAATTAAAAAATAAACAATAATAACTGCAATAAAAACACATGAGATGCTGCTCTTTTGGTTTCCTGTGAGAAGCACTATCCTTGCACAATCAGGTCTGTTTAGAGCTTACCTGCTGACTGCTCGTCATGTCTAGTAACTTCTCCAGTTCCTTGATATGACGACTGACCTCCTTCAAGAGAAGTTTGAGTCGGTTTCCAATCACATGGACTTTTTCTTTAGCTTCTAAACAGTCCGTGCCTTCAGCATTCACCAGGAGTTGACAAGACATGTCTTGCAATGAGGCCACTCTGACCTGGGACTCCAGCAGTTCACGTCTTATTTGCTATATGTGCAATAGGAAACATCTCTCTAAAAACTTGTGGTAAGGTTTACGGTGACTTAATGGACAGTTAGACCCAAGGAAGTGAAGTAAACACACACACACACACACACACGCGCGCGCGCGCACGTAACTGGCATTCCAGACCAGAATGCCTGCAGTTGATCTCCACCTTTTGTACTGCTTCAGATTCCTGATAATGCACTCCCTGGGAGCAACACGTGATGGCAGAAGCACTTGGGTCTCTGCCACACATGTGAGAGACCTGGAATGAGTTCCCGACTATTGGGTTTGTCCTGGTTCCAGCACCAGCTCTTTAAAGCATTTAGTGAGTTAACTGGCAAATGGAGGACATCCTTCCATGTATGTGTCCATCTCCCTGTCCTTTGCCTAAAATAACAATAAACAAATAAAAAAATTTTTTAAATACCTCTTAATTTTATCACTTGAAGCCTGGTATACGGGAAGTATCATTGAAAAACACAAATGGACTAATGCTTCAAGATTCTTAAAATGAAAATTATGCAAATGAGAAATAAAGTAATTGTTTTGTCAGAAGAGTAAAACTCTTCAATTACAATTACAAAACTTAAGTCTACCTACGTATGAGGCGACTTCAACAAGTTCTACTTGTGAAAAATGAAATTAGAAGGTATTTATTCTGGTATAAAAGTTTAGAAATCCATATTTTTTTCATGATACACATTTTCTATGAATTTTTTTGAAGATTCCTATATGCACAGATTTAAATCTTTCTCAGAATAAACTTAACTTTTAACTCTACTTTCCATCAACTTAAGTATTCACAAATATTCTGATAGTAAAAATGTAAAGGTCAGCAAGATGGGGCGCAGGACAGGTGCACTGGTTAAGATGTCAGCTGGCCCATTTGCATCCTGTGATAGAGTAGCTTGTGTATGTTCTGGCTCCTCTACTACTAAACGTGAACCTTGAGAGGCAGCAGACATGGCTCCAGTACTTGCCTTTCTGCTACACACCCGGGAGGCATGGCGGAGCCCCAGGCTTGCAGCTTCGGCCTGGTGTAACGGAGGCTGTTGGCATTTGGGAAGTGAACAAGCCAACATTTCACATTTCACATAAAGTGAAAGTAAAATTAGAAATTAAGAAAAAAGAAAGATATGGGGTGATTCAGCATCTACAATATAATGCTACAACTTAATGATTCAGAGGCCAAAGTCCAGAAAAATTGAGCTGTAGAATTGTTACATTTCAATTTCTAACATGTTTGAATTAAAAGCTACAAATTCTGTAACTTAAATTTGAGAGTATTGGTTGTTACAATGGTTTAAAAACGCAGAAAGCTACACAATGCAAATGATTTTTCTCCTAATGGAACTTGTCTTCTAACAAAATCACTTCAATTTACTATACATTATATTTTCCAAAGATCCTTGTATAAGAATCTACACAATGAATTCCCACTTGAATGTAGTATTCAAAAAAGTTTCTTGCTTCTGAAAACTTTGTTTTTTTGGGTTTTTTTTTTTTTTTGGTCAGATAATAAAAGCAATTAAACTCATCGTGCTTCCTGGTTTGTCTTATCTTTTAGAAAACTCAGTACTAAGAATCATATTTAATCTGGTATATTTCGCAACACTTCAAAATCTCTCTTAATATCTTTAATGTCCTTTTACCATGCAGGTCATCAAACATACCACTGGCATACAGACATGGGAAGTTTAAACAAAAGACGAGTGGAGAGGGGGCGGGAGAGTGAGTGAAACGCAGTCACCATTTCAGAGCTGTTAACCATGGAATGTACAAACTCTATTCTCTTGATAGCAATGACTAGAAAGCCACTGTCTGGAGCACTGGCATTCAGAATGGGTACCAGCTGCTACACTTCTGGTCCACCTTTTTGCTAATGAATCCAGGAAAGCAGCAGAAGACAGGCCAAGTGCTTGGGTTCATGAACCCATGTGGGAGAGCTGGGAAAAGCTCCTGGCTCCTGGCTTCAGACCGACCCACCTTCGGCTGATGTGGTTATTTGTGAAATGAACCAGTGGATGGAAGATGTCTCTGTCTTTCGCTTTCTCTCTGTAACTTTTGTCTTTGAATGAGTATAGCAACAGAGCGTTAACAACAAAAGGGAAAGTATATGTAATTCACCAAAAATCTGCCTTAATACGTACAAGTTAATCAAGCCAAAGAATGTGTAAGGTTTTTCATTTAAGCAATGATTGAGGATCAGGTTCTAAAACTACCAGATGCTTGTTTCTATACATTTATGCTTCACAAATTCTGGAAACCATAAAGAGTCTAAACATTTTTAGAGACTAGAGTAATTTTCTTCTAAATTCGTACTGGATTCAGTCTAGAAGGGCACCCCATGCAACCCCGCATCTCACCACGAGCTGTCTGTGATGGTCCTGAAGAACTTCCGTGTCCAGATTAAGATCAATGGGAACAATTTCATTTTTCCTTCTGTCAATGTTCTCCAACATGAGGAGCAAGCCATGGCTCATTTCGTGGAAATCCTACCAAAAAACACACATAGTGGAGAATATCCATGGGTGACATAGTTCTACAATAAACTTTCTTTTTTTCAACTGCTGCCATTGTCAAGAGTGTTGGTGAAAAGATAATATGGGCCACTTTTTTTTTTTTTGAGGAAAGCATTAGTGGCTTAGTATTGATCTGATTGTGAATTCATGTTTCATGTTTTTGCCAAAAGCATCTAATTACTTGGGGAAAAATGTAGCCATAAAATAAATTACCTCACTCTTTTTCAGTATTTATATGACTTGATTTCCCTAAAGAAAGTAGAGACTACACTTGTGCCACATCTGGATGCAAAGTGGACACTAATTAAATCTTTATGAAATCATGTGATGATTGGATACATAAAATATTTGTTGTGTTCTCTTTCTGTTCAAAATGTGCTTGTTTATGCACTCAGTAAAAAGAAAGTGTTGATTAAATGAGTGAAATAAATGGATAAGTCAGGGAAGGAATAGCAGGACTGAGCTGAACCTGGGAACAGTCTTCTTACTGGATAGATGGTAGGAGCCAGATGCTTTGATATCAGGTCAAAATGTGTGCATTTCCACCAAAATCAGCAGTATGAGCACAAAGTTAGTTTATCCAGTCCTAACTCTGGGTCAGGTGACTGTGGTGAATGAGCTCACAGCCTCAGCTAAATGAGCAGCATTGAGTCCTACGGCCCAGCTTGTCCAGGTCCATCCCACCTGGCATTGCATCAGTGCATCCTGCAACAGGCCTCGCCAGTCCTCCAGCAGGGAGCAAACCCGGTCCCAGCGCCCATTCATGCAGGACAAGCGCTCCTGCAGCTCCTGGCTGTCCTGGGTGAACTCGGGACTACACAGGTTGATGGACAGGATGATGGCTTTGCGGTGGTCTACAGCTTTCTGAAGCTCCTGAAAGAGAAAGAACAGTGGTACCGATGTAACAAAAGCATTTTCTAAGACCGTAGTTGAATTCCTTGAGAAGTTCTGCTAAAATGAAAAGGTCCATTAATTAAAATTGCCCTTAATAAGATAACCACGTAAGACATGCTGGATGTTCCACACTGAGACCCATGCCACAGCCAGAAGAAATGGATTACATGGCTGGATTTTAAGAAAATATGATAAAAGAGCTAGCGCATCTGTGATACCAGCATCCCACATGACCACGGGTTCATGTATGTCCTAATTGCTTTGGTTTTGGTCCAGCTACCTGGTGCTGCTCCTGGGAAAGCAGCATAAGATTCTAGTGCTTTGCTTGAGATCTTATTGAAATTTCAGGAGCCCATGTGGAATTCTAGGCTATTGACTTCAACCTGCTCCAGGCCTAGCCATTGTGGCCACTGGAGGGCTGAGCCACTCACCAAAAGACTTTCTCTCTCTCTCTCTCTCTCTCCCTCCCTCCCTCCCTCTTTCTCTCCTATCTTGGCCTTTTTTTTTTAAAGATTTATTTTTATTATTTTTTTCATTGGAAAGGTGGATATACAGAGAGGAGAGACAGAGAGGAAGATCTTCCATCCAATGATTCACTCCCCAAGTGAGCGTAACGGGCCGATACTATGCCGATCCGAAGCCAGGAGCCTCTCTGGGTCTCCCACGCGGGTGCAGAGTCCCAAAGCTTTGGGCCGTCCTCGACTGCTTTCCCAGGCCACAGGCAGGGAGCTGGACGGGAAGCGGGGCTGCCGGGATTAGAACCGGCGCCCATATGGGATCCTGGGCGTGCAAGGCAAGGACCTTTAACCACTTGCGCCACCGCGCCGGGCCCTATCTTGGCCTTTTAAAAAAATAAAACTTAAAAGAAAAAATAAAACACGGCTGAGAGTGAAGACTCTCACAGTGATGTGTGGAAGACAACATCATCAGTGCATGCACACACACAAACACGGTGCTCAAGGATACACACGGACACAGGAGTTTCTGAGCGACTCTCACTGACCTGAGGGATGGGCAGAAAAGAATAAGGAAAAATAGTGAAGATGAGCCTGTGCAGCGCACACCAGGAAATGATGAGCTCACATCTATGCACAGGTTTTTTGTGCACAGTCTGTGTGCAGTCTCCTACAGCTTCCCCAGAGATAATCCCACCTCACCAATCCAAGGATACCAAGCTGTTAGGAATAAGAATGAAGAGGTGGGGAAGGTTGCCTGTGTTACAGGTTGCCCTGGACAATGAATCAGACATTTCCTGGATTAACCAGCTCTGTTCATCTCTCTCTCACACACAAAGAAACCCAAACAAGCAAAACACTGGGCAAGTGATTTTTGATTTTGAGCATTTTTTCCAAAAAATCAAATCCCAGTTCCAGGAATCTCAGTACATATTTATATATGAATAACTGAACACTGCTTATCCCCAGATCAAGGTGTGTGGGGGGGAGGCGAACAGTCCTAGGCTGACCCAGGCTGAATATTCCTATATTATCTCAGTGGATCTAGTATGTTCCCAGCATGTCTTAAATTTCCATTTCTCAACAGTTCTTAATCTCCATGGCATAGCCTCAACCACAGAGACAGCTGAAGATCAGGATATACTGAGGAATCCACTTGACTACTCCACTGATTTGTTCACAGCATTTATGTATGATCAGGAGGCGGGCAGAGGCGCATGACATTTTCTTAATCGCAGAGGCTGATCCCCAGCCTGACCTCACTGAAGTCTCAGACCCTGGCTGTACCGGCTGCATTATTTCCTCATTGATGGGAATTTGGCTGCAATGCAACATGCCTTATTAGAGCCACCTAGGAACTTGAGAGAAAGCATTTTGTAGTACAGACACTCATAGTTTTAACTGCATCTTCCATTCCGACCTTTATCCTATAATTCTTGGTTCTGGTGTGGGTGGAGGGGGGCACTTTCTGTAAAGATGCAACTGTGAGAACATCTTAGGGAGATGAATATTTCTCTGTGGAGGACTTAAAACAGACACAACATCCAAAAACACAGAAACATTAACCCCAAATAAACAGCGTACGATAACATACAAACACAAAGGCAGCACGCGTACATGCCTGAGCCTACAGTCTGGGCAGCTGCAGTCTGAGGAAGGGAACAACCTGATGTTCTTCAAACAGGAAAAGGTAGTAGACTGAAAGATCCATCAGTAAGAAACTGAGCTCGCAGTCGATGGGATGCTACTGCATCCCTCGCCTATCAAGGCTTTGAGAGGCGTGGTAAGGTCCTGATACAGAATGGATGGAGGTTATCCTGCGTATCACAATCACCCAGCCCAAAGTAGGACGCAAATGCCAGATGTTTTACCAAATTCTGGTAGCTTTGTTTGATTGTGTTGCTATTGTAAAATTTCCTTTTACCATGATTCTTAAGTTTCATTGTTTGAATATGCTAAATGATTTCATTGTGTTTGTTGAAAAGTCATCCAGATATAATCATAGAAGGGGTTTCTCTCCAGCTCCAGATACTGATTTACAGAACCCTGGATACCTCTGTGCCTCCTTTACAAAGACATTGTATAGGCCCTAGGTGCTCCTGCAATTTCCACGAGGCTTTACTGGTCATTTGCTAAGATACCTATTCATTAAATCATCCTTGTTTATTTACGTGGTGGACAGTTCTACAAAGTGGATCCAACTGTCTGCCCTTCAAAGCCATCTTGATTAAACATGTGCTTTTCAAAAGGCTGCTAGAGGAAATCATTCTTGGTCACTGTTGTGAGAGACCTGCCGGGGCAGATGTGGGGACCCCTCTGAGCAGGTGTTTGAGGCAGTTACCTTGAGTTTCTTGATTTGGAGCTCTATGGTGGAGATGTCGGTGCTGAGCTCCAGATGTCGGAGCTGTTCCAGTTCCTCCTCCGTCTCGCCCAGCCAGGCCCAGATGTTGTTGAGGTCCGAGTTGAACTGCTGTTGCTTCTGGAGGCTCTGCTTCAGCTTCAACTCCTTGCTCAGGGCCTGCGCCTGGATGAGTTCCCATCGATCAATCACGCCTGGTAGGGCATGCAGAGAACAGGTGAGGCTTTTTTGTCCTACTTTTGCAATTTAGGGATGACTTTCAATATGCCCTGGGTGCCAACTTAATGTGAGACAGACAGGAAAGTAAATCCACTGAGCATTTCTCTTATCACCTTAAGGAATTATTAAAGTTGCACACAGCTGTTTATTTGCATTTAAAATAACACTAAAGTTCTAAAATGAACTAACTAGACAGGATTTAAACTGGTCACGAGTTCGCGAGGCGTGGGGATGTGGTCTGGAGGTTTAGATACAAGTTAAGATGGGCACATCTTACATTAGAGCACCTGCTCCTGACTCCAGCTTCCTGCTGGTGCAAGCCCTGTGAGGCGGCAGGGAAGGCGCATATGATTGGCTTCCTGCAACCCACATAAAAGGCCTGGATTGCATTCTTGGCTCACGGTTCCTTTCTACACTAGGATTCTGAGAGCCTACATATGGATGAACTTCCAAATGTCTGTGTAAATGGAATTATGATGCCAATTTATTATGGTTCCAACAAGTGGAAATCCATGTGCATTCGCTTAACTAGATGAATGTCCTGAAATAAATGCCAGCAGGGAAAACCCACCTGAAGGCCATCACTTCCCCCTCCATCGTGGGAGGTCACGAGAAGGGTCACAGTGACAGGATACAAGGTGGCTAAGCAGTCCAGGGCTGCTCAGGGGTGGGTAAATACTCCCAGGTCCCCTGCCTCACTCTTTCTTGCGCTGAGCAGCACACACTCACCAGCCGTCTGTGTTTCGGTGCTGTTCAGGTTCACAAAGCCAGGAAGGCTCTCTTCCTCCTCCTTCAGTTTGTGTTCCAGCCTCTTCACAGAGTCTATGGTGCCACTGCATTCACCCAGCAGCTTCATCTGTTTACACACAGATAAGAGGCCAATCACCAACATGCTCACTAGGGCAAGAGCTGCTGCGGAAACAGTCATTGCATTTCTCAGCCAAGGCAGAGGTCCTATGCTACTTCTCTGAACCACCCGAGCAAAATTAAGCAAAATTCACAGGATAAGCCTTTGACATGAGGATTAGGGCCCAGGGTTGGCGTGCCCACATCCCATATTGTAGCACCAGGTTTTAAGTCCTCAGTTTGTTCTCAATTCCAGCTTCCTGCTAATGTGCACCCTGGGAGATGTTAAGTGTGGGCTCAGTGTGGGAGATCTGGTTCCAATTCCCGTATCCCAATGATCTGAGGGACGATCCAGTAGATAAGAGGCATCTGCTTATCTCTAAGCCTTTTTAAAAAAATTTCTAACTCTCATCATGGAAAATGATTTTTTTAAGTGAGAACCAAATAAAGAAGGCGTATTGGGTGAAACTGCAGATGGCAATGTTGGCATTACATATAGGCACTGATTTGTGACCTAGTTGATCAGTTACCCTCATTATGGCCTGGGCAAAATAGAGTGTTTGGGTCCCCGCCTTCCACATGGGAGACCTTGAAGAAACTCCTGGCTCCTGGCATCGTATGGGCCAGGCCTGGTGTGATGGCCATCTGGAGAGTGAACCAGTACATAGAAAATCTCTTTCTCTCTCTGTAACTATCACTTTCAAACAAATAAAAAGAAAAAAAAAAAGGTTTTTAAAAATAATTATTGCTTGGGTCTGGTGCAGTAACCTAGTGGCTAAAGTCCTTGCCTTGCACATGCCAGGATTCCATAATGGGTACCAGTTCTTATCCTGGCAGCCCTGCTTCCCATCCAATTCTCTGCTTGTAGCCTGGGAAAGCAAAGATGGCCCAAATCCTTGGGACCCTGCACCCATGTGGGAGACCCAGAAGAGATGACAGGCTCCTGGCTCAACATTTTAAAAATTCATGAGTCAAACAGGTTAAACCAGTCCAGGACTTAAAGCCCAGACTTTGCAGCTTTCAGAATAATACATGTTCAAAAGTGGCTCCTTTTCCTCTTTCTAAAATTGACATAAGAAACTCTAATATTACCACAAAATCCTGTGGAATATTTTTCCCATCGAATACTTAAGTAATTAAGAAGAGAAAACAAGGAACTTTCCTTAATACAGTCAAGAGCAGACACGACAAACGAGAGCCGGCGTCACCACGAATGGGGAAAAGTTGGAAGCATTTCCCCTAAAGTCCAGAGCTGGACAAGGATGTCCACTTTCACTACCGCAATGCAACAGAGTGCTGGAAGTTCTAACCAGAGGCATCAGATTAAGAGATGAAGGGATTTAAATCGGAAAGGGGGAAGTCAGATTATCCATATAAACAGGGGAACCGGAATACTCCACTAAGAGACTAATTAAACTCATGAGAGAGTGTGGTAAAATTTCAGGAAACAAAATCAGCACGTAAAAATTAATATAGCATATGTATACACAGACAATGACAGGCTAATGAAGAACTTTCAAGAACAGTACCACCCACAATCGCTACAAAAGGATCTAAATACCTCGGAACAAACCAGACCAAGGATGGGAAAGAGCTCTATAACGAACATTACAAGACGTTTACAAATAAATAAAAAACACACGCAAACAAAAAGGGAAAAATTTGCCATGTTTGTGGATTGGAAAATCATTTCAATGAGATCCCATCTAAATTAAAACTAAAATAACAACGTTCCACTCATATCTAGAACAAATAATGCTAAGGTTTATAATGGAAACACAGGAAACCTCAACTAATCAAAAAATCCTAAAAATTAAAAATGAAAAAAATTAAAATTATTAAATTAAAAAATTAAAAAAATTCTGCAGCCATCACAATATCAGCTTTCAGAAAATACATAGGACACCAATAATCAAAACAGCCAGATACTGGCATAACACTGACATGTGAATCAATGGAACATAAACCAAGCAATCAATCCATTCTTCCACAATCAATGTGTAACAAATGAGCTAAAATCAGTCTCTGGAAAGAGGACAGTCTCTTCGACAAATGGTGTTGGGAAACTTGGGTCTCCATAGGCAGAAACATGAATTAGATCGCTACAATGTACCTTAGTTGAAAATCAACTCTACGGAAAAAGGATTTAAATCTATACTGGGATGCCATCAAATTACCATAGGAAAATATGGGCGATAACTCTGCACAAATGTTCTGGAAGAAAGCACGGAGCTGCCTCACAGACCTGAAAACAGACTATCATGTGATACAGCCAAAGTTCTCTTTGGAATATCCCAGATGAAATAAGATCAACATGAGATAGGCACCTACTCTCACACGTGTATAGCAGCTCACTTCACAATAGCTAAGGTACAGAGTCAAATCAGAAGTTCAGCAACCAGTGCCTGAATGAACAAAGTGTCACACACATTTTGGAATAGTATTGTACTATAAAAAATAATGAAAATCCTGCCTTTTGCAACATAATGGATACAATTGGAAAACATTATGCTTAGCCAAAAAATAAAAGCCAGCCCTCAAGAGACAAATTTCATGCCTTTCCCTAATATACGCTGTGCCAAAAATGTAATCCATGTGTGCAAAGTTTACATTTTGAAATTTGATTATTCTTAGCAACTTTTGTTTATACTCTTGAAGAACTCTTTTTTTCTACTTGTCATTTTTTGCATTCTTCACATAATGAAGAGTTGAGCCTGTGCTTGTGCAATGAACTGAAAACACGCCATCACCACAATCCAGAGGGAAAGAGAGAGGAGGAGGGTGGGTGAAGTTCCACTGTACTCTCGAATCTGCATGATGAAATTGGTTCATCTTAAATAAATAAAAGAATTTACAGTAACAATACAGAGCAATGTCAAATTCAGCTGTTTTGTTGGAAGAGCATTTACTAACACATCACTGGCTTTAATTTTAAAATTAGATGAAAGGAAAACTTGTTTTAGGAGGCAGGGGGAACAGGAAAGGAAAGAGAGAGAGAGACTGACTGACAGTGTCAGGGTGTTTTCATTCACTCTTTTTACTTTCAAACTGCCCAGGAGTCACTCAATGCAGGCCTTCCACACGGGTGGCAACCATTTCCTGGTACCTGCGCGGACGCATGGCAGCAGGTAGCTGGAACACAGGCACTGTGACACAAGAGGTGGCCATCTCAACTACTGGCTTTCTGATTAGGCCAGATACCTGCCCCTAAGTCCACTGGATACTGCATTTAAATATTAAAAGACAAAAAACATCTCAAAGTATTTGCTACACTGATCATAAATTTATTCTCCAAAGTGTCTATTCCTCAGAATTCTGATATTTATTTTGATTATTTTCTATTGGTGCTAAGTGTAATCTCAGCGATGTGAGCACATTTATCACAAAACTCTGTTTTAAAAAGCGGCTTCAGTTTAACAGATGTGATTTTGATGATATAAACATCATCATATACAGCTACTGCATTTTTCCCCCCTGGCTTCAAAAAATTTCACATGTGAGCTATGATTCGAACACGGGACATTAACTTTCGTTTCCTTTTCTGTAGCAGTGTTATAGACATGAAAGGTGATTCAGGGCAGGAAAGAGATTTGAGCATTTCTTCAGCTTCACATGCACAGGAAAGTCAGTGCTGTGCTGGGGAAAAGAAATTGTCAATAGCTTGAACAAAGTACGCAAAGTTACGAGTAGGCTCCAGTATGTGTAGGTGGGATAAGAAAGGTCTAGAATGCATGATTTCCTTAAGTTTGTTTTTTTTTTTCACCAAAATAAACTTAGGTTTCAACTTCACTTTACTACGAACTTTTTGAAGCATTTTCACAGAACTCATAAGACACACGATCAGCTGTTCTCTTTTCTCCAAAGGTCTTATGGTTGTTTTGTTCAGAATCAGCACACCGAGAGGATAAAAATATTCCCAAGGTCACCAAGTGAATCAATAAACGCAGGAGACAAACTCAACAATTCGTCTAGTAATCTATTAGCTAGAATCTGTTGCTTCAAGGATAACCTCAGTCCAAAAATGACTAGCTGGATTTGGACAAATGCCTAATGACTTTTGCAAGCCAGAGCATTCTGATGTTCAACGGAATACTTCTTCCTGAATTCTCAGTGCAAAGGAACATGGTGGTCATTACCCCGGGCCAGGGGGCTGAACACAGACCAGTCCTGCTTAAATGATAACTTTGAAGAGCAAGACTTTGTTTTGCACATCCATGCTCATGATTTCAAAGGTCACACAGTGTTCAGAGACCCTCAGACTAGAGACTGATCGTTCTTTGTCACAGAACTGTGATTCCAGGAAGAGGCCGGGGTCAGGATACATGGTCGAGGATACTCACGTAGCCTTTGTAGCTAGAGTCTGGCTCTGACCCTGTGGGAGTTTTGCTGCGGATGATGCTTCCAGCTTGCTGTGCTGAAAAGTGGCTGTCATCCAGGGCTTTGCCCAGCTGCCGGATCTGGTTCTCCAAGGCACTGTGATCACCTGTAGCATCAACCATAAGAATCCTTACTGGTCACATAGTTAATCCTAGTTTAATAATCCAGAACAAGTTTTAGATGTTATTTCAGTTATAGCAGCAGAGAAAAGGAATGTGAGGGTGATTACAAAGCAAATTTAGCGCTATCATGCTAGTGTGTTAGGCATTTCAATCAGATTAAAGCATGTGCTTCCCTAACAGTTCCAGTGGACTAAACACTGCAAAGGGGCTCTGCCCTCAGTTCTGAACACCTTCACGGGTCTGCTCCCTCTCTCTCCATTCCATCTTATACTCTGGATGTTGTAAACTTTAAGAAGGTCTTTAGAAGACTCTGACATGGTGTCTGCTGCACCCCAAGAAACAGCATGCAGAGGTTGATATAGTCTTTGATTTTCCTTTGTTGCACTTCAGTGCCTGGAAGTGCCTGGCTACTGCATCATTCACTTGAGATACAAATTCAAGAGAATCGCTCAGAATAGAAACATTCTGGCAATATCATACCAGCAATAACTTCTTCAAAATGGAAAAAAAAGTATCTTAACCAATTAGAGGGAAGGGTTTAAGGTTTTAGTAATTTTTCTAGGCCAGAATCTTATAGCCCTTAATTCCTAGCTCATTTTGTTCTGAATCTCAATGCTTTTTGGCAAAATGTATAGTGTACGTGACTATGAATGCATGTTGCAGTCTTCAGAATGAACAAGAGGACCGGTCATTAGACTGCAGCTAGCACAGGGTGCAAGCAGAACAGAGCATTAGTAAGCTGGGCTAAATCTGTTTCTGGGGGGGAAAAAAAGGGTTTCTGATTACACTTGGCCTAGCGAAGTCTGCCACTAGGAACTGTTTAGAAAACCACCCACTTTGCCATGATATCTTGCTGCCTGTGCAAACTTTAAGTGCCCCTGTTCCAGGATATCCATCAGGAATTGGTTCCATGGGCCTCTATGGAGGCCAGAATGCACACATGCTCATTCCTTATATAAAACGGGCTAGTATTGAAACATGACATATGCACATCATCTCTGGATAAACCATAACACATAATTCAAGTGAATGCTATGTATCAATCGTTTTACTGCGCTGTTTACAGAACCATTGCCAAGGCCATCTGTACACATCTGGAACAGATGCAATTTCCTCCAGAATGTTTTCAGTCCACAGTCGGTTGAATTTGCAGATGTGCAACCCACAGACACGGAACTTGTGTCTGTAAAGAGTGGTGTGCGTACGTTAGCAACCTCATGACTTCACATCACATCACTGTGTTCAAAAGCTCTTCTAACCCTCACCCTGATCACTGACTCTAAACTGCAGTTTGCCTAGTACAAAACCAAGCAAGCATAGTGGCATTTCCCTTTGTGTTTGTTGGGTTAATCTAACAAACAACAGATTTTTCTTCCTTCAAATTATTTTGAGGTAATATTTTTTTAAACATGATACAATTTGTAGAACTAAAATCTGGTCTATTATAGGTAGCACTTGAGGGGGATGACATGGTTGATGTCCCTAGCGTCCCTTCTGCAGGTGGTGAGACGTGAAGTAAGAACCTGTATCCTAATTTCCCACAGAGGAGCGCTGCTGTCCCAGGGAGCTGGCATGTTACGGGCCAAAAAGAACATGAGTGTCAACTAGAACAGGAGATCTCAAAGGTTTTTTCTTCTCATATTTTCTGCTGCTGCTGGGCATACGGGAGTGATCACCATCTCACAAGGGGAGAAGCTATTTCATTTTATTTGATTATTGAAATTTTATTCTTGGGATTGCTTGATCAGCTGTTTGAGTAGAAAAGGAAGAGAAGGCTGTGCCTAACATGCCCAAGCTAGGAAGCTGTGAGAGATCCAGCAGATGTGCCGAGAGCCTGGGTACAGGTGATGGAGCAGGAAAGATGGCTCGCCGCCTGGGGTGCCTACCAGAGACATTTTTGATGGCATTTTCTGTGAGTTTTACATAGGCCTCGGGGCTTTCAGGGATCATTACATCTGCAAGAAGAGCACAGTCTAAGTTGACAGCTAAGTTCTAGGAACCTTGGTTTCCTTGCGGTAAAAATATAACTCTCCTAGAGGAAAAAAAGGAAATGAGCCATTGCGGACCCATAGTCCCTGAGCGCAGGGAGCACAGTGCATCTGCTCACGGAAGGCTTTCTAAAGTGAGTTCTAATAAGAACTCGAGTGAGTCACCAGCATCTCACAAGCCAGGCACTACTGCAGCACTAATGCATCCCAAAACAATCGCACAGAGTGAGCGGTATTCCTCTTTATAGTACAAAACAGCAACACCAACCAAGAGCCAGACGAATTACACTACTTACCCAGTTTTAAATAGCTAGTGACAGAACTGAGATTTCAATTCAGACTCTATTATATTACTGTCCGTATATTTCTATATGAGCCACACAGGTAATCTTACAGGATTAATAATCATATTGGAAGAGCAATATGACACATGAAATGAATTTGATTGTATTTTACTAAGCCAATATACTCACATTATAACATGTAATCAACATAAATGTTATTCCTATCTTGCATTCTTTGTGCTAAATCTTTGAAATGTGTCTACCTGCTGAGTACATTTTGTACAATTCATCTCAGTTTTCAGTGTCACATTCCTGAGCTCAGCAGTGACAGGTGGCTGGCTGGTGGCTACATGGAGGACAATGCTGCAACCAATGCCATATGCTGACAGGAAAACAGAAATTAGAAAAAAATCACTTTACTTTCATTTTCAGCACATTTTCATATGCTTTGGAATCCAGGTTTTCTTGGGGAATAAGCAAAACTGCCCACAGGTAATCTTACAAAGAATGATGAGATGACAAACGCCACCAATCAATCTCTGTTCTCATCACTTACTTACACTCTGCCTATTTTTCTGTCTACTACTTCATCAAAGGCTGCTAGGGATTGCGTCTCTCGTTTCCCTCCAGGTAAGCTAACTGTGTGACTATCTTCGTTCTCTTAGGGCAGTTACTATCTACGTGGGCATAATGCCCTAACCTGACCATCCAGGTCTTGCACTTCAGACTCGTGTATCTGTTCCCTGGTTTTTGTATTTGGAAATCCTTCAAGCATCTCAGATGCAGTAGGCACGTAATCGAACTCAGACCCTCCCCTAACTCAACACTGGGTCCGTTTGACCAGCTACAGCACAGCGATCTCTTTAATTGTCCTTGGTCCCCAAGGTCGCCTGCGTCTTTCTTGAAATGCCCAGCTAGCTATCACCTTCCTCTCGATCAACGCAGCCGACCATCACTTTGGCAGTTTTGTCTCATGATTTCTCATCTCTTCCACTTCTTTTCTATCCTCCCATAACTGCCTCTTTAGTTCAACCTACCATCCCATTTCTATTCCTAATATGTTTTATTCCCAGCAGGATCCAGATATTATGTTTGATCATATCCTCTCCAACCTGATGTCCTGCTGGGACTCCCTGCTGCCTTCAAGGTAAGCCCTAATTCTTGGGCAGGCTGCATTATGATGTGGTGTTTGTTTTCTGGCTTAGCCTCTATTTAATTCATTCATTGCCACTCTATCTCCAGTACTGTTATTTGGAGGAAATCTGTGATGACCCAAAGCATTGCACCTGATCACAAAGCTGGGCCAGCTATCTTCCCCTGAAGGCTTCCATGTCTAGTGCTTTCCCATCTATTCTTAGCTCAACAGTTTCTTCCTTTTTTTTTTTTTGAAAAGGAAAGGAATCGTGTTAGTGCTTGACAAAGGACTTGTCACCTATTACTAGATTAAATGTGTACTAGATCAATGGCAAGCTAATTTTTGTATGAGATAATTACATGATATCCAACTGTTGGCTCGTGTACAATTTCCCCCACTGGGAGAGGAAGACAATGGAGAGAAAGTCACCGTAGTGATGTTTCCCTACATCAATAATTCCCTTTGCTTTTCCTTCAGGCTGGGTCTCAGGTCAGGTGCTTTCCTACCTGTCAAGCCGGGAGCACCTCTCAGGTAGAAATCCCTGTCCTCCTGGCCCTCCTCATCCTCAGAGGGCAGGGTTCCGGACACTGCAGACTCCAGGTCACGACTGAGGTCATAGTCATGGTCCCACTCCAGGGGGATGGAGTCCACGCTGGCTGGGGTGTCGCGGCCAGACCGTTCACTCCGATGTGGCTGGGCCAACGAGAGCGAGGGGTTGGAGGATGGTTGCGGTGAGGGTGCCACATCTGCAGATGGCTCCTGCCAGCGCAGGTCCGAGAGAGCTGTGGAGTCTGCAAGGTCCAGCTCCTGGTCAGAGAGGTCAAGTTCATCATCTGGCAGCTAAAAGCAAATTCAAATTCTAGGTAAGAGACTGGAAGGCTCAGCTCCTACCATGACCTCAATTCTCAGCAAATCTGCCTGATCAGGTGCACTTGGTCCATTGTCTACCACTTGGCTATCCCTTTAAACTTTCTACCAATCTATCAAGAACCTTGTGATTACAGAGAAAATGTCTGTGGATCAAGCTGTATAAGCCTTAGCTTCATTATTGAAAAAGTAGGAACTATATTAAAATCTACTTCAAAGAGCTGATACTTCAATGAAGTAATGCCAAACAAAGCAACTTAGCGGCACAACTGAGCTCAGCTCAGAGCAGCACACTAAGAGCAAAAAGAACTGTCCTTTGAACCATGTGTCCAGACGAAAGATGCATTCTATCATAGCAGATCCCAAATTTGTGCATCCTTTTTCAGTGAAGCTGTGCTTATGGTAACAACCAGGAAAGCAGAAGAAAAACAAACCTCAATGTAACCTCATCAAACGAGCAGCTGTTAATGTTGCTCATTGTCACCTTCTTACTGATTCAAGAGGCCACTTGATTCTCCATAGAAAACCGTGCTATGTACGCTTGTCAATAAGCATACATCTAAATAGCTATCAGTTCATCCAGGACTTTAAAAGATTTTCTACAATGTAATGACTTTTATAAACCAGTTTTACAGTTGAAAAGCCTAAGGAAAGAAAGGGAAATGACCTTGGTTATAAAGCCAACACATGTCATAGCCAGTGCTGTGGCATGCTGGACCAGGCCACTACCAATGGCACCAATATAATATATGGGTATTGGGTTGATTTCTAGCTGCTCCACTTCCAATCCAGCTCCCTGCTATGGCCTGAAAAAGTGGCAGAAGAAGGTCCAAGTCCTTGGGCCCCTGCACCCATGTGGGAAATCCAGAGGAGCCTCATGGCTCCTGCTTTGGATGGACCCAACTCTAGCAGGTGCAGCCATCTGGGGATTAAATCAGCAGTAAATCTCCCTGTCTCTTCCTTCTCTCTAGAACTCTGCCTTTCAAATAACAATAAATCTAAAAGAAAAATGGAACTGTATTTGTCAAAGTTAGGATCGAGGACCAGCATTCTGGCTCCAGGGTCTGCGATCTCACCCAGTATACAATGCCACACAATTTGTTCTCTGTAGATGCAATAGCAATGGAAACAGCACATGGTACATACAGGCAGGCGCATCAGCTTCCTGTGGTATCTTTCCACGTGCCCAAACACAGTCTGGCAGTACCGCCTCAGCTCATCCAACTCTTCCTCAATGACTGCGGCATCCAAGGGCTCACTCTTTTCTATCAGTTGCTCTCCTTGGGCAATTATCTGCTCAATCTTATTGTGGTTCAGGGAAATTTCTTGCTGGAAGGCCTAGGAAACACAAGTTCCATGTAACATTTTTTTTTAACTCACATTGATATAAAATAGTAAGATAAGCATTTTTCAGACTCTGCAGGGAGCACTTGATTTATCGAACACAGCGACATACCACAAAGGTGTTAGTCTCTGGAGTAAAGCATAAACATTTGAAGTCAGAACCCAAGTCAGAAAAAAACACGTATTGGGATTTCATAGCCAGGAAGAGAATCCTGAGTAATACAAATTATTACCATGGACAGAGAGATCAATGACACTGACAGGACATCCTGGAAGAAAGCCACATCACGCTGAGAATGAACTTGGCATTCTAACGAAATAGTCAGAACATGTTGATTTTGGTCTGATCATACAGCAGACATGCTTAGGAGAAGCCATCCAGCCAACCATGTCACAAATTCTCCTCAGATGGAGACAGACAAAGTCCCAATCATGTGCAAACCAAGAGGTGCTGAGGAGAGTGTCTGGGCTTCTCCTGTGTGATTCAACATAATTTCAGAAAGGCTTTGGGCACAAATTTTAACTCAATGCAAAATTCAGTTCTGGAAGAATCAAAATAAGAGTCAACTACCCCTTGGTAGAAACAGAAAACTTAGGGAACAGTTTGCCCATTAGATGACTTGTGGAGGCGGGTGGGGCAAAGCAGTTGGGGAGAATAGCAAAGTTTACTGTGTTGTGATTCCTTTCATCCCAGAAGCTAGGATTAAGGATAATTTCCTCATCTGATTTCAGAATTCAAAATATGATGCAGAAAATAACCGTTCTTTTAAGGCATGGTATCTGTATGTTGTGGAAAAAAAAAGAATTTTCAAAAGCTGCCTTGCAAGTTTTTAAATTATGAAAGACTCTGTCTTTAAGGAAATCTACACAGCTAATATGTATCCCTCCTACTCAAGTCTCTAGGTAGCCAATGTACAGTAATTATATATAATTATATATATATATATATATATATATAATTGATCTGACATCAAAGAATGCACAGTAGGCAGAACAAAATTCCAACGTTTAAAAGGCGGTGCCATTTGGTATGCGCAGGTCAAACAATGTGGAGGTGCTAGAAGCTACTCAGAAGTGGCACAAACACCTTCAAACAAGATCTGTAAAACTTGGGATTCAAATTAAAAATCAAGTTTGCATGCTAAACAGTGATTGTATCTAGGTAGTGGCTTATTATTTCAATACTTTATTCCCAAATCTCTTTTATAGCAAAGAAACAATTTTTCTTATTTGTAAAGAGTCTTCACTGTGTTCTTCTCAAAGGGATCTTTAAAATTTTTCCATTTCAGACTTTCTTCACATTTACAACTGAGAAAACAACCCATTACCTTGAGTTGCTTTATTTTCGCTTGAACATCACATTCCGAAAAATGCTCAATATTAGTAAGTTGCAGATCCATTTCTGTTAGCCAGACGAGAATGTTTTCCCGAGCAGTCTCAAACTCCTCACGCTGGCCAATGAAATGCTGGGTGCGAGGGGAAAATAATGAAACCGTCAAAGTCCGCATGAACACACTGAGATGGCACAGCCAGTTGCAAAATGCTTCTACAAAGTCATTGGTAAGCAATGGAAATGTCACTGCATCACTGCCCCCTGCACACCTTCCTGCCCTCCCAGTCCACAGCATCACTGAGACTGCGTCTCCAGGTAGTGTTGCCATGGCTGGTCCTGGCTGGTCCTGGGCCTCTAACTCACAGAGGAGGCATAATACAAACCTTGAGTCTGCGCAAGATGGAGGCCACGCGCTTCTGCAGGTTGTCCCAGCGCTGGTTGGCCTCGTGGACCCTCTGCTTCAGGCTACACTGGGAATCTGTGCGATTCTCCCTGGCCAGGCGGCGGTACTGTTTGTTGATGAGCTCCAGCTGGGTCAGGCTCTCATGCACCTGGCGCTGGAAAGCCTAGGGCAATGGAGAAGCAGGTGAGTGTCAGAGCCCTGTGAGTGGCTCTCGGGCATGGTTCAAGCTGCACTGAGACCGGGAGGATGTGACACGGCCAGGCAGAAGGACAGGATGATTTCTAAGAGGAAAGTACTTCAGAAATTCTTGGAAAGTCAAGCTAAAAGTTATGTTTATTTCGGTATAAAAAATATCTGAAAATGCATTCGTGGTTTTTCCACCATTATGTATTTTTTCATGAACTGTTTGAAGACCATTGGTAAACATGGATTTCCAAATTTGCAGACCAATAGACTTCATTGGTTTCAATTACATTTGTCCATGAACTTTTTGAAGCGCCTTTGTATCTATATGACTTTTAAAACAGTAAACAACTTGAAAACAAATTTTTACTCATAAACTTCACAAAATGGAATGTGTTTTGAAGTGTGAGTTTAAAATGTCCAATATATCTAATCTACAATAGATATTTCTTTATCTGTAAGTTAGGTAATCTGCTGAAAATCTTCACATTGCCTCAATTCCTTTGTTCTATACAAAATTATAATCACTTTTTATAGCAGGCTCTTCAAGTTCAAGCTACTATTAACTTTCAAGAAAAAAAACTTAGCAAAATCTAAGTAATCTTACATTTAAATAAAATTTTAAACATAATTCATTTATTTTTTTCCTATGAGTTATCCGCACTTTTTAGAGAATTTGGTGGAACAAGTATACTGCACTCTATGATATTGGATGTTTAGTGCTTTTCTTAAATTCTGTTATTTATTTGAAATGGAGGGAAGGAGGAGAAGAGGGGGTTAGGCTGAGAGAGGGAGATGGGGAAAGGGAGAGAGAGAGAGAGGAGGGACTGGAGGGTGGGATCAAGGAGGGCAGGGTGGGAGGAGAGGGGACAGAGGGGACAGAGGCAGAGACAAGGAATTTCCAGATTCCTCAGTTCAACCCCACCCAAGTGCATGCAGCAGCCAGGGCTGAGTCAGGACAAATTCAAGAGCTGGGGACTCATTCTGGGCCTTCCACACACTGAACAGTTCAGGCAGCTGAACCATCACCTGTTGCTTTCAAGGGTGTACAGGAAGCAAGAAGCTGGAATGGGAAGCGATCCCGCTGATCTGCATTCTGATCTGGGATGCAGACATTCCAAGGGGAGAGTTATTTGTGATTCTATAGGCCCCGCTCAACCCTAACGTCCCAGTTCAGAGAAGGTGAAAGTAAGCACTGCTTGATAGAGGAGCCCGATGTCATAATCAAATCATAATTACACCCCTCCTCCCCCAAAAAACTTACTAGATTTATGGCTGCTTTTTTTATCCTTACTTATACCAAACATTTTTATAACTAATTAATTTGGATTGTTCTCATCGAAATCCCCAAATTCTCTATTTTGGGGGGTTAACACATTTCTGCTTCTAAAACAATTTCCTTTTAGAGTCGCTTTAAGAGCCTGCATTCTGCCTCCTATTCTATAAAACTTTAAGTGCCATCTTCTGTTCTGTATTTCTCCAGCAAAGGAAACTGTGAAGCAAGTTAAGCTTCAGTCACTGTTAATGTCATGCCTATGTCTGCCTAACGGGTGATGACACTGCGGCCAGGGCGGGTGTCCCCGCCTACCCTATCTATCCTGTGGATCCAGGTCACTCAGTGGGTCTGTCTTCAAGAACAACTGGATTATTGTGACGTATTTGTCTCTTAAAACCAAGGGCAACTGTGAGATTAAGGAAGAATGATGAGGTCCATCGGTATAAAACTGATTCTAACATCTTACTTTTCCTACAAATCTGACAGTGTAAAGAAGTGTCAAGAAAATCCTCATACCATCCACTTTCTGGAATAAGCCAATTAGAAAAGGCTTAACCTTAATAATGCCAAGGATAAGATGCTTCTCGTAGTACTGCTTCACAATGGGTGACCTGGAATCCACTATGACGCTTGTTACGGCTTTTTACTAGGAAAGCCTTTTATGTAGGGATTTTTTAAATGGGATTTAGTGGTATTGTTATATATGAATCCATTCAAGCATGATAGCTCAGCTACTATTGATTCATTAGTATTGTGTTTACCAGATTTATTTCTATTATTCTTAAATTTGAAACCTCACAGGACCAAAAAATAAGCTTTGTATGCTCCATAACAGCCATTGCTAAATGCCTGGTGTTAAGGTTACTTTGTTACAAAGTCAGAGAACAAAACCAAAACCAAAACCAAACAAAAAGGAACATGGTTAGGTTTGTAGTCTTAGCTCTAAACATCTTGAGGACCATGACACAGCGCCAGCAGCAGAGAGATGAGGACAGCACCTGACTGTTGGCTGGCAGCATCCTGGAGTACACATGCGGCTCCCGTGGGAAGTGAAAGCGAAAGCAGCTTCAGACTGAAGCTGTATCGCGTGTGAAAATCAAAGACAGCTAAGTCAGTTTCATCACAGTGTCAGGAACCAACTGCTGCCCTCTTCATCATCAGAGTTACACTATGCTGTGTTTAGCCAGTATATACTTGGAAAGGCTTTCTGGCTCAACAACGACACTGCTGTAAACCGTATGATCAGAAGTGGATTTTGATGAACACACTGAATTCAACTCTGGAGACAACGATTTTAACAGTGGTTACATAAGTATGTGTGTGCGTGAGTTTCTGTATGCTAACATACATCACACAAGAATCAGAGAATTGGGTCAAAAGATACTTCCGCTATGGTGCAAAAAATTTGAAACCCATACAAACTCCTAAACAGGCAGACAAAGAGATATGTCATAATTACACTAAAAAATCAAGAAAGTAGAATTGCAAGTTAGGTTTCTATAGTATGGAAAGCCATATTTGTTAGAAACGATGGCTGGTGGCAAAATCTTCCGAATTAAAAAATAATTTTGAGAATTTTAGGAGGAAATAATGATATCTGTTTTCTAATAAAATTTCTATTAGTACATTTTGGGTGATTCTTGACAAAATTCTGCTCCCTCCCTTGCCTGCCTCTGAAGTCACAGTAAAGGTGGCTATGAAGTCACCACCCAGCCGTTGGCACAAATGACAGATGGCATGTGGGTGGACGGCTTATGCCTTCAAACACTAAACTGCCAGTTGGTCACTTGAATTTAACAACAAAAAAAGAATGAACTGTTTGGAAACAGGAATCACCTCAAATTTCTTTAGTTCCTCCTTGGCGACTGTGTACAGCACCCCAGACGAGCTTGGGAAAGCAGCTGTCCTTTCTGAAGTCTTCAGCCACTCTTCAAAACGAGAATAGTCATCCAGAAACTTCTGCCATAATCGCCAAGTCTCTTCGATTCTGAGAGAGAAAACCAAGACATGGATTCTGATTAATTAGGGCTGTTTGCATGCTGGAACCCTGTCTGGGCCCTGAATTGGATTAAGGGTGCCCCGTTAAGCAACTGCTGTTCCAAACAATAGCTGTGCCTTGAGCTAACTTTGAACAGGAAAAAGAGACAACTGTGGGAGCTAAAGGTCTTTAAAAATATAACAAAAAAAACATGTCCTGAAGCTCTGGGTTTGAAATCAAACTCAATGTCATAATCGCCTCTCACGAACTATCTTGGATGCCGTAAGGTTAGAAATGCAGTATGTCCAGTGTCCGCTCAGCTTGCAAATCCCCTGAAAGAAAGCTGTGCTTCAAGAGTCCCACATCAACCTAACCCTGACCAAAGTCAGGCTGCAACAGCCAGCCCAATGGAAAGTTCGAAGAGTCACCCCCGAGAGCTAATGTTCGTATTTCACTGATTCAGCAATTGCGTGGTATATTCTGCCGATTTTTTTTAAGACAATTTTTTTTTCTTTATTTCAGACTTATCTATTTATTTTTAAGAGAAATCGAGCACGAGAGAGACAGAAGCAGAAAAAGAGAGGTTTTCTTTTCTTTTTCATGATAGGGTCCCATCGTGCTTAAGGATAATGTATCTTTTACTATTTAATTTTTAATTGAAGAATACTATTCTTTTCCACCATTAGTTCTGTAACTTGTTGTAACTGTCTGGCAAATATGGCCCACATGCATCTGTAGTTCCTTTTAAATGAGTTTTACAAAAAAATTATACAGAAAGTAAAAAAAAAAAACTACTTTCTGTACTGTATTTAAACTGTTAGGTGAGAAATTAAATGACTGCATTTATTTCTAAATTATTTTTATGCCTGCAAGAGTATTTTCAAAAACATTGTAGAAAAAAAAATTTGGGGGGGGGCAAAAAAAATTCAAGATCCAGTCACAATATTTTTATAATACACATTTTCCATGAAATTTTGGAAGACCCATAAAAATGTTATGGATTTCAAAATGGTTTGTCCCAAAATAAACTTAGTTCTTTCATTTCCTTTTTAAATGAATTTTCTAAAGTGAACTCAATGCTTATTTTTACAACCAAATATAGTCAATGGTAAGTTAGGGGAGGAAGGCTATTTTGGGACATCTTTACCAAAAGGACACAGTCCCTAAGTGGAGAGCCTGGATGATTTATTTCCTGTGTGGTCTTCCCTCTGCCCCACAGCTATAGTATCCCAGCTCACTTGAGTCTCCTCTCCATGGACGTGGCACAGATATTTCTCCAGCGCCGGTCCAGGTTCCGTGTTGCCTGCTGGATGGAGTCACACTCGGCGTCAGTGGCGCAGGCGTCACAATCATGCAGCAGGACTTCACACAGGTTGAGGACCGAGGCCACCCCCGTGCTGTGCTTTTCAATGTCTCTCTGAAGCTCCTGCAGGGCAAGGCCACAGGCTTTACCTGACAGTCACACGTCAACAGATGGGAGACACAGAGCCATACCACCAACGGGCAAATGCTAGGCTGGTTCTTGGCAGGCACTTCAGTTCCTCATTTGTGAAGTCCAGCAAACTCAAAGGTATGAGAAAACCAAACCAGAAATATGCTGGCTATGTGAACAATGTCGAAGTACAAACCAAATAAATGAAGTAGGCTTTACCAAGACTAAAGTTAACATCTTTACATATGCTACTGGGGATTCTGATAAAACATCATCTAAAGTTACCTTGAACATACGAGTTGACACAATTAAGTCTATAAAGATTAAGCACATCAACAAGAAAAATCACAAACTCTACCTAGGAAAAATGAGAAAATATTTCCTTGTAATTTGATCTGTCTGTTCTGGTGGCAATTGGGAATCACATCCCAATTGAGATGGATTATCATTTATTTCTTACAACATGGTTCTTAAAGGGTAAACATTTTGCAGAACTGTGTTTAAACATTTTCACAAAGGAAACGACAGTAAATACGACATGACTAAAGTGGATGAAATATTTACTCCCCTTTACATTTTAAAATCATGCTTTGTCAATGCATGCTGCTGACCAGCATTCTATGAGCAAACGCTTTCTGAAATGAGTGAACAGGGTGTAAGATTGTGAGATATGTAGGCACTTCATCAATATCACAGAAAATGAAAGTCCGAGGTGAGTTTACACCAGGTGTTAGGGTGAAACAGGTTGACTACACCTGAAACAAAGGCATCCCATGCTGGAATGTCTGGTTCGAGCCCTGGCTATGCCACGGTGCTTTCAACTCAGTGTCTTGATTATGCATTCCGGGAAGCAGCAGATGATGGTCTAAGCAGTTGAGTCCTTGCTATCCATGTGAGAGACCTGGATGAAATCTCTGGCTGCTAGCAGCAGCCTGGCTTGAACCTAGCTGCTTCAGGCACATGAGGAGCGAACAAACAAGTGGATGATACCTCTGTCTCTTCCGCCTTTTAAATAAACCTTTTTGAAAAGATATATTTGTTTTGGTGTAAAAGATATGAAATCCATGCATATTTTTTCCATAATAGGCATTGTTATGAAGTTTTAGAAGATTCTCGTGGACGTGGGTTTCAAAAATGTAATTATCTTTTTATTATATTTTATGCTAGATACAGAGGCAGATGGAGGGGGTAGGAAGCGAGAGAGAGAGGGACAGTCAGAGCTGATGAAGAATGAGCTATGTGAAAGCCACCACTGCTTTCCAGGGTGCACAGCAAGAGCCAGGGGTCATGAGCTGAACTTGAGCTCAGGCCCTCTCAGAAGGGACTTGTGTCTCAACAATGAGCCCCACGTCAGCCCCCTTCCTATCCTTCCAGAAATTCTATTATTCATGAACAGTTTTGTACCACTGTGCTAATGAAAGATTGATAAAGTCATATGTTTTAAACAATTTTCTATTTGTTGAAGGCTGTTTGGGGGAGAAGTGAGATTTCATTCATCCTGGAAATCTCAAAGAACTTTAAATTTCTCATGTCTTAGAAATTTACAATGGGGCGACCAAGGATGTTTTTTTCTGTTTTTCTGGGCGTTGGTCAGGCCTTTTTGATTTGGAAATGTATGTTTTTCATTAGGGATTTTTTTTTTTAAGTTGTCACTTTGATCATTTACTTCTCTTGATTTTTTAAAATTATTTTTGAGTGTTTGCAATAATTTGTGTTTGGAAATTCTTGCACTATTTCTTTGATCTTATTATCGATCCTTTCTGTTTTCACAGATTTATGCTTCAGATTTGCTCTGTGGAAGATAGTATCAATTCTGAATATGACTTTGAAAAATAATAATAAGCCATGCAATTCCTTCTTGAACGCAATCCCTCATCTCTATGGGGTATGGCTATTTGTATGTTTTTTTTCTGCCATACATATTTAAGCATGAATTAGGCACCGGATGCCACATGTCCACTTAGAGCATACCATGCAGGAGGCTCTCTGATGGGAGAGTGAGGCTGGAGAACAGCTTGGTGTTGAATTCTCTTAGACATGGCTACCTTGTCTGGCCAGTTGCTCCAGAGAGCATCACTTCTGTGTCTCTGCTGTGGTATAATCCTGACTCCTGACACTGTGGGGGTATTGCTGGCACAGGGTGGCAGGAGTACACGATTTAGTACAAAGACTTACACTTTGCTTCTTCAGTTTTAATTCCATGGCTCTACACTCACTGGTTTCTAAGGTCCCTCCCACCTTGCCCTCTGTATAGAGGAACTGTGTGAGCTGCTACCAGAGTAGAAGAGTAGCCTGGCTTTCTGGGCTTCGCAGGGATCACCTAGACTAACCAGCCTTTGTTCACATCTCCGAGCAAATTTTAAGATCTTCTACTTAAACATTTGACAGTGCTTCCGTTTCCAGTTGTACCTGCTCTCCGGTACTCTGGGAACTCTCCAGCACAAATATTCTTTCCACACCTTCCATTCTGCTGTTGTCATCGCTATTCAACGGTATACTTGCTATCTTCCAAAATTCTATTGACTACCTGCAAGTGTTAGCACCCTGTAGAGGCACCAGTTAGTGTCCAAACTGCTCCGTGTCCAATCCAGTAAGTCTGCTTAGAGGTTAGGAAAGCAGAATTCTATTCCTGTGTGAGAGACCCAGAAGCAGCTCAGATTACTTTAGTTCTGGCTGGTGTTGGCCACTTGGGGCATGAACAGAAGTTGAGTGATCTATGTCTCTCCCAGTCTCTGTAAATACGCCTTTCTAGTACAAATTAAAAAACAAAAACAAAATTCTCTTGACTTTCTCTCATAGTTTCTTCCACTTGCCATGATGAATTTTGACTTTAATTGCCATTTTCTATTATTTTCTATTATTTCATTGGTTGCAAGAAGGATTATGAATACATATTATAAATTTACCATACTTAACCTGATATTGCCTTAACTTTAAAACATTTGCTAAACCACAATACGTACCATTCGTGTTTTAATTTTACTTAGCAGACACCTCATTCCAATTTTTTCCAGAAGATTTGGGGGATTTGGAAGTCAACCATGACTCCAATGGCTCAATCAACATCGACATGCATCACATAATTTTTTTTCTATTTTATAATTTTTAACATTACAAAAACTGAAAAATACTGTTAACAATGTTTAAAAACAATGCAATTAATTTAAATGTAATACCCACAGCACACAGCCAGATTTTGATGTCTATTTGCACTGGATTAGTTAGTATTTAAAGTCAAATCATACATAAGCTACTTCACAGAATTTTTAAGTGCAGTTAGTAACTTGAATAGGCACATTTTGTTGCGCTTTTAAGTTAAGCAACTTGGCCATCATGGCCTAAATATAGTGGAAGGAACTAAAGTTGGGGAGCACTTATCGGAGTCCACCTACAGGGGCAATGACACTTGTCCTGGGGAACTCATGGTGTTTACTGCGGGAATCAGGAATCTGACATTCTTGGAGAATAAACAAAACGAGTGGGGAGTGGGAACTTGTTCTGTGTGCCTGCTGAGAGCCATCCCCTTCTGCTTTGTTGGGCTTAACATCATGCTCAATGATGATGCTGCTACATACATGAGCATGAAATTGTAACGTGGTCTGCAGGCCATGTAGTCCTCTTTGAAAAACAAAAATAGATTAAACTCTAAAAATGCTAAGTAAGCCTTGCAGTGCTTCCACACAGATAGAAGGGACTCCTTTGTAGGTGTATGATCTTTTGTTACCTGCTTTAACCCATTTGTGGAAACTCAGCTGTTCTATCACCAGGGAATGGCTTATTGATATACCAATGACACGTAACCTTAGGGCACCAGCCTGCCTCCATGTAACTTCCCTTCCTCTCTAGTTCTCTCCCACTTCCTCCCGACCTTTCACTTCAAATCATCATCCTCTTGCCAGCTTGGCATCGCAGGCAGGAAAACAAGCAGACATTCCCTGTGTTACTAAGGGAACATTGGTGGCTCTAAGTTATACCTGCTGCTCATTAAGCTTCCTCTGTATTTCTTCTGAGTTACAGGAATCGTAGATTATGGGTTTGGCGAGCTCCGCCTCAATGTGAGCGAGCCAAGCTCTCAGGCTCCCCATGTTCTTATCGAGCTGCTGCACAGCAACCAGGGTCTCCTTCAGCTTCTTCACCCTGAGGGTAGAGAGGGCAAGACAACTGGGGTCAGGCAGAGGCTCCATTCATGTTGCCCTGGGTGATCCTGGTCCAGCCTCCGATTGGCTGTGCAACTTTGTTCAAGTGGTACGATGTTCCTGTCTCTGTTCTATTATTTATAAAATGGGGATTTTTATAGAGTATAAGTGTCCTTGTGAAATTTAAATGAATTTTACACGGAGTTTCCTGTATATGAGAAACAATCACTATTGACAATTATTATACTCAATACAGCTGCAAAAAATAAAAGGCTGGAGAAACCTCAGAGCTGTCCCCCAAAATATTTTGAGGAATATATATTAGATAAAAATTGTGACATTTCTCCAGAGTGGGTTACATAGCTACCGTTTTGATAATAATCAAATAAAATTTAAGTTCCAAAAGATTACATACACCAGCACACTTGTGACAGAAGAACGCACAGCTAAGATAAAGTATAAATGAGAAGCCACATGTACACAGAGCAGCTTGAATCTCGCCAATGACAGGCCACACTTACAGCACTTGACGGCCCTCTGGATTATGACCAATGAGTAGAAGGCAACTAAATGATGCTACCAGTGAGCTCAGAGGTGTAGGACAGGGAACAGAACCGGAGAAAGGACTAAGCTGTGAGATACAAGGTGGTCTGACATAACTAAGGTCCTTTACGGACATGGTAATGGATCTCTACACTGTGTCAAGGAGAGTGGAAATATGCCAAGACTTACTAGCAGAGAGATGCTGAGCTCAATTTTGATTTTGTTTATGTGAGCTTGAAAATACGGACATTTGAGAAGCCAGTTAAGGAATGAAGAAGAAGCATCCCAACATTTTTAACAAATGTCTACACTCTGGAACCCATGGGCACAGAGGTCAGGATGGAATGTCTATACTCATGAATTGGCATGATGCAATACAGAAGCAGTTAAAAACGACACACTATTCCGTTAAGCAATGCAGTGGAAAATGCCTTCAGAATATACAGGAAGAGGAGCAAGTTCACGGGGAGTCGTCGGGGCCAGGTAGAAATATCAGGAATAGTAGCTATGTGATCCGGAAGGAAGGAATCCATGACATCAGCTTAGGCCTGGTCAATATGAAACTGAATGAGGTCTATTTTCTAAGGTTATGGAATAACATGATTAGGCATCCATGCAGCGACACAGGAGTCGGGAGGAGGGGACCAGGTGCTTGTCCCAGCTGTTACAACAGCACTTGGACCCACGCATCCCATCAGAAGTGCTCCAATTTGAGTACCAGCTTCACCTCCACTCCCGGCTTGTTGCTAATGTACAGTTGTTATCCCTGAAGGAGACTAGGATTGAGTTCTTGGGTTCCAGCATTAGTGGAGTGAACCAGAATATGGTCAAAGCGAATGAAGACGGCATGAAGTTTCTAGCTTGATTTTATTTCTAGGAAAAATGGACTTTGTTTTGTTGAATGTAATTTAGAATAGTGTTAAAGTGCTTCTATACAAAGAATCAGACACTCATGTGAAGGAAGCCAGAGGGAATAAAACAGAGTGATGAATTAAAAACATGTTATAAATATCATGCTAATATTCCAAAATATAATCTATTCACAAGGAATGAAACTTTGCTGTAGTATTTATCATGATTTGTAAGTACAATCAAGGCAAGACTTCTCTAGTTAATTTTATGAGTATAAATTATAACCTGTGCTCTGGGTACTTCAAGGAATTAGCCTGAAAAATTTACAAGGACTTCTATATATTTATCCAACTTACATTTCTCTTATATATGACAAAAATCACCTGAGTATCAATTGGCAATACTCAGTTGTACAATGGCTACTGATATGAAACTGGGCTACTGGCAACCCTGGCATTTAGCATGGGCCTAGCCATCCTGTCCCTGTGCCCCCGACTGAAAGGACAGTATATAATCAGCAAGACCACTGGGGTGGGACTGAACAATCATACAGTTCTACGCTGCCCATCCTCCTCTTATCCCTGCAATCTGAAAGTCCTCTCAATGACAGCCCCTGCTTCACCAACTTCCTGCAGGTGACTTGGTTGGGATCACAGTTCCCATCACGCTGCATCTGGGGCTCTTGCAGTAGCATCACAGCTTCATTAGGCTCTGACTAGAGGCTGAAGTTCTTGCCCCTCCCTACCCTTACACTAAATTTCTGGTAACATTTATGCACAAGTCAATCTCCTTCACGTTAAATTTCTGGGACACCTGCAACTGTGATATTCACATTTGGATTTCCCCATCTGGCTATGCTAAGCTCAGCGCCTTAAACCAAATTGTAGAGTACTTAAAATACCTAAGATTCCAAGATAACTGTTTGACTAATTAACATTCTAACTTTTTATATACATATATAAACATTTATAAACATATATATATTTGTTTGTTATGTATTCACTTGCAAATGGCTTGTCAACTACTAAAACCCATTTTTTCGATTCCAAAGTCAAAATATGATCCAAGCACCCAAAATACAGAGTTGTGAATAAACACAATTCCGCCGGACCATCTACACTAGCAAAATAAATGACAGAAATAGCAATATCAGACAACAGTGAGTGAATTTCAATTTAGAGTGATTAAGTGGGCAAAATGTCAAGGCCATCGTGACATGGAAATGCTTGATCATACAGTCCATCGAGGATAAAGTTCCTCTTTCAAACTTCTGTGTGAATTCTGTCAGGCTCACAGAGTGAATATTTAAGTAGTTCCTCTTTCTAAATTAAAAAAAAAAAGTATATTTGACCAAAAATAGTAGTGTGTATGTGTCGGTGGGGGACGAAGGCGAGAGAGAAAGAGAGGGGAGGGGAGAAGCACAGGAAGCAGACCTGAGCTGTGAAGCCAACAGGAAAGCCCCATTCACATTCTGTGTCCTACTGAACTTAGTACATATCAGACAAGGCTCATTCACATTTAATGAAGACTATTGCACTGTTTCCTCTATTTCTTTACCACTTTTGGTTGGAATGTCACCATACTTTCATTTATTGTATGAATTCTGAACAGGATTGCTGTTGGTGGCATTCACTATTATAGTTTAAAATAGCTCCTTGCGGCTGTCACAGGTTGGCATAAATTTAGCAAGCCTTACAAAGCTTTGAGCCCTTGCAGCTTATGGTTCTCCTCAAATAATTTGACGTGGATCATGGCCACTGACCTTTCTCGGAAAAGATTCTAGTAAATGCACTTTTCTACCTTCTTAACATGTCATATCGGTGTGTGTATTTGTATACAAACACATAAGTGTGCCAATACACACATATACAAGCATATATTTATGTATAGGTCTGCAAATTGAAATCATTAATTCCCTCTAAACTAATTTAACACTACCTATATACAACCATTAACAAAATCCAAATTCTAAACCAAAGTTAAGTTTTAACCAAAATTAAACAAATGCTTTCCATCTATGAGAATTTACTTGTGGATGATATAAGAAAAACATTTTTTAAAAGCTGAAAACAAAAGTTCCCATAATATCATGGGTATAACAGAAAATTATTATAGCCTAGAAATTTGTATGATATAATCAGTATTTGATGTAAGTTTATATATTTATGTATTTCATATGCTTTAGTTAGAGATAAAAATTTACTAAGACAAGCAAATGCAGATTTGTCATAATGCAAAATCTTCCAGGCCCCTGAAATATGATTTTTACTTAATGAAGTTCAGTCTTTCAGCCTCAAGGCTGTCAACCAACTAAGGCTGAATCTGAGTTTTATCCGAAGCTTGTCCTTTAAATAGTGTGTGATGGACTCTAACCGGCTTCCATTTCTGAATGCCTTTCCCATGTCCTCACTTCTTTACTGAAACCTTACTTGTCATATGACCCATGGCCCAGAAGCAACTCAAAACCAAATAAAAATAAGTTAGTTAACCTTTTCATACAGTCCTGCTTGCCCAATAAAAGGGACAAAAAACAACTCTTAGCAATCCATGCCAGCAACCTCCCAGCACCAATCAACTTCAATTAAAGTCAGCCAAAGCGATCCTGGGTTAAAGCTTCCAGCATTCATTCTATAAACCCCACGTAACGCGAAAGCTATGTACAATGGAAGACACTCAAGGAGATGCCTGCCTGGTGACATCGCAGTTACAGTCTGGGAGATCTGCATCCGCACCGCTGTCCTCTGCCATCCTCAGGGCACGCGGGTTCTCTGCTACCACCATGAAGCTTTCGCTTGTCAAAGTTTCTGTAGCACAAAACAAGCTAAATCCTGCGTGGGGAGGCAAGTCACCCCGTGTCTGTGTGCAGAAGTATGAAAATGCTCATGCTAGACAAATGTTGGTAGGCTCTGTCTGATAATATGACACTGGGCAGTGACAAGTGGTCATGTTACTAAATAAAACCTACATTCATTAACATGTGCCAGGCTTGATCTCCTGGAATGTAGGCCACGAGGGTAAGAAGGGGGAAACAAGCTCAGAGTAATCTGTGAGGAGGAAGAGGGGGAGGCGGAGAAGGCTCCGGGTCTAAAGAAAGGATATCCAAAACAAAACTAGCCGCAAGTACTGCAAGGACGGCCAGCTTTTCAGTTTGCTATGGCGAGCAGGCCATCTAAGCCAGACAGGCCTCCCAGTGCAAAGCAGCACACAACCCCCAAGTGCAGAAGACCACAGCAACAAAGGAGCCACTTCTCTTCCTCCTCCTCAGCACGAGATGCCAGCTCACTGGTGTAAGTAGGAGTTTTAAGGACTTTTTTTTCTTTTTGAGGGGGAGTGGGGGAGCAGAAGATGTTTCATGGGAAAGCATTTGGTCTGTAACTTTTGAATATATGGAGATCAAAAACAAGTGGATACTGTTTTCATCTTCATTTATTAAAACTTGGCTTTTAAAATGATTAAAGGTGACAAGATAATATGTTCATTTTAAGATAATGATTAAAAGGAATCCATGTATGTGTTTAGCAGATGTAGGGAACTTTGGTTTCCTTTTGGGAATGTCAAGAGTCTCCAAATTCCCTGCAGTAAGCATATAAAAGCTATGGAAAGGCCTATTGCAGATTACCTTTTGCTTTAATGAATCAGTGTAAACAAAAGTTGGAAGGACGAAGAGTCATGGATGGGATCAAATCATGGAAACTAAATATCTTAGCAGGCGAAACAGGTGTGGGGAATGGTGGGAAATGTTCAGCCAGTTTGTGCACTAAGGAAGCGCTGATAAACAAGGGGAAGAAAGCAAATGTGACAGCTGAGTGTCTCCGGGGAGGAGCCAAGAGGCAGATGGTGACTCCAACGTGGCATTCCCTTCTCCAAGGCAAATCAGTGGTCAATGTCGCTTGACAATGTTGGAACAGATACAATGCATATATACACAAATGCCTTCCCCTTGCCGGGAATGATTATGTATTCCGAGTTTTAACACAGGTAGAAATATTTGCATATCTTATGATACATAACTGACTCAAGCTTATTAATGTTATCTTTCTGGAAAACAAACTAAATAACATCAGAAAATCTTCACCCTAAGTCCCAAACAAATATTAAATACCAACATTACCCCAAGGAAAAAGTACCAGACTCTCACAAAATGCTGGCTATTGACTGCGCATGTGTCAGGTTAGCTGCTTACAACTAAATTGCATTAAGTTCAATATGAAAAAAAATTTTTTTTTCATCCACTGCATCCTCACTCTTCACGTTATCGAGGGACTCACACTGTGGAAAGAATAGCACTTAGTTTAACCAGATTACATGGAAATACATGTCCATCTGTGAGTCAGAATCTGGAAAAAAAAAAAATCCCACGGTGTTGACCAAGTGGGTAGTTTCCCTAAAAAGTATACCAGAAAAAACTTCCATTTCTCCTCCCGAAACAAGATTTTCTTAATATTTTGGTGACTGGGAAGTGAAGCTAAGCACGGCGTTGGGATCCTAAGGTCTCCAAATGTCTACATTGTTGAGTGATTTCAGCTCAGATGTGGGTTTCTGCCATCTCTTTATTTGCCAGAACAACTGGATAAAGATTATCCTTATTTTATTTATTTTTTGATTCCCACCCAGCACTCTTCCAAGGCTTCCCAAGCCTCTATCACAGTCCTTGTCACACTGGAAGTCCTTTACAAACAAAGCATTGGGAAATGAGGCTGCCACGTTTAATAACATAACTTAGTTCTACCAACTGCTTTGTCTCTGACAAGGTCAAGGTCACAGACTCACTGGCAAGACAGTGTTGTTGTCACAAAGCCACGTGGGCCAGCCTGAGCCTCCATTGAGGTAAAGCACACACACTAAGGAGGCCCCCTCCAAGGGCTTCGGGGCCAAGAGGTGAGAAGACGCCTATGAGCAGAGGCAGTGCCCAACAAGCCTGAGCTTCAGCAGTGCAATTGTTCCACATTTAAAAACCTGATAAACATGTTTTCCACTTATGTATCATTATTGCTAAATTATAAGCTCAACATTTTGAGTGAGACCTTTTATTTTGGATGATTTTCTTATACAAATGACAGTGTCTGCCAAATGCTCTCAAAATCATCATATAGAACCATCTGTAGGTAGTTTTGCTGGGAAAATGATATTCAAACGACACTCTGTATGTCTAGCTTTACACAGCGCAGTTGAGGAAAGGCACATGAGCATAACAATTACGTGCCTGCATGGTCCCCACATGACTGAGTCTCAGGATCCTTTGTAATATTCCAGCTCTCCCAAATGCCAAGCATCCATTCCTCCACTGCACGTTTTCATTCATCCATCCACTACAGTACTTACTGAGCCCATAGTACATTCAGGCGCTGTCTCTGGTGCTCATGGTATCCAGTTGGCATATCCAGTTAGCACATAGGATAAAGCAGCCTGAGCTCATAAAACCTTTATTCCAACACGAATCAAGGTTCATCCAAAATTAAGTATCTGAGAGACATCGCCTCTTTTTTATATCAAATAACGTGGTGCATCAGTCATCAGATGTTCAAAGCTCTAATAAAACCCCTCATGTATGTTTGTGTTTGGTTCTTATCCCACTAACTCACAATACCCTTCCACAACAGAAATGAAGCTTGATGTATTCCTTAGAGAGGAAGCACCGACAGCTACATTCTAGCTAAGCAGCTAGTGGTTCCAACACAGGAGCTTATTTTGCAACTATGTGGAGTGGCAAGAATTAGTCTTAATCTGGTACTTTACTTTGTCATGAAGACAAAAACACCACAGATAAATATTGGTTACCAGCTTCCCATTCTTCTGATAAGAATCTGAGAATCCTGAATACCTAAAATAAAGAATTTTCCCTTGGCAATATAATTTGTTTGGAAATGATTCTCCCAGCTACATTCAAATCACATTAGGTCCATATAAAGCAAATAATATAATTTTAAAGTTATGGCAGGTGTCATTTATAGAAAGTCTGAACCTGGTTCAAAATGGTGAGAGGAAGTAGATAAGGAGTGATTCCTTGGATTATCGTCAGCTTCAATGAAAGGGACTAAAATTCTGTGTAAGTGTGTGCTATTGAAGTGGGTCCTCTTTACCTGGCCGCAATGAGATCCAGGAGATGCTGCCACCGGTCGTTGACCTTCCCCAGTTTGTATTCAATCTCGGATGCTTTGCTCTCGTGGCTGGCTTTAGCAAGCCGTTCTCCCATTTGCTGGAGCTGTATTTTGTTCTCTTGGGCAACAGCAATTTCCTCTTGATAATCCTGTATAATAAATAGCAATCAGAGAGGTCAGAAAGCATATTCTTAATGCATTCACCTGGCTCTACTGGGAACATAATAATTACAGTTTTCTACTGCTTGGAAATAGTTTAGGCATGAGGAACACCACGTGAGCAGCCATCCACGTGCACAAGAATTAGCAGTACCTATTATTTTCAATATGTGTGCAAAGAGGATGCTCTTGAAAGGAGGGGTACTTTGTATTTGCTTAAAATGAGCACTGAAAAAAATTAGAGCATGTGCACAGCTTCAAAAGACAAAACCTGAATGATTTAACACTGGCAAACCATTCCTTATTTCACTAATCACTAAACTGATGCTATATTGGTGCCAATCTTCATATAAATATGTGCCAGGAAGCTTACAAGATGCACACTTACACAACAAAAACAGTCTATGCCCCCATACATGCACATATTAAAACTGACACCCACAAGCGTGCACAAGGGTTTGTTGGGTTATTTACGCAGAATAGTTCTAAACTGTTCCTTCATTTGAAAATGATATCTTCTATCCAATGGTGACATTTTGTATGGATGAATCAGTTTTCACAAATAAATGCCATTCATTTTAGAGAACCATTGGGCCTCATATTTTTAAAAGAATTTTTAAAGATTATTTTAATTTGAAAGGCAGAGTTTCAGATAGAATCTTCCATCTATTGGTTCACTTCCCAGAGGGGAGAAACAGCTGGCACTAAGCAGACCCAGGGGCGGGAGCTTCTTCCAGGTCTCACACATGGATTCAGAAGCCCAAGCATCTGGGCCATTCTCTTCTGCTTTCCCAGGCTATTAGCAAAGAATGAGAACAGCCAGGACTTCAACAAACGTCCACAACAGGTGCCGGTGCTGCAGGCATAGGCTCAAACTGCAGCCCCTCACATCTTGGATGCTGTGCTAATTCCTTTCAAATATTCTGCAAGACACAGATTTCAAGTAGAATGATAAAACTGGTGGTAAATAGATAACTGCCTCTCCCCCCTATGACCAACTTACTCTTATCACAGTGCCAGTATCCGACTGTTATAATCAACCTTTCCATTTTTGCCACGAGTGGCACTCATACCTTCCTGAGTTTCTGGATCATGTCTTCAATGAGAATGTCTCCATTCTGAGAAACTTTGCTTTCCATCTGAGTCAACCATTCACAAAGCTCCTTGTTCTTCTCACTGAAGACTACCCATTCGTTCAGTCTTTCGCTGACTTGCTGTCGTCGCAAGGAGACCTAAAGTTTAAAACGTGAGAATACACAAAAGGATAATGAAAGAGCAACTAAAAAAAAGTTGCAAATAAATTATGCTGGCTGGACAAACATGAATAGCATATCTCTTTAAGCAACTGTTTTGAGAAATACAGAATTTGCTAACAAATGAAAGCAGAAGACTTGAATTCTTTACTTGTAATCTTTCCTGAAGAGTCATACACATAGTAATCTAGTTTTATGCACTGTTTTGTAGTAGATTTGATACAAAACTATTGGCTGTACTTTTTTTTCTTACAAAGGGTAGATGATGGGGGAATTGGACAGAATGGGGAAAGAAAGGAAGGGGAGTTAAGGAAGAAAACTATAAGAGGAATGAAATAACAAAGAAGAGAGGAAAGATAAGAAAATGTATAAATAAAATAGAGAAGGAACGGAAGGGAACTAGAGAAGGAACACAAGACAGAAGAATTTACTGAGCCCCAAGTATCTGCAAAGTGTGTCTCCCAGGCAGCCCCAAAAGCACCTTGAGGTACATCCTACAACTCCAATTTCCTGCCCTTTTAATCTTCATTCATTTATTATTGCATCCCTCCCTCCCTTTTTTTTTTTTTTGGCAGAACAGCTCAACTGCTCAAACTACAAAATTCACTGGTTCTTAGCATATGAATAGAATTGTATAGCTGTCACCACCATCTACCAGGGGATTCAGCAATCCCACTTCTGGATGAGATTAAAGGAAATGAAGCCAGCACACCAAGGACATATCTTCACTCCCACTGGCAACAGCCTTGTCAGCATAAACCCTGTGTCCATCTGTGAATGAGTGGACGAAGAAAATGTAGATGGAATATTATCCAGTCTTAAAAATGAGTAATTAATGATGTTTTCAACAAAATAGAAATGCAGGTCATTATGTCAAGTGAAATTAGACATGGGGAGACGAGTACCATTTGTGATCTCTCACTTAGAATAGTCATTACTAGAGGCCATGGAGGGTGGGGAAGGTTATCCAAGGTTACCCAAGGTTACCAAGAAGGGGAAGGTACCCAAGGATAATGGGTACAAGACACAGGTACAACCGCAAGTTCCGGTGTTGCACAGGAGTGAGATGATTCTAGCATGCGTGCACACACTGTGCACACACACATCATATTCTGAACTAAGAACTAGAAGAGATTTGCAAACGCCAAAATCTCTGCTATCTCCCAGTAAGAAATAAGGAAATGCAAGTGCTAACAAACAATTTTATGCTGCATAGATGAGTTGTATGCATGCATTGCACTCTATTCCATGTAACACCAGAGCATGTTAACCAGTTTTAAATGTATAAGACTTTAAACATTATCCCAAAAGGTATACAATTGAGTTTAATTGAGTATGTTAGCAGAGTTGTGCAACCCTTACCACAATCAATTGTGTAACATTTCCACAAGGCACCTTCCCTCTAACATACCCCTGGCTATCTGTATCCACGCTCTCTTTTTTCTTTCCACTCACCTCTTATCCAGAATCTGCTTGCAACCATGATGAATTAACTTACTCTGGACACTTTATATAAATGCAATAATACAATAATAAAACTTGATTCTCAATGACTGGCATTTTTCAGCTAACATTCAAATTTTTCATTCCTAACATGTAATAAGACTTCATTTGTTCTTATTGCTGAATAAGTTTCGTGGCATGGATATGCCACATTTCACCCATCAATTCATCCATTGAACATCTGGGTGGTTTCCACTTTCAACATTGAATGATACTGTAATGAATAACCATGTACAAGTGTGTGTGTGTGTGTGTTTGTTTGTTTTCATCTCTTAGGGACACACTTAGCTTAGAATCATGGGTTACACGGGCAGATTTTCTAAAGTGGTTGTGTTAGTTTTATATTCCCATCAGCAAGAGGGTTCCAATTTCTCCACAGCCTCATCCACACTTGCTATTTATGTCTTTCTGACAGTCCTAGTGGGTGTGAAGTGCTTTTGATTTGTATTCTCCTAATGGGTAATGATGCCGAGAATATTTTCACTATTTCTTTGCCATTTGCCCATCTTCTTTTTGGAAAACTAGTCAAATCTTTTGTCCATATTTACAACTTGGCCCTTAATTATTAATAATTCTCATTATTATTCAAATTTCTTAAACAGTGTAGATTTGATGGAATTGCTTTGTTACCTTTAGGTCAAAAATGATTTTTCCCAGAATTTTAAAGGTTTCTTACTTTATTATAATCTTTGTTTTTGAATTATACTTCTTGAGTTCCTAAGAACAGTTTATTCATGAGTTAATCCACATAATAGCAGAACATAATATGATTTCAGTGGTTAAAAGGCTCCCGCTGGTTTTCTATATAATCCTGTTGACTGTGGTAGAAAAACACTACTGATCCCTTTGTATTAAATCCCCATTGATTTTCTCTCAACATTTATTATGAAAAATATTAAAAACAGATATTGAAAGAATTATATGATACATGATATTCCCTAGGGAGTCTAAAATTGTTAACAATTTTAGTTTTCTTCTAATATGCATATTCCTTTATTGATTCATTTACTATTGATGTATTTTAAATGTATTTTCTTTTAATGAAGAAAATGAAAATATTTTTATGGTGCCATGCTGGATTCTGGTAATGATCACACAGGTAAGATTTAAGGTCTCACATGACTCCAAATATTTGTGATTCTTCATCCAAGAAACCAGAATTGTATCACAAGCTCGTAATACCTATCCCAAAGCCAGCTTTAGGTATAGTGAGCTGCCTAGACAGTAAACCCAATAACCCAACACAGCTTTTAAAATGTCAACATCAGGAAAATCCATTGTTTTGTGGCTTAATTATAATCTTTTAAAATAAACATTTCTCTGATTTTCCCAACACTGATGATGCATTAAGTATTTCCTCAAGACTTAGAATATCATAGATTTAGTTCTGCTTACTAATTTTAATTTGAATTTTTTGAATAATAATTTTCAAACAAAGGACAATAGAATCATTTGTAGTGGATACCAAGATGAATGAGACAAGCTAGGATAACAGGCTAATAAGTTTTAGAGACAAATTCAGGGAACAAGAAAAATAGGCTAACATGTTTTAGAGACAAATTCAGGGAACCTAGAGGAAAGTGTGTGACACAATGGGAGCAGTTGTGGAATCACAAACCTTATCCACAGGACTGCGGACTCATTTTTAAGCAGAGAGAAAATAAGTACATTACATACTGGCTGTCAATGACGTCAAAAGCAGCCAAGATCTTATCAGAAACATTGAAGATTATGGGATAATTAAATAAGCTATAATTGTTAAATGAAGCATAAAAACCATCATGTAAATTGTAAGGGAAAAAATCCTTCTTACACTGAAATCATGACAGATTGTGCAAGTTTTTAGTTTAGCAGAAGAGCGTGATCCATCAAACATCCCTTCCCCCTCCAACTTCAACAGAAGAATATATTCAGATTTTCTGTTGGAACCCCTCTAAGATTTAGGATTTTCTTGTGCACATCAATTTTATCCCTTTCATTCTTGAAACATCAGCAGTAGAATTCTGATGGGTGAATTACTCACTCAACTGATATAAGCTGAAGGCATATTTTCATATTTGATAATTGCTTTCTTAGAAAAAGTTAGAAACTCTAATCACTCAGTTTTAAGATGAACAGGTGTGTACACAGCTTCCCTTTTAGTACTTCCACTGTGAGTAGCTTCCCCTAAATTTGGCCATGAACCAAACATGAATTCTCAGGCTTCTCTCACCAGTATCTACAGGGCTGATGACCACACACTAGAAAACCTGTATCTGTCACTTTGAGAAGTGTGCGGTGGAAGCTGGACAGTGCTGAGGCATTGGTGTACAGGTAGCCTGAGATGGAACCTGCAGAGCTGCAGAACAAGCTTACGATTAAACACAAAGAAGTAACAAAGATTCAAAAACAGTCTTATCAATTCTTAGTGACGTGACAAGGTCAATGCCATTTATCAACTCTAAGTCTATTCTCTTTATTTGATAGTGAATCTTGCACTTGTCTTAAAATTCACTAAGCAGATATTTAGTGTTTGGAATGAGGTCTTGTATGTGTCAAGCCTGTGTTAGATGCCAGAACATGGAGTGTTGAAAAAGCAGTACAAACAAAACAACCATTTAAGAGAGCGACCTTACAAAGCTAGACAGTACAACACACTGCTGCTGGTCTTACAGCTACAAACATGTGGCCACAGGATATCAGCTTGGTTTGTACTTTTTCCCTGACAGTCCTAAATTCTCTTTTATCCTGCACCATGGAAATGCTACAGTAACACTTAGAATGGTTACAATCCAAGTCAAAAACTTCTCAAAAATGTAAATTCTACAGGGGACAGCATCTTTTTTTTTTTCTTTTGTGGCTTCTAAATCTCACATTTCAGTTGTATGATAAGTAAGTTCAACCATCCTTTTTTATCAGCTTATCAACTCAGTAACCTGTCGTTTTGTGAAGAGTACAGACACATTGCGTTTCCTCTACAGCGATAACAGGAACTAAATCCTTTTCTAACTTTAAATACTTTTATCATGCTACTGTGAAAGATACAATGTGCAACAAAGTGATGAAATAAATCTATGTTTCAGCCAGAATTACCCATGAATCTACAACCTAATAAGAGAATAAAAACAAGGAAGCCCCGTGGCTGCACACAAGCACAGTCAACCATTTGGGGGGATGTCATGCACATTCACTCTGCCCAGTGGTGTTTACTTACAGCCTGTCTGCCTCGTTCTGGTCTGTAGTCCAAATATCTCCTGACTTCTCACCAACTCCTTCAGTTGGAACAGGAATAGACTAGTTGCTGTCTCGCAAGGACAACGTATGTTTAACTAGAGTTTTTGACTTCTACTGTGAGTCTTAGGAGTAAGCTCATTTCCTTTTGCGGTTGCATACTTGGAAGAAGCTAACAGGAAACAACCAACTCAGAAACCAGTCACTAATTTACATCCCTTTTCATAGCCTTATTCTGGTACCTTGGTCAAATTTGTGATTAAATCTTCACTAGTTTAAATAATAGAATTTAACTGAAGCAATATAAGTATGCCTTAGTTTCATTTCATAAGACTCTCCAGCAAAAGAAGTTTCCAGAAACACTATAGATTCAATTTGCTTCCTCATTTTTATTTCCCACTCTATCCACAAATTCAAGGCACTGATCTCCTCATAGCCTATCTTATGATCAATGCCAGCTTTCCTAATGCTTTGGAAAAAGACTGAGCAGTTACATAACATATGGTTGTCTACTTTAACAATAATTCTTGCTATTTCTAAATGCACTTTAAATGTTTTAAATGCTTAGCCTTTTAATTTTTTCATCTACTACAAAGACAAGATAGAGAGGAGAGGGAGAGTGAAATGGAGGGAAGGAGAAAGAAGGGAGGACAGGAGAGGAAGAGAGAGAACACAGAGATATTGATCTAACACATGCTGACTCCTTCCGCAATCGCCTGAAACAGTCAGTGCTCAGCCACGTTGCGGCCAGGAGCCCGCATCTCCCCTGAGTGGCAGCGATCCAAATGACTGATTCACCATCTGCCGGCTTGTAGGGTACAGTGACAGAAAGCAGGATGAGAAGTGGAGTAGCTCAGCCTGGAATCTGCACCCTGTCATAGAATGTAGCACTGGAGCTGGATTGGTCACATAGTGTACACCAGCATCCCATGTGGGTACCAGTTTGTGTACTAGCTACTCCATTGCAGTCGACTTCCCTGATAGTTTTCTGGGAGAAGAAGTGGCAGATGTCTCAAATGTTTTGAGACATTCATAGGAAGGCCTGGCTCCTGGCTTCAGTCTAGATCGGCAGTAACCATTGACGCCATCTGGGGGAACAGCTAGCAGAGGGAAGACTGATTTCATTGTCTCTTTCAAAAATGAATAAATACATCTTAAATAATATCTAAGACATTCTTTTCACGAAGCTATTCCTGAATCAAAAAGTGTTGCATAACCATTATTATTTAAACTCCAAAATATTAAAAACCTTACTATTATTGTTTCATAGGAATAGAAGTATGAAGCAATAAAAAATGCACTGTGGTCCTGCCATCCTTACTGACAATGAGTACTTAGTCATGCATTCCACTGGAAATGAAAAGAGATATTCTTTGTATCTCAGTGGCCTCACAGACTCGCAATCCGGCCACCAATATTAAAAATCTGAATAACACAAACAGAATGCACGTGACAGCACAAACCAAAGGCAGGTGAAAACTCAGGGGACCTGAAAACACTGAGGGCTGTGAACAGCTTAAAAATTGCATCATAAATATTATGGATGTGAAAGAAAACACGTTGAAAATCACATGGGAAGAAGATGTCCGTGTGGGCAGGGAGAGTAGTTGGATCAAGCTGAGAGCAGGAACATCTCGGGAGGTTTGGAAAGGAAATCAGACACAGCCTCTGAGCCATTGTGTCCAAGACATTTTTGCACCAAAGTGATAGCCATGTCTATGGTCTAAATGACTTCCCTTTATAAAATAAATAAATAAATAAATAAATAAATAAATAAATAAATAAATAACAAGAAGACTGCAAACAGTATTAGACTTTCCTTTTTGAAAAAAAAAAAAACATAGCTTTTATTTATTTGAGAGGGGGTAAGGGTTGGCTTGGACACGCACATCAAGTGCCTGGCTGAGCACTGAGGGGCCTTTTTTGCAACAGTACTTGACTCAGCCTTCCAGCACCTGCTTGGTCCCAGCCAGCTCCCGGCTTTTACTTGAGCTGTAACCTCATCAACACATCTGTTTGTTCCTTGCACTCCCATCTATTTCCTCCATCTCCCTTCAGAGCTGCATTTAAGATTGATCAAGTACAAGGTCATCTTCTTTATTCCCTGTAATTCACACTTCTCATAGCTTGCTGACATCTACATACATTTTTCTGCATTGTTGCTACGTGTTTAAACCTGGCTTTCCCCTTAACTGGGTAGATTATTTTAGTCTTAGCTCAACTGCAAACTCGATGGTATGAACATATATTAAAGCTTTCTGTAGTACACAATAATTAATGAATACATACATACCAAATCCCACCATGAACCAAGCACAGTATATACAAGCACCACTGAAGGAACCAGACAGATACGATCTCTGAATCATTGAGGTTAAGGCTCCAAGACCTTATAGAGCCACGTGCTCTTTACTATGAGCCTTTATTTTGTTATTCCATTTTGTCCATGGTGTCGTCTCATCACCCCTCCCTCAATATTCCATTTTAGCTTCAAACTCAGATCCCTACCTGATCTATTTTAAGTTACTGTGCAAATAGAAATACTTAGTAAGATAAAAGTGCCATGCACCCAGTAAGTCAAAAGTGGTGGTTACTCTTCAGTTGATAAACTAGCTCGACAGCGTTCTTGCTCATAAAACAACGCTCCCCCCGACCCCACACACATTTTAAAAGGAAGAAAGACACCATCCTACACTCACCTAGCCATAACCCACTTCCAGGAACCACACCATTATGTTTCTTCTTGAAAATATTACCCCAAACAAGAAAGGGAGAAGAGATTTCACTTTGGATGAATCTAAAAGAAAATGCTAAGTTGTTTCAATCTGAAGTAGTCTGGCTATCACTGTGGAGTCCTTGAGGCATCCACACAGAATGCCCCTTTGAGCCTCAGAATCACTGCCCAGCGCTCTCTTCATGAACTTATCCCACCTTTGGAACTGGCCTTACCTGGTGGCACAGTTCTTCCCACTGTCTTTGCAGAAGCTCTATGCGTTCGTTCAGGATGGAGATGTCATCAGAGCTGATAAAGGCAGAGAGGGAGTCCCTCAGCAACGTCAGCTGGACCAGGTCATCTGTCCAGCTCCCAACGGCATTTTCAAGTTCCTAGATTAAAAAAAAAAAGTAAAAGTCAGCTGCTTTGAAAATGTTTTTGAATCACCTTTTGATACAATTTCCTTTCCATTTCACTGCATTGTATCTTCTAACTTGGGACCTACATTATTTCCTTCTTAAGCAATCTTGTAAATTATCAGTTTCATCTAGTGCATGATCCTGTTGCTTGTAGAACCTCCCTCCTCTCTTAACCATGCCATTGATTTTTCAATGTTTTTTTTCCTAATTTGAAAATTTTCCATTGCATGGAACTTCTTTAAACCCCTATCTTACTCTCTCTTCATCCTTATTGATTATACTCACAAAATAATATAAACAGACTGCTAAATTTAATTTCCAACACTATGAGTTACTACATCCTGTGATGCATAGTTATTATGAAATAGCTAAGATTTGCTGCTGCCAATACTTAATTAAAAGAATAATGAACTGGGAGGGAATTTTACCTAGTGGTTAAGACAGCAGTTATGCTGCAATAGCCTGAATTTTATGACTGGCTGCAGTTCCCGACTCTGGTTCCTGATGATACAACCCAGGAGAGACACTAGGGACCATGCACATAACCAAACTCTTAAAGCCCTAATAACAGATCTAGACTGTTTCCCTTGACTGGAGTTGACTCAGTCCCATTATGGGTTTTTGGGGAGTAAACCAGCAGCCCTCTTTGCCTCTTCAAAACAGCTTTTTAAAATAAATTAATGCACTGAATGCATTTTCGATGGCTGAGATGTCTTCAAATGAATTAAAGCAAAATACATCCTTGCATTTTTGGTGAATGTTTTAAGAAAAAAAAATCTATGTAACTATATTTGAGTTGACATTAATTTCTTTAATGCTCTGACAGTTGGGCAGTTTTGTAATTTGCGTAACTCTTTTCTGCCAGCTGTTGTCTCTAGAGCTTGCCTAATTTGGTGTGTGAATGGAATATTTCACATGGCTTTTCCACTCTTGTTTCTGCCTTCTCTCGCAAGACACAAGTTTCCAAAGGCAAAAGCAATTAACGGAGCAGTCTGAGGCTAACTTTGCAGGCAATTCTGGCACACAGGGCTTTAGCCTAAATTTTCTAGGTAATTGTTTTGTTTTGCTGTGGAGAGCTGGTTTAAGGGTGGAGCAGAGAGCTGGACTGAAATGCATGCTTTTCATCTACAGACTCAAAAGCAAAGTGTTTGTGTCATGGATTTGAGATTTAAAAAAAATGAAGTCTCAGGGTTAACAGTATTTGGCCAAAAGACCAAACCACCCAAGTGAATTTAAAATGCAACATTTAGTATATTACATTATGCAACATATTCTTAGACAAACGGAATTGTTACACTCTTGGGAAAATGTTCTTTGGAATAACAGATTTTTAGCTCCAAATGACAACCCTGGTTTTGTTTTTGGGAACAACAGTAATTCTACGGAAATCCTACCGTTCCAGACACACAGTGTGTAAGGAGCCTTCCAAGAGTTCATAGAAAAGTCAGATTACAAAAAACCCATGAACTAAACCAAACCAAAACACCAAAAAAACCATTGAAAAAGGTTTGTGCCAAAGTAATTCTATTTTTTACCTTAACATAACCTTCTGAAATTCCCTCATGTTTGTCCACTAGAGGCTCAATGTGTTCAACACTGTCAGGCAATCCTGACACTCATCAACTTTAAAAATGTATAAGATTTCTAGAAGCTTCCATGTTCTCACACTGAAATGGGAATGAAGAGGATGCCCTCATGTGCTCATGTGCGCTAACGCTGGTACAGTCACCGATGAATAAAAAGAATCTAACAAATGTCCATTTCTGCTTATCAGTTTCCTTCAAAGGTCTTGCAAATTTATAATAACAGGTTTAAAATATTTTCTAACCAGGCATCCTTTACATACTTATTAAAATAACACTCCATCATACTACTGTGATAATTAAGGGAATAATGGGGGAGGGGAAGGAGAAAGAAAGGAGAAGCCCTCTATCTACAAAACTGTCATGATAAATAATAAACATATTCTTAAAATACTGTGAACGCAGCAATGAATAGCTTCTGCTCAATTTCCACTATTGGGATTTAAGAACCAATTGCCAGGGTATGTTAAATTAACACAGCTATCTACACTGTAAAACAAGATTTTCTGTTTGCATGCAAATTATTGTACTAAGTATGAAAATAAAAGCACAAGATTTTTTACAAGTAAAAAAAAAATGACAGCTCAAGGTAAGATTTCACTCCCTTATCATTCATGATACAAATATAGATATCTACTCATTTTTCCCCTTGATCTGTGCTTATCAAGTTTCAAAGGATATCCTTGAATTTTAATATTAAATGGAGAATTCTTATATTTATGCTGGTTTTGGTACGATTTCTACTCATTGTTGACCAAACATATGGCTCCTTAGTCAGCAAGCAAAGGCATTCTGATAAAAAAAAATCCTGGTCATGCAAGTATATGCAGAATTTAAGTCATCCTAGAACCGTTGCTTGCCAATGAACACGTGTCAGTGTGTGTGTTTTGTTCCCCAAAAGTTCAGGTATAGGAAGCTTCTTCTTCTGGATAGGGATATTGGAAGGTGATAGAACCCTTTAGAGGTGGGGTCCAGTGGGAGATTATTGAGTACACGTCCTCAGTAGGGGATGAAAGCAGCTTCCGTGTGAATGCTTAGTGGTTCTTTGGATCAAGTTGTCACAAAAACCTGGGCCTGGGTCACCCCACCCCTCCCAAGTTTCCCTTCTGCTCTGTGTCCTCCTGCTAATCCATTCCCCGTGTTGCAATGCAGCCTGTAGGGTCTTGCCAGAGGAACTGATACAGGTGTCACATCCTTATGCTTCCAAAGCTGTGAGCCAAATACATCTCTCTTTTTATTGTGTCAATTATTCCATCATGGCAATGAAAAGCTGACTGGCAACACAAAGGCATGTGCATCTTGCAAAAGGGAATTTTTGAGGGTGTAGGTGATATGATCACCACAATGCTTTCCTTGGCAATAAACTGATGATACAGTGCCCCAGTTGGCTGAGTATGAACCGAATGAATTCTACAGCCATTAAGTCATGCTAGTCGCCATGACCTCATAATGCTGACAGAATTCTGTATTAGCTGGTGATTTGCTTCTGAGTTAGAGTTAAGGTATTGATCATAACCTTCAGCTAGAGCCCTGAGGAATTAAGGATTGTGTATCTCCTTGCAGTCACTGACAAGGTCATGAAGACAGGGCAGCTTTCTCCATGAACTTACTTTCTGCTACCCTGTGAGGATGCTTTAGAAAGATGGTTTATATTTCTCTTGACCAAGATTTTAAATATCTTTTATGTAGTATCTTTTCATTTGCTTCCTCAGGTAACCCACAAACAAGTATGTAATTTCATCAACTGTAACAAGTCAACCACACAGGTTTCACCAAAGAGCTGGCTATTGTCAGACATCAGGATCTCTTATCATTCAGTAGATAACTATGGGAATTTGGTAGAATTATGATTTCAAAAGCGTTATCCCAGCAGACACCGCTGGGTGACTGGAACAATGCTGGCCAGGAACTCACCTTGCAACGCATTTGTTCTGCATGGAGCTCTTCGTGATGATCCGGCAGAGACTGGGAAAGTGTCTTTTTGAAAGTCCGCAATTTCTCTAGAGAATCGGCTATCCCTTTCTCACACTTTTCCCAATCCTATAATGGGAGGACAAAAAAATTACATAGCCATTTAGGTATAGGATATCATAAAAGAGAAGCAGCTCTTTTCTGTTTGTTTTGGAGACAGAAAGCTCCCTTCTGCTGGTTATTCACCAAATGCCCACAAAGGTAGAGGTGGACAGAGGTCTAAGCCATAAGCCAGGAACTCCATCTCCCTCTCCCATGTGGACAGCAGGGACCCAAACACCTGAGACATTACCTGTTGTCTGAAACAGTGTGCATAGGTGGGACTACAACCAGGGACCTTGCCTGTTTTAATAACTACCCGCAACTGCTCCCAGTCTCTGCAGTACATTCTCTCCAGCATGTCATCAGGGATTAAACACAAAAATGAAAATAAAACATGGAATTTCTTTCAGGATAAACACTTATACATGTGAGAAAAATGAGATGAAACAGAAACACTAACTCCAATCCACTTCACAACAGGACTTCAAAAAGTTCGTGAAAAAATTCACACTATTCCTTTAATTCCACTTTCCCACAAACTCTTGATGCCTCTACATGTAGAACTAAGCCAACTATTTAAACTTGTCCAGGAGTGGAAAGATACTTAAGACGGGCATGACATTGGACTGGTTTTATCTTGTGAATGTTAAAATACACGTGGCAAAGCGTTAAAAGCGTAAGACATGGAAATCAGGAAGCAGAAGGGGAGTGATGAGGCACAACTTCAGAAACACACGTCCAGTGTGTGCAGCAGTGACTCGTGCTCTGGGCAAAACAAAATCCAGGGTAATCGGTGGAGAGCATTCGCATTTCCAGCAAACGCGAAGGTCTCTAGCCACTACACAAAGCAAGCACACGCTTTGGAAAAACGGCAGCAAAGGTCTACTGTGGGGGAAGACAAAGCTTAGCGGGTGATATGCGATACTTTTCCTTGGACTCCACAGATCTCAACCACAACCTGAGTTTAATACACATGCACTCACTTCATAATTTAGAAAAATAAAAAGGAAAAAGAAATCATAGCTGAGACTGATTACAATCCCAGTGAAGAAATTAATTCCTGTGTTGTGGGTCTCGGAGAGAATGCAAATGAAATTGCATGACACCAATCTTTTGTGCAATGCTGTTTATATGCCGTGTCCGCAGTCATGCTCCCCACATCAAAGCTTGCTGAGCTCTAAGGAAAGACAAATGGTATAACAGCTATAGTCACTGCAAGTAGTTAACAAACCATCCTGCCAAATCATGGTGTTTTTTCTCTTCATGTGATCTTTCAACATACATGAGCTCTTTCTGTGCTGTGTCCCGACACTTTGTCTGGACGACCCCAACCCATAGGTTGCCGACAATTCTCTTCTATACCAGCGTGGACTGAACTTCTTCCTACTCATATACATCTTAGTTTCCAGTTGAACTGGGGATTTGGCTCGAGATTTTTAGTTCTCTTTAAAATTCCTCCAGGGACCACTCCAGAGCACAGGATCATGTTCCGTCTTCCAGAGAATAAGAACAGTAACCACAACATCTGGGCTTGCAGGGACACACGTGTTCTAACTCTCCTTCTAGGCTGCACCTGACAATTCTATAATCACACATTAGAAATCCATCGATCTGTACTTAGCACATATCCACCAGTCTAAAATAGATAGCAGAGCATTTTACTTTTCATAATGGATTAAGAGCTGCTTGTGAGGCCAATGAACACACAGGACATGGAAATGCAATGATTGTCTTCCATCGTTCTTAGAGCACGAGTTTAATAGCGAAAAACGAGTCTGTGCAATTGCCATGGCAAAAAGATGTATTAAAATGGGGCTGCATAAACATGATAATTCAGATTCATAAATTTCTTCCTAGACAAATTGAGGGTAGCACATGAGTCGAAATAAATTTTAACAAAAGAATAGGAGTTCCTCTTTTCAAGACTGACTTAGATTCTAAACCTCTGACCAAGTCATTTTTATTGCATGAATTATGATAAAACAGAATATCATGGTCTGAAACAGCCATTAAAGTGGATGTTTTACACACCAACCAACAGTCAGACAAAAGATGCAACTAGAGTACCCAGACATCATGGCTTGGTAGATGGTGGGAACAACCCCAAAGATGACATCACAAGTAAAGAAAAATGCATGTATCCTTACAGAATGATTTATAATATATTAAATCATTCCATTACAGTAAAAAGTACCAGCTTATTACATCTGCAAATCATTCTTTATAAACACTAAGATATTTTTCATTATTTCCTCCATAGAAGATAATATATTAGTCAATAAATTCAACAGGACAAATGAAATGAGTATACCTACTTTAAACTTTTAAAAAAATAAAAATCTTGGATTGAACTTGGAATATATAAATATATATGTGTGTGTGTGTGTGTGTGACTTTAAAATAAAACTAAAATGTAAAAAATTTTAAAAGCAAATATGGTTCCGTTAGATTTAGTTATTATTATCTTTGATTCAAATAGACCAAATCTAATATGCATTAAACTTTTGATCAACATAAATAAAACATTGCATTCAGCTGTGCTCACTTTTTACAATGAAATAAACATCAACAAGGATATAATTACTACCATTTAGGTAATATTCAATACATGCTAGATACAATTATCGCATGATTTCGCTTTATGATTTCATTAACTCCTCACAGTGGCCAGCTGAAGGAGGCAGGATTATTTCTGCTTTACAGATAAGGAAATGGAGTCTAGGATAGCTTTCCTTAATTACATCACTTGGTTGACTATGTTTTTATCTTGAATTTAACTGAAATTAGAACTCATGGTCTTTTTAAAATTCTTGTGTAATAGTGTATCACGCATGTAATGGGACAGCAATGGGAAAAAACAAAACAAAGGCATGTAGATGAGTCTTTGTGTCTCCAAACTTACTGTGTGATCAGCATGAAATTTGTTTCCAACTAAGGGTTTACTGTGCTTCCTGAAGATTTAATTGCACAGCCACTTGCATGGGTACGTTAGATAAAATGAGAGTATCTTTCTGGGTTGATTTTTCGCGGCAATAAAATAAGAGATATCAATCTTGGAAACCACTTTAGAGTTTTAGACTAGGGAGTGCAATCTTCTCTTTGAATTTCTGTCTGAATTTATAAAGTCATCACACAGCTAAGGCTTAGCACTGGTCATTAATCAGGACTCGTAGCTTGGACAGTCTTACGAGAATTTAAATTACTTTCTTGGGGGACATTTCTAAGAGATGAAATGCTAAAAACCTGGAAATGTTTCCAGTTCATGCAAGATAGGACAAATTCTTAAAACAGAACACAAGCAGATCAAAATACTGTCCACTGTTCTTTGATGATCTCTGCAGTATTTGACTCGCAAAGAAACAATGGCAGGGAGAACAGCTATCCAGAGGGTTTTTTGGACTGAACTTACTTTCAACAGGAAGGCCAGTTTTTTCTTCTGTTCCTCTAGACGCATGCTGGCTGCTCTCCATTTCTCTTGGATCTCAGTGAGTTCAGCTTGCAAGGCGGCCTCAGCTCCGCTATCAGCACAGAGCAGGAGCTGCTTGCCAGCCTCCACAGTCAAGATATAGCTGCCTTGTTGTCTCAAGAACACCTTTTCTTTGAACTGAAAGGAACCAAAGCTTTTCATTTTTCTTTTCTTCATACATATCCTATATAATTTTGGCATATATATTGTGCCATCTATATCATCCAACCAGCATTTATTGAATTCATACTTTGTGATGCATGTATCAACAGATACATGAGGATACAATAGAAACAGGGGTTTTGGCTCCAAATTAAACATAACTGCAATAAACAGGGAATGTGTGATATAAGATTGATATACAGGCGAAGTAGAACATGTGAGCCAGCATAGAGCTCACAGAGAGATCTCAGCATAGGGATAAGGAAGAATGGGCTTTCAAAGACATGGAAACAACCAGAGTAGAGAGAACTTGGTGACTGGCCCATGTGAGACCAGGAGTAGGAAGACTCCCTTCCCCAGGTAAATGAGGGTGGAGAAGCATATGACACGTCGCAGAAAACAGGACAATTATCAGCGGCTGAGGGCATAGGATGCACATCACAGAGAGGCAGAAGGTGAGGCAAGACCTCGGCTTCCGCAGGGGTTTGGTTTTTGCAATTAAATTGACTAAGTTAATCAGAAGAGAATTAAGCAAAGTAGTAATATATTAGGATTAAAGCTTGATAAAAGTACTCAGTGTGAGGGCAGAAACTAGTATGGAAAAGATATATTGGATATACTAGGACAGGCTAAGAATCAACGGTCTATTGAGGCAAGACATGACTAGTATTTCACCTAAGGCAATGGCAGCAAACACGGAGATGGGGGGGCAGGATGGGGCTGGGGCAGCAGATCGGGTCTCAGGAGTAAGAGATAAGGTATAGACTGTGGACCAGATAGCTGGTGATGACACTGGTTCAGACTGGGGACAGGAAATATAAAATGGTTGCTTCAGAAATCCACAGTTTCTTATAGGCCTGTGGATGACATCCGTCATGCTGCAAGACACAAATCTCAATGGGAGTCAGCTGGCACGCACAAGCCAGAAGGGCAAGCAGGCACAAATGCCCAGAAGAGAGCACTTTGACTTGTCTGCCAGGAGGGGAGCAGGTGAAGCCACGTCTATGCATGAAGCTACCCAGAGAAACTTGGAGGGGAAAGGGATCCCAGGAAGGCAGCCTTTCCTTTAGAGAAGTTCATCTTGGCGTGGGCACATGAGGGAGCAGGAGGAATCTACATCCAGGCTAGGGAAATCAATGGACCAGCTGTGCAGGGACACAACAATAACACTGGACCCAAGAAGCCTTGAGCTGCATGTTCAAATTGCTCTCCTTTCCCGGCCACTGCCTTTGTATCCGTGCTGGGATTTGAGGTGAGGAGGGGACAATGAGCTGTCACAGGCCTTGGGATGGGAAGAGGAGGAGCCTCAGCGCGGACCCAAGGTTTATTTTAACTTCATTATTCGCTGTGGCTATACAACGCAACCCCCTTTTTTTAAATCTTTCTTTCGACATTTATGAACAGTGTTTTTCCTAATTCCAGTGTTGCTTGGAGTCCTTCTGAAGAACCGAGGCAAATTGTGCAGTGGAAACACAGAAGAGGTGTGAGAGCAGCATGCATCATACCTTACCTGGACTTCATCGAAGAGGGTCCTCGCTTGTTGCAGTGGAATGGGGATGCTTCCGAGACCACTCCCAGGATGGTAGGACGCTTCAACCAACCATTTACGCAGCTTTTCTGCCATCTCGCGATAGCGCTGCCACTGGCGAATCTGACTGTCGATGATGCCCCTTCTCTGCTGAGCCCTACGGATCACTCCCTGCCACTGATTACTGAGGAGTGTCAACTTCAAGTGGAACTCATCCCTGGCGAAGAAGCAATTAGACAGTGAGAAGTGTGGTGACCTTGGATGCTGCTACACACTCAACCAAAGTGCACATTCTCAAAGATCGGAAGCCACGAGGACAGGTGATTTCAGAAATCAGGCCAGGGGCTATTGCTGAATTTTGGTAAGTCATTTAAAGATTAAACCTCCCGTATTTTCAACTGTGAGTGCTTCCACTTCTCAGCCGAGCTGGGAGGCAAATGTGTAACAGGGTCATTGTCAATTTCCTTCCCTGAGAAGACTGATGGAAAGTACTCCAGATGCGGTGCCCATTCATAGACGTGCGTGTAGCCCGTGCCCCAACCTCAGGTGCCTCCCGCAGGAACCCACGTGGAGCAGCGCTGATGTACCACCTCTGCCATCAGCTAAAATCATGAACCACTTTGGATCCACAAAACTGTTATCTCAGCTAGACTCACAAGCCACTAAAAGCAAATTTTGTGACTCAAGATTTTTTTTAAAAAAAATCCATACTGTATAAATCCCAAGTATTTCCTCAAAACATCATCAGTCTTAAAAAAAATTATTCCACATACGAATCTAAATCTCAAAAAGAAGAATAAAAGCACTGAATAAAACCCTGATCCAAAAAAAAGTGTCAATCTCTCTTTTTAAAATCAGATGGTGATTAGTTAGATTTTAAGGATGACTTGTCTTTTGGAAAGGAGATTCTGCTTGATATGATCAGATATTCAAATGAATCGGGTTTCTGATGAGAAATTCAGATGAATTAAGTTCATGATTCTTTCCAGTCAAGAGCATTTGTCAATCAGTGAAATCCATAACCGGACTTGAGCTGCTCCTGTAAAAGGAAAGCTCCTGCACGCAGCACTCCCCGCATTCAGCACCCAGGAGCTCTCTGGAGACCCGCTTTTCCTCTCGTACGAGCATCCAGTTGTGCTAACATGAAAAACTGCTTCAAGCATGACACTGCTCCCACTGCTGAACTTGGAGCTTTTTAAAACAACAACGCTAACTTGTGTTAACTTTTTAGAGCGGGATAAATGTGTCAGCTGGACCCTTCCTGTTTTCAGCAGACACTAATCTGATTCGTTTTCATCTGAAATTTCTGCAATACTTATCCTCACTCCAATCCAAACCTCCATTTTCATCTCTTTGGTGTGTTCTCTGAAATGTTAGCATTTAAAGTTTAATAGAATTTGGCTTGCATAGGGATTTTAAATTTTATTTTACTTAATGATCAGAATGTTTATAATATTGTTATAGAGTTAGCTAAGAGATGGTAATGCAGAAGATAAGAGCTAATTGCATTTGAATTTGTTTTAGTTTGAAGGCCTTAAGTTCTCAGTAAAGCTCATATTTCATTTTGGCTTCCTTAGAACAGAATAAATATGATACTACATTTTGTTGTTCCAAACTTAACCATGAAAATGTTTCATGTACTTTCCAAAGAAATTTCCACTTAAAACCAAAGTTGATTCCAAATCATTAAAAACAAAGTCCTCATAAAAATGATATATTTTCCAATTAAAAACATATTGAATTAATTATAATCACAACTACCAGTTCTAAATATGGGAAAGATGCACAAATGTAATAGGACTAATGAAGCTAACATTCTAAATATTACCATGGACAGTAGGTAAGATAAAGTAGTTACTGTAAACCTAAATAGACGTGGTCAGTTCTCACTTCATCTCTGCAGAGAAGTTATATTTTTAGTAAGCAGTCAGTTGCTACATCAAAGCACAGAGAGGAGGATTTTACGTTGAATGTAATCTAACTTGAGGTAGAGTAACAGTTTCAAAAATGGGAGAACTGAGACAGCATGGACCCACCCAGCACCGAATAAAAAGCAGACACAGGTGCCCAGGGCCAGTTGCTGCTGCAGTTTTGTCCAGACCTTGATCAAATCAGTTCAGATGTGAGACTCTTGGGCTTTTCAACGACGAGAGAGATGTACTAGTGACGTCTGTGCTCATTTTAGGAATACAATTTCTGTAATTGTGGGAGATTATTAGAAACGTCTGTTTACAAACCACAGATACAATTCATTCTGATCTATTCATCAATTTCAGCTCCCTACAGCTGACCAGCTAAGGTTGGCTAGGTGATTTCCAATTACCTTATGTGCTTCATATCATATAATAGCAGTTCTCTAAAAAGATTCAATACTCACTCATTTCAGAGATTCAGACTAGACTCTCTTCCAATTACAGAGGCTCCACTGCAGCACAATTGCCTTAGGAAGATTGGATATATGCCCTCTAATCTGCTCATTAAAAAGAAAATGACTAATTTCCTAGGACCTTTCTTCATAATAATTTGTCAAAGAGCCTACCTGTCATCAACTTGACCTTGTTCTAGAAGACGCTGCCCATCAATAATGATTGAGTGCAATATCTGCTGACGGCTGAACATCTCGGCTTGAAACAACTAAAATCAAAAACAAAAAAAAAGCAGTATGCAGTTTGGAATTCTTAATTTCGTGGCCAGTTCTGCGATCACTTTTCAAAAATTCTGGTTTGAACAAGGCCATGAAAAATATCTCTTGTTGAATCAAGATGTGTATGAAATGTTACAGTGTAGGGATAATTTATTTTTTAATCAGATACGATGTGCTGGAAGGTAATGTACAGTTTTGGTTTGGATTAGTAATAAAATGATGTTTCTTTTTTTCAAAATTATCTAATAAGGTAAGATAATGTAAAATTCATGTTCTGGCTCATTCTGGGTGCAAAAAGTCATTGTAATATAGGTTAAAAGCTTTGTGAAAACTGAAGAGAGGAAAAAATAAACTACATACTTTCTGGTCTTCTTAACATTGCTGTTTTCAAGTTAAGTAGGTTAATCAAATCGTTATCTTAAAAACTCATCATAGATCTCAAAATTACTTCTACTATTTTAAAACAGCTTTATTAGGATGTAACTCACACATTCATGTAATTCACCAATTTTAAATGGCCAATTTAACAGTGTTTACAATACATAAAGACATGCACAACCATTACCACAACTGACTTCAGCAGATGTTTTTCACTCTGAAAACAAACTCTGTATTCATTAAGAATCACTCTCCCTTTCGCTCAGTCCTCCAGGTCTAAACATCCACCGCGTGTCTGTCTGCAAAGGCTGCCTCTTCCGGTCATTTCATACAGATGCTCATGGGATCGTTTCTGGCCAGCTTCTCTTCTCGGGATCTAGTTACAGTGGGTGTCAGTACCCCACCGTCTTTTATTGCTAAATAGTATTCTATGATGTGGAGTTACTTTGAGTTATCAACGAACCAATAGCCATTTGAGTCATTTCCATTTCCCTATTATGAAGACTGTTACTATGAACAATCTGTGCTGTGCAATTGCTTGTGTGGACACTATTTTATTTATTTTGGGCATAGAACTGGCAGTTTATACGGTAACTGTTTCATGTCTGAAAGGGCCACCAAACTGCTTTCAAAACCACTGTACCGTTTTATATCCCTTGCAATGAGGTATACACTTTCCCTGTATTTATATTTTCACTGACACTTGGTTTTCCTTGGGGGCACTGTAGCATGTATGAAATGGTATCTCACAATAGTTTTGTCCTCTCACTTTTTTTTTTATCATTTTCAACTTAGAAAAACTAAACTTAAAATATCTGTATATCTTAAAATTCCCATGCTTTACAATTGTCAGCAACATGTGTTAAGATAGCTTCATTCTCTTTCAAGTTCTCAAACTTTGCTGTTAGGGAAGTCTTATCTCTCCACGTGCATGCATTTTAAATCACACAGAACAATTTAGTTATGCCAGCAGGGCAAAAATGGAACCAATTTAACTTTTGCATAATTCTTTCTCCTTGATTCTTGAAATACAATTATAATGCAATGCGTCCAAGTGGCATACCTGGAGATAATTGATAGCAGGATTTCCTGGTATAAAAATTGACATTTTTAAAGGACACATAATTTTCATTTATTAGTCTTTTGAACGAAGCAATTAATCTTTGTAATATTAAGGTAGCATATAATTGAATTTTTATAATTGAATTTAAAAACTAATTTTCTACTTCTTTCCCCTTTTTCTTTTTCAGGTTCCTTATTCCCAAGAAGTGACCTTTAACCACATTTCTGGTACTACATACTGCAAGGAACTGCAAGCTTCATTAATGATCTTTGCCAATCATGGGGCAGAAAACTGAAGTTTTAAAATAAAAAATCAAATTTTAAATTTAAGAAAATAAATCATGCATTTGAGCTGACATGATATAGCATTTTAATTTTCCTTTGTAGCATTTTCCTGAATCATCTAAAGTTCTAAAACTCTTGTCTTCCCCCAAAGATTATTAACATCATTTACCTCGTGAGCTCTCTGCTGCTCCAAAAGATGCTGATAATTGCCTGAAATCTCCACTGCTAACTTCTGTTCTGTCTGGACCAAGAATTCCATCCATGTTTCACATTTTTCCAAGAAAGTCTGATGTTGCAGCAAAAATGACTGCAACTTGCTATCAGAGAAAAAGACAAAGAACAGCATTGATGTTACTGCTTATCCTTGGATCTCTGGCACATGCAATTTCATTAACTATTCCTTACCTGTAATTCTAACTAATTGCCATAAAGATTTCATATCAGGGAGCAACATTAGAATGACAGAAAAAAAAAAAAACAGGGAAGAAGGAAGGAAACTTTGAAAGGAAGTAATTTTCAACTTGTTCTATTTTAAAATGATTATAATTAGGCATTTCAGTTAAATTCATTTTGACTTATAAGAGTTGGGGGCATATTTTTGGCATCTCCGTTAACATGGCTTTTGGGATGCCTACTTTTCATACCCTGACTCTACTTCCGATTCTGGCTGCATCTCACGCCACCTCATACATCCTAGGTAGCAGCAAGTACTCACCCACCTAGCTGGGTCACTGCCACCCACCAGCGATATCCGGATTGAATTCCCACCTCCTGGCCTCATCCTGGCTGAACACTAGCTGCTCTTTAGCTTTCCCTCATGTGTTCTCCCTTTCTGCTTCTCAAATAAATAATTCAAATATACACAATTAAAGAATGATCTACTCTGTAGAAACACTATGAAACCTAAAACAAATTAGTTCACCATTTAAATCTCCCATCGTTTCCCTTTAAATTTTTGTCATCATTTTTTCATAAAACTGGAATTTATAAATGCACATCAAATGATGAACTAGGAACACTTGACAACACAGGTGCTAGGATTTGAAGGAGTTTCTTCCAAAGTTCCGGTATGTCAAGGCTAAAGACTCAAAGGGGATTCAGCCAGGAGTGTTCCTCATTCCTGACTGGCTGACTCACAGGGGACTTGGTGCTCTCGCTCTGTGCCTTCCCCTTGCGAGGTCACAGCATTCCTCCTCTGCAGCAAGCAGCAAGGTACCATCTCAGAAACCAAGTCACCTTCCCTTGCTGGACATGAGGCCTGCTAGCATCTTAACTGTGTTCCATTTTCCATCGCTTCTTGGCATTTGGCTAAGATCAAGTGTTTTTCCATTTTCCATTGAATTTTAAAGGAAGACAGACAGAAATCTCCCTTCTACTGGCCCACTCCACAAACGTCTGCAATAGCTGAAGCAGGGCCAGGCTGAAGCTGGGAACTAGAAATGGAATCTGGGTCTCCCAAGTGGAGGAAATCCAGGAGTTCAACTACTTGATTATTAGCCTGCTCCTTCTCAGGGCACACAGTAGCAGGAAGCTAGAAGTGGGGTCAGAGTAGGCAACCTTAATCCTGACCCTCCAGTATGAGATGTGACAGCTCCAAGGAGTGCCTTAAACACTGTACTAAACAGACATTTGAGAGTCCCAAGGAATATCTTAGCCACTATACCAAATAGCTGAAATTTGATGTTAGGTTTTCCAGTCTCTGAACTGGGAGACAACACATTTCCTTAGAAACAATTTTTAAATATTCTTCATGTAATATTTTGTCACCGCAGCATTAAACAGACGACACACAATGTAAGTGATGAAAACATCTGTCACCTGAATCGTTCTGTAGTCTGGGAGGAGATGAGAGACCAGTGACGGTTCAGACTCTGCATCCTTTTTATTTCTTTCTCATTCAGTGGTAACCTATATCCAAGTTCATTTAGACGGTCTAAATCTGGAGCCATGCTGCTAAATTTTAACATCTGGCCCTGAAAGAAAGATTTAAAAGCAGTGTCAGACACAGAGAAGGTGAGGCTTTTTTGTTTAGCAGGTGCAATGAATTTCTAGTTTCAGGAGAAAGTTGAAATCTGGTCTGTTGTGAGTAACTGGGTAGCTTATCAGGTTCACTGGTGGGAAAGGAAAAGCTGCATCTACCTACCCTGTGCTTGGCACTGCTGCTGCTGCTGCTGCTGTTTCTATTACAGCAACTCGGACCCTTCCCTGTCCGCCAGGAGCTCACCTGCACCTTCTTATCTATTCTACTTACTCACATGCATTTTTTTGCTAGCACTAAGAAAGGGTGAGGGTTATGCTGAAGACTAACCGGTAACCCGTCCCTTTAGTAATCAGTCATGGTAACAGTTTTAATAGTGATTGCTTGCATTCATGGATCACTTCACAGTGAAGCCAATATCATTTTAAGAGCCTTATAAAGAAATAATCCCTTCTCTCTTCAAAATCTCATGAGGTACTTCTCTCTTAGAGGTGGACATAGAGAAGAACTGGACCTAAGTAAGCTGCTTATGGTCACCCAGTTAACAAGTGGTGAAACTAGATGAACAAACATTGCTGGGTTCTTGCAAGGTGAAATACAAACACATTGCCTTAAGAGCTTCAGCTACTCCAATGATCAGTCTGTGTTTTCCCATTTCCCGCCTCCTTTCAAACACGGTGATCAGTCTGTGTTTTCCCATTTCCTGCCTCCTTTCAAACACGGTGATCAGTCTGTGTTTTCCCATTTCCTGCCTCCTTTCAAACATGGTGATCAGTCTGTGTTTTCCCATTTCCTGCCTCCTTTCAAACATGGCACAGAACTCCCTGTGCTGGTTTTCCCAAGAGCATCTTTGTCCTCATATAGATAACTGGTTATGGGAAGAAGAAATTGTTAAGACGTTGTTAGGTGTGTATGTGGATGTGTGGGGGTGTTTCTCTTTGCAGGACCTGATAAAGCTTGGGCTCCTGAATAAGAATCAGTGTTTCCAGTTAGTAAATCCCAAATCATCACCATTCAACACTTAGTGGTAGAATTTCCACAGGACACTGGCGCTGAACAAAGCTGACATGTCAGCTCGCACACTAGATCCCATAGGAATCACCTATTCAGAGAAATGTCACAGCTGAAGGATATGAAGTTTGGATGAACAAGAATGGGGGACAATGGATTTGTGTTACTGGGGAGCCTGATCATCATTTTGGTATGAACCAAAATGACCAGTTCACCCTTTTTAATCGGGAGGAAGTTGATGAAGACAAGTAAATGATTCTAGAAACGGGAAATACCTGAAAAAGTTCCAGACATTGGAACACACCGTGGCTCCCTCCTACAAGGCTGGAAGGGTAGACAGTGAGGCAAGCAAAGAACTTTAGGTGAGCTGGAAATTAGGCTGGAAGTTCCCTGAACTTAGTAGGTCACACTGCCTTTTATTCTAAGAACAATGATTTTAATCAGAACAAGATGTTAACATTTCCATGTCTATTGTACTACTTTATTTATCTCACTGAATGTTCAAAACAGTGCAGTAAAATCCTGTATTGTTTTCATTTTAAAAGTGAATGCTATTTTTCACCAGCATACATGATTGTATGTATTTATGTATTAGGAGATACAATGAGATGGCTAAATAGATGTAATAGTGACTAAATCAAGCTATTATGTACAGTTTTTTTTTTTGAGAGAGAGAGAGAGAGAGAGAAAGATCGTATAGATAGCCAGATATTGAGGAGGGTGTGTGTGTGTGTGTGTGTGTGTGTGTGTGTGTGTGTGTCTGTGTGTCTGTGTGTGTCTGTGTGTAGTGGGTGCCAAGACCGTTGTAAGCTGCTGCAGCAGTCAACAGCGATCGGGTGACATTAGAGCTAGCAGTGGGAGACTCAAAAAACGGTCAGGTGGAGGATGTAGCATGTTTCAAAAGTTCAGTTTTGAAGTTTCCTTAGGATTCTGGGGACAGAACACAGGGCTGGTACTCAGACGAGAACATCTGACCTTGAGCTCATCCATCCTTTCCTGGATGCTGGAGATGTCAGAGGAGTGTGACGGGTCCTGTGCTTGGAGTATGTCTTCAGCTTCCACTACCCAGGCCTCCAGAGCTTCTAATCTCTTAGCGAAGGTTTCATAGTCAACAACTCCAGCCTGTAAAAAAATCACAGAGAAAATCAGTGTTTTAGTGAGACTCATTGGTGTTTTAATAAAATTTAATTAGAAGTCAAGAGGATATCGAAATTAATTCTACATTCACAAATCAAATTACCATTCTCAAGATGTCACTCTTACATATTAAAGGCTATAACAATTCAAATTCTCTTCATTGTGTAATTTTTCTAAGAATTATCTCCATGCAACCAATAATCAATAACCAATTAAAATTATTCTTTAAATATATTCTCTAATAAGAAATATATTCTGAATCAGACAAAAACCTGTTCCATAGCAGGTTTAAAATTATTCTTTAAATATATTCTCTAATAAGAAATATATTCTGAATCAGACAAAAACCTGTTCCATAGCAGGTTTTTATTAGCCTGTTAATAAGCATTTATCTCCAACAAGATATTTGAAAAATACTCTGATTCATGCAAAAATTTGTTACATAACAGGTTTTTAACCTGATCGTTAATAAGCTTCTATCACCTGAATAACTTACGACGGCAAATGTAGATGTAGCGGCTTACCATCTGAATTAATTTTAAAAGTAGATAGTACAAAACTCTCACTTTCCCTTACTCCCACTGGAACTACCAAATCAGTGCATTATTTTGTTTAATTCTTTGCTCTTTAAGCGGGCATTGTCTCATGGAAGAGAAATCCTTTTCACTGTGTGTAGTTATGACATTACAGGGCGCCCGAGGTTATACCGCACACTGCAGACCAGCTCCATACCTGCAGTACTGACTGCTGCTTGCAAAGAGCCTGCTCCAGGGTGACTAAGCGTTGACCTAGAGAGAGTTGGTCAGACTGGATGGCTGATTCAGCAGAGACATCCACTTGTTGCTTCAGCTGCTCTCCCAGCTCTTGGAGGACAAAAAGGGAGTCCTTGACTGCCCCCAGTGCTTTGAGGAGGTCCTGAGGGAGAGATGAAAAAGCACTCTTTGTCATAAAGAACAATCAGCAGCAGACCACCATGGACAAACATACAACTCTCCTTTGCGAAACTGTTATACTACATAACCTACACCTGCAGGGCAAGATTCGAACCCAAGTTTTAAAAATATTATGTAAATACTAACAATTTAAATGCATACAGTTCACGTTGTACATACAGAAGGATACTTTAAAACAGGTTCTGGAAAGTGAAATTAAAAACTAAGTTTGTCTTGGTGCAAAAAAAATGAAATCCATGAACACAATGGTTTTCCCAATTTCATAGAAAATTATACCATGAAATTATGCACAAATTTCAATTTTTTTGAACCAACACAAATTATTCTTTTAGTAACATCTCCCTCAAGCTTTTGGAAGTGCTGTGTGTGTGTTATGCATGTATAATTACAAATATAATAAAAACCACATAAGTTCATCGCAGGAGATTGAGTAAATAAAGTAAACATTAAAAAAAAATCCACAAATAAAAGCACATTGCTTAAAGGTTTTGGCAGTTGTTTCCTGTCTCATGATGTAGCTGGGAACAAATTCAAAATGCAAAACTTTATGTTACCTTTTCTTCTTTGCTCTTTGTACCACAGACTAGTTTGTCCATGGGAATATCTACATGTGTGTTCATGCTGTTGTAGCTTCAACTCTCCTGGCAGCCGGAGGCACAGCACCTTACTGGGTCCCCTGACATTCTAGAGGACTGTATCGCTGCTCTTTTCAGTTCTATCGTTCTGTGCAACCTTCTTAAAGCCTCAAAAACACGAGCCTGTAAATATCCACTCTTCTTGACTTTTATACATTAGTAAAATGGTTGATAACTTTTGGTTCTTTCGCCCTACTGGACACAGAGGAGAGTTCAATTATGCCTGTACAGCCATTGATACAAGAGGATAGCAAAGGGCTCTCTTGCTCTTAATACAGATGATTGACAAAACCTCATTTCAAAAACAATGCAAATGACAGAACTGGGAGGACAGTGGGCACAGTGCGCTATCACTCGGGATGCCTAGATTCTATACACAAGCACATTAGCTCGTATCCTGGCTCTGCATCCAGCTCCAGCTCCCTGCTAATGTGTGCGCTGGAGGCAGCTGACGAGGGCTCAAGCAGTTTGGTTCTTGCCATCCATGCAACAGTACTGAGTTCATTTTCTGCCTTCTTTCTGGCTCCTGGCTGTGGCTTAGTTAAACTTCAACCATCACAGACATTTGAGGAGGAAATAAATATATGGTAGTTTTTTTTTTCTCTTTCAAACAGGTAAAATTAAATGTATTTAAAAAACTTATATGGTATTGAATTCAAATAGGAAAAAAATTAAAAGAATTTGTAAAGATAAGCTATGCCTATACAAAATGTATTAGATATTAATCTTTAACTTCATATAGTGATTAGATTGAAGTCATCTGAATAGGTTATATAGCTTTCATACTTGCCTCATTCTAATAAATTGAATTGAGAGAGTTTAGAAACAAATCTCTCCATAAGTTAAAAGAGATAAAGACAAATTCGGTAGAAACAGTAGAACTTTGTAGTGGGGGAAGCAAGGACTTCCCTTGATAACCTTAAGTTAGATACTGTCAGTTACTGTGAAAAAGAATTAAACTTACTGCAGCAGTGCATCAGTAAATCACAAGAAAGGGACTTCTTTATACTACTCAGTTCTTAGCTAAGGCCCGTGTGCAGGGCTTACATAGCAGATAACAAACCTATCTAACAATATCTCTAATGTTAGTGCTTTAAAGACAGAACATCAATCCCCAGATGGTCATTTCTCACCTTGGCTATCTCAGTAAAAACAAATAGCCTAACCTTTAAAATGGATTACAGTCTTTTTGGAAAATGGGATAATTCATCCTTTAAAATGAAACAACGGGATGGATCCCATACAAATATGATGCATGTGTAATGTTGATCTGGAAATCCAGCAGGCTCTTAGACGTATAAGATGATTCACTCACTGAGACATGCCACAAAAGTCACACCCATCCACACTAGCCCTGCTAACCCCGGGAAGGCTCGGCAATTCTGGAAAAACACCACTGGTGCTGAACATACGTTGCAGTCTTGAATCCATGCTGCAGCTTCATCGTCCGCGATGTCTTTGTCAGCGGCGGCCTTCAGCAGCTCATCGGTTCGCTCTTCCTGCTGCTTGACAGTAGAGGCGCACTGTTTGGAATAGTCCTTGTACCTCTGCCAGAGCTGAAGCAGGGCCTTGCTGGAGTGCAGCTGTTCCGAGATCTCTTCCAGCAAGTTATTCCATCTGGAAATAATAGCAAGCACTCATGGGCAGATTATGACCTCTCATCAATGCTGTTATTTACTATTTTATTTTGTATGGTACCGCTTCATACAAATATGAAAATGATACAGGCATGATTTAATCCCAATTTATCACAGACAGTAACATTTCACACTCATATTTCAAAGGTGGATAATGGAGATCTTTGGATAAATAGCAGTTCTAATGATTTCTAAATGTCTTCACGATATCATTAAATCCATTTTGTGGAAATTAGAATATTCACAGGAGGTACTCTATACAGCTCAACTGTATACAGAAACTTTTAACAACAATATCCTTTATAGTCAAATTGGGATATGAATAATGCACAAAGTTTGTGTATGTCATACCTCATGTTGACTTCTTTCAGTGTGTTAGTGAGAGTTTCTGTCACAGGTGGGTGGCACTCTTTTAATAGTTGATTGGTGACAGAGCCAAATTTCTGTAAGCTCATTTCCTGCTTTTCCAAATCATCATGGAGACTCTGTTCAAAGAAAAAGTCCCACAGATGACATGATATGATTTAAATTACAAGAACAAGATGAATGATTTCTAGGCTTATGTGCACGCACAACTTTGTCCTATTGATTTATAAGCTTTTCTTACGTCATTGCTTCCCTTCTGATCTTGTTCTTACAGCTGTGAGAATTCTGAGTCATTTAACCTTCTATAGCAGCATCTGGGATTGTGCTGGAGAACTACACAGAGCATCCTTTCCTTCATCTTCTAAAGAGCTTCGCTAGTGCCCAATGCTCTACCTGACACCGTGCTTCTCCATGAAGGACGGACTCAAACCCCAGGTCTCTGCATTCCTGCTTTTAACAAACCTAGAATGGTTCCACTTACAAACTGTTAAGAGTCTAAGAACTCATAACTTTGATTATCTGTAGGTTCTGTCTCTAGGTTTTCTTCCTGAGAATGTGTTGGCTTTGAAAATTTCAATTTTGAACTGAAAAATTACTGTATAAAATTATAAGACACATGGGACTGCTGTTGTGCTGTAACAGGTAGGTTAAGTCATCACCTGTGACACCCACATCCCAAGTGGATGCAGGTTTGTGTTACAGTATCACTACTGCCAAACCAGCTCCCTGGTAATGCACCTGAGCAATGGAAAACGGCTCCAGTCCCTGAGCCCTGCACTCATGTGGGAGACCCAGGTGAAACTCCTGGCTCCTGACGCTAATATGCCCAGCCCTAGCTATCCTGGCCATGGGGGGAGTAACCCACTAGATAAAAGCTTTGTTCTTTCTCTCTTTCTCCCCTTCTTTCCCTCCCTGCTCCTCACACCTCTGTCTTTCTCTCCATCTCTAACTCTACCTTTCAAACAGACACACACATCTTTTTTTAAAAATTACAGAACAAAACGTAATATATATATATGTGTCTATATTTGAGATTATTAAATCAAGCTAACATCACCTCACGTGATTATCAATTTTTTTTTCCAAAATGCCAAACTATAAAAGTAGAAAGTACAAGGGAAGGGAATATGTAGGTTTGAGTGTATATAGTTTGAAGGAGACTGCAAGAGTAAGCCTTGTGGACCTGTTGCACAGGATTGTTACCACAATGAATAATAATGAATTGTCTATTTCAAAACTGCTTTCTGCAAATAGTTTTATTGGACTGACTTAGAGTTTTCTTCCAAGGGTTGGAGAGGTATCGAGAACTAAAAGAAAGATGTTATTTTAGAAATATTTCTGTGATAAATTCCCACGGATGATAAAGGGTACAAAAAGCTAGTGTTGTTTCACAACCATAACTGATTATTCTCAACTCCAAATAGTCAAAGACCTTTAAACTTGTTCTCTTTAAGACAGCATTCACAGATAATAACACCACAAAATGTTACATTTTTAAAAATATGTTTCACTTTCTCAAAGTTATCCTATACATTTAAATGAAGCATTCCCAAAATAAGTTGTAATAATCGTTGGTATCTAAACTACCTCTTTGAGCATTAAATAAATCATGTGTACACAGTCAATTCCTCTCCCCTCCTGCCCTAGCCAGAAAAAGTGGACCTCATAGGAACATTGACTAACAAGGTCAGCCACGTATGTACTAGGATTGCCAAGCCAGGAGGTGGGCTAGATGTAACAAGAGCACATGCTGGGCTCCACTGGCATCCCAGTCCTCAGCAGCCCGCTCCTGCATCCCAAAGTTGGCATGATGAAGCCAAAGAGATACAGCAGCAACAGGCAAGCATGACCTAGGACCAGGGATGTAGGCAGTGAGGGCTGCAGCCGGCTGGAGGGCAGTAACCTGACATTGAGGACAGGACAACAATGAAAACAAACATCATGGCTTTCATTCTAGACAGGCTCAATGAGAATGGACACATGGAAACACAGGCAAGAAATTACTTGTCAACACTGATGGTGTCAGTACATCAGATAGGCTAGTGATACTGGACAAAATGAAAAGGAAATGACTCACTGGCCTCAACATTTATCACTTCTATTATTTTTCTCTTTGTTTTCCTCAAAATCCCCTAGAATGTGTGGAGATGCAAGAAAAATAAAAACAGAAAGGGAAGACACAAAAGGCAGTGACAATGGATCAAGGAGATTAATTTAGGTAAAAAATACACCTACATGGGTATTTATAACACAAAAACATCAGCTACATATTTTCAGGCTAAAACGGATTTTGGTACACATGAGAAAATTTAAAGAGCAATGAAGCAGATAAAATTAGTTTTAAGACTTACGAACCTTGAGGAAGGGATAAGGAAAATCCTAGGGCCTACGGAACTGTATCATACAATAATAATAATAATAGATTAAAAAGATTTGCAAACCAATAAATATAAGCAATGTAAAGTACACATTCCAGTAAGATGCTTCCAGCTGCAAACTTTCCACTGTTCCCAAATGCAAATGACCGTAAGGCAGTGTTGCATTCATTCCTTACCTGGAGATTGTCCACCTGAACCTGCACAGCTTCCAAGGATCCAGTCAGCAGGCGAAATCGGGACAGGGAGTATCTGGCCTCCATGAGGTAACTGTTGATCTCTTCAAAGGCCTTGTTGTGATGGTCCCACCGATCAAGCACTGACTTCAACAGTATCTTTAACTGCCCAACCTTTCAAAAAAGATAAGCACGTCTTGGCATTACAGAAAATTTAAGATGAATACCTTTTCAATTGGTAGAAAGACACATGAGCAGGTAAGAAATTCAACAGGGCTTATGGTAAAGACACTAAAAGAAAAAAAAAAATGAGAGATAATAGGTTGCAACTCAGAAATGCATGCCTTTAACACCAGCAGACACTCCGTCTAAATGGAAATGTAATAAAGATGTGACCGGCAAGTGTGTACATTTGAGGGAGATTGTTTTGACTACAACAGCTTTGAGAAACACATAAAATAGATGTTTGGTACCTCACTTCCTTGTCTTTATAACCTTATGTGTTAGGTATATTCATTATCCCCATTTTAAGAAGCGTGAATAAGACTCAAGATCACAGCTGAAATCTGAGAGCTGTGAGTTTAAGCCCAGATAGTTCCCATCTTAATGTGCATCAGAAAAGCTCTGAATTTTGTGTACACCACATAGAAAGAAATCTACTTCAGGCATTCTGGATATGACCACTGATCACCTACTGAGCCATTTGCCCAGAATGTGGGAAAGGGATCATGTCATCAATTTTCATTTCCTTTTTTTGGGGGGTGGGGGAGGGCTTTTGTTCTCAGAATAAAAGAAACCTATAAACTATCTATTGAGTCAAAGAGAAAAGCAATGCTTTCTCATTTCTAGGACGATGCCTAAAGCTACAGAAAGCTGCAAAACAGACACAAAAACAGAGAAGATTAACAGTTTAAAAAACAAATGGAGTCTGAAAGCCCTTCCTGAGATGAATCAAAGACTTGGAGGAGAGGGAGGGGCTCTGCGAGTAACTGGGAGAGGGTGTTCCAGCAGGATGGGACACACACCTGCTGCGTTCAAGCACAGGGAAGACCAGCGTGGCAAAGGCCTCAGCTACCTGCTTACAGCCACAGAAGAGGACCCAGAGAGGGGACACCAGATGACCAGCAGGCTTTGGCCTCCTTCTGAGCAAGAAAGTGTGAGCAGGAGCTTGGGATGCTCTGTCCTCCATTTAGTCCTCCCCTTTTGGCCAGACTCTCTGGGAGGCCCCAGAAACAATGAGGACAGATATACCCACTTATCCTAGCTGTTAGCAGGATGGCTTCAAAGAGGTGTCAATCTATTCTGGAAGCACGGCTGGCATGGAGTGCGAGAGGTTTATGCACTATGCAAGGAGAGAGGTCAGCCCCAAGGGAATGCAGAGAGAGAAGGACGCAAGGTGGGGACAGACACTGGGGAACTATGTATGCCTTGTAAGGATCCAAGGCAGTAGGACTGAACAGAATTAAGTGTAAAGCTTATAATAATGGATATTATAGGAAACATCACACGTTATATTACTTTTTATTAACAATGGCACAAATGAAGTTGACTCTTAGTACAAAGGGATTAGGTATAGAGTTGATAAATATTCACTTTGGGAAAATGCAAACCCAGAGTGTGCGCAAGCACAGGTAAATGGTGTTAGAGACAGCTCAACATTACCATGTGGTCTAAGTTGGCCCAGGTTTGCCTGAGTTCTTGCAGTGTGCTCACAACGGTGCTGGACGCTTCCTTTTCCTTGTTCTCAATCAAAGCAAGTCCACTCTGCTGCACTTTCTCTACTTCCTTTTCTTTTGCTTTAATCAAATCTTCCAGATCCTGAAAGATTAAAAACAAAGTCACTTTATATTGATCTTTTATGGAATTCAGATTGAATGATGATAGTTCCCACCTTACAAATTATGCATTAATCTAAAAAGATTATAATTCCCCATAGCAATACTTCTTTCTACATTGAAAGACTAAAATAAATAAATAAGTCCTATTATCCACTAGGGAATTAGCATAACTCTTTCAAAAAAAGTCACTTTGGTTTTGTACAAAACAGTACTATATAAGCTTTTTAAAAGGAGACATGATGGAAAGAGCACACATAGGAAACTATAATTTAACTTCTATTTTTACATTTCATACATGTTCATATTCAAAATACACAGCCCAACCCACAGGAGAAACATGACACAGTGGTATTAGACGGTTCAATATCTGAAATTCAGTAATATTTTTGCTACTATAAATCTGTGTTCTTTGGGAAACAGAAATTTCCATGGGGTCTCAGGTTTTTCCAGACAGGAAGTTGGAACATTGAAAAGAAGGTATTTTCTGTTTCTAAAATGCTCTGGTTCTATATGATTCTAAAAGATTTTAGACTGTTTTCATAAATCAAATCTTCATTTTCTGTGTGACGTGTAAAAATGACTATCCAAATGAAATGCTTAAGGAAGTAAAATGAAAGGAGAGAGAAAATGGCAGAGTGGCTCAACATGTTAAGCCTCCACCTGCAAGTCACCTGGTATCCCATATGGACACAGTTCACGTCCTGGTTGCTCCATTTCTAATCCTGCTCTCTGCTTATGGCATGAGAAAGCAGCAGAGGATGGCCCAAGTCCTTTGGAGCCTGCACTCACTTGCAAAAGCTCCTGGCTTTGGATCAGCTCTTCTCTGGCTGCTGCGGCCGTTTGGGGAGTGAACCAGTTGGGATGCCTTTCTCTTTTTCTCTATATAAATCTCCCTTTCAAATTAAAAAATAGTAATGATGAATCTTTTTAAAAATCCCAGGAGGAAGAAATCTGCAGCTCACAGAAAGACACATGTAATAATTCTAATGTATTTTAATGGCCCTTAAAAATGTGTTCAGTGAAGCAGCCTGAGGTGGTTATCAACATTTCGCAGATAAACAAATGGGACATCATATTATCAGACAAGAGAAAGCTCTGGGGAGGATTAGAATACAAGTCATTAAACCACTGACTCCCAGCCCAACAATGGAGGCGACTCAGTTGAACAGGAAACTCTAGAAGGATTGTAAGTCACATCTTAGTGGGTTATGAAGAGCTAACTATTGAGGCATGCATACATTCCCATACTCAGAAATATATCTCTGAAATGAAAAATAGATTTATAGGCCCTGGAGGGTAGAAACGGAAAAATTCCAATATATTTTCTAAGTCTAGATAGTGGTTCAGCTTTGTAGAAAGACTTTGACCCTTGTGAGGGTCTCTTTTAGATAAAAATATATATATATATATATATTGGGACCAAATAAAATTGTAGATAAAATGTTAATGAGGAGCCTAGGGCCTCGTATACTAACTCAGAATTCATGCTGCTTATCATTTTGGCCCCACATTTTTATTTGTGTGAGGTTCAACCTTTTAATCTGTTTCAACCTCAATTCTATAACAGGGATAATATCTTTCTCCTTACAACAGAAACAAATATATGTGAACTATGTAGGACATTATTATGGTTAGTCATGTGATAATTTGCTAACCGTCAGTTCAGATGTATTGATTTTTCTCTGCTGAATTATCATGAAGCTATTTTTGTCTTGATATATGAATTGGAAATTCAAGAATTTGGATGTGTCAAGATAATTTTATTTAATAAACTTCTTTTACTTCTATATTAAAAGTATTAAGATTTTGATAGCTTTGGTCATTACCACAAAGTAAAGATAATGATTATTGGGGAAATAAGCCATTTAAAGGGATTATTTAAATAGTATAGAAAATTAAGTTCATTTCACTACTTAATGATCTTTCTATCCATTGCTATAGAGAATAATTATATATTCTAATCCTAGCATAATAAGCAAGCACATTATTTTGTTAATATTTGCAATTTTCAATAATAACTTTGAAACCCTTGCCTGAAGCAAGGATGCTGTGGTAATTATATCAGGAAGAAACAAGCTCCTACACTGTCAGATATGTATACAAGTTCCTTTTGCATTTTCTGCAACACTGATCAACCAGCACATTACATCTTCTGAAATGTGTGCTAGGATTCTAAAATTCAACCCCTACAAATTAATTTTATCCCTCTGTGCTCATACATGCAAAAGAGAATGCATCATCTATTGTTTATAAACATGTGCAAAAGAAAATACCCACGTATGTACTTGGCACAAGAGCCAAGTCCTGGAATCAAACAGCATTGGAACCTCTATTTTGCACAGCAGAGAGATATTTTTTTCTTTCTGACAATACTTAAAAGATGATTTTGTTCCTGATCAATGAAAGGTCAAATCTAACAATTTTGTTACAATAAGCCTTTTTTCACTTGGGTTAACTCATACATATCAGTGTTTCTGTTGGCTTAAATCAATAAATCACTTCTAAAAGACTGGAAAAATATTCAAGGGTTTTAAAAACAAAATGGAGCTTGAATCCAGTCACTGATTTAAGCATGCTGGCTTGAATTTCACACTTTGGTCCAAAGGAACAATTTCTCAAAACTGACAATAAATTTTATCAAGGCTTGTGCTACTGCCAAACAGAACATGCCAGTTAGGCCACTGTGATTTATGTGCTATCATGTCCTCAAATAACTGCGTGGGCTACTTTCATCATGCTTTCTGCTTCACAGAAATGACGTCTCATTTGAAATCACAATTGGCATTGGTTTGGAATCCTCTAAACCGTAGTCTAGGCTTTCCCTCCTGACGTTGTCTGACCTGACCCTCCGAGAGGCTGAAACGCAGATCCTGAACGTTGTAAAAGTTGGGCAAACTTCTGCTTTTTTGTAGATGGCAATGTTTCTCTGTTAAAGACACCCAGACAGACAGAAAATGGAAAACGACAGAAAAAAAAGTGCTTTGAGGAAAAGAAAAAAAACTATTAAGAAATGAAGAAACTGGAGGACTTGAAAAGAAGAGGGGGGAAGTTGACAGGGTATTTCAGTCATCCAGAGCTGAAGTTCATGAGAGCAACAAAAGAAGGGAATTTAACCTACTTAATGGTAAACCCTTCCAAGTATATCTAAACACAAGCATAAATGTGTTTTAAAACCATTGAATGGACCAGCACAATGGCTGAACTGGCTAACCCTTTACCTTCCATGCACAGGCATCTCATATGGGTACAGGTTCCTGTCCCAGCTGTGCCACATGCCAACCAGTTCCCTGCCTATGTCCCGGGAAAGCAGCAGAAGATAGCCCAAAGCCTTGGGACTCTGCATTCATATGGGAGACCTGGGAAAAACTCCTGGCTCCTGGCTAAGGATCTGCTCAACTCTGGCTATTGCAGCCATTTGGAGAGTGAACCAGTGGATGAGAAGATCTTTCTACTTCTCTTTCTTACTGTAAATCTAACTTTCTGATAAAGTAAATATTAAAAAAATAATTTTAGTCACATGTTTATTTGAAAGGGGAGAGGAAATGCTTGTATGTACTGGGCACTCCAGAAATGTCCAGATCAGTGAGATTGATCCAAGCCAAAGCAGGGAACTAGGAGCTAAATGTGGACCTCCCATGTGACATCAGAGCCCCAGGTATCTAAACCATCACCACCGTGTCTGAGGGTCTGCAACACTAGGGAGCTGGAGTTGGAATTTGAAGATGAGATCAAAACCTAGTATTCTTCTATGTAACATGACTGTCTCAACCCATAGACACCTGCCCCTAACAGAATAACTGAAGAATTCAACAAAAGGTATGTATTTAATTCTTAAACGTGTCATCTTGAAATTCTGATAGAGTGGACACTAGACTTTATTTTCTGAAGTGGAAATACAACTGGTACCTGGAAAACTGGAAATATAATGAGACTAGCTGACATGTGTTTCTGTCTGTCCTTCAATATTTCACACATTCATCTTATGATGCACGATTCCCCCAAATTATTATTAACACAAGCTTTTTGCTGTTGTACTTTTCTCGAACATTTTTATATGGTCTCAAAATTGTCATCCATGAGTTGGCGTTGTGACACAGCCAGTCAAGCTGCCACTTGTGACACCAGCGTCCCATACATGAGCACCAGTTTGAATCAGGAGTTCCTCCGCACCCAAACTAAGTTCCTGCTATTGTACCTAGGAAAGCAGTGGAAGATGACTCAAGTTCTGGGATCCCTGCTGCATAGGGAGCCAGTGAGCGAGGTCCTGGCCCTTGGCTTCAGCCAGCCTCAGCCCTGGAGGTTGCAGGCATTTGGAAACTGAACAGGTGGATGGAAAAATCTGACTCTCTCATTTGACCTTCCATTTTACCTCTACCTCTCTCTATGCAGGTATCACTCTGCATAGATGAATAAATGAATGAATGAAGGAATCAAGTAAATTGATAAATATTTTTAAAAATGTATTCAATTAGCTAAGGAACCCAACTCCAGGGGCCTGGGGCTCGTCTTCCATATCTAGACCAAGAAGCTTTAACAGGGTAAAGGGCAGACTCTTCACATGTGTCCCAGATAGTAAAAGTGTTGATTGGAAGGGACACCATGACCTAAGCCATGGGTTTGTTTGCGTTTCTTTGTTTATTTGCTTTCAGTCTAGATTTTCAAAAAATAGGATGCAGAGAAGTGACTTGTCTGGACATCAGTGTGTATTTGACCATTCAACTCTTCTTTGAGAAACACAGCAAGTGAATACATAACTAGTCTTTGCCAGAGTGCAATTAGTGAATTCGCCTAAGGCATCTTTTACAACATAAACCATAATAGCTTACATTTCTTTTGTATAATCAAGAATATGTGAATAGTGATGACTTGTTCCTAAGTCACTGAGAAACATTTGAACTACAAGTGCATACTCCAAACTTTCTATCGTCAGCGCTAACAAGGGGAGACAGGCAAGCTTTGCGTGTGCAGCCAAGTGACAGAACAGAGGTCACCTGACAAGAACAAGCAGTAGGTAATCTCTTCCAAGTTAAGCTGTCACTTGTGACACCTACATCCAGGTTTCTGCTATGGAGTTCTGGCCCCGCTTTAAATCCATCTTCCTGCTAACGCTCCCACGAGGATGCAACAATGGCTCCAAAAGATGAGTTCCTGCTAGCTATGATGAAAACTGAATAGGGTTTCTGACTCTTAAGCCTCAGTCTAGTATAGCTTCGGAGTGGTATGGCATTTTTGGAGTGAACGAGCAGACAAAAAAATCTCTCTATCCTCAAGTCTCTGTCTCCATCTCTCTCCAGCAATGACTTCACTTTTTAAGGTAGAGAGGAATTCAGTTAGACCTCAAGTTCTTATTTCCATGTACACGAGACTCAGCATGGAGAAAAAAGCAATTAAGTCACATCTAACAGGGGTGCACAGGCAAGTCCCAAACATGGAGACAGTCTAGCTTCACCAAAAATTTACATAACTGAAAAAAAAATTAAAGGGCCTTAAGAACTCTAAACAAGCAAAAGTGGAATGTGGAAACTGTTCTCATTCATAATTTAAAAATCCATTGCAAATATATTTTAGAAACAGAAAATATTATTACATATTGAGTTTAAAATGTCATGAAATTATAGTTAAAGATTTTGTGATGATAATGCTATGGTTGTTTTAGAAAATACGTTTTCTAAGTTGTGCACTGCCATATGAACAAATACAGTGATACAATATCTGGGATTTGTCTTGAACTCTCTATAAACAGAGAATTCAGGCAAATATACTTAACATACTGATAATTGTATTAATGCTAATAATTATAGGATTCATAGCATGTCTTTCCACTTACGAGTGTAAAATTTTTTAGTTTCAAAAACATATAAACTTTGTTAGAAAATTCTATATATTCAGGAAATTAGAGAAATCTGCTAACAACTCCATCTACTTACAATATAGCTAACTCAATCCTTGAGCCTAAAAATAGTTAGTACACTTGTGAAACTGTACAATGCTGCACACAACCACCGGACAAATTACCTGACAGTCTTTCAGTGAGTTCTGTACTGAAGCATGATCCCCAACTCGATGCTGCTCTTTCAGCCTCTTTTCTTGGGTTTCAAACCAAATTTGTAGACACTGTATATTATTCTCATATTCTGACCAAGATTCCAATAAACCTTCCAACAGCTGTATCTGAACAAAGATAGCAAATGAAATTTGCAATTTTAATATTAAAGTCAAATCAAGGACAGGCTAATTATTCAAGCCATTGGTTTCTCCAAACTAAGAATTCCTAAAGTTGGGTCTATCATTTTAAAAATGTGGTAAAATGTGAATTAATTCATACACCTGGTAAACAAGAAAATATTAATGGGAAACAAAGGTAAAGGAATTAAGAGGCATCATTTATATTGGAAACATCACTACATCAATAAAGAAGAGAAGAACATGCAAATTAATAGGACTAAGCATAGTATAGAGTAATGCACTCTCTAACAGTACTGGCAGAGAAATTCTGGTGTCTAGTCTAGAAATATTACTGTGGAAATAAGTTTAGGATGTGGAATATGCTGTCTGGCAGCATTTATGCATAAACGGGGTAGCCGCAGCTCTCGGGCTTACCTTCTCACTTACTAGACCCTGCAATATTTGCCAACTTTTATTCATCGCTCCCAGTTGCTCTGCAAAATCAGTTTTATCACTCCGCTTACTTTCCACATCCTGAGTGCTGATCTGCAGCACAGACTGGTTCACAAAATCAACTGTCAACTGCTTACAGTTAATGTCAATCTTAAAGCCCTAAAAAAGAAAGAGAGGTGCATGCAAATGTCTTGGTATTTTCCCAGGAGTTGAAACATCTTAAATAATCTTAAGATCAACAACACTTATTCACACACTCCATTGCTTTCACACTTTCACATTACACAGTTGTCTGCACATGTTCGTGTAATCACATGGAGATATATAAGACATGCAGATACTAAGTAGAAGATGTAGAATTGGACAACTCACACAACCCCCCCACTGTAAAATATTTATATTACAGTCTTTATTTTTATCATTCTTTTAAAGAAATAATGTTTTCAAAATGATCCTTAACACTGCAGAACTTGGCTATGTCTGTATTTGTTGCTTTGGTTTGTTTGTTTGTTTTTGGTTTAGAATGCCTTTGTGGGCATCATTTATGGAACACAGAGGCCTGATTTCCTAATTTGAGTTTCTGAGTCCTACTGAGATAAAGCAGTCTAAAAAAAATGGGGAAAACATCGAAGGTTCTAGAAATTACCTTGTATTTCTGAAGATATTCATGAATTGCCTTGTAACCTATACAATTTTTTATTTCTTCTTCATCTTTTTGAATCACATTTTCCATGAGAGAAATCCAACTCATTACTTCAGAGATGGCATGACGGGATGGCAGCTTGTCCATCTGGAGCTGTCCAAGTTAGAGGCAAAACACATCACAAGTGTCAGAATCCAGATTTCTGTTCACTTCAAAACCCTAAATTAGTTCCTGTGAAGGGACTCAGGGATAGCACTTGTTAATGGCAGGCTCAGATCTTAACTCCATTAGAGGCTTGAAATTAAAACTCAAGCACTTGATATCCAATACTATAAACACTGTATAAACACTTATTAATTAATCAAAACACCAGCAAGAAGAAAATATCATTCTTACTTTACAGCCTGTTTTATGAGCTTTAAGAAAAATTTAAACTTAAACTACAAAACACTGCTAAGCAGATGTATTTTATTGATTTTCTTGTAAAATTCTCTATTATGACTCAAGAATGTTAAAAGAAAAAGGAAAAATACTACATTGGGTAAGCTATCATTTTCTAGCATTTTTGGCACTCTAATAGTTATTCCTAAGGGCATAGCCAATTTTCTAAGCCTTTAAAATATACTTAGAATTTTGAATCTTGGTATAGCACTCCTTTGTGCATATACTTAAAACGTTTTAGAGAGGGAAAAGCAATCATTGAAAATATTTAGATGGAATTCCTCCTTTATGGCGCTGAAATACATTTAGACAGACACTGAATTGTTTCTGCCCTTGCAGAATAGATCATTGCTGATTCAGAGAAATAAGGCATATAATTAAGCACAGCTCTCACAGCCAGTAATGCCAAGCCAGGTATAAGCTAAAGATCGAAGGTTCTGGAAACTCAGGTGACTGGTAGATATTCCAGAACACAAGGAGAATTCTCATGTTTTACATCATGACTGATGGTGGTTTTACACATTTATAGCACCGAATGACTCTAAAGCTCTCTTTCGTATAGATACATTTGGTGCTGTTTACACAATGATGAAATCATGCAAAGACCCATTACGCGGGATGTCTATTTTGCACAATAACTTACAATCATTTAATGCCATTTGCTCTCTTTCACTTGAGATAAATCTTTTACATGTATTATTATCCATCATCAAGACCCATGTCCTTTTTTTCACATTTTCATCCATTAGAAGACAAAGTCTCAAAAATATCAGCTAGACTTCAATATTCTCTCTCACGTGCACACGCACGCTGTTAAACACACACACACACACATGTTTAAGAAGCCTTTGGATGACATACAATCTGAGCAGGGCTTTGTAAATAGTTCATATGTTTTATAGGTAATGAAATAGAAGAAAGACAAAAACCGTATCTCTGGGACAAAGCTGATGTAAATATGTGAGCAAAAACTGGTTAACGTGGTTCTCCACTTAACATAGCTTAAATCAATGAGTCTAAAGTAGGCCAATCCTGATTTTTCTACCTGATGGAGCTTTTCTTGTACAGCTGGGATGTTTGTCAACAGCTCAGTCCACTGGCTGTCAATGTGAGACAGCTCAGAGCGCAGCGCTGCTGTGTCCGCCTTCTTTAACCGAAGCAGTTGATTTCCGGTGCTCAGCACAGAAGACTTCAGGGAAGCTTTGGCATCCACTTCTTTAGAAAATTCCTAAGAGAAACAGCAGAGCCTTCATTGGGTTTAACAGTGAATGAGACAACTGTGTCTGGACTGGTGTTGGGCACTCAAGAGAAACACAGAAGAACCATGTCTCAACGTCAAATAGAAGTCAATTGAGGAATGACTACTTAAAAACTATATTAAACAGAGAATGTTGAGTCCTTGAGCCTTATTATTTTGCAGAATTGGGCACATGTCCTTAATCTGGATATCAGCATTACTTTACAAAGTACTAAGACTTTAATAGCTGATTTCCTTCATACTGTGTATGAATCAGCCCTTATCCATATGCTTTAAACAATGAGACTGAATCAGATGGTTGAGATTCTTACACTTACCAGGAAAGAATTGAGATGATCTCGGACCATCTCCAGTTCCTGAGGGATAGTTACAGACTGCTGAGTCCAGAACGCTAGCTTGTCTCTTGCTAACTGCAACCAGCGACTCAGATCTGCAGATTCCCGTTGATAACTGCAAGCATATTAATGAGTTTGGTAAACAAATAATCCCGAGCTTTTTCTTGGCCACCATATGTTGTTTTCCAACTAGATACAGTAGACTTAGAAAAGAAGTACACTTGATTGCTATTCTAACATTTTCCTAACATCTATGCCTTATCAAGGCAGTCCCCTGGGTTTCAGGTTTCCCATGTCTGAATTAACGAAACGGTATCTTGGGCCCGGCGCCATGGCCTAGCTGCTAAAATCCTCACCTTGAATGTGCCAGGATCCCATATGGGCACCAGTTCTAATCCCGTCAGCTCCACTTCCCATCCAGCTGCCTGCTTGTGGCCTGGGAAAGCAGTCGAGGACGGCCCAAAGCTTTGGGAACCTGCACCCATGTGGGATACCCTGAAGAAGTTCCTGGATCCTGGCTTTGGATCGGCATAGCATCGGCCGTTGCGGTCACTTGGGACAGATCTTCGGACAGAAGATCTTCCTGTCTGTCTCTCCTCCTCTCTGTATATCTCACTTTCCAATAAATAAATAAATCTTTTTTTTAAAAAAAAAAAGGGTATCTTTACTCCCATTCACATGGATACTACTTAGAAGATACTAAATAATGATTAGCAAAAGTTCTTTTCAATGAAGTTAATCTACAAAAAGGATTTCATCACATAGTAAGTAACCCTTGGCTACTTCCCAATGCACCCCAAGAAACTTGTCTAATTCCCATTCCTCTTCTTTGTCTTCTTCCAAAGGTTTCCTTCCTCCAACCCCCATCCCAGCAATAGTCACCATGTGATGGAGGAGGACAGCCTAAAATCAAAGTACATTATCTGCATGTGTCTACTCATTTACTTTTAACAATGGCTTTATGACTAGACAAGAATATAACTAGTGAATTTCTAGTTCATCTTTTTCGTATCTGGTAATGAGCTTCTAGATGTTTCATGTTTTCCAAGCCTGACTCCTACTAGCATTATGAATGTTCAGCAGATCTTAGATAAAAATATGCAAACCAGTCATCACATGTTACCTGGTCCAGTGTTTTAGTATGGTTTCCAGTCTGTGAAGCTCCTTGGATAGTTTGTTGGTATTATTTAACCAGCGCTCTCCGAGTTGATTCAGCTGGCTTTCCAGATCAGAGCAGCTAATGGATATCAGAAGTCGTTTCCCCTCGTCTAATACTTGATATAATTTGGGCTGGTGTTCGTTAAGGCTTGATTTTAAGTGCTAAAACAATTGAGGATCTCTGGTTATAAGTTGGTAGAGAACTTCATTTAAGAATTACATTTTTTTATGATGCTTACAATGTTCATTATTACTCTATGGTTTAAACATAAACATTTTGTACCTAAGTAGCATTAAAAACTCCTAGAAATATTACGTTTATCCATATTTAGTTATAGACTGTCATTTCTTGGTAGTAACTTTAGATGCTTTTAAAACTGTCACGAATAGTAGGACAACAGTATAAACTACAGAAAATGTTTAGTAGAGCCTGAATTTTCTCCAAGAACATTGTTTAATGTAGATTTTCATTTTTCTATTATTATCAGCTTTCAACAATATGAATAACTTGAATGGAAACTAAAAGTACTTAACAGCTCATTTGACTACAAGTTTAAATTCTTCTAGCAAGGGGGAAATTTTCAATGGAAATACAGGGACATGCTTCTCCAAGGTGTCCCTGAACACAGACCTGGTAGAGCATGATGCGGTCCTGGAGCCTGTCTTCTCTCTCCTCCGCCAGACTCACACTCGGAAGGCTGCTCTCCACCACCTCCAGCTGTTTGCTGAGTGTCTGCTGTTCTGCCTCCAGATGTGACCATGTCTAGCAACACAACATCGTCTATGAGCTAGAAATCCTCAAGAAGGCAAAAGAATGCAATTGATATGTTCTCTTTCAAGTCAGGGGAGTTTGTGTTGGACTTGTCTGAGGAAGCAAAAGACGGCTCTAAAGAAATGCATCAGCGAGTACCTCTTGAAAGCATCACGAATGGGCACTGGTGTCTGCAACTGGTGAGCTATGTGACCACTGGAAAGTTATTTAACCTCTCTGATCCTCATCTACCAGACATTAAAATGGAGACCATAATCACTGGCTTCTTCCTAATGAGGGCTATGCTAAACAATGTGCCACAGACCTGGCCACTTGTATGTACAGCTTCATTTTTTTTTTAATCACAATAAGAATTCCAGTGGGATGATCTGCCTTTCTTATAGCAAGTGAATGAAACATTACATCAGCACATAAAAATTTTAAATACACCTTTTACCAAGTCAATACATAGGATAGATATTTTCATAAGGGTATAAAATACCATATCACTGACTCCTAAACACAGATAAGTCACATTTTATATTACACAAAATTGGGGGGGGGGGAACTTGTAGAAAGTTAACATATTTTCCAAATAATTTAAGAAAGATTCAGAAGTTTTTCAATATGTGTATGTACATTTGACTATGTAGCTGGAATGCAAAAAGGGAATAGCACGGAAACCTATGCTTGGTTTCCAACATGTTTACTAGTTATGGTCAGGCACTGTTGGAGGCCTGCAGATCAAACAAAGTAAGAAAAACTCCTGATTTAATGAAGCTTGCATTCTAGTGAAAGTATATACAAAATACAAAATAATAGCACAACCAAAACTAAAAGTAAAATCGATGGGTCTGAAAAATTACTACACCCAATTTGTCAGGCAAGCCTCACTCACAGACACAAAGTCAAGGCCATGAAACCAGACAGAGCAGTGTGATTACGGACTCTGCTGCCAATTTACCATGTACGTTAGCAGATATTGCTTGCAGACTCGTCCTCAGAAAAGACAGATTCACACAGTGTCTCCAAGATTATAACAAACATGGAATGCCTATCCTGACATATAGTGCCAAATAGTAACCATGCTCACAAAGATTTCAAATATTAGAAAGAAATTTCGCTCCAAACACTATTACATGGGAGAATTTTATAACTGGAATTAACTGGAATTCTAGAGTTGCTCTAGTCATTGATAATGTTGGACCCAGAGATAAATATTTGGCAAGTATAAATACAAGTTATAGTACTTCAATGCTGATGCAGCGGTGTATCATGCTAAGCCTATACTTGTGGTGCTGGGGACTGGTCCCAGCTGCTCCACTTCCAATCCAGCTCCCTACTTATGGTCTGGGGAGGCAGCAGAGGCTAGCCTAAGTCCATGAGCCTCTGTATCCACATGGGGTGGGGGGAGCCCTGAAGGAACTCTTGGCTCCTGGCTTTGGAGCAGCCCAGTTCTGGCCATTGCAGGGCAGTGAGTCAGTGGATAGAAACATCTTTCTGCGACTCTCCTTTTCTCTTGGCAACTTTGCCTTTCCAATAAAAAAAAAAAAAAAACCTTTAAAGATGTTCATAGATAATGGAGCTAAAAGATACTCATTTTGGAACAAAAAAAAAATGAAATTCATGTATATAAAGTTTTCAAAAATCCCAGAACCTGTGCATGCAGAAACTCTAAAAATCTTCCCTCCGAAACAACGGTAATTGCATTTCTCATGAAGCTTTGAAATCCCCTCACATAATCATGAGGAAGAGAAGAAGTGAGACAGACAATCCTGAAAGCTTTCACAGGAAAGGGGAGGCTGGGAAAGCAGGAGCAAGTGAGGTCAAGGAGCTGGTCCCGAGAACAGGAAGATCTGTCCTAGGACTGCAGTTCCCGCGGATCTGCAGTTGACCAGTCAGTCACCGCTGGGCACCAGCTGCGTGACCAAGGGCATACGTTTGTGTTAAAGTTGAACTCTGCTCCCAGTGTGTCCAACTCTAGAGCAGTGGCCTGCAAACTTATCTCGCTATAGTCTAAGTCACAAATAGTTTCAGCTTTGGCTCTACTACTAACATCTGTCCCTGCATTGTGAAAACAGTCCTAAATAACACTCAAGTAGCTTCAACTTTGTACCACCTGGTGCAGCTTGGGTTGTAGACTATTTCCCTGTCTTCTAGCATACAGAACACCACCCCCTTCTTGGGGAGGCCTTGTCATGCTGTATTTCTTTACTCTCTGTTGCCCCACTAGTGCATGAGTTGCTGAGACCAGAGAATACGCATCCTGTGTCACCAATAGCTGGGAAAAAAAAACTGGTGTCTGTTTGATAAATGTGAAATAAACCCATATTTGACTCATTTGCAATGAATGAGTGAATAGCAGAAACTAACTGAATATGAGAATGGAATTTCACAGTTAACTCTGTGGCAAAGAAGAGCAAGGTGACCACTGCAAGTGCCTCTGACCATGTGACTCCATGTGTTCTGATCTCAAGCCAGTGTTCCCATGCCAAATGGATCTTTCATGTCCTGCATCTGCAGAACAAAGCCTCAGGCCCAGATGTCTGCCCTTTGGCTCTTGTACTTCAGAGAAAGATACTATCACAGGAGTCACTGCAGTCAGGACAGACACTGAACTATATTCTACATTTTCTGTTTGGCTTGTAAGCTAAACCAACACTCTGAAGGTCCCAAACACCTCTATGCACAGACTAAAGTCAGGCTTCACCCAGTTATCTTATAGTATGGGGCAGCATATAGCCAAAAACAAACAGAAAATACAACATGAATATAGTGACTTGACCCAGAGAGCTTGGCCAGTTCCCAGGCACAGCAAACACAGATTGCCACACAGGTTTGCTCTGCCGTGGGGAGGCGGCAGCAGGGAAGCTCCGACATCCAGACTCACCTCTAGAATGTACTCCAGCTCCACACCCTTCTTGTGAGCCTGCTTCAACACAGCAGACGCCTGGGCCATCAGGTCCGTGTGCAACTGTCTTTCCTTTGGGACCGCAAAGCTGATGATCTTTCTGAAGAGTGTTTCGGTCAAGATCATGTGAGATTCCAAGCCCTGAAAATATTCCTGCAATTTTCAGGTAAAAGTGATCAGTGATTGATTCGTACATATAAAAATTGTTTTGGGTGCAAGCGATGATATGTCACATCAATACACATAGCAATATTTTTCCACTGCACTCTGTTTACTTCCACTTAGCTCTGTCACTCACTGGTACCTGCTGAGATGGGCTCTGCTCTCATCAGCCTCTCTGGTCTCTACTTTCAAGTGAAACTACCTGGTGCTGCACACTGGAACAGAGAGCCCTGAAGAAATCTGTCTATTTGAGCACTGCTACTGAAAACCCTCCCATGTGCTCTTAATACCCTACCCCTGTACCCTCCTGCCTTCACCCTCTATCGCATGGTCTGTCACTTCTTCATACCGGGCCTCCCAAGCACACCATCTGAATGCCTTAGCTTCTACTGCCCCATCTTGGCTGTGCTCACACTCTTCAAGATAATTCCAATTGACATTTAGGGAAGAGTCTCCTTCCACGTCTGGGCTTTAGTTCCATTTTCTGACTGACCGGAGTGTCTGCCATGCTTATTATTTATTTCCAGGTATTCCTTGACACACGTTGGTTGATACTTCTTAAAATCTCCCTATTATACCTATGCATTACCATGGCAACCTCGAAGCCACCCTACATGCTCTGAGACAGGTGGCTTTGTTTCTTCTTTGATCAATGAGAACAAACCACCATGTCTGTGGTTTGCTAAAACTACACAGTTAATCTTGGCAGAGTTGGGGTTTGAACTTGAACTAAGTGGTTAGATCTGTGCTGTTCCACCTACATACTGCAGAATGCTCTCTCCCAAGAAATGGACCGGTCAACAGAATTGAGAGTCATTATTTTAAATTGGCAATCATCTTATCACAGAATCTTGAAGTTTCAACGACCTCGGAGGTCTTCTAGTTTAACTTTCAACGAAACCTGAAATTTCTTTCACAAGGCTTTCTGCCCTGATGGCAGACTTGGCACTTCTCCTGGGCAGCAGGCATTTCTGTACAACAGCAACCTACTCCTTTCAGAGTACCTCGACTGAGCTTTATTTTCCTTTTATTTATATTCATTGATCCTACTGTTCCCTCCAGGATAACTCAAACTGATCTTTTATGGTTATGGCCATATTTGAGAAGAAACAGCTGTGAATTTAAAAGTGATGCTTTCAAAGCTTAATGAGAAACTCAATAAATTATAAATTCTAGACAAAAGTCTGTGGGGGGAAAAAATAGCTAGAAGCAAAATTCTCTCTCACCTCCCGCCTCCACATACAACACTCACCATGATATCCACTAGAGAGTTTCCTAATGTAGACTGTGCTAACCATTTCATTCCTAGTGGGACTTTTTTACTTTCTTGTAAGAAACTCTTACAGTGTAGGAGACTAGATTTTTGTATTGGCAAACTTTTCATAATCTTTGCTAATATGCAAGTGCTAGAGAATGTGTGTGTGTGTGTTGTACATGTGAGTGCATGTGAGAGAGAGAGAGAGAGGGACGAGACAGTCAGAGAGAAGGAACAGGCATTCCTGTACGACAGAGTAGCATCCACGTTTCCTCCCTGAGTTTGGCCACAACTCACACACATGCAACCTTCTCAGGCATCCCCAGTGCATTTTGCATTGTATAGCAACCCGATGTCCTCAGGAAAAAACTAAGAGCACGTACTTAAAGGTCAGACAATCTAAAAAAATTTAAACAAACTAGCAAAAGAGCATTCACAAACATGAGCCCAATCTCTAGTCTGAATGGGGGACTCCGCATTCCCTGAGCAGAGTTAGAAGTTCTTGGTCAAGAAACTTGTGGCATGAGAGCACCTTTCATTCACTGATAAGCAGGCACAGGGTAGGAAGCAGGGTTCTGTGTAAGAGCTCTGAGCTTACCCTTGATCATAGCTCATGTAAGGGAGAAGCTTGTCTAATAATCATGAGAAAGTAAGAAGAAAAAAATCATTGGGTTGGAACACATATGTATTGCTTATTTTTAAAAACTGAAATACAGAAGAGAAACTCACAAATGATATAGACTACAAGGTCTTAGCAAATATATATCACGATTTGAGCATATGCCGTTACACACTTCTTTCTCCTTTCATTTTGTACCTTGTGTTTGTCAAGTAGTTGCTGGACTTCCTCTTTGGAAGACACCATGATTTTCTGGTCCCCTGCCATCTTCTCTCGTCCAGTTTCAAGCAGGTCAGCCAGATCCTGCAAGGCCCTCTCATACTGACTCTTGAATACAAGATTTTGATTTAGGCCACTCCGCCGGGAGCCGATAGTCATAACCAGTTCATCATACATATCCTAAGAAGAAAAACAAAGGATTAACTTTCAACTCACACTGCAGCACTCCTGTGAACCCAACACCTGCAGGCCCTCCTAGCTGCATCATGTCTGTGGCTCACAGTACTTCACATGTCGGTCATTTGCCTGCCTTTTCTCATGAGCCTTACTTGGAAAACATCTTTCAAAGAAGATAAGCTTTGGATCTCTGTCCCCAAGCCCTCAACATATGGTTTATACAACTGTGGGTTTAGAAAGTTTTGATATTGTCATGGTTTAAGCTTTGTTATGTGCCTTGCTCAATTTTCTTATCTACTCTTTCTTCCTCTCAATTTTATTTTCTATTCAACTGACTTGTAATAAAGCACAACAGAGAACTGAAAGAAAAAAAAAAGGAGAACTGTGTATTAAAAATGTAGATATAGAGTTACTGAGGTAGAGGATTAGATAATCAATGAATAAAATGGAAACAACTAAATCACATGGAGAAAGTTAGAGTTGGATTTTGTGCCATAAATCAAAACATATAAATCTATATTGTTTAAAAAGCAAAATTGTAAATAAAACTTTCAAAAATGCAAAAAACAAAGGTGTGTCAATAAAAAATAAGCTTCATATTTTAATATTTCAAAAGATAGGCAAAAGTATTTCCTAGGAGTTGGCATTGTGGTTCAGTGCGTTTGACCACTGCCTGCAATGCCAACATTCAATATGAGCAGTGGTTTTAGTTTCAGCTGTTCCCTTTCCGATCCAGCACCCTGATAATGCACCTGGGAAAGCAGCAGAAGATGGTCCAAGTTCTGGGGCCCCTGGCACTAACACAGGAAACCCAGATGAAGTTCCAGGCTGCTGGCTTTTTCCAGGCCTTTTCTTGATTCTCAGGGCCATTTAGAGAGCAACCCAGTAGATGTAAGATATTTCTCGGTCTCTCTTTGTCTCCCTTTTTCTCTCCTCTCCCAACTTGTCCTTAAAATAATAAATCTTTTAAAAAATATTTCCTAAAGATGGCACTATTTCTTGGAGTGTAAATAATTCATAGTGGTGAAAGTTGGAGCAAAAAGTTTTGAAAAATAGTCCACATAACTAAAGGAGATGTCATAGAAGATATAATTTTAATTTTTGCAATGGTCTCAATATTTACATAATTTTAAATAGAATATACTTTACACTTAACATTCTGTTTGCTATATAATAATGAGATTTTGAACTATGCTTCAAATAAAGAGATAGAGACATAAAGTAGAGGAGTTTAATGTGAGGAAAGAGACTTAAGTCTTAAAAAGGAAACTTCTTGTTTTTTTGCCAAATGTGGTGGACTAGATAATTGCTTAAAGCAGAAATATGTTTTAAAAGATGATGATACAAATGCAAAATTTATTTGAAGCATGTGGGTTTAATTAATACATCATAAGAAAGTTAAGCTGGCCCAAATGGTTCAATCTGGAAAGGTTCAACTTTAATGCCTCTTTATAGCTCTGACGTTGGATTCTTACACCTGATGCTGAAGCGCATCAAGAACTGCAGACAGCAGGAACTGTGGGGTTACAATATTGTGAAATAGGAGATAAAGGAATGAGACAGTTATGAAGAAAATCTCCTATCTTTTATGAGATCTATGCTATTTTGTCTGAGAGAAAGAGCTTGCAAGACTGTCCCAGAATCACATGCCTAAAGCCTAGTTGTTCTGCAATGACGCATGCCGACAGTGTCATGACGTGAGGCATGTATGTGTGTGTCTGATGGGACATAACTGGACATAACTTATTCTTACTATGACGATGCTGCTTTTCAGATGCTAAGTTCCACTGGTCTTCCATCTCTGCCTTCCTGTCACCCTCTATCAGATTCCTGACTACGTGTCAAAGCTAAGAAAGCAAACTAACCTTGAATATTATTCCCTTTCCTTGAGGGATGCTCCAGGGTATATTTCAACTGCCTTCTAATTAATTGTTGTTATTACAGAATTGAAACAGTGTCTCTGTTTCATTAAAATACACACAAAAGATAAACAGCAGCTTTTGAAAACCTTAAAAAAATATCTTCTTGAAAGTATTGTGTTGAATAATTTTTTATCAGCTTTTGGAAAGACAGTACAATTCAAAGTAGATATATTTTTAAAAATTTCCCCAGATAAGAGTGATAGTTACTATATTTTCTGGAGAAAAAAGAAATGATATATGTCAACTAAAGTAAGCCAGAATGACTAGGCAACAGATTAATCAAGTAAATAATTAGTACATGTAAAAAAAAAAACATGATCATAAGAAGCATTAGAATATAGTTGATTGTATTGTACTAAGTGTGAGAAGTTTTAAAAAAAACCTTCAGAGTTAATTGAAAATAAGGTTAGTGCCAAAAACAAAATGAAGCATACACAGAAAGCTATGAAAAAGAGAAACATTTTTTTTTCAACTCAAGTTAAACCATGGAAGTAGATGACTCGTGGCTGAAACGTGTACCTGGAGTTTGGAGAGGTCTTGCATGGATGGCTGCTCAATCTGCAACTTGTCTCCACGTCTTTTTAACTCAGTGATTCCTGCATCCAATTCCTTTAATCCATCTTCTGCTTGTTGTATTGCCTATGTAACATTTGTGACATTTCATTTTAACACCAATGAACACAACACAAAATATGTCTATTTGCTTCTCCTCCATTTACATACACACTGAATGACGTAGTTAAAGGAGTCTTTGGACAGATTATAACTACGATGGTTACATTTCATGTGGAAAGGGAAGATGGCCATTTGTCATAATATAGTTCCAGAAAAAAAAGAGGTAAAAATTTAGGGCAGAGAGCTTGGAAAAAATATAGCTTCCTTAAACTAATAAGGGAAACTGAAACTGCATCATGATTTAGATCATAGTTAGAAATTGGTATGTGTCTGAAACTTTTTAGAAGAATAAAGTTGCAGTTTCCTGAAGTGCAGCTGTGAGTATCTGTGAAAAGAGATACAGCAAAGAAAATACATTATAACACAGTTCAGGAATGCTTGCTCACGGCAATGAAGTGAATAACCAATCAATCAACAAGTACTGAAGTGGTTACTATTGTGAAACTCTGTCTTCTGTGTGTGAGGTCTATAGAAATTAGGACCTCATCTTGAACTTCAAGAAGCTGCCAGTCTGGTTAGGAAGAAAGCAGGCTGAATACCATTCGGAGCCACAGTTGATGATGCAACTCGCTCATCAGAGGTGTTTGGAGAAGGGAAGACTGCAGATCAGTCAAGACCGATGAAGTAGGCTTTTGGAAGAGTAACAACCTCAGTTGCCCTCCAAGGACGCCAGATGGCAGAGGAACACATGGGTCCAATTTCTCTTTCCTGAGCCCCCATTACAAGCACAACAAATATTCTGTTTACTTTCGTATTTGGTATGTTTTCTCCCCATGAATCTACCGAAACAATGGGGACAGAAAAGAAGAAAGCCTAACAGAATTCTAGAAACGGGATTCAGAAGAATGCAGGAACATGGACTTGGGGAATCTAAGGAGCTGGAGTCTTTTCTGGCAGAGACCCTGCACCACTCCGAGCTCAGAGCATCAGAGATTTCCAGCAGCCTGAGTGAAGTGCAAAGTAACTTACAGCTCGCGAAAAGTAACCTAAGGAGCAGTTAAAGGTTTGGACCCCGTCCTTGTTCCATGCGGCCCTTTCCTTCCTCAAAGGGCTGAAAGTTAACTTTCTGGAGAAGAAATAGCAGTTTGCAGACAGAGGAGAAGCAGACACAATGGTGGACTTAGGTACTTGACAACTGGAATGAGATCTGTGAGTGCCTGCAAGTGTAAGTGCTTCATATGAGACCCCAGAGTCTTCTCCGATTCAAAACATGTTATAGCCAGGTCATCTAAATAACCTAAACATGTTAATACGAACACTCTAACACATGATCCAACCTCGAGTAAACCTCAGAAGTGTAAGTTGCCACCCACACAAGGGATAGCCATCAGTTCTTCAGTCTCCATTCTAGATGTAAACAGCGAAAGATTTCCATATCCTTAAGTGAAACCAACATGACAGAGAATGAAAAATAAGCAGGAAAAACCTTGTAATGAAACCAATTATATGGACATTTTTTAAACATCAACAATTAATCTTTAGTTACAACAACATAGAAAAAGAAATGTTCCAGTTAAAAACCTAACAGGATAATTTTTAAAGGCATCAAATGATCAGAGTGAGCTTGGAAAGTATTAAATATTAGGGAACAGGAACTCAGAACTCAGTGTTTTTGGAGATTGAAGATGTCAAAAAGATTACAGTAAGAAAAACAGAGGGCTAGACAAAAAATAAAATCTGATAGAAATGAGGTTCAGAGTTGATGAAACAGAACAACTAACGTATTAAATAATTTATTAGAAATCATTCCATAAGGGAAAGAAGAGAGTGAAAAACCCGAAAAGGCTCACTGCTTTCTACCTAGCAGATAAAAATATGCCTTTCCCTAGGCAAGTGAAATTCCAGAATACCAGCATCTGTTGGGAACCGGAATGACTTTAGATGACTGAATCCAGTTTTAAAACCTACAATGAAGTAAAAGTCTCCAAACTCAAAAAGAAATCATCAACCAAGAACTATACAAAAGCCAACCATTCAAAAAAAGCATGAACATAGCTTGATAAATTCTCACACACGTAAGACCTTGAAAAGTTGGCTTTTTCCTTTCTTAGAAAAGATGTACAGCACCAGCACAGGGTAGGAATTCAACAGAAGGAAGATTGGGATACACTAGAGAAGCTCGGGCAGTGGAGAAATGAAAGGAATTCTTGGGTCAGCGATGAACAAAGTGTTCACAAAGGCAGGGGTGCAACAGCTCTACTGGACAATCAACCTTAACTGGAATAAGAGTCAGATGAGGAACGCCCTGAGAGTGACACATTCGCGCCTTCTGTTGTCATGTTTTAATCAAAAGAAGGTAGGGGCAGGGTTGATGTATTTATCAAACGTTTTTATTTTTTAAAAAAGGTCCAATTTTTTTATTCCTTTACCTGTGGAATTTATTTTGTTTCACCAGCCAATAATTACAAACAAAAACAAAAAAACAAAAACCACAACTATATTTCACATTAGAAATTCATTACAAGAGGACATCCCTGTACTTGCTCAAATGCTTTCTGGAGTCACTCACATTATAAGTCATAAACAAATAAATGTTCACTCATTTGCAAAATACACCATAAAATCATTTTTAATTTAGGAGAAAGTAAATACTAATTTCTTTAAAAGAAGATTATATCATGGTCAAGAAAATCGCATATTCAAAAACTTGGCTATCTCTTTCATGTTATCCCACATTGCCCCTTGGGGTCTGCTGAAAATAGGTTAAGACATTGTATTAAAACTCATCCTTGTTGGAATCATGTAGTTTACGAAACACGGCATGCTCTTTAGCCCCGCCTTCTGCATCTGCTCTTTGCTCTGGTCTGAGTCCTCATTCCTTCTCAGCACAGCTGAGATGTGTCACGTACCATCTGCCACTTTGACTGTCCAGAGCAGAACATGCACCTCATCCACAGGGGTGCTCCAGTGCCAAGGGCTGCCATGATGAACGTGTCAGTCCGCAGTGCTGTGTCTTTGGCTGATGATAGTCACATTAATGCTTATGCCTCATGAAAGACTTCATATTATTTCTAAGTAAGGGTATATTTTCATACATGTATTTGTGGTGTGCTTCTTTCTTTTTATAAATATGGAATCAATAAAAGGTAGAGACCATGGTTTATACAGTAAGTTCCAAACTTTTTTATTCATTAGGCCCTACAAGCTACCTCAAATTGACTCACCCAATTCAATTTTCTTTCAACCACTTTCTTTTTTAATTTTTAAATTATTGCATTTATTTTTCAGGTAACATTTTCAGCAAAAAGCTTAACGGCCTACCAAATAAAGGGTTCAGTAAAGAAAAAGCTTTATGCTTAACCAGGAAGTAAGCCTAGGAAAGCAGTCGAGGACAGCCCAAAGCCTTGGGACCCTGCACCCATGTGGGAGACCTGGAAGAGGTTCCTGGTTCCCGGCTTCGGATCGGCACAGCACCGGCTGTTGTGGTCACTTGGGGAGTGACTCATCGGACGGAAGATCTTCCTCTCTGTCTCTCCTCCTCTCTGTATATCTGACTTTGTAATAAGAATAAATACATTTTAAAAGTATCTGTAAATGCTTTTTCCATCCTCTGATACTTTCTTCTCAAGTCACCACATGTACACATTTCCAATGTGTTCAGGGTTCTTCAATAAAGTCCCAGTTGAACCTCTCCTGGCAGAGGTCACTCGCCCACTTCTGAGTGTTCACAGTATTCCCATATATTTTTCAAGGACAGTTTGGCTTTTCTGGTCTGTGTCATTGAGGTTCATATCAATCTCCTTGTGGGATGGCAAACTCCAGCTCAGCATCCGTCATGGCTTCCTTTTCCTAACTCACATTTTCCAGTTCCATTAAGTAATGATGCAATGTCGCTCTTCATATTACTCAGACTGAGTAATCAGAAAGAGCATGTATGGCAGGCAAGAATGCTACAATAGGGATGACATTTTCATAGAATTTTTGAAGTTGTTCAGTAAAGCAGATCTGTGTTCTAGGAGAAAGCTGTACATACCTCTATCTGTTCTGCTACAGGCTGTTCAAACACGTTGGCCAGTTTCTGCAGGATGAGGTATTTGTTGTCAGCCAGAGATGCAAACAGCACCTTCAGATCATTCTGAGGAGGAAAGCCACAGGGAGATATGTCGGAACAACTATGACACATATTTTTAGCATCTAGATATCCCTCCAGGAGTGATTCCAGGACCCAATGTAAACAACATAATCCTTGAAGGCTCAAGTCCCTTCAATAAAATGTCATGATATCTGCATGTAATTTGCACAACCCTTCCACATATTGTTTTTTAAAAAACTTATTTGAGTATTAGAGAGAGAGAAAGGTAAAGGAACGGAGTAGGGGGAGAAGGGAATGAAGAAAAAAGGCGGAGAGGGATGAACAAAAGGGAGAGAATGAAACACCATAATACTGACTCATTCTCTAAAGTATGCAAAGCCAGGAGCCAGGAGCTCCGTCCACATCTCCTTCATGGGCAGCAGAACCCAATTGCTAAAGACATCATCTGCTGTCCCTAGGGTCTGCATTAGTAGCAGGTAGTAGCTACGAGTGCCTATCACCAAAATGAGCAATTCTGACTGCCCTCAAAAAGGATAGTTACACCCAGCAAGGAAACCATCTTTAACATTAAGGATTGTGGAGGTATCACACTCCACAAACGGAGGCTCAAAAGAGAAGGGGTGAATTATGTAGTATGGCAGCTGTGGAAATGAAAACAGTCATGAGCATGAAAATTAAATAGAAAATTATATCTGTGCTAGAAAACCAATTATGGATCCAACAATAATCATATCGGTCAACTGTGTGAGGTCAAGTGGGCCATTAGAACTATCACACCTTTATCACGGACATAATACAAGATGCTTCTCACTCATTTTTATGGATGCCAATTACTTAATCTTCATTGTCTACGGATATTTATAACACCATTAATCTGGTCTAAAATGCAGATGAACAGAAGGGATTATTACAGGTTAGGAATAATATATGTATATTTCTTATACATCATATTTTCATAGCATATTTTTGTCTCATCTGTATTTCACTCAAGATCATAGAAAACAGAGCTCAGGTTCCAAAAACCACACTAACCACCAGAGGGGCTCAGTTAAGGTCATAAAACACATATTGTGAGAAATTGAAAGTTTCTAAAATAAGACTTTAAAAGCAAATGGATGCAGATATTTTCTTTAAAAGCCAAAAAAAATCCATTTTTCCTACTGCACAGTAGGCTATATGGCAGGTTAATCAAGAAATCACATTTTCTTCACATAATGGAATCAATGGTTCAACTCAAAAAAAGCCAAACTCCAAGCCACAAATCCACAAAGGCTTCAAGCTTTAAAATTATTTGTACTTTCTCATTCATTTAAGAACTCCTTAATTTATTTTCTATATTTTAAATCAACTTAAAATACTTGCTTATACATCTAGGAATACTGTTTGGGATTATGAATATAGGCAAAAGAAATTAATTACTGAGCTGATAGTTAACAACACATTTTAGGATATTATGTTCCTTTCTGAATAGATTTCTGAATATAAAATAAAATCTATGAAAATCTAATACTCAAAGATTAAACCAAAAATGAAAGTAAGTCATTTCAATAAGTATTGAGCACTAGCTACTTGGTGAAAAGTAAAACAAAATGATTTATGATGTGAAATTTAATTAAACAAAGGGTCTTTTAAAAGTTCATGAGAAATGTATATTATAAAAAATTATAGACATATATATATATATTAAAAATTTGTGCTAAAATAACTGTTCCATTCAATCTCCTACAAATTTCTAGAAGGTTTTCATGTCAACCCCAAGATTCTCTGTCTCAATTAAGTAGGAACACAAACATTTCAAACGATTGGAGTCTGTTTGTGAGCTGGCCATCAACATATGGAAACTTACTGGCAGATACAAATTGCAGAACATAATTTAAAGATAAATTCATGATTACATATCCTTCTTATACCCTTTGCAATAAAATGAGTTCCAGGCTGCTGTGACTGGTTATAATTACCAATAAAATTTGAAAGTACCAAAGACAATGACGAAGTAACTGCAATTCACGAAGGGGAAGATCATGCCCTGAGTGCTTTGTAAACTAGCCCGCATGCACAGTTAAACATAAGTCAGTGTTTTATTTTCAGAAAGGGAAATCTTAGAGCAGTGAAACATGTTCTGGTGAGTTACCAACATCCTGGCCCATTTTTAAAAGATGTGCATAGACATACACACAATTGGATCTTGGAATCCAAAACGAAACACTCAGTTGAGCAACCCCTGCTTTTCTAACTCGAAAATGCTCTCCAGATATACACCCAACCTACATAATTTGCAAGCCACATACATGCAGACTCGGATATCTAATACGATGTTTTAGTCAAGCCTTTCCACAGTCAATGGCATCACTAATGCCCAGCTTTGTCTGTTGGCCAATGGCGTTTCTACCCACCAGTCTTCTCCATCATTCAGTTTCCCACACCTCCAGCCCCAAATGCTCAAGCTAGAATTTCCAACATTTCTCAGAAATTCCCTTTCTGCTATTTCCCACATCCAAACCATCAACAGATGTTTTCTTATTGATTCTTTATATCAAATGAGTCTTGAGCAGGAACTACCCTCCACCTTCTCTGCCTTCACTCTAACAGCTATAAAATTCAAAATGACTCTTGTGAGTCAAATCCTGGCTCTGCCTCCTGACGTCTGAAGACTGCTGGAGAAGTACTTAACTCCGTGTGTTGGGTTTAGAGCCTCTGTTATAATAATAACAACAACAATACTTAAGAACAAAATTGGCTGATACAGAGATTTACTATGTATTAGGCCTTATTCAGAGTATACATGTGACAGTTCAACTCACTTTTCAGTACTCCAGGAGGAAACAATTATGGGCATGATTTGATGGGTGAGAGTATGAAGTCTCAGAGAAGTTAAGCAGCTAAGGTTACCCAGCAGTAAGTGACAAAGTCAGAATTTGAATAGTGTTGGTAACAGAAAGACAGCATTCCCCAGCTGTACGCTGTCTAGGCTAAGCTTGCATCTAGCCAAGTGTAAAAATGCTGGAAGAGAAACAATCAGTAGCTGGTGGGTATTCTGGGCCTGGCTAATGCCAAAATTGTATCAGTATGCCAGCATAGTGGTTTATTACTAAAAAGAGAGAGAGAGAGAAAGAGAGAGAGAGAATGAATGAATGAATGAATGAATGTGGTGAAGGCAGGGAATGCTGAGCTGGCACATGCCACCCTTGCCCCCAGGTGAGGGTGAAAAAAAAGCTACAAACATCTCAGGGAAGGTCTCGGGGACCTAATGAAGTGGGAGCAGCTAGGAGCATGTTTTTCAGGAAAGGAATTGTTTCTGCAGTCTTCCATGAACCGAGCCGTTGCACTCACAGGTAGGTGGGAGAGTTGAGATAGAATGGTTTAAAGTGGGGCATATCTGCATCAGACCATGGCACCCACCCACAGTGGGAGACCAGCACTGGCTAAGTAGCACTGCCCACTGCCCATTGGCACATGCAAAATCTGGGGCTGTAGGGCATGCCTAGTTGGGCTGGGCCATAATACCCATCTGCGAATGTTAGAGCAGAGAGTAGGTCATGCCATCCTGGGCTGCAGCACCCACCAGGACACAAGAGAACCAGATCTGGTGGCAGATTCTGTAAGGAATCTGTGGGTTCATCTTTGTGGGACTGCAACACCTGCCAGTTTATGGTTTATAAGGAGAGCTGAGGTTGGTGATGGGCTGAACTAGATTGGACCACAGAACTCACCTGACAGAACCCACCTGGCACTCACAGGAGTTGGGCCTGGGAAAAAGCAAGGCTGGTCCAGTCTACTGCACCTGCTCACACATATACAGGCTGGGACTGCAGGCAGATCATGTCAAGTAGGATTGTTGCACCTGCCAGCACGTGTGAGATCTAGGGTTGGAAGCAGGCCTGGTAGGGGAACTTTGGAAATTCCCCTACTAGACAGTAATTTCCACTAGTGAGTGTGAGAGCCAGGGGTTGAGGGTAGAGCTAGACCTGGCTGGGCTGAGTATCTTCTAGCATACACACAAGCCAGGTCTGTGGATGGGCTGAGTAGGGTCAGTGCACAGCACACAATGGCACAAGTGAGAGCCAGAAAAGAGAAAAGGCCAGACCAGGCTAGAGTGTAACACCATCAGTTCAGAAGAGGGCCAGGGTGAGCCAAACTGGGCTAGGTTGCTATACCTGCTGGCAAGAGCTAGACTGGCTGCAGGATGGTTGAGTCAGGCTATAGCACCTGCCTGCAAATGCCAAAATTGGGGACAAGCCTGTAAAGCTGGGCCACAGTACCCGCTTGCACGCATAAGACCCAGGGCCAGGAGCTGGCCTCGTAGGGAAAATCTTTGGAACTCCCCTTCTGGGCTGCTACTTTCACAAGTGAGACAAGACCTGGGACTGGAGGCAGGCCAGGCTAGTGTAGGTGGTGCCACCTATAGTCGCACATGAAGACCAGGTCTGGGGGTGGGTCAGGTTGTGCTAAGCTGTAGAACTCATGGGTGTACACAAAAACCAGATGGGATATGGGTTGGCGCCAGGCTAAACAAAAGCAGAGGCAGGCAAGTACAAAAAGTGGGCTGGGGTAGGCCTGGTAGGCATTATTGCAGTTGTCCCAAGGTCATGGAACCTGCCAATAAGTTTGAGGACCAAGTCTGTGGTAAACTGGTTGAGCAGCAGCACCTGCCAGTTCACATGAAATATGGAGCTGGGCTGCAACAGATCAGATAGCCTGCATCTACCAATATGTGTTGGCTGGTGCAGGTGACAGACTGAACCTGACCCTATCTGTACTGGATGGTGCAACCAAGAGTCAAGTCGGAGGTTGCCCCAGGTGAGACTTCTAGGCAGAACTCCCTAGCTAGACCCCAACTATCCCAAAAAGTCACAGGATGTGTAATTTAATCTTGGAGGGCATGTGTCAAGACTGGGCCTCCTCAGTTGCTGATGTCTGTGCTGTGGACAGTATGCCCAGATGCACATGGAGGACATTATGACCAGCTCATCTAGGCCAGCAGAGACATCGATTGCCTCATCAGAGGATGGAAAGCAGAACAGAACAGGTGGGACAATTCTGGCCAACTTTTGCAGCATGTTCCTGGGTCTGTGGATGCACTCACTAAAGGTAGAGCTTGCCAACCAACAGACCTCAGAGAGAGATTCTCAACAATGAAACCACTTAGATACTAGCATCATCAAATGACCATTGTCCAAGCCTGAGCACCGATGTGGTCTGGCAGCAGCAGTGGTCCCCTCTCCCCCCTCCTCTGTGGACACAGGAGGGGAAAAAAGATGAAACATTTGTCCCACCCACGTTCCTCTGTATCCAAACCCTCAGTCCTAATCAGAGGCCCAGAAGGGCATTCATCCCTCTCAACTATGTAAACATTAAAAAGAAAATTTAAAATAAATTTTAAAAAGATAATGTTACGCTGAGGAGACCAAATTGGAACATACTGGGATCTTTTGTTGTTGTTGTTTGCTCATTTGACCTGAGAGCTGAGAGAGCACATGAGCATACTGTGTCCTTCCCTCATCTGCTAGTTCACCAGATGGAACAAGGAGCGCAATCTGGGTCTCCCGTGTGGTTGGCAGGACCCAACTACGTGGGCCATCACATGCTGCTTCCCAGGGTGCATTCTGCAGGAAGTTCGACTCAGGAGTGGAGGCAGGACTTGAACCAGGCATTTCCATAAGAGATGTGACATCTCAACTGACACCTTAGCCTCTGTACTAGAGCCCACTCCACGACACACTTTCACCAGAGAGAAGTCTGCAGACAACAGCCAGGTTCAAAGACTCCTTGACGTCCAAGCCCAGAGCACTTTCTACACTCTAGAGTTCTTGAATGTTCTTTAATAACATGCTTCACTCCCAATTACCAACCAAAAATTTTAATTGTAATGAATCATATGTTTGATTTCTAGTATTTGAATTTCAAGTTCTATTCATTCCTGCATTTTACTGAGTGATTTTTCTCAGTATTCTACTTCTATCATGAAAGTTTTGGTTTTCCAATTCTTTAGTAATACTCTCTTGGTTTTCTGCAAATGTATGTTTAGAAGAGAAATGATTTACAACATTCCTCTATGATACTGTTCATTAGTATTAAATAGGCCTGGAAAATGTTTAAAAACGCTTTGACAGTGTCTTACCTGGAAATTTAGTATTTGTTGAAGTCTTTCCTTCATCTGGTGACATCGCTGGTTCACTACAGCATCTAGCAAGGATAACCTGCCCAGAAGACAGCCCAAGGTATCTTCAATAACATCTCGGTTATCCCCCTTCTCTGGAAAAGCTTGGGAAAACAAGTTCTTGTTCTTATCCATTTCTTCAGACATTTCCTTAATGTCTTTGGCGAGAGTCTAGACCAAAGTAGAACCTTATTTCAATGTTTAGATCCATAAATTGATATTCAAATAAGTCATTTCCTCAGAAGCAGCACATGAGATCTCTCTTATTACTAAGCAAGAATTACACCTACATACTGAATGGAGAAAAACTGAAACCCTTTCCACTGAGATCTGGAACAAGACAAGGATGCTATCACCACTGCTATTCAACATAGTGCTAGAGGTACTTGCAGAAGCCATAAGACAAGAAAAACAAATCAAAGGAATCCAAATGGGAATTGAAAAAGTCATGCTTTCGCTATTCGCAAATGATATCTTTGACAACTTTACACAACTCTTTTCTGCATTATCTGACATGGAAATGAATATTTGAATGTTATTAGTACTATTCAATGCTTGACTTTGTTTATAAAATTAATTATTCAACACTCAAATCTTCTGTATTCTGTTATGTCATAGGTGCACAGAGACATTGCCACACTCACCTCTTGGTTGAAAAGGCAAGTTTCTGTTTCCTCCGGCAACAGTGCTGTGGCAACAAACAAACGCTCTTCCACATCATCCAGCCAGGTTGAGGTGGCTGAAACCCCATCATACAACTTCTGCTCCAAATGCATATTTTGCTGAGGTGCCCCTCCTCCCTGTAACAGAACACAACACACACACATACACACACACAGAGCAATTAAGATTCAATTACAGTCTTGAGGATGAGATTTCAGGGTCCAGTAGGTTTCTGTTTCAAGGACCACCACCCATGCTGTGGGTTCCAGCATTCATCTGTAAGATAGAACTGCTCCACAGAGGCCAAAAAACCCATGCAAATACAGCACAGCCTACCTGGGATGAAACTTCCTCAAAGGCCTGACTCAGTCCACCCAGCAATGATGCAACAGTGGTTTTATCTTGGGTCTGCCCATTCCCTTTGTACAGTTGTACGCCAGATAGGAGTCGGTTTGGCCTGCTGTAAAACTGTGGGAAAACAGGATTGGTTTAGTGAAGAGCGCGGGAGTCATGGCCCTAATCTCTTATTTGAACATATACCTGGAAGGAGATGCTGGGAGAATGACTTCTACCAAAACATCTAGGTGACTTCTACATCACACCAAGCCCACTGACCACAGTGACCTGATTCAACAGTGCCAATGTTTTCGTAAATAGATTTACAAGAAAAAAACAGTGGAAGATGCCTGAGGAATTCTTACGATCTTTCTCCCAATTTACCTTCTCTACTCAACAGCCTACTGTGAAATCATCCATCCTGAATACCAAACGTTGACTGAACTACTTGATTTCAATAGTGTAACCTTGTCTCCCCTCAACTCTTGTTGGCAAGCACAAAACCTCTCCCCGGCAAGGAGCATGCTATTGTCTGGCATTCATTTACCCTGATGATGCTTCTCATCAAATTCAGGCTCCTCCAATTGTTCATAATCATCTTTGAGGACAATCCCTCATCATCCACTGATTCTCCATTGTAGCTAGACTGTCCACTACCCAGCTCACGTTTGGAAAGTTAATACCTTACATTCCATTATACTAAATGAATCCATCTTTTCTTAAAAACAAAACAAAACAAAATGCTTCATTACAATTCCTACTCATGACGTCTACCATTGCTGAATTATTTAGCAATATATGAAACACTTCTTCAGGTAATGGGTTCCCAGAAGCAGGGAAATGACAAATCCCCAAAACACACTGATTGTTCTGCAGAGGTTCTCAATACACTGGAAGGGCGCAGGTGGAAAAAGTGCTCTGATGGATGCTCCTGGGCAGTGAGCAGCCTCCCAACCATGTCTGTTTTCACTCGAGTCATAAGCCTATCCAATGAACAAAACTGCCAGCAAGGTCAGGCCAAAAAGGAGGAACTTTGACATCACACAGATCTGTATCCAATTCCAGCTCCTTCTCTTCTGAGTCATACTATACTGAGAAGCCATCAGCCTCCCAAGCTGGAGTTTTCAGGCCCAGAAAGTCAGGACACCAGTATCAATGCAACATTTCTAGACACACCAATGCCTGGAATATAACTTCTATTTGCGACACGATTACTCTGCTTTTCTTGGAAATCTTGGCAGCTTATTCTCTACCTGCACATCACTTTGAAAACACCCCAGAAAGGAAAACAATTTCTGAAAAAAAGCCCCCAAATGCAACTGACAATGCCAACAGTGGATATGTAGGCGCTTTCCATTTGTATTCATAAATGTAGTGAGAAATGAACGTGTATCTAAGTGCTTCCATCTAGGCATCCTGTGAGAATGTCGGTGGCAGCTGGATAAGATCAAGCCAGAAAGTCCCGGAGTATTTGGGGTGTAGTCCCTGAGATGATCAATGCTCCAAGATAACACAGGAGGCATCCAGAAACTCTGCAGAGGCTAGATGAATCGCACAGATGTCTTAACTTGCTCCCACAGCATGTGGATTGCTGGAGCTGGACATGTAATAAAGGTAAGGAAAGGTAAATGTGGGATTCAGGTTTATCAGACTCAGAATATCGAGAAAAGGCCATGGCCAGTAAGCTAGACTATAGATGCTACATTGAAAGGAGAGGGGGATCCAACACCATGAATGTAAGAAGGTGGTCAGGTGTGATCTCCAGCAGCAAGGTCTTAAGCTGGGAATCTGAGAAATGTTTGCTCAGGGTATGTGGAAAGGCTGATTAAAACCTGGGCAGGATTCCCATGCAGCATTGATGTGGGGTCTCATTTGCCAGGGTACATTTAATTCTGGAACAAGTGCCTCCAGAAAGAGGCCATCCTATTGCCCAGAACCAGAGCTGGTGACAACTTTTGCATGGAGTAGAAAAGATGGTTTTGGAAAAGGGACAGTGAGAGGGCAAGGAGCACGGCATGCCATGTAGTTTTGCAACATGGGTCAGGAATGTAGCTTTCTGGTAGGATTTATGCACGGAACCTCACAGTCGAGTGTGTCACAAGGCAAACCTGAGCCCTCTTCTCAGTGAGTCCTGGCAAGCTGCTTGTGCTTTGGTGCCTACTCTCCCTCCTTCGATGCACTGCTGTTACTGATACTTACCACATCTATTCAACATGTTCAGACTGCCCAACTGGTCCTAGCCAGTGCAGTGAGAACAGCATATTCTACAGCTCAACAGTAAAGGGCTTAGAATTTACCATGATGGAAAACTACTATCCTAGAATGAGCCATGATGGACACTGCTGGCTCAGGACATGTGCTAAGCTTCAGTTTCAGACTCACTCTGGCCATAGCTGTGGTAGGCACCCCAGGCATGGTTCTCCTTCTGGTTTGCTCATTTGCCCTCTGATTTCTCTAACTTCAATAGTCCTCTTGCTTCAGGTTACAGTGAACTAATGCAATTACTTACCCAGAACCTTTTTATCCACTTCCCTCGAATTTGGCATGCATAGTGGAACTGAGCCGAACATCACACAGTCTCCAGCCAAAGAACCAGCGTTAGAAATGGGTCAGCAACCTTTCTAGCTGACCACAGATTTCCCTGACATTTAGAAGCACCGAGATCCCAATATGCTTCTTATTAGAACCTTCTGGAATGATTAAATATTGGAAGTAGCTATGGAAAACAAAATGATCTGATCTCTTAGCTTCAGATTTGCAGAATCCTTTTTGTCTTACACGTACATATCCTTGCTTGGTTTCCATCAGTTTTAAGATTGCCACAAAAAGGATATGGACAATTTAATGGTTTATTAAAATGAAGAATCAGATATTGATAATCTTTCAGAAAAAAAAGTTATTTACAAATGAAATAACATTTCAATACAGATTTATAACCCTGTTAAGGTAAATATGAAATACCATTGTTACCAAAATGTAGGATAATTTTTTTCATGTCTTAATTTTGAATTAATAATGGAATTTTAAGTTGATAATTGGCCATTGTAAAAGTATATTGTTTTGGCATGCTGTTCACATGTTTCATTTTTGCTTCTTATTTCACCTACTTGAAAGAGAAACAGAGATTGATTCCATGACTGGTTCACTCCTCAAATGACCACAGTACTCAGGGCTGGGCCAGGATGAAACCAGGAGCCCTGAGCCCCACCCAGCTCTCCTTTGTGGATGAAGCCAGGAGCCCTGAGCCCCACCCAGCTCTCCTTTGTGGATGGCAAGGGCTGCTGCATCAGAGGAGCATGAGCTGGGAGCTGGATCAGAAGTGAAGCAACCAGGGCAGGAATCAGTACTTTGATAGGGGACACTGGCAGCAGCATAATCTGCATGCTGCAACACCCACCCCTGAGCATCTTTCATGTTAGTTAATATAGAAGAGTAAAATGTTTGATACCAGTTGTTCTTGTTCTTGTTCCAGAACATTCTGTAGCAATTTCTGCTTGGTACTAAATTCTTGATGCAGGCTTTCCCATTTCATTCTCATCTGCTCTTCAGTGGTTGATCTCTCCTCTTCCATCCCCATCTCCTGGGATAACACATCAGGTTTTTCGCTATTAGAAGAATAAATAATCTAAGTTTACAACGTGTGCAAAACAAGTGAGGACACAGACAATTCATTGTGCAGTAGATCTGGCCTCCAAAATTGGAAGTCATTAACTGATGCTTTAGAAACATGCTAAGACAGAATTTGACACTAATTAAAAAGTATATTTTTACTCACATGTCATGAACCAGACAGAATATTTTGTGGCATTGAACATTATGTTTCACATATCTAAACATGAATCTTCTCATCTTTTAACAATTAGGATTGTCTGTTCTTGCAGAGTTATAAGAATAAAGGAAACAGAAGCTCCATAGGATACCTGCACCAGTCTCTAGCAAAGAACAGCCTCTCGGTGAACAGGGCAAAGGGTAATAGTAATAGATAGCAACAATGACAACAGATCTGAAATCCAGCAGGAATTGTCTTCAGTCTGAACCAGAGCTATGTCATAAAGACACATTAGATGCCAAACAATATTTTGACATAGGGCCTTTTCCTTAAATGGAAAAACAAATTTCAAGTTTGTGATCAGATTCTTGCTAGTCAGAGTATAAATACGAAGTGTCTGTAAGTAAAGTTCTTGGTAGAAATGCTACAGTTTCCGACAGCCTGGGATGCAGGGGTTGTACCTGAAGGACAGCTAGGAGCCTGCATCCTGTGTTGGAGTACCTGAGCCTGAAGTCTCAGGCCTGCTTTTTATTCCAGAAGGCTGCAGTCTCACATTCCTGCCACCACAAGGGAGAGCTGTGTAGAGTCAATGGTTGCTGTCTTCAACTTGTGTATTTGGGAAGGAAACCAGCATTTGGAAGATCTCCCAGTAACCTTTGAAAATACCTAACTAAATAAAAACTGGGTGGGGAAGGGGCAGAGCAGGACAGAGTGGCAATAATATGCAGAAAACCATTAAGGAAGCACAGACATCTAAATAGAGGAATTGTACACATAGCAACTGCAAGGTGGAACCAAGTTCTGACTCCATTAATAGGGAAGAAGAGACCCACTGTAGATGAGCTTTGGACACACTTTTATAGCCTTAGCAACACTTTGTAAGCATGGTGGCCAATGGAAGATTCTTGTTTTTAAAAGACTTAATTATTTCGCCTTAAAATTGGCATTTCAGAAATCCATAAATGTGATATACCACATCCAAAAACTGAAGAACAAAATCATATAATAGTATATCAATAGATGCAGAAAAAGCCTTCGACAAAATCCAACACCACCTTACGTTAAAAACCCTAACCAGGGTAGGCATAGAAGGAAAAATCCACAACATAATCAAAGCAATATATTAAAAACCCAATGCCAGCATCATACTGAATGGAGAAAAACTGGAACCCTTCCCACTGAGATCTGGAATAAGACAATGATGTCCGCTATCTCCACTAATATTCAACATATTCCTAGAGGTTCTCGCTGAGGCCATAAGACATGAAAAATAAATCAAAGGAATTCAAATGGGAAATGAAGAACTCAAACTTTCACTATACGCGGATGACATGATCCTTTACATAGAAAAACCAAGAGACTCAATACAGAGACTGCTAGAACTTATACAAGAGTGGTAGAATGGCAGGGTACAAAATTAATAAACAAAACAACAGCCATAGTGTATGCAAACAGCCCCAAGATGGAAAAAGCTCTAACTAGCAAGATACTATTCAAAATAACAGAGAAAAGCATGAAGTATCTAGGAATAAATCTAACCAAAAATGTAGGAGACCTTTTCGAAGAAAACTACAAAATACTTAAAAAAGAAATTGAACAGGACCTCAAAAGATGGAGAAACATCCCATGCTCCTTGATAGGTAAAATCAATATCATTAAAATGTCTATACCACCAAAAGCAATATATACATTCAATGCAATCCCAATCAAATTACCCAAAACATTCTTCATTAAGCTGGAAAAAATGATGCAAAGGTTCATTGGAAACACAAAAAAACCATGAATAGCTAGAACCATTCTAAAGAATAGGAAGTTAACAGGGGAATTACAGTCCCAGATCTCTGGACATACTATAGGGCAGTGGTCATTAAAATAGCCTAGTACTGGCACAAACAGAGAGAGGAGGATCAATGGAGCAGAATAGAAACAACAGAAGGGAACCCACACAGACACAGCCAAATAATCTTTGACAAAAAGACAGAAGACAATCCAAGCAAATGGGAAGGTCTCTTCAGTAAATGCTGTTGGGACAACTGGTTGATAGCCTGCAGAAACAAGAAGATAGGCCCACATCTTTCAGCATACATTAAGATCAAATCTAAAAGGATAAAAGACCTAAACCTACACCCAGAAACCCTCAAACCTTTGGAAAAAAATGTTGGAAACACCCTGCAAGATTTAGGTGTAGGCCCTGACTTCCTAAAAAGGACACCAAAAGCAATAGCAATCAAAACCAAAATAAACAAATGGGACCTCAAACTAAGAAGCTTCTGCACAGCAAAGGAAACAATCAACAAAGTAAAAAAGCAACCCACAGAATGGGAGAAGATCTTTGCACACTACATAGGTGATAGGGGGCTAATCTCCAGAACATACAAAGATCTCCAGAGAAACCAAAACATCAAAACAAACAAACCACTCAAGAAATGGGCATGGGAAATAGGCAGACATTTCACAAAGCAACAAACCCAAATGGCAATCAAACATGAAAAATGCTCAAGTTCTCTGGCAATAAGGGAAATCCAAATGAAGACAACAATGAGGGACCACCTAATGCCAGTAAGGATGGCACACATACAAAAAACAACCAACAATACTTGCTGGCAAGGATGTGGAGAAAAGGGAACCCTACTCCACTGTTGGTGGGACTGCAAACTTGTACAGCCTATATGGAAATCAGTATGGAAAACACTCAAACGACTGAAAATCTACATACCATATGACCCAGCAATAGCACTCCTAGATATATCCAAAACACCTGCTACACGAGAAACTGAAATGCACGCCTATGTTCATAGCAGCATGATCAATAATTGCAAAAAATTGGAAGCAGCTGAAATGCCCATCAACAGAAGACTGGATAAAAAAGCTATGGTTCATTTACTCCATGGAATACTACTCAACTATTAAAACAAATGAAATGGCGTTTTTTTGTCACCAAGTGGGCCCAACTGGAATCCATTATGCTAAGGGAAATGAGCCAATCTCAAAAGGTTAAATACCACATGTTTGCCTTAATATAAGATGAAAGCATGTCAATCCAGAAAATAGTACCTGTACATTGTAATACTACTTTAACCTCAAACAGCCTGTATCTAATGCAATAAGATATTGTGATGTTATCAATGAACATGCAAAGTGAATCAGACTGCTTATGATCTACATCTAAGAATTGTAAAACCTAATATACTTCTAAGACCCTATGTTATTCCGTAATGGGGAGGGAGAGCAGAGAAATCTTCCATTTCCTTAGAATGTGTGAGGAAGACGTAAAGTACAACCTATCAGAAACATAACAGGTAACTCATAGACAACAGATTTGAATCAGCATTACACAATAGTTAAACTACAAAGACATATAGGGGGAATCAAGAGTGATCCTGACAACCTCTTAACAGGAGGTCATATGCACAGAGTGGGGGCGGGGGGGAACCCCAGAGTGGAGCAAATGGACAGGAGGAGGCTTGTATCTCAACCCTGAAGATTCCTGGATCCTCACCAAGGACTATCAGTACAGGCACCAAGGACTACATCCCAACTGTCAAAGAGACCACAAGGAATTGGAGTGCCTTTGGAGGCCGAGAACTCTGAGGTCACCCAGCACCGTTGGGATCTACCACATGGGATGGAAAAAGCCCAAATCCTTCCTCGCAGGATCCAAGGTCATCGGAACAACAGCCAGGAGCCCTGAGTGGTCTGCAGAAACAGAACAGTAAACTTCCTTCGGGACTAGGGAGAGGAGCTTTCTCTAGTTCTTTCCTGGTGCCGACTTTGGGTCCCCACCCTCTCTCGTAATGACCATCAGGATTGCTCCAGAAACCCCTCAAAACAAACAAACAATCTAGAATAGATAGAGAACAACAAGGAAATCTTAGAAAAGCTTAGAAAGACAGAAAATGGTCAGCATGGATTCACTTATACCTTACTAGGTAGGACACACAGATTAGTCACTCCTCACTACTGTATTGAAGATTTCTCTGCACACCCCTCCTGAAACAGTACTAGCACCACAACAGTTGACAAACGCCTTGTTATATTTATAAGCCAGTTTAGACTATCCTAAAACCTGTCATGTTCAGCAAAATTATGCAACAACACAATAAACTGCTAAATACTAAAATGAAAACAAACACGATACAGCTGAATCATACCCTATAGCCACTTTAAGGTGTATAGCAGCCGGTTCTGTGTATAAACAAAAATTGAAGTGTGGATGTGGAACAGGATGTGGATAAGAACTTGCATTATTTTAACATATTGATTACTCAATACCATGTCAATATATTCATAATGCTGTAAATTGTTGATGTTGTGCTCGGACTTGTAATTGATCACGATGATATTCTGCCAGCTCTACCTTCAGACCAGAGATGTTCTCCCCAAGAAACTGTTGAATTTATCTGGACATTAAGATGCTGGACTCTATGCTTGGTACATGCTTGCAAAGAAAGAATCTTGACTGAATTTGAACTGTAATACAGCAACAAGGTGGAGAATCCACCATGGGGGAAGGGCACAGGGAGAGGTTGGGGGATCCCAGAGCCTATAAGAATATGTCACATAATGCAATGTAATAAAAAAATAGAGAGACTTGATTATTTCACTTTAAAATTGGCATTTCAGAGAGAGAGGGACAGAGAAAGACACTTTTTGCTGGTTCACTCCCCAAATATCCGAAATAGCCAGAGCTGGTCTGGTCCAAAGCCGAGCATCAGGAGTATATTCCAGGTCTCCTACATGGGTGCTGGGTCCCAAGATATTGAGCCATTTTCTGTTACTCTCTGAAGCATATCAGCAGAGAAATGGATTGGACGTGGAGCATCCAAAATTAGAACTCGCATGCACATGGGATGCCAGTACTGCCAGTGGAAGATTAGTCTAAAATACTAATGATAGCCCCACAGTGGAAGGTTTTTAAATCCCTTTACAGTTTATCCCAATTTTTACAATTTCAGTGTTATTTAAATATTATCACTGACAATAGATATAGCAATACTCATTCTTTTATGTTGATATTTGTCAGCTGTGTCAATATTTTTAGATTTGTGTTTTTGTTCTTGATTACTTTTCTATTAGTTTCTGCATATTTTGCTGTATAAATTATAAGTGCATTTGTATGTTTTTGATGACCTAATTGTGTTTAAGATCCTGTAAATATATTTATGAAACCTTTATAGTTTAAAGTACACTTCTGATACTATATATTATAGGCTCGTATATCATGTGCACACTCAACACTAGTGTTACGTATCAACATTAGGTCAGCACTGATAAAGCTATAAAACTAAAACGGGAAAAAATCCATCCCCAGCGTGCCTCTCCAAAGTTAGCTTTCATTGTCTACCTTCTAATCTGCTGTTTAGCCACATGCATACTAAGTTTTCATTTCGTATCCATTCTTTACTAAGCATTATGTATCTGTTTTCTAATTCTATTATATAACATATTTTGAGAATATATATGCATGCATTTTAAAAGTCTATACCATTTCATATATTTCCACATTTTAATTATTTAATATTATCAGTGATATGTTAAATACTATGTTCATAACACATATTTCCTCATTTTTGTTATTTCCACCAAAAAAGTTTCAGCAAAAATGGGAGAGGCAATAAAACCTGCCAAAGAAAATTTCCAATTCACAATCTTAACCACACAAGAACTCAGAGGTTTTATTTTGTTAATGTCTTATATTTAATTAATGCTATGTTTTTTTAAATTTAGCTTTTTTATTATTTGAAAGGCAAAAAGGGTTTTTTCCCCACCACAGCTGAGCTGAGCCAGGCTGAAGGCAAACACTAAACACTCAGCCTGGGTTTCCCACGTGGGTGGAAGCTGAGGCAGCACCTGCTGTGCCCCACAGCATGGACCTCAACAGGAAGATGGACACAGGAGCACAGTAAAGACTTGGACTAAGATGCTCCATGGATGTGCATGTTTCTAGCAGCATCTTAAATACTGAGCCAAGTGCCCACTGCTTTAGATTTAAAACAAAGAAACAAACAAAAACTATTCCTGGCTGCTGCAGTGGCAGAGGACTCCCTTCTGTGGTGCCAGCATCACATCTGCGTGCCAGTCCAGGTTCTAGCTGCTCCACTGCTGATTCAACTCCCTGCTCACGATCTGAGAAGGCAGTGCCAGAGGACACAAGTCCTCGAGTTGCTGGACCCACGTGAGAAACTCAGAAGCTCCTGGGATCAGTTTGGGATCAGTCTGGGATCAGTTCAGCTGCTGCCTTTGTGGGCATTTGGGGAGTGAACCACCACATGGAATATTTCTCTCTGTGTGTCTCCTTCTCTCTTTAAATCTTTCAATTTTTTAAAAAAAAAATGTGTTCACATATATCCTCTCAGATGATATTTGTAATGTTCATACTTTTGTACTGACAGTAACTGGTAATTATTTTAATTCTACAGATGAAGAAATTGAAGGAAAGGTGACTGGTATCTTCAAGTCAGATCAAATCAGACCTGAATAAAACTCAGTGATACTCCCACTCTGCCTCAATTCCTCTACCTCCCTATCTTTTAAATAAAAATCTTCATCACAAAAAAGCTCCAACATCCTGGATTTTTTTCTGGAATATTATTTTTATATATATACAACTTTCAAATTCTATACTCCAAACCAGTACTCTAAATTGAATGCTTTTACACCTAGAAATCACAGCAATAGATTTGAGAAAAGCCAAAACATTTATTGGACACATCCTTTTGCTTTGGAGCAGCATGTTAAGCCAATCTCTTGTAGTTAAAGTGCTCTGTAGTTAAAGAACTCAATGGGAAGGTCATGGAACTAATCCTAGTGGGAATTTCCTATTGGATTAGTGTATTCATGAACAGAACATTCTGGAAGGAGGGCAAGTTAACCTGACACTGTATTTACTGGCTGTGTTCATGCTAGGGAGTGAAATGTTTTAAATGGGGGCATATTTAATACCCTAAAGTGAAAACACAACTTCCATTTTGGCGGAAGATGCTTGAGTGTTACATGGAGGGAGATGGTTACAGTTCTTCAAACAGAACAATGCAAAGAGGAGCAAGTTGGAGCTTCAAACCTACCCTTCCTCGCCAGAGGGCTCTGCAGTCGTGTGCTGGGTCAGGATCTCCTCTCCGCGGCTGGCTACTGAGCGCAGAAGGCTCTTCTGCTCAGCTAATTCTTGTTCCAGCTCCTGCCCAAGGGGAAACAAAAAGGCAAAAGGCTTCATTACTTCCGTGCTACTCACTGCCTGCCACCATGACTCTCCATCTAGCACACCTAAGAACTCAGACAGCAAGAGCTTAAGCAGTGGTGTCCTTAAATATCCAAGCTTGTCTCCAACAGACTCCCTGGCTTGCTTTCTCTTTGTGAAAGTTCTGTGAAAAATGTGAAAACTATGCCCAATAATGTTTTCCTGGACAATGGTGCCCTCCAGTGGTACACAAGACAGCTTCGGTTTTCCGTCCCAGTACTGCCTTTTTCAAGTCAGCAGGGATGGTAATTTTCTACTTGTATTGTAAATTGGGTTGCCAACAGATTTGGCTTCGCATTTCATCTTCTCTAATAGATGCTCTTGCTTTTGGAGATGGGGAAATATTTTAGCACTCTCCTTACGTGAGGTGCAGGTATCAATGATAAATCATTCTTATTAACATCGATCTGTTTCCCCGGGCAACAGGTTTAAATCCTATTTTGTAATGATATCTACTTGAAAGTGAAAAAACAATCCATTTCTTTAAAAGAAAAATACAATTCAAACTTGTATCAAATCTCAGAGTTCTTCCTAAAAAATGATAGTAAAATGGACTCAAATAGGGAGAGGGGTGAGGTTTGGAAAATAAAGTTGGGAGGGACACCACGCTCGAGTTGTGCAATTCATCAACTTCAGAACATACTTCTCTTAAAGACAGGATTTCAACATGGCCAGTCAACCCAGTGCTCACGAGTAAGCACCCGCGGTCCCTTAGCAGATCTACAAACAGACATTCTATCTTTGCAACAGATGCAATTCCTCTCCACTTCTTGACATATCTGCTGGCTAGAGAGGGGGTAGGAAGCACTTTACTTTTTGTTGCTGGAGACTGCTTTGCCGCCGGTGGGTCCTTGTGGTGCGAGCTTGGGCTAGCCATTCCTGCATGCCAGGGCTCTGGGTGGCTGTCGGGTCAACATCACTCTCCTCCTTTTCCTGTGCTGTTCCCTGCTTTTAATAAGACAGAGAAATCAAGAAAACCATAACCAACATGGCAAAAAAAAATGTCACTTGGTGGTATCTAAATAACAATGCCAAAGTGCTTTCATTTGGATGTCAAACCACATTTAAGGACAAAACAGTAACACAAAACCAATAGAAGTAATGGCATCTGCAGGACACAGAACAATAAACAGTTGGTTAAACACAGAAATATTTGTGTGGAAACCCTTCTATTTCCGCAATGGTTGCCAGGTGATATTCCAGAATTCTCTTCCACAAAAATGTAACTAGATCCTTCTATGAGTTTTGTTTCCTAACTCACACGAAAGTGAAATGCTTCTTAAGTGATCAGGACCAAATGGCTCTGTGTCCCTTCGGGTAAAGCATTATCCTGCCACCTTCTCTCTCCAGATCTACACAATAAATGTATATGCCAAGTACTTGTTAGATAACGACTTTTCTAAAGGGTTATTAACCAGAGATCTCTGTGTGACAGGCAGCAAGTCTAAAGCTTTGTTAGGCTCACAAACTCAGAACTTGCACTTGATGTTTGACTCTTCCATAGTGCAGTGGTAATGGGTACAAGCAAGGGCTTTCCTGTGGGGCTGAGCCCCGACTGTCTGCCACTCTGCCATGCACACCTCGTGACCCAAGCCCCTGAGCTCTGTCTGCAGGGCTGTGCAGGATGGTAAGCCACAGGGAATTTGATTTCCAAGGCACTTCAGTGCACAGTGCTGTATCTGATGCTGTACTTTATAAACCTTCAGTGCTCACCATGTTTACTGTGTCCCAGAATCCTCTATTTCTGAATGTCTGCTGTGTATATAGCTATGTTTCGACTGCTATATGTTGTTAGTGGATTCTGTTCAAATCTCAGATGACTATCCTTCTTTTGCAACTGTTGAGATGAACACTTTAGGTCGTGAGCTGTGGGTACATTTGATTACCATTCTGCAAAGATCGACAGAGCCTTTACAGTTCAGCAGTGTGATAATTCTAGATGTCTGAGAGGTGGCTAAGTCCTTCCTCCTCTCCCACCATGTGCCCTGCTCACGGCCGGCCATGCTACTGCCTGCTGCCTTTGATATAGCTTGGCTAAAGGAGAAAGGCACAGGCACTTACCTGCTAGGTAAAAAGTTGTTCTCAAATGGCTTGCTTACACCTACACCATCATGACATTAAGAGCAGAAAGCTGCAGCCAAGACAACAGCTATAGGACCATGTTATTGTAAAATACAGGGTCAATGGGAGGGGTAATGGGGAAGGGAGGAAAGGGAGAAAAGGGGGGGAACCCTATATCTCCAAAACTATGTCATGAAAAATAAGATAAAAAAATAAAGTTTTTCTTTAACATCTATGGCTGAATCCATGAATCTCCTAAGTTACTCCCAACATGTAGTGGCTAAGCCCAAGACATGGCCGTCAGCACTTCATACCCTCTTATTACAGTTCCCGCCCAGTGTCTACAGTTCCAGATTTTCCCACGGATGGCCAAACCCACACATGCCGAGGTCCCTTACTGGAAATGGTATGACATGGCATGCAAACTGCACATAGCATCTCATGAACCTTAAATCTTTTCTAGCAATTTATGAGTCTTCAAAACATCCATGGAGAATGTAGATTACAAAAAAAAAAGTATGGATTTCAAAACCTATTTGCATCAACATATGCTTATCTTTGAGTTTCCTCGTGCTTGTCAAAAGCTGTAATACATGCTTTTAATGTAACCGATTCATCAAGTGTAGGTTCAGCACTCATTGTATGTCGGATATTAGTCCAGGAAGTTGGGGCACCCTAAAAAATGGGGGGGCGGGAACTAGACAAGGACACTAGCAGGGGATAGAGCACAAGGAAACAAGAAAAGCTGAGTTGGTGATAAGGACAAGAGAAACCAGGCAGTGTGTTGGGGAATGAGAAGGGCCAGGGGGTTGTCTCGGGGCAGTGTGAGAACACAGCTCTGAAGAAGGGACTGCAGTGAGTTCTGCGCAATGAGGAACTGTCAGGCCAGGGGAGGACATTACAGGATCAGGGAGCAGATGGGGCAAAGACCTGGGGAAGCTGACTGCTCTCAGAGAGAACAAGAGTAGTGTGGGACCAGCGTGGCTGCAGGACTGTGAGCTGCCAGGAGGGACATTCTGCACGTTATCTCCACATAGGAGTTGTCCCATCAGTTTCTGGAGGTGCTGCTCTCCTGCCCTTTGGTTCTTACTTGCCAAGGAAAACCAGGGAATGAAATTCAGCTGTTCCAATTTATCCATCCTAACTGACCACTTTCCACTCTCTGATTTTCAGAATTGTATACTTGTCACAACAGAGAAATACCCGGGTCTGCTTCCACTTTTATTCTCATTAAATTCTAGTGATTATTTGCAGAATGCAACAGCTCCGGGACCATACCTTGATCTTTGCAATATTGCTATTCGCATGTCACTGAAACAGTCAAACCTCTTTGTGATGTTAAATGTGACAGCTGCTCTCCATCTGACCCACCTTGGCTTTAAAGTGTTGTCTTTAAGAAGTTCCAGCTTCCCAGACAGGGAATGTGGCTTGGGCAGGTCAATGGGTGTGATCTTTGTATAAAATGTTATTTGCATTTTGCATCATGTTTAGCATACATAGTTCATTGGTCACACCTAGGTCCTGAAATTCTCCACTCTCCCAAGAATGACTGTCACGGACAAATTGTACTTTTTTGAGCGTGGGAGCTTTGGGGTGAACAGAAATTTTTCCAAGGCTGAAGCCCATGATTTTCTTCATGAAACCTCAAAATCCACCACCTTTCATGAATAAATTCTAAAACTCCCAGCTCTTCTACACAGCAAGGAAGCAACAGATGAGCAGGGAGATCACAGAATGACAGGTGTGACACAAACTGCTGAGGGAGTCAGAGCAGGGGATTGAACCTTGTTCCCAACCACAGTGCCTTCCACCCTGAGACCATGCAAGCCCACTGCAATCGTGGCCGCACCTTCAAGTGGGTGGCTCAACAACTGCGCAGCCAGTTCCATGCTGGTTAAGAGAACACTAGTGGGGAACCTTTTACCCGAAGGTTCCCGTCCTGACACGGAGAGTCAGGGCATGATTAAAACCCCAGTGCTCTTCCAAACACTGATGTCTCTCCCTCGCTCCTTTTGAGGGGCACCCCACCCCCAGCCTGTCTCCAGGAAGGGGTTTCCCCTTTTCTTTCCATGTTCACCTGGTCACTTTGCAAATAAAACTTCTCTGCAACTGAGTCCGGGCTTTCTATTACTATATCAAGCTGAGGAAAGAAACCACCTAGATTTTCTGGCAACACGCCTGACAAAAATAGTGACCTTGGCTGCACAGCACGAGTGACCTTGGCTGCACAGCACGAGTGACCTTGGCTGCACTGCACGGGTGACCTTGGCTGCACTGCACGGGTGATCTTGGCCACACAGCACGTTGACTTTCTTCTGTGAGATGCTGGTTACTTCCTCAGCTTCTCTCTTCAATCAAGCCCTACTTTTCAGAGTTCCTTCAGAAGCAGATCTTTGTAACTTGTCACAGTACTTGGTACTAACTCCCCCATCAAATTAAGTTACCTCCTTTTGATTGAGAGCAATTCTTTGAAATGTCTTGCACCAAATTTGTCCTTCAGAAAAAAAAATAAAATTCTATATGAAGAACAGTGTTCACTGCCGAGATACACTGTCAGATTCTCAGACTTCAAATTGGGAAGGGAAGTTGCCTCTGCTTAACTGGATTCACAGATATGTAGGAAAACAAAACAAAACACCAAACCAGAAGACTCCAGGAAGTGCAAGGAGCAGATGCTAACCCTCACTCCCTATGTGGTCAGGTGCCGCTTGCCAGCGAGTGTTCCTCTGAGTCATCTTGAAACATAAGCTTTGGGCATCAGGAAGCCAAAAAGGAGCAGGAATCCAGTTCAAATGTCATTTCTGCCACCTTGGGAGGGGCTGCCACAGCCAGGAGGGATGAACTTGGGGGACAGACCCTCTGAGCTGTGATAACAGCTTTCCCTCCAGTCCAGAGAACCCGAAGGCAGGCAGTTTTCTATCCACAGTCACACTGGGTGGGGCTACCTAAGCTATTTACTTTGGAAATGGAAGAAATACTACTCTGTGCCAGGAACATTCCTTGGAAGACGAGTGAGGATTGGGAAATGCTAAACGTAAATTAAACACTTCTTTATAAAGTACTTTATTATTTATAGTGAGCAAACTGTCTTCTCTGTTGGTGGGTGGTAATGCAGGAGAATCACCCCGACTCTTCTGAAGAAAGACAGCATGAGATTCAACATGCGTTATGATCAAAGACTGCAAGTCTTCATGTAGAAGAGCACTGTGTCCGGCTGGTAGCGAAGGAGATGGTTACTCAGGGCTAACCATACAAGCCCCGCTAGAACGACCAGGGTCATGAAAAACTCCAGTCTTCTGGGACAGGTGCCCCAGAAAATTGTGTGCCGAGAACCCAAGAAGCAAGAAGGGGATCTCAGCCCTCCAGCTCCTGCAAACCTTGAGTAAAGGACAAACCCTACTTGACACCTGCATTGATAGGGAGGCTTTCCTCCAATGGACTTTAATTTTAACTCGATTATACACTCTAATTTTTTATATGAAAGGACATGATCCTTGCATGGCAATAATAATGTAAATTAAGTTCCTTTTGTTTCCACAGATGAACAAATAATCTTGGCAAAGTGTATTTCTTTTCTAAAACTCTAATATTTTGTATGCTAGAAACTCCATTAGATGATAGAACTTAGAGACATTTAAAAAATAAACAGCCACCATCCTAGGGCAGGCTTCCACCAGGGGCAGAGTAAGGATTCTCCTCTCTTGAGTTAAGCACAGGCTGCAGCCGAGCCTGTTCTAACATCGGGACTTCCCTTCTTCGCAGAGATCAAGGCTTGCATACAGTTTGCTTGTAATGCCTTACTGTATGGCTCAAGACCCATCTGGTTACTCAGTGCAGGCATTACTTGCATTAAAGCAATTCTCTGAAATCCTTGGGATAATTAAGTTAGACACAGTAGTTCTCCTCTATATTCATGGTTTCCTGTTCCAGTGGCCAACCACATTCCTAAGGTATTCATATTTATCTTGACTTCTTTTGAGACATCCACATATTTTTTATTAGTGTTTATTTCTGAAAATGCGTTTATTACCGGTTGTGACTGATATGGTCAGTTACGGAAGGGGAGAGGCTTTCAGAACAAATCCCCAAGGGATCAAGGGTGAGGGAAAATAAACGTCCCTTCTTTACCCCTATTTCACAGATGATCCCTAGGAAAGTTTTGGAAAGCCCAAGGATCTTACCCCAGGATGCCTTGTTAGTAACTGTTGCCAACACAATGGGCAGATGTTTTATCCAGTTTGTATTTGCAAAGGGATGGTCCAAGAGCCAATTCCAACCTATAGCTATATTTTATTTGGCACATAACTTTAAAAAAAAATTTTTTTTTGAATTGTCACTTAAGAACAACTTATTTAAAGTTGTAAAATTAATATCAGTGCTTAAATTTGGGAAATTTAAAAATAATTCCAAACTTCCTGTCTCTTGCCTCACAACAGGTGGATTAACAGCTGCTTCCCAGCATGCCTTGCGCCTAAATGGGCCTGCTTGCTCACCACTGCTCCCTTCTCAGCTCTGAGTCCTTGGAGTGTGTGGTCCCTGCCCTGCTTAGCGGACACATACGTATCAGGCTTCCCCTTCCTTCGTACCTGCCTCTGGGAGTGGGGTGGGGTGAGACCTTCCTGAAGCCCAGCTCTGCCACAGAGTAAACTCACATCTCTGCTTTAATTTCTTTACCGTCTAAACTCATTCACAGATCAACTTAAAAACACTTAAGCTCACATTTTTCCCCCATCACATGCATTTTCCATGTTACTTTTGAAATTCTCTTATATTTCTTTTAAATTACAGGAATCTCTTTTCACTTCTAAAATCTTTGAGCATTTTGTAAAGATTTATTTTTATTGGAAAGGCAAATCTACAGAGAAGGAAAGACAGAAAGATCTTCCATCCACTGGTTCACTCCCCAAGTGGCCCCAACAACCAGAGCTGAGCTGATTTGAAACCGGGAGCCAGGAGCTTCTTCTGGGTTGCCCACATGGGTGCAGGCCGTGCTCCACTGCCCTCCCAGGTCACAAGCAGGAACCTGAATGGGAAGTGGAGCAGCCAGGGCGAGAACTGGCACCCTTAAGGGATCCCAGCACATGTAAGGCAAGGATTTAGCTACTAGGCTATTGTGGCAGGCCCTTGAGCGTTTTTTAATCCAATTTTGTTTCTTATGTAATTACGAAAAATAGATGAATTGTATTGTTCTCCCCTGTTTGTCTCTTTTAACTTTTTAAATTTTATGTAAGAATTAAAAAAAAAAACACCTATAATTCTGTTTTAGGGGAACAGTTGGAAGGGTATACTTAGGCTCTGAGTATTTTTCAGGCTCAATTTTACATTTAAACCTTATTTTTCCATGAAAATGGTTATGTGAAATATAATTTATTATTTTTAGGAGACTCACTTATTACTATAGAGTATGTCATATTTTATCTAACATGTCTAACATTTATTGGATTCCCTTATATCAGAGTCTCTTTCTAGTATATTCCTTCTTGTTAATATATTTGTTGAGTCAATCCCCACTACTTACCTATTCCATTAAAAGACTAATAGTTTCTCATAAGTTTTCGCTTTCAAAATGTGGTGGTTAGTTAGCATTACATGAATATTTTCCCAAGTAAATCTGGTAAAATTGTGTCACTTTCCTAAAATATGCAAGTAATACTTCAACTGAGAATAACTGGGGTGTTAATGGGATAATTGGTATTTTAAAGAAGTTATCTTCCTAAAGATAAAATGGTTTCTTCTATTCAATTGTTCTTGTGTTAAAGTGTTATTCAGTTTTGCATCATTCATTCTGTTCATATTATTGAGAGAACAATACATCATTTTTCTGGGCTTCACTCCTTTAGTACATCAGTCACTTTTCAAAGTCGTTCAATATTTCCAATACTTTTCAGTGATTAGGTTTGGTTTTCTGGATTATAGAACCATATAATCATGAAAAAAATAGGTAGTTTGGTCTGAACAATTATCAACACAGTGAAAAAAAGCAATTGCAGGCAACAGCCATCAAGTTCTCATCACAATATTCACGCCCTCCTTCCTTCCAGTACTTTGTGCAATCACAATGCTGCCTTCCTCCCCTCCGAAGTTCTCCTTTTCTTCTTGTAGAGGGTGAAGGGATTGGCTTGGTCCCAGTCACTTTACAGACAGGCAAAAATGATAAAGGAGAGGCAGTTTGGCTGAAGCCATGCCATGACACCAACAGGAACATGGGCTAGCTGGGTTGGCAGCACTTGCTGCGCCCTTAGGCTTGACTGCCTTCTGGCTTGGCAGGAGTGTAGGGGAGACGACACCTCCACTCGTGGTAAGGGTCAAAGACCAAACCCTCCACATGTGATCCTATTTTGTTCCTCCTTTCCAAGACTCGTTTTCTTAAATAATTTTTTTTTCTGAACGATTGCCATCTGAATGTAAACCTGTCATTATTTTTTCTAATTTTAATGTGAAACAAGGACAAAAAAATACTAACCAGTAAATAGAGGTTGGTGTTTGGCTCAGTAATGTAGCTGCTGCTTGGGATGCCCACATCTCAGAAGACCTGGCTCTGAGTCCCACCTGCTCTTCCACTGGTCCCCAGGAGGCAGCAGCTGATGGCTCAACTATCAGGGTCCCTGCCATCCATGTGGGAGACCCAAATTAAATTCTGGGTTCCTGGATTCAGTCTGGCATGTGTTGCAGGTTTGGGGGATTGAATCAGTAGATAAATGACCTGTCTGTCTATCTCTCTCTCTCTCTAATTAACAGAGAACATCTTGCTTCAGTTCTTACAGTTTATTTTACTCTTCTGTTCCCCTTCTCAACAGGACTCCCGGGGCTGCCATATCAACTCCGTCTGCAGCAGCTTCCCTCGCCATCTTACTCCAGCACAGAGCACTCTTGCTTCCGCCACGGCGCAGAAACAGCTCCTACTGAAGCCATGAGTAGTTTGTACGTCCCCAGCATGAGTGGGCAGTTCCCAGTCCTCCTCGGATCTCACTTGCCACAAACCTCTGGTGGTAGACCACAAGGGGCTTCCAGGAACTAAACCCAGTCTTCTTGCCACCTTCCTGCCTTCTAACTTTCTGTGTGTGTTCCCACAGACCACCCGTACTCGATAACGCTGGAGCTTTCCCGGACTTGGGTTGTTTCCCTGTACTCACCCAATGAGCGTTCTTCACTGAAGTAGGTGGGTCTGACACCCAGCCTCTGCCCCTACTCCACCTTCCTGCTAACATGGCAGGAATAGGGTGATGGCTCATCTAGTTAAAGTCTTGGTATTCACTCGGAAGACCTCAATGGAATCCTGTTCCAGGCCTCCTCCTTGCCAAACCCTGGATGCTGCTAGAATCTGCGGAGTCAACAGCAGATGCGGGTGCTCACACCCGAATAATCTCTTTCTTTCTGTCCATCAAAAAATAAATTTATAAAACAGGTATCTTCTGATTAAATATTCCAACCCCATGAAATGCACTTATTAGTCACAAAAAATCATCAACCTAAAACATGAGGACACAGAAGGTTGAAATTAAGGAGAAGTTAAACGATAAGCCAGGCAGGGGAGGATTACTTAGCACAGTGGTTGCACTGCTGGTTGGGTGTTCCCCTCTGCTGTCAGAACGCTTCAGTGGAATCACAGCTTGTTTCTGATTCCACGTGGCTGCAAATACACAGTGTGAGAGACACCAGGCAATGGTTCAAGCAGTTAGCTCCCGACGCCCACATGGGAGACCAAGATTGAGTTTCCAGCTTCTTGCTTGGCCTGGCTTGCCCCATTGTGATATGTGGAGCATGAACCAGCAGGCAGAAACTCTCTGCCTGCCTTTGGGTCTCTCTCTCTCTCTCTCTCTCTCTCTCTCTCTTTCTGTTATTTTTCTTGGGGCAGAGGGTGGATAGGAAGGAAGACTGGGAAACCATTGCTATTTATTTCCACACATTGTAGTCTTTAGACCTACATAGCCTTTACATAAGCTATCTGAAAATCTAGACCCGAGTTAAAGTATGAATCCAGACAGAGGCAGCAGTGCTCAGGGTGAAGCAGGTGCCCAGAGAAGCATGGATGTTCCTGCCGTGCCCAGAAGAGGTACGCCCAGTGTGGACAGTGGCCATAGGTGGCAGCTGGATCCCTCACCTGGATGTTGAGCTGCTTGTCATGCAGAGCTCGCTGCAGCTCCTGGAGGCTCCCCTTGAGTGTTCGCAGCTTCACCGCCAGCTGCTCAGCCTCGTCCTTCGTGTGCGCCTTGCCCTCCATCAGCAGGTTTTCATTGTGCACCGAGAGCTCAGATAAGGCCACCACCTTCTGCTCAATTTCCACAAGCATGTTCTAGGATGACGAAAAGAAACATGAAATTCACAATTGCTGCCAACCTTGTCACATTAGCTGCCCAGCAACATGCAGGGTTTTATAGCAGACCAACAGGCTTTGCGGGTTTGTGTAGTTTCCTGACAGTTCTGAGTGACAGCTGATGGACTGTGTGTTTAAATCTTCAGGCCATTGAATCCTGCTCTTTTAAAGATCAGGTATTAAAAAAATGAAAAACATGAGTGTGTGTGTGCAGGTTAAGCTGCGGTTTGCAACTGTGGTAGTTTAGACTGGAGCGCTAGTTTACCTCTAGGCTCTTCCACCTCTGACTCATCACCTGCTCCTGTACATAGGAGACAGCAGATGACAGTCCAATTCCCCAGGTCCTGGTAACCCACTTAGAGGACCAGAATGGAGCTCCTCTCCTGTAACAAGATGGAATTGTGAGAATGAATTCACTCTGGCTTATATTAGTCTTTGTTCCAGAGCAGTTGCAAAGTAAAAAATAATAATAATAATAAAAGTATTGAAAATATTTTTGGTGTGCAAGGATGTACAAAAGCGAAATGCAATGGCTAAGTCTGTGTAATGGCCACGGTGATAGTGATCGCATAACTGGCTTAATACTAGATTTTAATTCACTAGATTTTAATTCTCTTAGAATTTTAACTTGAAATTGAGTAATTAACTATTGTATGCCGAAGATTTATTTTTATTTATATGAAAGGCTGAATGACAGAATGGAATCTTCCATCCACTAGTTTACTGCCCACATGACTCTAAGAGCTAGAACGGGGCCAGATTGCAGGCAGAAGTCATAAATTTCATCTTGGTCTTCCACGTGGAGGGAAGGGTCCCAAGTCCCTGGATGATCTGCCTCTTTCCCAGATGTGTTAACAGGAAGCTGGATCACAAGCGAAGTAGCTGGGACTCAAACTGTCACTCACATGGCACGCCAGGTTGAAGGCGACATAACCCACTGTACCACAACACTGGCTTCTAAATATTAGATTCTAATAAGCTTATTTACATGTGTAATTTCAGATGCCTTCAAGTATATTTACGACATTATTCTCATCACTTGTAAAAGTCACAGTTATCTGCATTATCAATATATATGTTACAGTGAATATATTCAAAAGGGATGGCAGTTAGGATAAAATTTAAGTTAGGGGTTCCACATTGGATAATAATTTTAATTGCTAAATGGAAATATTTACCATAGATATCTCTTGAGGAACACACTGTGGCATAATGGGACAAGCTACTATCTATGACATCCCTCGTTAGCATGTGGGTCTCAGCTGCTCTACTTCCATCCAAGCTCCACGCTGACAATCCTGGGAAAGCAGCAGCAGATGGCCCGAGTCCTTGGGGCCCTGCCCTCCATGTGAGAGACTGGGATGGAAGTCAAGCATCCTGGTTTGGGCACAGACCAACTTTAGCCATTGCAGGGATTTGGGGAGTGACCGGCAGATCCAACTTTTCTTTCCTTCTCTTCATCTCTGTCTCTGACTCTTTGTCCCTCTCTGTGTAAGTTCATCTTTTGCATAAACAACACATTTTTTTTAAAAAGCACATGTCTCTTTCAGATAATATTACAATTCTTAAAAAAAGATTTTTTTAATTGCAAAATCGGATATACAGAGAGGAGCAGAGACAGAAAGATCCTCCATCCGATGATTCACTCCCCAAGTGACCGCAATAGCCGGTGCTACACTGATCTGAAGCCAGGAACCAGGAATTTCCTCCAGGTCTCTCATGCAGTTGCAGGGTCCTAAGGTTTTGGGACATCCTCGACTGCTTTCCCAAGCCACAAGCAGGGAGCTGGATGGGAAGTGGAGTTGCTGGGATTAGAACCAGTGCCCATATGGGATCCTGGTGCATTCAAGGCGAGGACTTAAGCCGTTAGGCCAAAACACCGTGCCCAATATTACCATTTTTGTATGTAATAGTATGTTTTGAGGGCCCGGCGCAATAGCGCTTGTGCCCTGGGAAAGCAGTCAAGGACAACCCAAAGCCTTGGGACCATGCACCCGCATGGGAGACCCAGAGAGAAGTTCGTGGCTTCTGGCTTCAGATCGGCACAGCACCGACTGTTGCAGCCAGTTGAGGAGTGAATCATAGGACAGAAGATCTTCCTCTCTGTCTCTCCTCCTCTCTGTACATCTGCCTTTCCAACAAAATAAATAAATCTTTAAAATATAATAATAATGTTTTGAGTGCATAGAGGTAACCTTCCTAAGGCAATTAAAAATCCACATGATTATACTCAATATTAGAAATCTCAAATACAAAACAGAGATGATCAAAATACCACAATGCATATTAAGGTAAATGCAGTGTTCACAAATTGGAGCGTTTTACTTATTTCCTGGTTCCAAAAGGGAGAAATGCAAAGCTGTATACATTGACTCTTAATTCTTCAGATTATTCAGGATTGCTCAAACAGTCCCTGGCTAATTAAATGAAAAGAACCTTCAAGGCACCTGTGTATGTGCTGAAAATAATTAACGGTCATTGATAGTTACAGCTGGTTCAGCATCTATTCTGTATACTTAGATCAATGTCTGGAAACTTCCTGGTAAGAAAATAACATCATAATAAAAATCCTCATGCCTTTACCCTCACATTAATTCCTGGAGACCTGAAGTGGCAGAAGGAAGCTCTGCTCCGACAACGTGTCCACGTGGAGTATCTTTGCCTAAGCTTGGCAAAGTTGGAAAACAGCCCAAATTCCAATGACACCTGGGGATTCCTCCTGCGGTGTTACTGCCTGACTCTGTTGTGGTTTATATTGCTTTTAAAGGCTAAATTCAAATCTAGAGGTATTTTGAAATTTGCAGTATGTAAACAAAAAGTCTTCTGGGATGGTGAGAACTTAGTTGATTCTTTTCAAACACTCAGTTCAATTTGAATTTCATCTCGACTTTAACAATGTATTATTTTTCTTATGCCTTAATATATGAAATCTCTGGTTAGATGAAAAAAAAAAAAGCATCCACCTATGCCACATTTTGTCACCAGTGGTTCCAGTTTTAGAATAGGCACGATGGTGTTGGTCTATTCTTTGCAATCAACTTCATACCTGGCAGTCCACCAGCTGGGCCTCCATGTCCATGGGCTCCTTGGTCATCCCCAGGGCGACATCCAGGCTGGCCTTTGTGCTCAGGAGCCAGTGGTCCAGCTCGTCGGCCTCACAGCGGAACCTCTGCAGGGCCTGCTCCTGCCTCTGCTCCTCAAGTTGGTCATTCAGCTTCTCCTGAGAAATCAAACCAAATGTGAGATTCCTGGCCCTGGACCAGTTCTCCAGGATCTAATACAACAAAGGAAGGGTTCCAAATCCTGTCTACACATCACAAGTGTCCGAAAAGCTTCCAGAAAAACAATGCTGAGGTCACATCCAGGGTAATCTATCAGAATTGCTTAAGGATCAGTGTTAAGATCCCGATTTTACAAAAACCTTCCCACAGGGGACTAAGAGGTGAGCAAGGCATGCTCAAACAATATACCTAGGGGCAGGAAAGAATGAGAATGTTGAAAAACAGCCAAAGGTGAGAACAGAACAACGGCATAACTCTGCAGCAGATGCCTTACTTCCGTGCCTGTGACACTGTAAGGAGTGGGGCAAGCTAGCTAACTGAAGAATACATGCTCCAACGTCACAGGCTTTTTACTCAGCTTCAGGCAGCTAGTTCTGTGGGAAGCAGTAGAAACGAGTGGTGTACTGTCGCCTCTGCTCATGAAAAGGCAAAAACCTAAAATTTGATGTTATGTTCCCTGAGTATTTCGGTTTTTGAAAATAATTTATGTCAAAAATGATCCAGACCAACCTTTTGGTTTTCAAACTCCACACATGCCTTTCACAGTGTAACTGAGTACAAAAGGAACAAACTAAATGATTAACTCAAGATAGGTACTACAACAAGGCTAATTTGCAAATTTATCTTTTGACCTGTGATGCTGGGATCCATAGGAACACCCGATTGGGTCCTAGTGCTCCACTTCCAATCCAGCTCCCTGCTGATGCACCTGAGAATGGAGCAGAAGCCAGCACAAGTGCTTGGGTCCCTGCACTCACATGGGAGACTTGGAAAAAGCTCCTGGCTCTTGCTGCAGTCTGGTGCAGCTGTAGTCATGAGAGTCATTTGAAGCAAAAACCAGTAGATGGACAAGCTCTGTGCAGCATGCCCCGACTAAGGCTGCCTTTCAAATAAAAACTAAAAAATCGTTTTAAAAAAATTTTTAAAATGAGATATGTAACCCCCACACTTGTCTGCCCATCACTCAATTCCAGATCAGAGGGATGGGAGACTCTCAGATGTCCTGTTACCTCCAGCAGCTGCCGTTTCCCGGAAGCTTTCATCCTGATGGTGGACATTCTCTCAGCCAGGACAGTGAGTGTGGACTGCAAGGCCAGCTGCTCAGGGGGATCGGACTCCTGGGACTCAGACACAAGCTCCTCTGCCAGACAGGACTGCAGCTCATTGATTTCATCTTGGAGCATGAGAATCTCATCCATCAGGGCCTGTGGGGAAGACTGTGCGATCACACATGGGCATCCATGTCTTCTACCAAGGCATCCTGTTGCTAGCTGAGGTACATGTGGCTTTGCAAGCCTGTGGTACACTTCAGACAGAAGTCATTGACTCCACACACTGGAGGCCTCCTCACCTGACTTCCAACATTAAATTACAAGACTGAATGGCAGGGCATTTCTGAAATTAACAGTATTTGTGTCACTAACCACAGTGACTCTGAACAGTTATTTAACTTTTCTGGTTTTCAGTAGGCTCTTGTGTAACATCAAGAGACATGCTCAATGATGTCAGAATCTCTAACGTGATGCTGAAAACAAAATTCATGACCTTCTTCCTCAATGTGAGTTTTCTTCCTCCAAAATTCCCCAAGTCTGAAACATATTGAATTTTATTTGAAATTCATGTGATACAAAAAGAGGAAATTGCCTTACTCTGTTTAATAGCTCATCACACTACCCATGTGTCTTTCTTCACACAGCTTTAAAATATGAAGCCCCCTCTTGAGAATGTGATCCACTGAGAAGGCTCCCAGTACTTTCTAATATTGGACATTTATGAAGGTATTGCCCTGATCCAGACATCGGCTCTATGTCTCAAGACTTACAGGCTGCAATAGTATCTCCTCCAGATTGTCTAAAGTTGGCTTCCTCTCCGCCTTCTGCTACCCTTTTGCTTGTTGCTCCACTTAGAGACATAGCAGTCACTCTTCCTACCTCCTTCTCTCCTAGCCTTCCTATATCCCAATCCATCACTGAATTCTACTGTTTTTGCCTCCAAAACATATTATGTTCCCCTGCATGTCACCATTACCCCATCTGCAGACAAGGCCAGCTCCCTGCAATGCCCAACTTGTCTCCCAATGGTCTCCCAATGGTTCCACCTGCTTACATTCTCATTTTTCTAGACTTTATGGATTAATTACAACAATTTTATAAAGATGTAAACCAGATTCTCCCAGTCCCCTACTTTAAAATATGCACTGACTTCTTGCCTACAAACTAAAATCGAGGTGCCTTACTAGAGAGCATGGTCTCAGCCAACGCACCCCTTGCTTCATACTGCGTTCATTTCACCCTAGTCCTGCTTTCTTCATTCATCTCAGGGCCCTCAGCGCTTCCTGGCATCATGACCCTTGCTCATTCAGCTCCCTCCATTTGGAACTCTCTCTCCCGCTCTTCACCCTTCAAGTCATACTATCTCAATGTCAGGGATCTAATACCCAGTAGAAAGACAATCTCTATCATTTTCTCTCAATACCACCATTGTCTTATTTAGTGTATAACACAATTATGCCAGCTTTTATGTTGTCAGTATAAAAATATGTTCTGCAGCCAGAATTTTCACAAAAGGAATTCTTCTCCGGGATTTGAAGGGCATATTAGAAAAAGTTACCAGTACTGGAAAGGCAAACACAACTTCAAGTGAAAAAGCGTAAGTTTTATATTTGCTAAGAATTCATAGTTTCTCACTCATCTTTACTTGCACAAATCCTGTCTCTTCAATGGGACCGTAGACCTCACTTGAACACAAGGTATCCCCAGAGTGCATTCACAATAAATAAAACACCATAGCAACAATGCTACTGTTTTCTTAAGAGTGTGCCGTGGCCAGTAATGTTTAAAACGATTACAGACAGTATTATATGCACCTAGGAAAGCATATGCATGGAAATTTGCAGTGTATTAATTTCCCCAAGCTGCACACACCCAGGCTTTGCCACCCACTTGACGCAAGAGATCATCCAGTCTCCTCCCCGTTGCTTCTTCTCCCCTATCTCCTCCAAGATAACCATCATGTTGACGCCGTGGCCTGTATTTCAGTTTTGCATAAATGGAATCTCACCCAGGGTGTTGTTCTGTCTTGCTGTTTTACTCTCTCTCATCCATGACTGTGAGTTGTACATGTTCTTGCAGGTACAAAGACTTGCTCCTTTTCGCTGAGTCACATCTCACTGCTGTCTGGTTTCTGATTCTTTTTTCATGTAGACCTTTCCAATGGATTCCTAGTGGAAACTCATTGTACTTTGAATTGGTATTTCACTGGTGGCTAATAGGATCCAGCACATTCGTTTCCCATTGGCCATTTTTTTTTGTACATGCTAAATTCCTTCACAAAGAGGGCCAGAGCTATGGCATATCAGGCAGAGCTGCTGCCTATAGTGCCAGCACAGCATATGAGCTCCAGGCTGCTCTACTTCTGATCCAGATTCCTGCTGATTCCCATGAAAAAGCAGATGGCTTGAGTGGCTGAACACCAGCACCCACACGGGAGACCTGGAAGAAGCTTCTGGTTCCTAGCTTCCAACTGGCCCACCTCCAGTGACTATGGTCATTTGGGAAATGAACCAGCAGATGGAATATCTGGATCCCCCTCTTTCTAACTTTGTCAAATAAATAAGGCTTAAACATCCTCCACACATTCTCTACAGGAAACTTTGTAATCGTCATGCTGAACTGCTCAGACATTTTGGGTAGGTGTGCCTGTACTTCTTTTGGTCCTCCATATTGTAAATATTGACTTCCATTGTGTAAATATACAAATGCAATTATCATAATGGGAAAAGGCTTAATTATATCTTTTAATAAACAGAAGTTCTTAAGTTTATGATAGACAGCCAAATGGATACTTTTTTTTAAACTTACAGGTAGGTTTTTTTTTTGGTCATATTTAACAAAACCTTACCTACTCCAAGTCATAAATACATTCTTAAATTTTATCTTCTGAAAGAAAACATTCCAGAGCGGTCCATGGGATGTGCCAGTCTACAAGATGTTTGCTGCAGGCTAATTTTGAGATTAAGATTTTGAGAGTAAGTTCTGAGAAAATTGTATAGTAATTTGATATTTTTGTGACTTTATTATAAGTTAGTGGCAGAATTTTTTTTTAAAGATTTTTCAGCACAGTTTGAGAACTACTTTAAACCCATGTTACTTTAAAAATTCTAACATCACACTTACATCCACCGTGAATTTCTGTATCTATGGGGACAGAATTGTGGTGTGGTGGGAAAAGGCACCCCCTGTAACACTGTCATCCTGTGTGGTGACGGTTCGGGTTCCGGCCCCTCCACTTCTGATTCAGCTCCCTGCTAATGCATCTGGGAAAGTCATGGAAGATGGCCTATGGAGTTGGCTCCCTGCATGCACATGGGAGACCTGGAAGAAACTTCTGGCTTCAGACGGGCCCAGCTAGCCAGGTGGTCATTTGGGGAGTGAACAAAAGGAAAGAAGATCAATCTCTCTGTCTCCATCACTCTTTAAGAGTAAATAAAGATCAGCGGAAACTATAGCTCACGGATTTTGATTTTTTTTTTTGTTAGTTTCATCTCTTCAAAACTTCTTCTCATTAAATTCTTCACTGACTCATAGCTAATACAGTAGCATAATTTTCTTCAAGAAAGTTCTTCACTTTCTTTTTCATTTCTTCTGTGACACATTATTCATTCAGCAGCATGTTATTTAACTTTATGGTGTTGTTAATTTATCCTTTTTTTCCTTCCTGTTGTCGATTATGTTTTGTGGCTTTTCATTTAAGGGGATGTATAGTAGCTGTGTAATGGAGACTATTGTATCTAGCAGTATGTTATTTAACTTTATAGCATTGTAAATTTCTATTTTTCTTCCTCTTGTTGATTTTGTATTATGGCTTTTCACTTAAGGGAATATATAGTAACTGTGTAATGGAGACTGTAATATTCAGATGTGAGCATACTATGGAGCACGCATCTCTACTTCTAGACAAAGATGGACTCCCAATGAAACTGTTCACTATATCTTGACAATAGGATGCTGGACTCTCTGCCATTGTCCATGCCCGCAATGATGGACATATGACTGTGTATGAAGAACTATACTATAGTAATGATATAGGGGAACTCAGTGAGGGAGGAGGGAACTGGGGAGAGGATAAGAGAAATCCCATTATCTATGGAACTGTATCATAAAATGATAATAATAAAAAGAAGTAAAATAAAAAAGAATACATAAAATTTAAAAAATCATTTTTATGTGTGGTGTAGATGTGAGCCATATTACTGTATTTGTTTCATGCCCATTGTTTTTTAATGTTATCTTTGTCATGAGAAAGTAACAGTGTTTCTCTCTCTGAGGCTCCTTGAGGTCAACAATTCTGTCCCACTGACTCCTTTGGTCAATGAATCCAAGTTCCACACTATCTTCTTGATGTACCTTCCACTTAATCCATCCTCTTCAAAGGCATCTCAGCTCTTCTTGGGCCTTGCATTGTCAATACCCATTTTTCCATATATTTTTAATATGTCTATTTCAGAATTAGTGTCAGCCTGCACGAAAAAACTGCTGAGATTTTAAAATACAATTGCATAATGCATCAAATATATGCATTGTAATCAATCTTTTTTTTTTTTTTTTGGATTTGACAGAAGCATAAGGTCCATATCTTTGGTCTGCTTTTAAAGACTTTTGTAATTAGTTTGACTATTCTATGCTCTTTTGGGCACTATTCCTTCTCTATAAAACAGGGAAAGAGCCACTTTGTGATAGTGTAGCAAGTTCATGCCCTCCTTCACACTTTGGCATACATAGTTATAATACTGGTGTATCTTACTCACCCTTGTGGCCATTCTGAATTTCTACACCTGTTATTTCCTCAAAGCCTTGGCTAGAGCTCTCTCTATTTCACACTGCTCTAGCTTGCAACCATAATTCTGTTTTCTGAACAGGGCTGGTAATTTGTACTGACGCTGAAAGATGCTTCTACATCATAGATTAAGCTTGTCTTGAATGTGCAGGTGTTCTACATGTCTAGTTGAACTAGTTTTAGTTTCAAATAGATAAAACTAATATCTTAATCATGAAGCAACCAAAAAACCTAGAAATATTTTTAAGGCTTCATCTAATCTCAGTTGATTTAGCAAACCAGGCTTGCAGTAACGCCTCCAGCTTCCATTTCAAATCCACTCTATTCTGAAATAGCTCTCAAAATTTTGTGCAGTCAGGAATGGAGGGCTGAGGGATCCGAGAATTGCCTATTTTCACTCTGCTAGCAGCAGCACTCTGACCACGCTTAGAGTGCCCTGAGGAAGCACAGGAGCCGAGCTTGGTGAGCACAGGCTTTTCCCGCGGAGAGAGGAAAAATTCTAGAATCAGACAGCAGTGGTGGTTATACAACATTTTGCCACTAATGTGAACCCTTTAAAATGACTCCTTTTATGTTACATAAATTTCACCTAAATTGAAAAAAAAAAAGTAATCCAGCAGTGAGATAGTTCTGTAGTCCCATAACTCTGAGATCATGAGTTGGTGATCTGCTATGCTTCAATATCTGACTCAAAACATAAAGATAGGGCCCAGTGCAATAGCCTAGCAGCTAAAGTCCTTGCCTTGAACATGCCAGGGGATGATATGGGCACCGGTTCTAATCCCGGACACTCCACTTCCTATCCAGTTCTCTCTGTTTGTGGCCTGGGAAAGCAGCTGAGGATAGCCCAAAGCCTTGAGACCGTGCACCCACATGGGAGACTAAGAAGCTGCTCCTGGTTCGTGGCCCAACTCAGATCCAGCCGTTGTGGTCACTTGGGGAGTAAATCATAGGATGCAAGATCTTCCTCTCGGTCTCTCCTCTCTATGTACGTCTTCACAATAAAATAAATAATCTTTTTAAAAAACTCAGAAGAACAGCAAGAAGAAATGCACAGTTTTGCATTTGATCTGTGATTGTGAGAAGGGCGTGCATACAACTGTTACAAGGTTCACAGAAGTACCTTGAACATCCTCACAGTGACAAACTACAATAGAGCAAAACACCAAGTTCAGTAACAAAGATAAAGTCATGTCGAATCTCAGAAGCATCCGCATGACACAATTATTTTCACACTCTGTTACTCTTTGTATTGAAAAACAACAGCAAAGAAATCTCAGCTTTCTGAATATTATTTGTCACCGAACTTGTTGAACAAAGACAACACACGCCCAAGAAGCTGAAGTTCATAACTATGATGACGAAGGTGGAACTCAGACGATCTAACATTCAGAAAAACAGCCAGAGCCAGCTCAGGCACTGTACAAAGACTTGGAATTAAATCCATCAGACCTTTCAGTGAGGATAATAGGGCATAGAACGCTACATAAATCCAGTGGATTTAGACAAGTATTTGGAGGAATACTTCTAAAGAAATTTTCATTCTGTAAAATGTGCGGGTGAAAATAACAGTGAGAATATTTCTATTATTCTTTTAGAAAATCCTAAAAAAGTAGTCTAGACTTTCTCACCCATAGCTGACTGAAATTCAGAAATAGTCATTCCACAGTCATGCCTACCACCTTGAAAGTGCCACTACAGAAGCGAAGAGTAAATTCAGATATTGTGATTCTGTTTGCTTTTTACGTGGGCAGCGATGTTCCAGATCTTTTAAAATTTTGTTTGGGCAGCAAAAGTTAGCAAAATTAGGTCAGATGGAAAAATGTGGAGTTGTGATAAACTGCAAAATTATCCTGAATCATACAGTATTGATATTTCTCTGCCTCTTATTTGATCACTAATATAACTGTTAAACTCCAATGACTGGTCATCAATGAGTTAGCTCCATTTCCTTATTGATATAATGGAAGTTCACACACCCACCCTCGATATAAAAGAGGTCAAAGTCTTGTGACTGGCCTTAATGACAAGAAAAGACATATATTCACTTCTCATTTGTAACATACAGCATGACTGTGAAATTTGGAGTTTACTTAATCTCTTGAACAAAATTCAGTGTTTTCATTCTGGTGCTTCTGAGGCCACGTTGTGATGCTGATTGGAATGCCTAACATTTTCCATTTGGATGTCTGAAATGTCAGGACTGGCCACCCGGAGCTTGTTTTTCTGTAGTTCTTAGCCTAAAGAAGGGCCAGGGAAGGGTCTTTGGGCTCTGTGGGTCAGTCACTTGGCTACAGTGGTGATGGGCTTTGAACATGACCTGAGGATATAGAGAAAAGGGCAAACTAATGAGCCTTTCTAGGGTCACTGCTCCTGATAATCTGAGTGTCTGAACCTCAACTTTATTCTGTTCATCCTTTGGATAACTGATAAGTTTTTTTCTAAAATGTTTAATACTTTCTCTGTATTTGAAGGTTGAGAGAGAGAGAGAGTGATCTTCCAGTAACAGTCGGAATTGGACCAAAGACAGGTACCAGACACTCAATCTGGGTCTCCCAGTGTGTAACAGAGCCACAAAGACTTGAGCCATCACATGCCTCCTCCTGGGGGAATTTAGAATCAGGAGGAGATGGGACTTGAACCCAGGCACTCAGATACAAGATGTAGCAGAAGCCCAAAGTAGCTTCTTCATTGCTGTCCCAGTGCCTGGCCCTGACACATCTTTCTGAATTCTTGAAGTGATCCCATCAAAGTTGGTCTGCAGGGCTATAGCAAAATAGAGGAAAGTGCTCTATTCCACTAGGAACCATGAAACAAGGATGGGAGGTAATGGTTGGATAGAAGGACTTCAAGAGTAAGAAGCCGCAGAGAACACATTGGGCCAGGAGAGAGCATTTTCAGCTGAGAAGGAGGTGGCTGTTAGCAGTTAGGAAACTGGCACATAGGTTAAAGATGGCTATGGCATACCAGGGCTCCTCTAGAAGAGAGGTCATAGTGAGCTCAGAGGACAACACTAGGGCTATGTCACCTGGTCCCTGAGGTCGTTGTGCTTGGTCAGACTTTCACTGCACCCACCCCAAACAAGACCGATTAGGATGACTTGGGAGTAGCAGAAACATCTTCCCAAGTCCTTAAAGAAGCCATGGAAATGGAGGCTATGCACTTATATCTCTATCTGAAGAAGTCACAGGAGTGTCACAAGGCTGAAACCACTGTGTCTCAATATTGCATCTCTAGATGAAATGTGCTCATTTGTATACTGAAAGGTCCTGTATTGCAAAACAAGGCAATTGTATCTGATTACACATGTGAACAAGCGGTACAGCCTAAGTTACTGTGGCTTCCGAAATCACAAGTTGCAGAGGAGAGAAAAGACGAGAAACAAGAGTTGTGCTTTTACAGCTGATAAATTTTTTTCTGCTCTTGATGGATACATCTATCACACCAAGCTTTTATAGCTCTTAATTAACATCTAAAAATATCTCTTCCCATGCCTTTTCAGCATTGTCGCATGCTCCTAGGGTTTGGGTTGGGAACAGCCTTCATTTCCTTATATCTTGATAACTGACTATGCAGGTAAATTCTTGTTTCAGAATTTTTAGACTCTGTCATACCATATGCAAACGACCATGCATTCCTAAATGTGACTATCCATCACGTAAACCAGATTTTAATGTATGTACACTCATTCAAACATATTTTAGGTTGATGCATTCTGACTTAAGTTAATGTGATAACTGTATTTCATGTAAAGCTGAAATTTACATAATTAAATAAAAAGGTAAGTCAGGGATGATTACAGACAAGAACCTAAAACCTCTTATTCTTGAATTGTTTCTTGGTCCACTGTGGTCTGAGGTGTGTTCCTTTGAGTGAGAGTAGGCAAGTGCGGGCCCAGAGAAAGTAGACAAAATCAGAACAAGCTGGCAACTGTATGGAAAGACACTTTGTGCAATAAAAGTCAAAAAGTAGCATGAATGCAGGTAGCACCATTAGGTGCCAGATCTGGATTCTTGCCTTCTGTTCAGAGATCACTACCTGAAACAACCATGCCTCGGGACTGGGCTCACTGTGTAACAGCTGATTAAGCAAAGGCAACATCAGCTTGCTCTCCCAAATACGTGGCTGACAGGTCAACCAGTCACCAGAGCGCACCTATTTAAGCAGGCAAACAACAGAAGTGACCTCTCATTTTACCTGATGCTCAGCCATCTGGCTCTCTGGACTCCTGCTGGGCTCCAGGCTCTCGCTGAGTTTTAGCTCGATGGCCTCCATTTTTGTGGAGATGGACTGCAGGGAGTCCTGGTACTTCTGCTGGCGTTCCAAAGCTTCATAGAGGGTGCGCTGCTTCTCGCTGATCTAAACAAGCAAAAGGATCTTACCAGCTGTTTGCTCGCCTCTTATCTCCCATGTTACCACATTTCTTTCCTTATTGCTTTACCCGCTGGCCCCTAAGAGGGTGCTCAACTGTGCACTGGATGTGTAACTTTCTGCAAGTATTTCATAAGACCATTGTTGAGGTGATCAGAGTCTAGGGGGATTGAACCACTCCATGTTTTAAGCACTTACCACATTCTTCAAGGTTTCCCATGAACGCTGCAGATCACCCAATTTAGCCGTGGCAGATGGCTCCAGTCCTGGCTCATAGAAGTCCTGTAAGGCTGATGCACTGGGATGGATCCTGGCAGCGTCTGTCTGTAACCGTTCAGCAGACAAGGCTTGGTAATAAGCAATGTCCTGGCAGTGAGAGCGTTGTATTAGATTCCCAAGGTCTGGATTCATGTGCTCTGGGTACTGTGTGCCATGCAGAGGGAAGGGCTAAAAGCTTAAGCTCTTTGCTGGGACTGCATGCCAGGAAAAGTTAGCAAATTCTTGTGACAAGAATCTATAAAGCACATTCAAATTGCTTTGGAATTTTGGTTTATATTAAAAAAACACTATTTCAAGATGAAAACATTAATTCTTAATAGTTGTTTGGCCAAAAGGAACTGCAAATGATTTAAGGGGTGCATGTATATTTAAGGACTGATGAACTAAAACAGCCAAAAGAAATTATCTAGTTCCTGAACTGTTGCTTAAGGTACAGTTCAAGGTTATGAATACTTTTACTGTACTAGATTTAAATAAAATTAAAGTGACAGAAGTAGTTCTTAGATGCAGCAAGATATTCCCGATTTATTTATGAATTATGTGTTAAATATTTAAATATTCAATAAAAGTGTAATGGGGAAGTTAAAGCTGTTTTGAGAAACAAATAACATTGGATTCTTTGAATTCACTTCCTGGGCCAATAGATGAAATCGTTAAAATAAATGATAAATCATCTTAATTTGAAAACTTATAAATAGCATTATGTATCCTATTAATAATGACAATGAAATACACCAAATTGATACATATAATATTATTTTCAATTGTTTCTACATTTATCTGTCTACATTTCCATAGAAATTTAGTTGGAGGAACAATGCTATAGTCTATGGTTAGTTATTGTCTGTTAAATCTCACTACCATTACAGTTCTGCTAAAGATAATGATGCCAACTTAAAATAACTGAGACTTACTGATGACCATGGGGAAAAGTCTTGAAGAAGCTTCTAGCAACATCAGAAAATAAAGCCAGAGCAGGAAGGGGCCTGCTGCTGGGGAGGTGCTCTCTAAGAGGCTTCCATGGAATGGAATGAGTTTAGACTGGGAATAGTCACACCTGAAAGCCAGCAAGACTGCCCTCTGTACGCTCCCCTGATCCTTGTAGCATATCGCTTACAACCTGCATCTCGGGTGTGGCTTTGAGTGACAGTGACCAGACACCCTCTGCGTGTGTGTGTGGTGTGTGTGTGCAGTTGAGGCCTGCAGATATGTCCTCAACATTTATAAACAGATTCTCATTCTCAACCTTCTCTATATTCTGTGTGGGTCACTGCGGTTTTTTCAGGTCCTCAATGGGCTCCAGTGCACTGACACGCTCTCCTGAACCTCACCACATTCCTCTACATGTTCAACGCTGTCATCACTAAACTGCCCATCCTCCTACTTCTATACACTTCTCACTGTATTTAAAGTGGCATAATCCTCTTTCTTGCCAAGACACGCATTTCTCCTACTTCCTTAAATTCTATTTCCCCCACTAGGAAAATCCCAATGACTCAATCCAATTTTACTTTGTAGAGACCATGAGCTTGCGATCACAATGGAAGCCATCAGGATAACAGTGCACAGCTTCTAAATATTCAACTCTGTCTATCTGCTGAATTATCCTTTCCTGTTTAAGGACCATTCTCCCACCTGTATCAAGAATCCCATAAATTGATGTTTCAAGGACTTCACTTGACTAACACTCCCTCCAGGCTGGCATTGAGCACAACTTATAAAAACCATGTTGTGTGTGTTTTTACATCTTTTCTTTTTCCCTGGAGGATATCATGGTTTTAGAAAATTGTACAAATCAAACTGTGATGGATCATTTCCCAAGAACACATTTGCTCACACTGTCTTAATTCTCATTTCCCCATCTTCTGCCAGTCACTACATAATCCAGTATGTAGGACTGACAGTGCATCGTGCATCGGTGTCTTGTAACGGGGTGGTACACAGAGGGCTGATGGTTCTTCAAAGTGTTCTTAGAAAATGGAATCAAAAGATACACTTGTTCTGCTGTAAACTATCTGAAATTCATGCATATTTTTATATATTTTCATGAAATGTTTGAAGATTACTTCTGTATGACGGATATCTCTATGCATTTGAATCCCACATTCAAAACTTCCTCATTTGAGTAGACTCATCCATTCATTTTATTTTCCAAAAACTTTTGAGGTTCCTTCATCTATTCACATTCTCACACTCAAATCACTTCTAAGTACCCATGAGGGCTTGCACTGTGATGCCTGCATCGACATGGCTCTCACCAAAGTCTTCCGTGGCTTCTCTTCTAGTAAATGATTCTTTTCCAGCCTTTCTCCTGTCCTCTCAGCAGGGTCCCATTTGAGAAACACTTGCCTTTTATACTGCACTCTCTTTCAGCTTTCCAGTCCATTAATACTGGGTGTTAAGCCTCATAATTACATCTCCTCTTTTTCATGGACTATGCCCCAAACTCAAGCCTTCTAAATGGAATTTCAGATGAAAAATCAATTAGAAAAAAACAATAAATTTATCATTCAGTCACTGGAATTCACTTTCAATTTCTTTTCTCCTTCTCCATTCACTGCCAAGTATTGATGAGGCTCCAAGGAGGCCTACTCTTGCCAGGATCCGCATTATAAAAGTGACCTCCTAACCTAAATATTGTGAATAAGCAGCTTGTAAACTGCCTGTGGCATTTGGTCTGACTTGTCTAGTTTGACTTATCTCATCATTAAGCTAGAGAGGTTTTCTGAAAGCTCAGATCCATGGCTTCTGTTCCTAACCAGAAGGCATAGTGACTACATGTCTACAGTGATTCTCACAGAGAACACACAGGCTCATTTAAGTGGAAAGGTGTGCCCCAGGGCCATGTCGAATCTTTGATCTGTGTCTCCCATTTGTATGACCTTAAAGGACCAGGTCTGTAACTTCTGTCCCTATGTAGCTTTTCTAGCTCCAGGCCTATCTCTTCCTTGTCCACCTTGATCAAGATCAGTGGTCCAACTCAGTTCTACACAGAGCTGTTTCTCCAATATCTACTCTTAACTTCTGCATGAGGATCTGACTCTTTCATCAATGTCCTTTGGAAGCTGGTTCCAGCTTCCATCTTTTCTCATCAAATCTACTTTCTCCAATATTACCAAACTCATTGCGGTTGAAGAACCATTCTTCTTCCTGCCTCTGTAGCTTCCCTCATGTGAGTCATTCTGCCTGAATAAACTTATCATCTCTCATCACCAGAAATCATTCCAGTCACCTTGCTAGTACAGCTCCCTCCAATCTAAACGGAGCTTTTCCTAAGCTGTGCCTGAAGCCAGCCAGGGTCTGGTTCTTTTCTGGCCTCCCATAACACCCTATATTTCTCTCCATCACACCACTGTCCAAACTCTACTGCACACTCTCCCTTCCTTCCATTCCAGTACCCAGTGGGTTTCTGAAACCACAGATAATAACACATTCACATACATATATTAAATTTAAATTTACAAATACAAAAACACATATTACCAAATATATAACACAATACATGTTATATTATTATACAGGAATAACATGTGGCTGAAATGACAGATCCATTGGTTTCAGAAACACCAATGATATGCTTGCCTTTTAACTGCCTCCTCTGAGTAAGCTGTTGGATTTGAACTAAACAAGACATTGCTACCAAAATGCAGAATAATGTGATACAATATAATAATGTGATACAAGTGTTATTTTCCTATGGTTAAAGGAGGGTGGTATCAAAAGGGGATTAAAACCAAGCACCATCTTACTCAGTTTTGAGCCTTAATGGTTGCCATTCGGTATTAATACAATACATACTTTATCAGCCACAGGGAACTCTGGTATGTGTAGTCAGATGCTTTGCAGCAGCTAGCAGGCAGATTATAATTTCACCAAAAGCATAGTCATTCAACAGTGTCAGCATCAAGATCAGCACTGTGCAATTAGAATATTTTACAAACGCTAAATATGCAGTATAGAATTAACCAAAGGCCAATTTCTCTGATTCTCATAACAACTGTGGCCTCAGGCAGAGCTTATGGTCAAAGAATGAGTAATACTTATTTTTAGCAGGAACTGGAGGACTGTTTCCAAGTTCCCCATAGGGCCTGGATTTCTCCTCGATTGTTGTTTTTAATTTCCTGTTATGGCTTTTGCTATTATTTGTCCCACATCCACCTTCCTCTTTGCACTGTAAGCATTTTGTTGACAGGGCCACTGTTAAATCATTCTCAGTTGCACCCCTATGGCCCAGAGCACGGTCCTATGCCAGGCAAGTGCTTCACATTTATTTAATAAATCAGTGAATTCATAACTTCCCTTGAGCTACACTGATTGTTATCAAGAGAACTGTGCTGTCTGAAGTTTTCGTTGAGTTTTATATTGCCTTTTTTTCATGCAGCAGTAGGAATTCTCTGTATCAGAGAAATACTATTTAAATGTCTCATTTTAAAATAAACTAATATGATTTATAATTTCTAAAACATCTGTTCTGCTCAATGTTTCTTTGTTAAAAAATCTTTGAATCCTTTTGAATGTCACATTTCATAGTAACTATGTATATAATACTAATTAACATACAGTAAATATCATTAGTTATTATAAAAACAACTGTTTTATTTGTATCCAGTATCATGTAAGCTCTTCAGTTTAGCAGAATTTATGTTGAATATATTGCATACTAAAAGGGATCTTATTAACAACCAGTTTTTATCTCTGTTTGCTAGGAAATAAAGTGTAAGATTATTGAGAGAGAAGTAAGATCAATCAAATTAACTAGATATTTCAGAGTATTTAATGGTAAATACTCTTTAAGTTGGTTCACAATGATTTCATAAGAGAAAAGTATAATAATGGAGGGAAGTTCTGAATCTGCAGAATCTGAGCTAGCAGATGTCAATACTGTGTTCATGAATGCTAAGGTAGCTGTGAATTTGTATAACTTTGCAAGAGTGAGACAGACCTTTCATTGTCTGTTAGGATCCCACTGCATGCGATTGTTAGAAAATATAGCTATTACACCCTTGTAAACCAAAGTTTACACGGCCTTTTTTATTTTATCTTATTTGTCTCCTCATCTCAGTAGGTCAGGAAAGGAGCCAGTACAGTGAGCAAGCAGTCTCATCTCACAAGGCAGTCACCGTTTGTACACCTCTGACAACTGAAGGTGTGGCCCTGGAACAAAGTGCAGGTGTGCACATCCCAGCCACAGCCTCCTGAGAACAGAAAATGAAGTCCTGCACTCTCCCAGAGGTCCCAGTGAGAACAGCAGCACGAGGGAGGTACCTGGTTAACAGAAGCTTCTGGATTAGCCACAGGTGAAGGGGAACGACACGTGGGTGGAGAGCAGATCTCACTGTTGGTTCCCTCCTCCCCAGAGTCCTCAGTGACAGGTGACAGCAAAGTGTGACAGCGACCCGCAGTCATCTGCCACGTGAAATGTAGCCCAAAGGACAGGAAAATCAGTTAGCTATGTTAACAAAAGACCTGCTCAGGCACAGGCCAAAAAAGAACATTCTAGCACAAAGTAAGAAACACGGAGACTCAAATTTACACAGTGTCTTAGTATTTAAAACTCTGTCTTCAAGTGAACACGATGCTAGAAACCAACTGATGAACAAACAGGGATGCAGGATGCACAGTACTTTTAAGAGCACTGATAAGCATAGTTGATCCCACCCCCTTTTGATGAATGTCTGTGTAAGGTTCTATAAAACAAAGTGAGACCTTTTATAAACATCTCAGATTACGGATCATATCTGGAGACGCATGCACCCAAAGTCAAGTATTGCCCAAAGTGCCTGGGGACGTTGCAGTTACCAGAGGCAGGGCACACAGGAGGTAACACACTCAGCACTGGAAAACACCAGAGTTACCAAAACACCCAAACCAATTTAGAAGCAAAATGCATGGGGAAATAAAGAATGGTGCAGAAGTGAGATGACAGAAATTTGTTTCTGCAAGCAAAAAGCTAAATTTTGTATTTTCTCTTTTCTTAAGAGTTGTTCTTGTGCAGGCAGTACATGCACTTCTCTACTCAGATAGTTAGCTAAAAAATACCCACAACTAAATAAATACTCAGAATCTTCTAACCCCTCTTCAATTCTCCCTCCCCGCCCCCCTCAAAAAAAAAAAAAACTAGAAGTTCATGCAAAGGAATTTTTTCAAAAACAAACAAACAAAAAATAAAAATAAAGGGCAAAGACAAGAGAAAAAGAAAGTCTTCCGATATCATGGTTAAATTATACAGGAAAGCACGGCCACGCTCTGACAGGCTCAGTAATTCAGCAGTCTCCAGAAAACAGTTTTGTTTCAACTGCCTCTGTTTACTGTCAGTCACTGGCACCACCCCAAGTACAGTCAAAGGGAGTTAAGGAAACTGTTCCTCCCTTTGCATCTGTGGATCCCTAAATAAAGTCTTGAGAAAGATCAATTGTGGCGCCCTCAGCCTGCCTGCAGTGACAAGAGCTAAGCCGCCCGGACTGGACCCCTTACCATGACCACAGAGGGCTGGGCCGCAGGCGTGGGGAGGAGTTCCCGGTCCAGGTCCTCGGTCCCTTCCGCCAGCCCCTCGACCTCCGTCACCGTCAGCAGCATGGTGGCGTGCTTAGCTTTCATCGTCAGCATCTTGCACTTGGAGTTCAGGGCGGCGATCTGCTCCTGGTAGCCCTTGATTTTCTCAGCCAGCTCCTGAGAAAACATAATTTTTTTTTCCTTCCCCCGGGTCAGAGCAGCATCAAAAGGAAACAGAAGTGGTGGCGTTCATCTTCCTGCAAGGCGAGCCAATGAGCTCACACCGCCCTGCAGGCGGCAGCACGGGTGGCTGGGGAGCAGGATGTGCAGAGTGAGCAGGGAGAGCGAGCAAGCTGCACGCATCTCGGGGGAGTCGGCAGCGCTGGGGGCAGAGCAGGAACAAAAGGAGTACAGGGGAGAGGGAAGCCCCTATGGAGACCACCGACTTCCTGACTATTAAGATCTGGTAGCTCTCCTCACTACGCCACAGCATCTCAATGGACCAGATGTTCATGCCGGCAAAATGAGGTCACGTGATGATTAAAACTAAAGAAAAACGCACTGCTCAGCTCTTAACCATATTGAGTCCAGCCAGCAGCCATGCCAGTCATTTAGAGCCAGGGAATTGCAAAGGAAAGTGCCTGCCCCTTCCTGTGACCCAGAGTTGGACTGGCTAATAATGCCTGTGAAGTCCACAGGAAATTTTATACACAGGCATCATTTTCTCCCAAGCACCCCCGTTATTATCCCACATACAGCCGAGGCCTCCAACCAGGCCCTTGGACCCAAAAGGCAGTTCATATCTAATAGCTCTGAATTCTGAAAACCTTTGACTGACAGCTTATTGGCAATGTGTTCTGGGCAGCAAAATGCTGTTAGGAAGGTGACCCCGCACATCTGTTTTAGGAGCCTGCAAGTTCTGAGATATGACAGAGTCTTGCTTCACTATTAAACACTACAATTATACCTTCTTGCACCTTTAGAAATGAAAAGGTATAATAACACATGTAATCCTAGAACATCCAAGGACTGTAAAATTCCTGTATTTTTCTATACCTTTTATTGGGCTCCTTTACCTGAAGCTGTTCTTTGCCTTCATAGGACACATTTGTGACACATCTGAACATGTAACATATCAATGTACAATGGAAGACCACCTATGTTTGTACAGGGATATAATATCTCATTATGTTGTTTGGTTCCCTCTTCTCTATGAAAAGTAGGCCAGCAGAACTCAGCCAGTCACTTGCTTTCTTGACTTGCAGCATTACAGAAAAAAAAATGTTTAAGTATTTAAAATAAAATAAGCACATCTTTATCTCAGGCTGTACATGCTTAATTAAATCCAAGCATTTTTTTTAAAAATTAGCATTATTTGGTGTAGTAACTAGCACATGTGAAATATCAACAAATGGTGTGTATTATAATCATGTAACATATACAGAAAATAGCCAATGGCTCCATGAGTTCCAACTCACTAGGTTTTCTTGAAGCACTCACCCCAATTGGGTGAACATGAATCTGGGGAGAGGACAGTCTTTAGCCTTGCACGCTTAACACTCTCGAGGTAGCCAAGGTCACGCAGCAGAGCCCTGCAAAGGTATGTCCATTCTGACAGCAAGCACCCTCTTCCTACAATGAAATTCCCAACTACATCATGTGCACAATTCATCTGGATCTTTCTTAAAGTGCAGTGGTAATCAACACACCCAAAGATGGCAAATTATTTGGTTTGCAAGAATCCACATCCCATAGCCTGCCCGTTTGACTCTAATGCAAGTGATGGTACTTCCAGAATTGCCCCTCCCCCCTTAGCAAAACAGATGTTCTGTCCCACTGCTGTGTAGGTTGGTTTATTGTGGTGCAGTCTATTTTGTTCAAATACGACTGAGTGGTAACAGTTAATGTGTTACACATTCTCAAGAAGAATAGGCTGAAAATGAAAAACTGAAACATGTTTCAGGTTATAGATGCTCAACTGATAATGCCTGCACAACTATTCCAAAATTCGAACAATTCAAACTTTAGAAACACTTCTGGTCACAAGTGTTTCAAATCAAGGATCCTCAACCCATGTGGATGATGGTGAATGTATGCATTTGTATTCAGGAAGCTGCTTCAAAAATCCAATGGAAAGCACAACAGACACTTGGCGCAGTAACTATGACACTAGCTGGCGCCCACACCTCACATCGGGGTGCAGTCATGGGTACCCACACGTGGAGCCCAGGCTTGGTTTGACGCATCCAGGTGTTGCTGGGATTTAGACATAAACAATGGGCAGAAAAAAAACCCTCTGCCTCTGCCTTTGAAATAAAAATCAAAAGTTAAACTGAAAAAGTTAGTGGGACATATGAAATTGTTATATATACCTTGACAATTCGATACTAGATTTTTTCCCTTTGTCTATGATCACAATGCCACGGTACACTTGAATGGCTGGACTTCAAGGTTGGACTTTTGGTTGTTTCTGAAGGATTATACTATTTCGATAATGTTGGGGAAAATGGTAAAGAGGTTTAGGGAGTCTGCAGGGGAGGGTGAAGAACGGACTAGGCGGAAGCCAGGGGACAGGAATTTCTTTCATAAATCCAGCACAGGTGACAGCAGCCCAAGTTCTTGGGCCATCTTCCCTTGTTTTTATCTGGCAATTAGCAGGGAGTTGGATGCTAAGTGGAGCGGCTCAAACTCCAAGCAGTGACCATGTGGGATGCTGACATCACAGTGATAGCTTTATTCACTCTACTGCAACATCAGCCCCTCTGTGCTTAAATTTCATTGGCTACATTTTTCAAAATATTTATTTGAAATGGAAAGTGGGGTGGGGAAGGTGAGGTAGAGCGAATTAGAGCCGTATCTTGCTTCTGCTGATTCACTCCCCACCAGCCACGTCCAGGCATCAGCCAGCAGCCAGGCTTATCCTAGTCCCCCACATGTCTGGCAGGGACCAAGGCACTTGTGCCACCTTCAGATCCCTTCCCACACGCAGTAGCAGGAAGCTGGATCAGGTGGAAATGGAACAGGTAGGAATTCCCACATGGAGTAGTTCCATCACACGCAGCAGTTTCATCCACTGCGCCCTAACTCCCACCCACCACTTCTTTCTGAACGTGATTGCAGTGGTGGGAATTTCAGGTGAAAGAAGCCAGCCCGGTATAGCAGTCGCCTTCTGTACCAGGTCGGCAGCCACAAGGGTCCAAGTACTCTCAGCTTTGATCTAAAAGTGCCAACATAATTCCATCCAAGCAAAAGTAAGTTTTAGAGCATCATAAAAAATAAACTCCATAGAAATTAATTGCATATTATTTTTCCGAGTTATAGTAATAACATAAAATTGGGTTGACTGTTAGATTAAAATTCAATTAAAAGCAGACAGAAAATGCAGGAAGAATTCCTGTCTCAACTTTTCTGTTATCATCCATCAGGCTTTCTGTGTTTAGCACATCCCTTCCTGTGTTTGTTTTATACATACAATGAACCCCACCCAGGGCCATGCCATTACTTTCAGGAAAATATGTTCTAAAACACAGGATCAAATAAATACTTCAGAATACTTGAAAAGTTCACGAGGAATTTGAATTAAAGAGTTTACGTAGGTTCAAAAATGTCGGAAGTTCATGCATGGCTCTGTGTATAAGAGAAACTTGTTATGAACTTTTTGAAAAATCTCCAGCTACCCTGGAATTTAGGACTGTGAGGAGCAGGTATGACAAAGTGAAGATTAGGAACCAGAAGATGCGGTGAGCTGTTGACCACGCTGAGAGCACGCCCCGTGGGTAAGTCACGGATTTTCCTTCATCCCTTCCTTTTGTGCAAGGAGGAAATAAGTAACTTCTGCTACAGTAGAAAAATAATGGAATTTGGAGCCCAAATTCCGGGCTTCAGTTTGGTTTTAATTAATTCCTAGACATGACAACTCAGGGAATCACTTTAAAAAATTAGTTTTATGTTTAGGAGAATGCAAACGATTTTAAAGATCCTTATCTCACAGCAGTATTATAAAAAAAAAATCTTGTTACACTTTTGAAGTTATTTCAAAAATACAAAACGAAAAAATTTTGAGTAATACCTGTTATTCTAGGATTGTTGCAACAAAAATCTGGGGGCCCAGCCTGGTAGCCTAGTGGCTAAAGTCCTCACCTTGCATATGCCGGGATCCAACATGGGCACTGGTTCTATTCTGGTGGCCCCACTTCCCATCCAGCTCCCTGCTTGTGGCCTTGGAGAACAGTAGGACCAGCAAAAGCCTTGGGACCTGCACCCACGTGGGAGACACAGAAGAGGCTCCTGACTCCTGGATTTGAATCAGCTCAGTTCCAGCCACTGCAGCTACTTGGGGAGTGAACCAAGCAGATGGAAAATGTTCCTCTCTTTCTCTCCTCCTCTTTGTATATCTGACTTTGCAATAAATAAATAAATGTTTTTAAATGTTAAAAATCTGGATCAAGTGTCACAGTATCAAAAATGCCTTCTCATATCTATGTGACAGACTAGTCTTATCTACACATTGCTTAAACAGTGGTTTCTAAAGTTTCCATGGCAATCAGGCATTTTGTGCAGGAGTTAATTCTGCGTGCTTGGATTTCAGTCTCAGCTCCATTCTCAATTCCAGCTTCCTGCTTCTAGCTTCCCATGAGGCCCAATGTGATAGCTCAACTAGCATCATTCCTGCTGCGCACTTAGGAGATCCACATTGGGTGTGGGCTCCTGTGTTGAACCACCCCAGCTACTGCGGACATTTGGAGAATAAATTAACAGATAGGAGAACTTAAAAAATAAACACTTGTTTTCTTTCTGCCAATGCATAGAAGAATCTATCAATACATATATAATGTCTATAACTATAGGAGAAAATATAGGTGGAACTACTATTCAAGCAGCTCACATATGGCATGAATAACATATGACAAGGTTATAGATGTCCAGGACTGAATCAGCAAAACTCTACATGCAACAGAAAACAAAATGGTTGCCTCAGGACTGACTGCACAGGACAGGGTGAACTTTCTCTCCCAGTTGCTGGCAGCGGATCATCTATGGCGAGCCAGCCACCTGCCCACCCCTGCTGTTCTCCCCACCTGCCCGTCTCACCTCGTGTCGGGAAATCTGGGCTTGCAGCTCCTGGATATTACTGGTGGCCACAGGTTTATCCTCAATTTCTCTGTGAGCCCCTTCTATCAGCTGCTGGAGATGCTTCATTTCTTGCTCATATTGTTCGTATTGCACCACCGCCTCCTAGGGGAGAAACGAAACAGAAATCAATTTGGGTAAATGATGCCATGCTGCTGTCTGCCCTATTGTGCTAATTGTCGTTTATCTGTGTATCTAGAGAATATGGGAAGGATGGAGAAAAATTCCTAGAAGGCCCACATTCTCAATTTTGCTTAGCTATTTCAGAGTTTTCTAAAACATTGCAGTAGGAATTGTTGATGGATTACAAATCCTTAGATGGTTTGGATTTTCTCTGCTCTCCTCTGTATTGTCCCCAGAAAAAAAACATGGCTGTCAGGAGGTCAAAAACAGTGTGGTTTCATTTCCCCATAAGGAATCCTGCATATGTAAGACACTGGGCTAAGAGCTGCATGGGAGGAGAAAAATATGAATTATGCATGACTTCCCGGCTCAGGAATTTATAGGAAATTCCATGCTAATTCAAGGGGCAAGGAAAGTTGATCAAGTGGGCAAGTGGCAATTTCAACAAGAGATTATTGCTTCAACTTCTGATGAAAAAAGTTGACTGAAAGATATAAGGTAAAGAGTTTCATTTCTTCTGTTAATGATTTTTAGTTGAAGATGGCATACTATAAATTATATACTAAGCTTGTAGCAGTTGTACTTGAATTTGCTTGTATAACAGTTATAGTTGAATGTGATTCTCAAGCAAGAAAATGCATCTAAAAATCAGTACACTGAAATGACAAAAAAAAAGGTATCTGTATCAAATCATAATAGAGAAGCTGTATTGTTAGGTTCCATAGTGTTAAGTGAATAATAACAGATGAAAATGTATGGCTGCTCACAGGTTTGCCTTTTAAGTTGTTCTTTGTTAGAAATAAATCACTGACAGATTGTATCATCAAAGCATTTTTTTTGGAGAGCTTTCCCCAGACCTTTGTGGCTGATCCAAATGACAGCATTTTAATCTCCTGATTTTATATAACCACCACACTGTCAAATGTTACACTCTGGGTAGGCTTTGCTGGCTGAGCCCACACAATGCTAAGAAAAGGAGCGATGACTCATTCGCCATTGCTCTGCTGGCGTGGGCACCGCTGGCAGAGCCCGGGGCACAGCTGCACCTGCCTGCATGATGTTGCATTGCTGGATGGCTGAGTGCTGTAGTCGGCTAGCCTCCTCCTGCAGGCGCAGAGCAGTGTGGCAGAGCGGCAAACTGGCAACCACATCCTCTGGGATCCGGAGGACACTCTGGCAGAGCTGCACCGCTTGTACCTTGGGCTTCAGGGATTCCATCTCTGCCAGCAAATGCTGAAAGGGCAATATCATGGTTCAGACATTCAGTGTTTTGTGATCTACTGTATAATCCAAATGGCATTTACTAACTTACAGTTATCCCACAAGCTATAAATGTTTGACAGGGAATATTACAATAATAAATCAAATGCTCAGGCAATCATTCATTTGGATTTTTCTCTCTATCCCCTTTGGTTTTCAAAAGCACGCTGCGGGGCCTGGCGGTGTGGCCTAGCAGCTATAGTCCTCACCTTGAACATGCCGGGATCCCATATGGGTGCCAGTTCTAATCCTGGCAGCTCCATTTCCCATCTAGCTCCCTACTTGTGGCCTGAGAAAGCAGTCGAGGACGGCCCAAAGCTTGGGACCCTGCACCCATGTGGGAGACACGGAAGAGGTTCCTGGATCCTGGCTTCGGATAGGCACAGTACTGGCCATTGCGGTCACTTGGGGAGTGAATCATCGGATGGAAGATCTTCCTCTCTGTCTCTCCTCCTCTCTGTATATCTGACTTTCCAATAAAAATAAATCTTTCAAAAGCACGCCACCAGTCATCCATTCTCGTCTATTTTCACGCACCTGTCGATGTGAGAGCTGCTCCTTGAGGCTGAGACGCCCTACTTCTGGAGAAGTTAGGTTAGCTTGGGCTTGTTCTACAGCAGCCTGGAAGCTTTTGAGTTCTGCCTCAAATCTTTTCATATCCTAGAGAATAAAATTCACTTGGATATTAATGAGAGTATATATTGCCCTGGAAATTCAAACTCATGAACAATAATATCACAGTAAGACATCCCATCACATCACAGCGGTTAACCCCACTTTCTCCCAACAAACCCTCTTTTTTTTTCCACCTTGGCTGCATCTTGGAGATTCTGCAGGCGATTTTTGATGATCTGTCGCAGTTCTGCTGTCTCCCGTCCTACTTCTGCCACTTGCTGAGACATTTTCTCTGTGTAGTACACACTGCTGAGGTACTGCAACTTTTCAGCCATTGCTTCTAGATCAGTGTGAATTTCTTCAGATTCTTCTAGAAGAGTCTGGAATACAGCATCAACGTTATGACATACTGATATGTAGGCAAAGAAGAATAGGTAATGGATATGATCTGGTATGGAGACCACTCGACTGGGAAGAGAACAGGATTAAATTGTAATTCTTATTTCCATGTGCATCTGTAGGTTGTATTCACATCCTGTCCCATTCCTTTTGACTAGGCACCTACTGTTATTCTTATTTTACAGAAACAGAGTCAAAGTTGAGGAACCATAATAATTTGGCTAGGCCATGTGCTCAGTGTGATACAAACAAACTCATGCTGTTAACCAAAACACCCTCCTCACAAACATCAACAGATGGGGCCTTGCCTTGCTGGGTGTTCTAATTACCAGTAATCAAAACCTGGCCTTTCTTCTGACTTAAACTTAAAAAAAAAAAAACTACATTTACAGATCTGAAATCCTATACCCAAGATCTAAATGCATATTTCATTCTAAGACTCGAAAATGAGACTATTGCAAAGAATCAAAAACTCTGATCTGTTGCAGTATTGTGCAAGAGAGGGTTAAGCTATGTTAGAAATCTGATTCAAGTTCTCCCTTCTCTGATTCCAGTTTAGCCTCCTGGAAATGATCCTGGGAAAGCAGCATGCCTTTGCCACCACCTGGGAGACCAGGATGGAATTTTGGGTGGTTCGTTCTGGCCATTGTGGCTATTTGTGGGGTCAATAGCCTTTCAAATAAACAAATCTGCAAATTTTTTTTTAAAGTCTTTGCTTTAAGCATTACAAAGGAATAAAATTCAGTCGCACTATCAAGAGAAACCCTCATCCTTCTGCATGGTTCTGTCAAGTGGGACTACAGCACGGATGGACAGGCAACTAGATAACACGCATCATGAAAAGTACAGTGAGGCAGAGGCTGAGTGTTAGGGGGTCCAGGCAAGATGTGCTATGACTTGTTGGAAGACTGGGAGAATGCTCCTTTAAGAGTAAAATCCAAGCTCAGTCAGAGGATGTTTGCAATTTGATGGTTTGGGAGGGAGAGGAAGACATTTCATGTGAAGAGAGTGGTGTACGCAGAGGCAGCAGCAGGCAGGCACAGAACGCAGTTGGTGGCTCTCTGCTACGTGAAGAGTAGAAATGGGAGACGGGGGTATCATTCTATAGCAATATATTCTCTCCTAAACAAAGTGCTGCTTTCTCAGTATGAATAAAATACGTATTTACCACAGGAAATATTTAGCTTTCAAAATGTTGAGTGTATAAAGAAGAAAGTAATCTATAAATCATTTCATCATTCCATAATGCAGAGAGATAACTGCTGGTAGGCTCGGACCTCTTCTTGGGTAATTCAGATCATCACATACCTTTTACTTTCCATATGTCTTTTACAGGAATACTTATTGATGGGTTTACATGGGAGGCAGAGAGATGCTGAGAGAAAGAGAAAAAGAACGCCCATCCCCTGGTTCACTCCTCAAATGCCTGCAGTGGCTGGGGCTCGGCTGAGGCCAAAGCTGTGAGCTATAAATGCATCTCTTGAACTTCGGTGCCTAGAATCCAAAGACTTCAGCAGAAACCCCCTCTGCCTCTCAGCCTCTCATTAGCTGGAAGGGATTGTCATGAGTCCAAGTAAGAAATCAAACCCAAGTATTCTGCTGGGAAATGCCAACATGCTAACCAGGATTTTAACCTCCAGGCTAAAAGCCCACCCCCTCGCCATTTTTTTTTATGGCCTGACATGGAACGTGTGTGTTTGTGTGTGTGTGTGTTTTTCTTCCATTATGTAGTGTTTTTGGATAAATTCAGGCAGTCATTACTCCTAAGGGAGGAAAATGAGAACTCAAGCTTGGCTGCAGGCTGTTTTCTGTGTTGGTGTCTGCTTCCCTAGGACATCCTCAGCACCCTGACATCCCAGTCACAAACACCTGCAAGTCATCCTACTCACCATCTCCTAATTTGTCATCTCTCACTCATCAAGGAGAGGCCTTGTCATTTTCCACTAGAATAATGGAGCCACCTTATCTTCATCAGTCTGTTTTCTACGTACTGGCTGCTAGGTGCATATTTTTAAAACACAAGTCTGGATTTGTCACTGGGCAGGCAAAATATCCGCCAGAGACCCAGGACAATGTACAGGCTCCCATCACCTGCCCTTTCTTATCTCTTTAGCCTTACCTCCTGTCCTTTCCAGCCCTCCAGGGAACGAATCAAAACACATCTTTCTCCTACTGCCAGCATTTCCCCATGTATGTTGTTCCAGAAAGCCCCACAAGCAGGTCTTCTTCCAGGGGCCAGGCCACTATCACTCATGCCTAAGAAGCCTTCCCTAACCTTCCCCAGGCAGTCTGGACATCTTCCCGCAGGCTTTTTCTGCCCCTTGCTCTCTCATTCTCTCTGCATCCATCTCATCGTGTTGTAATCTTTTCTATCTGTTCCCTCCTCTAAACCGACTCTCCGGCACAAAGGCAGGAAATACTCTTTGTGTTTGAAATTCTGTTCAAAGTCCTTGATCTGGGAAAAGAGAACTATTTGTTAAAAGAACAAATTAAAAAAAAAATATGAAATGTTGTTAGATGGTTGTTTCCTTTAAAGTTTTACTGTAGCTATTAATAATGTACAAAATACTTTCTGTAATTTGGATTGCCATTTTAGCAAAGAACCCAGAAATTTTAATTAACAGGTCAAGCTAGTAACACTTCTGACGTCACAATACACTTTGTGGTCAATTTTTACCAGCAGTGTTGGAGAATCTCTCATGTTCTCAAATATGAATTAAAAAAACAGAATTAACTTGATAGTTGAAACTCTGTCTCTTTTTTGCTGAAATATGAGTTTCTAAATTTCCAATAATATTGTGTTTTTCCTCACTGTTTACACGTGAATCAGAACTTTAGTCTTATCCATCCACATCAAAGTGTATTTTCAGCACAAAATTGGAATCTTTCACAAAGATATTTTGGGAGGAGTACCTAAGACTGATTAAACAGGAAGGATTACAAATACAGGCTAAACATTCTGATCTGCTAAAGCATTTAAGAAGGAGGAAGTGAAGTTTTGATTTAGAGTCCTGCCAACTAGATAGGAGAATCAGATTCATATAAAAAATACAAAGATGTACACATCTTAGGAAATCTTAAAAATTTGAGAACATCCATGTAACTCAATAAAACTCACTTTATATATGTGCTTCCTGGAACATAGCTAGCCTGTTAAATATCTGTATCTAATTCATGCCTAAGTTATAAAAATGATGAAACAATTTCCTGGATGACAAGATCTTTAAAAAAGGAAACTTGTGGTCACGTAACTTCGAAGGAAATGAAGTAATACAATCACCATGTGATGGGAACTCGTTGCTTGTTCCAACTGACCCTCACCTGCCTCTGTGGACCAGGTGCCTGAGAATGGACAGACGTTGAGAAAAAGAACACAACTCCATTGAGCGCCAGTATACACCAGGCAGTGTGCTAGCATCCACAGTAAGAGAAAACATCAGTGTCTCAAGGTAAGGCTGAAATATGATTATCTACATCCCTATCAGATGAAGACAGAATTCAGAAAGACAAAGTGTTTTGGTCCGGATTGTAGAGCCAAATAGCACAATTTCATTTTCTTTACAGGCTGAGCATAGAGCCCATCATCTCTTTCCACTGGAAAGAATATCCCACCATTGCCTGCATATAATTATTTCAAAGAAGCCAGGCACGTGTGCGCGTGCACACGCGCACACACACACACACACACACACACACACACACAGAACGAGAGAAAGAGAGAGAGAGAGCACACATGAACTTGTGATTGATTTTGGTCTTAGAGAAGGGGAGGCTTAGGAAAGATAAAGAATATCTACTTACACAGTCTTATGAAATCTTATGAGCAGAGATTCTCTGTCAAAACAATAAACAACTTCTGACTACCTATGCACTACTTCGATTGCATACATACAATAATTGTGCACCATGATGCTTTACATTTTGTGTCAGTCTGGCCATTGAACCATTGGGTTGTCATTTACTCTTGGAAAACACTTAAAGTTACCTGATGCAAAATATATTGTTCCCGAAGCTGGCTTGCAGAATTCCAAGTAATATTTCCATGTACCAAGACTTTAGCTTTCTCAATCCACTTCAGAATTAATTCCAGCATTTCAGTATATTCATCTAAATGTGATGCTGCCTGAAAGAAATCATTAGCATTCACATGTGAAATGCAAATTCTGCTTCTTGCAGTAGAAATTCACCTTCTAGCTGCATCTTTAAATACAACAATATGAATGATTTTAACGTCTTTGATATTTCCTGTAGGATGAAAAACCATTTATCTGTTGAAATCTAGTCAAAGTTTTAGAGACTTTAGCATAAAGTTCAACATTTTAATAGACTTCAATGATTTCTCTTTTTTGCATTCTTTCTTGTTTCAACAAGAAAGTGGCAGGTAGGGATTACAGCATCGGGCTGACATTTTTTGTATAGCGGATAAGCTACTATCTGTGATGCTGCCATGCCCATGGATGCCAGTTCATGTCCTGGCTGCTCCAGTTCTGATTCAGCTTCCTGCTGAAGGCCAGAGAAAAGCAGCAAACGATACTCCAAGCGTTTGGGCCTTGCCACCATATGGAAGAGCTGATGAAGCTCCTGGCTGTGTTTTCAGCCTGGCCCAATACTGGCTCTGCTGCTCATTGGGGATTGAACCAATGAATATCTCTTTCATTGCCTGTTCCCTCTTTACAATTCTGACTTTCAAGATAAATAAATCTCTCTTTCAAAGACCATAGATGGCAAGTTTAAACTCATAATTTGAATTTTCCTTCATTAGAGAAATGACAATCAATTTACAAAACTCCAGTGCATACTCAACAGTTAATGTGGACAGACAAGCTGCATCTGTGGAGCAAAGACAGGCCGCTTACATGTGGAGACAATGAGTCTGAGCTGAATTTGTGATCCTTGAATTCTTCCCAAACTAATGACCATGCAGTTTACAAAATACTTCTCCAGTTTGCAAAACATACACCTATTGACAATCTATTGTCAGTGCCTTTGTAATATGATGTGTTACAAAATAACAGGTTTTTATAAAATATAAATCTACTGGATTCAGTAGTGGTATGAAATAAACTACACATAAGTTAGTCATATCACTGTCAATATCATCTTTTAATTTACTTTCAGAACTTGTAAGTTTGTGGTGATTGGTCTGTTCTGTAAAACATACCTGAACAAGCTTGTTGAGCCGACTCTCAGCCTGTCTGATGGTCTGCTGGTAGAGTTCTGTCAGCTTTCCTATCTTCTTTGCCAGCGGCTTGCTCAGTTGACTATTCCTTTCTGAGAATCTTTGTACAGCTGCATCTAATTCAACCAACCTTGAATTGCAGCCATCTAATTCCTCTCCCAGAACCTGATGGTTATTGAGAATAAAAGAACATGAGGCTACAGAGAATACGTTTTCCCAGGTCTTCCAAGAATAGAGGTACTATATTTTGAATGATTTTTGAAAAAGACAGCTAGGACAAAAGCTAGTTCAGCCAGCATCAGGTCATTTCTGTCTGTTTGACTGGATAGGCAGAGCAGGATGTGTTGCAATCCTGGTGTTTATTTCCTATGAACCCAGTAAAGGGACTAACATTTTCCTTCTGCCCCACCCTGAAAGGATTGGAGTCATGAACTCATCCACACAGTGAGAACACAACTTTAATGCTCTTGTATATCTAAGCCCTCATACATACACATTTACTAACACAATTGACTACAAAGGTAAATCATTTAAGTAATTTTTGTTACTGCATTTATGTAAGTTCTTTACTGCCCTCACTTACTATCTTTTTTTTTTTTTAAAGTTACTAGCAAAGACAGTTTTTGGCTCCTATGTCCCCAAATAAAACTGACTCTCAACTCTATTTAACTTACTCAGTAGCACCCCGTATATTTCCAGATCTTTGTCCACCTTACCTTTTGATCAGCTCTAGCTTGTGCTAAATCACTGGTCTTTGCTTTCAGCTTAGTAAGAATGGTTGTGAGGTCTTTAGCTATCTTCTGAATCTGCCGACTTAACTCCAGGCTCATGGCCTTGCTCTGCTCAACTTCATTTACTTTTTCTTGGATCTAAAGAATCAGCGAGAACAGCAAAACCAACCATGGGTAAATGGCGTAAGAAATATTCAAAATTACAAACGGGGCTGACAGGAGACAGGTGATGAACACTGCTTTGGCCTTGATGTACTTTCTCAAAGCAGCTGTTACAACTCTGGTTTCCAGGCTGCTTTGCTTGAGACCACCCTTCCACCTGCCCCGTTCTCCTGCTGCTGTGGTCTAGCAAAAGAACAAGGAGCTGAGGTGGAGTCCTTTCTTCATCGACTAACTTAATGGTCTCCAGATCCAGGGCCTGTAAGCCTTCTTCACAAAGTGGAAAGCCTTCCCAAATAGCTTATGCAATGCACTGAAGACTCGTAAGAGTCCAGCATGCTTGGACACATTTCACAGTAGTACATTTCATTTCATGCTGCATTTATGAACTAGTAGCAGATCTTCTCTTTGTTCTAGATAGACTGACTTTAATTATATCATTAAATAGATAAGAATACCCCCTTTACCAGTACCCACAACATTTGCACACACATATTACTTGAGACTATTTTCAGGGCATAAGACCAAAGATAGAAGTCTAATGATGGTCTCAGCACCAGAAACAACTACATGTTTCTTACAAAAAAAAGTTTGTGTTATAACTTAGACATAAAATTATATTTCATTTCACTCCTTTTGTTTTTGTCTGGCAGCCAGGGCTAAAATAATAGGCTTTCCTCGTTTAACATTAGAGTACCTAATAGTAGAGTCTGCATTCCACGTAATACATTTATCCCTTGCATTTACCCTATTTTACATAATTTGGTCTTTTTCACTTCCCTTAAGCATCTTTAACTTATATTTTGATGGCCTACTGGACTAAAATAACTATGAAAGCACTTGACAGCTTCTAGGCTATTGATAAATATTTGTTATTGTATTCACAAAGAGGTGAGACTACTTTTGTGTCAGGTAAAGCATAAACAAAAGCATTTGTTACATACAGGAATATTTTAAATCAGTTTTTAAACATGTGGTAGAGTAGCTAGCTCATGTTTAATTACATGACATTATTGTTCACATGTGGAAATAGTTGATGTATTTCATGACTATGAGAAAGAACTTTAACAGCATTGTTCTGTATTGACCTATTCTTAAGCTCTGTTGGCAAGGAAACATGACCATGCAAATCAGAACTCTTAGGAAAGAGGACTGGTTCTACATTTTTCTTGCTCATTAGGTTTACCTGGTCCTGGATCTTCAGTTCCAGTGCTGCCTCAGCTAACTGAAGGGACACTTCTGAAGGCAAGATGGTATAGAGATCCAAGTACTTCTGTTTCTGTTCTTCAGCAATTTTCTCAATGTTCTGTCGGTGACTGGCAGCTTCTGCTAAGAGACGCTGAAGAGAAATAAATAAGCCTATAAATCAGTTGACAAGGGAGCTGATCTTTATTGGCATAGAGACATCCAATAATAAATGGCTAAGTGTGGATTTACAGAAATGCCTTTTAAAATAACACTTCTTCAGCATCCAAATGTGAAAAGAGTCAAGAAATCTATCTCAAACAAAAGAAAACTCCATGAAGTAACACTTATTTTATCTCATATGCTTTTGGACATTTTGAAACCTTGTTGAAAGATATGAAAGGGGAGACCTGGAAAGATACGTCATCTGCTGATTCTCCACCGCCCAGGGCTCTGTCCAGCCCAACCCAGGAGTGTGGAGCTCAATCTGGGGCTTGGATGTGAGTGGCACAGTCTTTGATTCTTGAAATTTTACAGCCTTACAAAGTGATGACAACCAAGAAGCTAGATTCAAAGCAGAGTAGCTGTTACTTGAACTCCGACAATGGATGTAAATGTACCAGAGAACGGCTGTGCCAAATGCTCACTTGTATGTCTTTTTATTATTACGTTAAGCATGAAGACTTATGTGTCATTGTCATCAGTGAAATAGTCTCTTTATAAATGATGCGTATGGACATCTTGGTACCTGAAGTTCTTCAAGTTGGGCATCTACTTCTATTGTGGGATTCCCTAAATATTCCTTTGTTTTCTGAACCCAAGATTTCACAGAATGGATCTGCTTCTCCACTGCTCCGCGGTCATTCAGTTCCTGTTTCGCCTGCTTCCCATGAGTCTTCAGCTTCTCCTGCATGCTTCAGGAACATCAGAGGGAGAAAATCAGAACTGGTTTTCAGACTGACCCCTGACACCAAATACGATTTTATCAAAAACATATGCAAAAACCCAGAAACTTAGGATCGCTTTTGCAAGTGAAGATACTTCTTAAGTCATCAAGGTTTAGTATTCCTTGAGTTCAGTTCAAAAACAGTGAGGTCAATTGAGCATCCCTGGAAAAGGGATTCAGCTCTCTCCCATGTTGCCATGCCACAGTGTTCCTCTCTGAAGCACACGGGGATTATTGCATGACTAAGTTCTCTTTGGAGACATGCCTCAAACAGCAGACTCCCCTCTGGGGTTTAAAACATCATGTGATTGGAGTATTAGCGACTTTTAGAAATGAGACTTTATAGAAAGAGCTGAAGTTTCAAAGCTTCTCAGTGAATAGTGACAATACACGCCCAAACATCATGTATTTGATTTGAACTAAGGAAATTTCAGTAAAAAGGTTTGAATATGTGGTGTCAGATCACCCTGACATCATCTGTAACTGAAAGAGCCTAAACTAGCAAACAGATGAGGTTACATTTGTTAATTATCAAACAACCACGTATTTTCACTTACCTAAGAAACAAATGAAGTTTATGTGATATAATTAAGATTCATAACCAGTAATAAATGGCTTTTATTCACCTGGACTACAATGTCATGTTGCTCCTACCCGCTGAACTCCATATGGCCAATGAGTCATCAGGCTGCCTCAAACCTGGGTTCCAAGTAGCTCCCCACAACCTCCCTTTCCAGCTCCACTTGTCTCCAGTCACCCACTCCTCCTCCTCCATCCTCCAAGCAGCTCCTTGACTGCAACACACTGACTTCCAAGCTTCTTTACGTGTTATCCCCATGTTTGCAGAATCCCCTTGCACTTTGAAGACTGCTCACTGCTGCTCAGTCTTCAGTTGAAAATTTCTTGTGAAGGGTCTCTGCCTGCATTGAATTCCCTTCATCCCTCTTCCATTTCTACCACATTAACTTCTTTCTTTATTTGTCTCTTCTACCTGTCAACTGCATGAAGGGAGATGGCAAGTCTGTACGGTTTATGGCCAAATTTCTAAATTCTACTGGATACGTTTCATGATTCATGACTAAGGAAACAGAAAACTTAAGATTCTCAAGCTGGCAGGTGGAACACCCCCATATCCACATACCACATTTGTCCCCAGGCATCAAGACTAAGAGGACAGAGAATGAGAGCAAGTAGATAATTACTTGATGCACTGATCTTGCATTGCTGTGATTTGCTGCAGGATGGCTGGCTCTTCCCCAGAGGGTAGGGTGGCTTCATGCTGGAGCATGCTCAGTGCCTGCTGCCTTAGCGTGCCCAAGAGTGACTGCTGCAGCTCCAGTTCCACGGCGAATGCCTCCTGACGCTCCAGAAGAGCCGAGAGCTCTGCTTTGGAGGCCTTCTCCACTGAGTTTCCAGGTAATTTATCTTGCAACTCATCAGTCATTTCATTGGCTTTTGTAACCTGAGGACAGCCATACAGAATACAAAATTAAGAAATTTTTAGAAGCTGAAAATCATGGGGCAATTATAAGAAATAGTACCAATTATAAGAAATAGTACCACTGATTGGCATCTGTACATCATAGCTCCTTCAAGGTGCTCATATAAACTCTCCATTTAAAACTCTAAATTTCCAAAACTCTTGGTTGCAAGATGTCAAAACCTGAGCAATTTCTTAATATGAAAGGAAAGGCTGCTGATGAAACTACAGGTTTGAATCTTCAGTTTTACAATATGATAATCAGAGACCATGGGTAATACAGAAGAAGGTTTTATTTTAAACGATAAAGATAGCAAACAGAAACATCAATATTTAAGTTAACTTGAATATATATTGAGTCATAAAAGAAGTTATGTCTTACACCACTGAACCCCTCCTTAAAATAGAGAGGAAATTAAATACAGACTGAGTATCCCTTACCAAAATACTTGAGATTGAAGGTGTTTCCAATTTTGGATTTAAAAAAAAAATTGGAATATTTGTTTATACATAAGGAGGTATCGTGGGACCAAGACTTGACACCAAGTCTCAATATAAAATTCATGTATGGCACATGCACACACATGACCTGAAGGTAATACTTTATAATATTTTTGGAGAGTATGTGTTTTAATCAAACCTCACTACCTGCATTTTCCACTTCTGATATCATGTTAACAATCAAAAATGCTTGAATGTTAAAGCATTTTGGATTTTATATTTTAAGATTAGGGATGCTCAACTTATGTAGCATTTGGTAAAAATTTAAATTATTGCTTATTTTCATCTCCACAAAAAAGTACATTGTGCTTTTCCAAACCAAATGATAACGCAAATAGGTAAAAATTGGCTTGTAATTCTTTTAAAATTTGTTTGGTTTTTCACATGGAAATGTTTGACTTTATATCAAAGGACAAGCATTTGTATTGGATTTCTGTCATAATTTAGTTTTCATATGTTAAAAATGGAAATAAAAACAGGCCTTTACTTCCATAAAGTCTATTTTAAGCTGAAAGAAAATGTGAGGGTCCTTAAGAAGACAAAATTAAACTATGAGGTTACTTTGGTAAACATTTTTTAATAATGTGTGGAAATGCGTATTATGACAAAAAATCTATGCAATGATTTTTCATTCTTGTAGCGGAACTCATACTTCCAACATTGGCTTTTAGGGCACTTTTTAAAGTAACCTCGTATTTCTCAAAAACAGGCTCCTTTCTAGATATGCAGAGGGATTCATTCCAGGACCCCAGATATCTAAACCCACAGATGTTCATATCGTTTATGTACAATGCTACAAGATTTGCATATAACCTATGTTTATCCTCCCACATACTTTAACCAATTCTAGATTATTTACAATACTCAATACAATGTACGTACTTGCTACACTGAGTCATTTGAGGAATGATGACCAAAAAATGTCTGGTCTTGGACACACATGCGTGTTTTCCTAGATATTTCCACATATATGGAAAGCCAACAGAACACTAGAATCAGTCAGAAAAATAATCAATCCCACCCCATTAATTAGGGAAGTTACCTTGCTGTCCAAGCCCTTCCATTCATCCAATGCATCTTCTAGAATCTTCTCCTGGTCTTGGGCGACAGCGTGAAGGCGTGTCCAGCGCTGCCACACCGCAGTCATTGACCGGCTCAGGGTTGCCTTACTGGCTTCATTTCCAGTTTTCTCCAGCTCTGAAGCTTTTCCCTCCAGGGCCAGAATTTTGTCACGGAATGAGTTAACCACTGACACTAAAGCCTAGGGATTTCCAGTGGAAGAAGAGATGGATCCTTTAAAAATTCGGTGGATTTTGGTATGACTTCAATTAGCAACAAGATCAAAGGTTTCTAGATGACATGGGTTTTAGGCTGATCTAGGTTTGGAATCTGTACGAGTGGGTATTTATTTAGTAACTACGAGCAGGCATTTATCTGTTACTCGATATTTTCCCATGTTTAAATAGCAGCACAAACACAAGGGTACTGGATTTGAAAGTTTACCATACTACATTCTCTCACTGCAGTGCCCCGAAGGGGAGACTCAGGTACTCATTTTTTAATTGCATTTCAATTAATCTGAGTTATCAATAGGCAATCTCTACTGGCATTTGCTCAGTGTCATGTATCATCAGAACTGCTTACTCCGAATGCTTCTTTCAAATCCTAGCTGTGTGTTGCCAATGGGGATCTTAAAACAATGAGAACCTTTAAAAAATTTAAAGCTCTGAGTGATGATTTAAGTGCTTCTTTATCATAATTGATATACCCAGATAGAAATGAAGACTTTCAAGCTTTATTGAGGTGCCCCTGTAGCCACTGCGTTGCGATGGCCAATCACAATCATAAATAAAGAGAGAACAATAAAAGAGACCTTGTGTTCTGATAATTTTGCTTCTGCTTCATGACTAGAAGATGTCTTCAGCAAGGAAAACTCGGACAGTTTCTTTTCTGCCTCATTCATCAGTTCGATGACTTCTTCCCTCGCCTTCTGGTAATCTTGCCATTGCACTGCACATCTTGAAAGAATCCAAGAGAGATTGGTAAAGATCATGACATTACACAGTTCTCAAAAGCCCTGGTGCAAATTGTCTTAAAATGTTATAGCAGAAGAATGAATTTACCTACTAATGCATATCAGTACTGTCTTATCCTATTATGAGTGATAGCTCACTCCATGGAAGCAGCAAGCAGACAACGACTCAATTACCTCTGCAGGAGACCTAACTGGGCATGTGACTCCTGGCTTATCTTCTGACTCCTCTTGTCCAGGCAAGCCACCTTCTCTGCCAGGTCTTCTTTGCCATGTGGCACAATGAGTGGGTCAAGGTTGGCGACCAGGCCTCGGAGCTCCTCCAGATTACTGTGCAACTGGCCCTCAGCACTGAAAAATTCTGTGTGGCTTTTGAGATTTTCTTCTGCACTCTCCACATCTAGGCCCTGGTCTGTCAGCTGCAACATTTCTTGGGCATCCTCAAGCCAGTCGTTAGCTGCTTGAAATACTTGGTAATACCTTTGACACTGACTGTAGAGTTCAGTCAAGCTGGCCTGAAAAACAGTTATTGAAATCATAATCAATTCTCAGTTGTAATGTGTTTATGGGAAATAGTTCCACTTTCTCATTTTTTTCATTACTCAATCCTACACATATATATGTGTATGTATGTGTGTGTATGTATACGTGTACAGACATGAATTGATAAACTGTGGATTATTTTTGTGGGGTAATCCATCTATTTTCCCATCTGTTGTTCTTTTCATAACCTCATAATTACAGTTAAAAAAATAAGGACAGAAATCGAAAATAGAATTCATGTCAGTACCAGGACTAGTTCTACAATTTTCTCTGTCTCCAATGACAAAAGTATGCTTAGCAATAAATATGGCAGACCGAATGCTTACTGAAATGCAATAATGCCTCAGTTGCTGAGAAACATAGGACCACCACGCCTCACAACAGGAATGCACAAGGCCAACTTTCAAAAACTAAAATAGTAGCTTGTTTTGAATAGAGAGTAAAATAGAAAAGCTTGGGTTTGGAATCGTGCACCCTCGAATCTACAAGCAAAGGAGGGGCCATCACTGTGGCACAGTAGGCTAAGACCTCTCCTTCTCTGTGTCTCCTCCTCTTTCTCTAACTTTGTCTTTCAAATAATTATTAAAAAAGAAAAGAAGTAAAGGAAACATTTCAAGTTCCCCTCAGCCTGCACAGGACAAGATATCACAGTTTGGTCAAGATGCAGAGAACTGATAGGAAATGTGGAGATGAAGGGAGTACATAGAGAACGACTATGGATGGCAGAACAAAGCAGAGTAGGTGGAAATAAGGATTGATCCTGACCCATGACCATTGGTTATATGCACCAGGTCAGTAAAATATCAAGAAAGCAGAAGTAGAGACATTTAACAGATTTAAGATTTTGGTTCAAAATAGTGAGCTTCAAGACACAGTTTTTCAAGAATGAAAACTTTAGGTAAGAAGAGCAATGAGCACAGATGTGTTCAAAGGAAGCAAGGGACAAAGGAAGTAACCCACTGGACACTACTGGAGCTGTTATTTCTGAATGAGCAGAACTTGCAAGCCCTGAAGCGAGCTGTGTTTAGGAGGCTTGTCTGGGAAGTTGCTATGTCAAGTCATCATTAATATTTACATCTTTCATCTGTTGTGCTACTGTGACTCAGGCAAGGAAGAAATAGAGAGATGAGGCAGCTAAGAAGAGACCCCACTAAAAATGCCTCAGTGTCACGGTTAGGGTGCGTTGCCCTTCTGCTGCTCTCTTTTGGGATGCCCTCCATCTGGAACTAATGTTAAATTCCAGGTTTCACGCTGTTTGAAGAACACAGTCAACTATTCAGTGTTAACCAATTTCATTAATACCCTAACACACTTCTCCTTGGTATCCTAGAAAGATTGTTTCTAGATCTAATCCCCTCTCCCCCACCCTCACCCCTCACCCACACAGCAGCTCAAGATACTCAGTCCCTTACACAAAATGGGCTAATATTTGCATAAAATATATACCATCCTATTTACTTTAAATCGTGTCTAAATTACTTACAGTATCTAGTACAATGTAAGTGCTATATAGTTGTTATTTTTAAGGTAATGTTGGCAAGAAAAACTTCATGTTCGCCACAGATATGGTTTTTGCTCAATACTTTGTCATAGCAGTGGATTGTCAATATTAATTTTTGAAATAAGCTCTCTCAAAAAGGAGAATGGGTGACAAATTATACTACTTAGTCTAGTGAATTGGGGTCACCATGAAAACCACATGAAATGAATTCTATGACATAAACAAGAAATACAATCCAAAAGTACGATTCTATATGGTACCAAAGAAAGTATTTAAGGAATTAGTTTTCACAATTAAACGTATTTCACACATGTGGTTGACCGACTAGCACAGTGAAGGACAGCACAGCATAGCCACATCCTACTGACCTGTCTGGTGCGTAGAGCCTCCTGAACGTCCCCGTCCAGCTCCGACAGTTCAGCAAGGGTCTGCTGTAAGTCAGCGGAGATCAGTTCTTTGGCTTTCATGAATTTCTCCTTCTCCTTACTACTCAGGGCATTCATGATCCTCAGGCTGGACTGGACCTCTTCCTGATGAATCTGGATCTTTCTGATTTCTTCCTGGATGGCCTGCAGGCTGAGGTCCAGACAGAGTGGCCCTCTGAGTTCCGCCTTCACCTGCCTCAGCCAGTCCAGGGAGCGGCTCATCTCACTCTGGAAGTCTATACTTTGCACCATTCGGCTCTCACACTCTGTGACCGTGTCACTGATGGCAGAAGTCAACATGGTCAACTCTTCCTGCCACACCTGGATCTGCTGCTTGGCTTTCTCATAGGCCAGGGGGTCCAGATGTGGGGTGAGGTCCTCCAGATGCAGGGTCACTCGTTTCAGCAGAATGCCTGAGTCCTGCAGACTTCCTGCCAGGGAGTGATAGACTTTGAGCTTCTCCTCTGCTGGCAGAGTTTCCTCATTCACTTTGGTCTGCTGTTTTTTCACAGCCTCTAGTTGTCTCTCGAGCTGCTGGCACATCGTCTGGTGCTCTTGGTAGGCACTGGTAGTGTCTTCTAATGCACCAACCCTTTGTTCCACCTGTCGCTTCAGCCTGTGATACAAGCTGACTAGGTGCATCATCTTGTCTGGCTTCCAAGGCTGACCTGTGCTACGAAAACTTTCTTTTTTCTGATTGAGTTCATCTACGGCTTCCCCAAGGCCCGTGACCTCGCTGAGAAGCGCTCGACAGCCCTCCTGCAGAGACAGAACCTCTTCAACACTCAGGTCACTGGGGACCTTGCTCATCTTCAAGAACTGATCTTCAAGTTCACTCAGAGAATGTGTTGTCAGCTCAATCAAGGAAGAATATTCCTTCCGTGCGAGAATCGCTTCTTGGACTTTGTAGAACTTATCTTTAGCCAAGGCAACAATGACATTCAATTGTTGGGGAAAAGCAGTCAGCTTTTCATTGAGGTAAGAATGATCAACTTCATTCAGTGATGGTAAGATGGCCTGCCCGGTTCTCTGTAGCCTAAGCAGAAGATTTTCGTATTCTGGAGATTGTTCTAGAATGTCTTGGTATTTGGCCAGTTGTGTATGAAGCTCAGTACTTTCATTCATTAGACTGATTTCAGGAAACGTAACAATATCTGCTTGCTTCAGCCAGTGACAAGCTTTATCAAAATCTTCCTTAAAATGCTTCCTAGAGACTAAACTTTTTTCTAGTTCTTGCAGCCGATGGCTGCATTTTTGTAAAACAGTGTCATAGACACTTTGCAATTCCTGGAGCTTCCCAAGCACTTCACCCCTTTCCTGCTCTGTGACTCCTTTCATTAACTCACGGCCCTGGGCCCAGAGTCCTGAGACTTCATTTTGGTAAGTCTTGAGGCTGGCTTGTGAACTCTTACATGTCTTAACCTGTTTGCTTACGTCATCTGGTAGCAGGCAGATGTGTTCCCGGAACATGATTTTTCTCTCATGTTGCTGAATTTGGCTGGTTGCCTGGGACACTGCCATGAGGAACTGGGTCTTCTCGGACAAGGCTTTGTTTAAATACTTTCTCCGCTGGCCCACTAAGTCACTGAGACAGTTCACATGCCGCTGGGCATCAGAAAGCGCCTTCTGGATGATCTGGCGCTCATTTAGACCGAGGTCTGCCATTACTCTGTCAGCATCCTTTGTAAGTGATTTCAAGAGCATTTGCTTGGCCTCCAGTTCACTGCAGATGGCCAGGTGGTCCATGAGGAGATTCTGAGCCAGGTCGGGAGGAGGGCTGTGCTTCAGGGCCTCTGCAAGGCTGGGCTGCTGCTCTTCTGCCCACTCCATTAACTCCTGAAATCTGGACTGTACCACGTGTAGCTCCTCCAGGTTGGTGACTGACACTTGGATTTTCCTTTTCACAAGATCCTCAAGTTGAAACCAACGCTGTTCAAAGTGACTTGTCTGCTCTTTGACAAGTTCTTTGTCATCCACATTCAAATGTTCTATGATTTTCTGCTTTTGTTCTTTCAGCTCTTCAATGGCATACTTTCTCTCCTGCAAGGCCAATGCTAACTTCTGCAAAGCTTCCAGGTGAACAGCTGTACTCTCTGCATCAGATCTGTCAAAACATTGAAACATACAAGATAAACAAACTCCATCACTGTTGATGTTGGTTCATTCCATGTCAACTCTCACTTCATCATTTGCATTAAGTGGATAGTTTTAACTTATTAAGAATAGCTTGATTAATATTTTGACAGGGGTTCAGCAATTATTATGAAATACAATCTCTTGTATTTTTACCAGAAGTTGAATTAAATCAAACCACCTATATCCTTTCCACCCCCTTTTCTCTAGTTAGTGCTGCCCTCTAATTAAAACTGTCCTATGCTTTTGGTTTCCTCTGGTTCTGATGAACTGAGCAGAACCTAAACAGTAGCAAGAAGCCTGGGTGACTTGGTTATACTAAGTTTTGAAAAACAGTGATGAACTGCCTTTCTGTAAGTTGCACTGATGGAAATGAGTGAGTCCTGATGTGTGTGCTTTCATATGGCTAGTGAATCCAACAACAAAAGTGTTACTACAATCTGTAATATGAAACCAGTGGAGTTAACAGCTCCTCAGGTTTATGCTTAGATGTTTACAAAGCTTTAAACCTATGCAATGCAAAGAATTCTCATCTGTGTGACCTCAAAGCACGCAAGGAAGTGCAATTGTCAGGTCTTTCATTTACAAAGCAGTCAATTCTGAACTAGCAGAAGCAGGGTGCAAGGCAGCAGGATCAGGATCCATTAGCTCTGGGATGTCTGGAAGCCTAGCATAAGCTGGAAGTTCAGGAGTATGCTAGGCTGACCAGAGTCATTCCAAAGAACAGTAAAATCTTGAGCCAATCAAAAGTCAACAAATGAAAACCATATACCAAAACATCATGGATGTAACAGCTTCTAGAACAATCTGTTGGTAATCTTCACTGCTAACAAGCTAAATCGGGAGCAGGGTAGGTTCTAACACGGTGAACAATGATGGCTTACACACCACCCAGTGTGTGTGTGTGTGTGTGTGTGTGTGTGTTTATCTTTTACCTCACAGAAGGAAGCTGGGAGAGGAGGATTCCTTCAGCATCAGATTACAAAAAGCAGAAATGAATTTAATTTGGATCATTGTGATAATTTATAGAATTTGAAAAACCTTGACTAGATTACATAGAATATATTATTCAGCAATCTTAAAAAATCTAGGAAATATTGATTCAAGGATTCATTTCACAAATTCACAGATGATAATTTCGTAAGGTAGTAATCAAAATAAATGTTCTTGGGACATTTGTTAAGTTGATGAAATTCACTCCTGGAATATTGTTTGATGTCATAGAGAAAAGCAGTAAATTTTTGCTTCTCTCTGGCCCACTAGAAACTAACAAAGCCATCACATGACCAAACCAGGCTCTTCATAATGCTTCATCCATTCGGATATTGAAAACAGATATCAAGAACCTAAAAAAACCTTATTTTTAATTTTTCTATAAATTGGGAAGTTTCTGGCTTTGCAGTCTGGTGACCCATAGGGTAATTTCTCTCACCTGGCTAAGTTATCCCACTCTGTAGTAAATTTTTCCAAGAATGCTTCGACAACATTCATGCGGTCATGGTAATCCCTTGTTCTTCGCAGATCCTCTTCCCTTTGCAAACACAGATTGTTGGACTGCAGGCATAAGTCCAGCCATTGGTCATTTAAGTGACTGATTTCTTTGTGTTCCGGGGACTCCTGATTCTTCGTTAATTTGTTCACCTTTTCTATGACAGCATGCACTGACGCCTGTTTGGACTGGACTTGCTTAACAAATTCCTAAAGAACAATAAGAACAAAATAGATAGCAGGTGAAGTATCCTCCCAATACATAGGGAATGGAATACAGTTATACTATCTCCAAACATTTTAAGTTACTTGAAATTGAAAACTGAAGACTGTACAAAGGGTCGTGTGGGAAAATGAGAAAAATCTAGAAATCTGCCTAACTTATCTATGAATGTGAAGTTTCCTAGTCCACAAGAGTTAGATTTGTTGTGTTGAGATGTATACAGAAAAATTAATATATCATCAAAAGTTATATCATCACTGCTAAAGGAAAAAGCCAGAATCTTGCACTGGAGTGAGGTCTAAGTTTCCTAAAAATTTTTAAGAAAAAAAAAAAAGGTATTTCCTATTCATTCCTTCTGTATTTGTAAACAATATTCTAGCTTAAAGCATATGACTTATAATCACAGAAAAATGTCAAAGTTTGTTAAATATATGGTTCTACTTCCAAGAACCATATATTTGCAATTTTATTTTACATTAGACATATAAATATGGAGTCTTGACAAAGTTTAAGCACATGCATATTATGAGAAAACTATGTATGAATTTTAACATATTGTGCCAAAATAAACACGTTTTTTGTAAAAAGTTTTAATGATTTACTTGAGTTGCAGAGACAGAGGTTGCATCCACTAATTCACTCCTCACTGCTCATAATGGCCACGGCTGAAGCAGGATCCAGGAGTTAACAACCCAAGCCAGGTCTCTCCCCTGAGTGTTGGGGACCTGGCTTGAGCCATCATCACTGTCGCCCATGGTCTTCACTAAGGAAGGCAGACTTGGGGGCCAGGGCTGGAAATGGACCCAAGATACTCCAATGTGGGGTGCAGGCACCTGAAATTCTGTCTTAAATGCCCATCTTCACAATTTTTTAAAAATTTCATTTTCACCAACATTTTAATTAGTAATTAATATGTAAGCACTAAACTTACAACCCTATGGCTTTAACACGGTGATGAAAATCTAAAACAAAAAAGGATGAGGGGGAGGCTTATGTTCATTTAGTAACACTGTACTCCATTGGCTGAATAATACCTGCTGGGTCCAGTAACAAAGCATGGTGGCAACAGCCACTGCACGTGGAATGCCAGTGGAACTTTGAGGCTCCGAGAACACACTTGGGTGTTTACCATGTGCTGTTACCTTTCCCTGGCACCAAAGGAAAGCTGCTTGTTTGAATTCCCTAATTTCTCAGTCATTCGTGCAGATGTCTAAGAACTGACAGACACCCACATACTGAAGCCAATACACAGAGTTCAGGTCATCTTTTCTGTCTTGGCCTCCTTAAACTCCCCTGCACATAAATGTATTCCCACCTCTACTTGGGAAACCACGTTCTGGGCAATATTGGGCTCCAGTTCCGAGTGCCGCCTCTTCATGTTCTGTACTTGCTGGTCAGCATCCTGAAGATAGATCCACAGCTCAGCTTTCAGGTACTTGATCTCCTCCCAGCCTTGAGTTAAGTTCTGTGCCTGCACGAGCCTTTGCTCGATCTTGAGAAAACACAGGATTAAAGTCAGCTGTTAGAAACACTCGTGCAAGCAGATGTGTCCCCGTGTGCATGCAAGGACACAAGCACAGATAACACCAAAAAGAACTTCTTCACTTCCCGTAGATTTAGACTGTTCAAAGACTAAATATCCGAGGCATACCATGCGGTTTCAAACAGTAATATGGGGCTTTATTAGGATCAAAAGCTGCCTGATTGGTTTCTCACATCTGCACTTCAACAATCACAACTGTTTCGACATGCATTTAGTGACAGAATTAATTGGAAAATAAAAATTGTTTTCGTGTATATTTTTTCTTCTAAGTTATTAATTGCTTAGATATCTTTCAATCTGCTTCATTCGTTTTTGACTCGCTATCTGCAAAAAATTTAGTTTATATGTTTCATAAACATGTAAAGTCATATTTATTTTGATAGTATCACACGAGAGCTTAAAACCTGGATATGATGATCTCTGTTACACAGTTACTATACATTCCTTTAGATGAAAAGCCGTAATACAAAATCAACTACAGGAAGAGAGAAATAGAGAATTGACAACAGCATGAAGTTAAATAACATGCTACTGAATGACCAATGTGTCCCGATGTGAAGATACCATACAGTAGGCATCTCTACTTCCAAATCAAAGATGGACTCCCAGTGAAACTGGTAAATGTAACTTGATAATAGGATGATGTATTCTTGATCACTGTCCATACCTGCAAGGTCAGGATGCACTTAAATAGCAAAATGACAGGCTTATGACTGTTCACGAAGGACTATGTTATTATAATAATATAGAGGAAATTAGGGGGCATTATTGGGAGGGAAAAGGAATCCCAGAGCCTATGGAACTGTGTCATAAAATAATAAAATAAATACATTTTAACAGGTAAAATCCTTGCTATTTTAAGACATTCTTTTCTTTTAAGTCATTCTGCAATTACAGATTTATTTAACAAAGTATTATCTCCAAATCTCATTTTTCTTTTCACTGCAAATATGTTGCCTCAGAGACAAGGATGCAGCTCAGTAGCTTGTGAGTGCATGGCTCCTGTGCCGCCACTGTCCATCACGGACGGGTGCTGCCAAATCATTACCACCATTCTCGTGAGCCCACACAGACCCTCAGAATCCTTTTCAGCATCACACTCCAAAGTCTTTGCAGGTAAATAAGGAACATCAGGAGCCACGGCATTCCTGATGTAATTAATCAGGGCTCAACATCCCTATCACATATCACTTGAGGACAGGAACACATTTTGAGCAATGTGTCGTTAGGTGACAAGCCTAGATGTTAGCACTTTCCACCCACTGGATACCCTGTTGCTGCAAGGCCCCAGACCTGCACTGCATGGCACTGTACTGAACACCACAGGCAGTGACATCATAATGCATTGTTCTATCTAAACAGATTCAGAAGAGTAAAGATATTAGGCAACAGAACTCTTTCAATTCCAATGATAATCTTAGCAGGTCACAATGGCATATGTGATCTATTGCTGAATGAAACATCATTATGTAGGATTTGTGTTCCCCAAATTTAAAGCTAAAAAGACAGTGAAAAAATAAAAAAAAAAAGGTTGTAGAAAAACAGGAAGAGATAAATAAAGGTGCTTAAGAGGGGAACATGCAAACGGATAGCAAAACAATGGGTATCAATGATTGAGTGCTGATTCCATGTTCTCGGTGTCAGAGGGCGCGTGTAAACTGGAATTCAAATACCAATTTACTATAAAGGCTGTGGAGCGCGACCGTCTCCCATGTAACATCCAAACAAAGCAATATGCTAAAGCCAATGCCATGTAACCGTGGTTTTCTTTCCTACCATTTGCTCTGTTTGTTGAATGTCCTTTGCTGTAGCCTTCACAGAGGAGTTCGACAAGTCACACATGGAGCAAAGCAGATCTAAGTACGTCCTTGCCTGCTCTTGCAACGCTCTGAAGTGTTTCACCTGAAGCAAGACAATCGTAAGCGGGAGAGAAATGCAGGATCAAGTACCATATGTGATACAGATTTTGTTGGCACTTCAAAAATAATCTTACCGTCTCAGTGTTCTCATCATGTCACAAATAACAGGTATTATTGATTCACACAAAAAAATTCAAAACACACCCACAGGAACCTATTTTCCCCCATCTGTTTCTCATTGTATTAAAGGATTCTATATGGTCTTAGAAGGGTAGAACTTAAGATATTTCTCCAGTCTTTCCAAATTCCCTGCTCACATGCTAACTTCTCCACCATACAGTGTATTATTTAACATCTTGTTGCAAGATTCAGAGACATAGGTAAAGGTTAGAGTGAGTTTGCAAGTTTCCCTGGGATGAGGTGCTAGCAGATTTTTGGGCATCTTCTCTCTGTGCAAAGTTCATCTCTGGCTCCTTCCCACAAGACAGGAAAAAAAAGCGGGGGGTGGTTCTGGTGGAGCTTTGTTGACAGAGACACACAGAGATGTGTCTGCCACTGCTCTGTTTACACAGGCTACTCGAAATCCTGAACATAAAGCAGTCCAGAGAACAAAATGTTTGCATCCACAGAACTTACACTTTTATCAGAGAGCTAGACAATATATTAACAACCAAAAATTCATTGCAACGTTTATCAGTGCTAAGTCAAGGTGGAGAGAGGACAGAAATGTGAGCAGGAAACGCTGACACAAGCCCTTGTCCATGAAGAGACCTGAGTGCATGGCCAACCACAACCAAAGCCATGGCTGGGATGGCTGCCAATCCCAGATGCTCCAAGGCTGTGGCAGGAGAACCAGGCAGGAGCAGGGATCAGAAAGCTGAGCAGAGGCCCAAGGATGGAGGGGACACTGGACTTTGGCTTCAGTTCACACATGTGCAAAGTCAGAACTATCAACCTTGTAGGCCAAAGGACTTTTCATGGAGGTGGCCGTTCTGGACACTGCATTTAAAATGCCCAGCAGCCTCCTTGCCTTCTAGATGTCATCAGTTTCCCAAGCAGTCTGTTGCATGACAAAAAATGGAATAGAATAAAAAAACAAATTTAAAACTAAATTTAAAAAGTAAACAAAAATAAATTTAAAGTAAACAATGAAATGGACTCTTGTAAACAAAGATTCCTTTTGGTAAGAAATTATATAAGCAGCCTGTTGATAGAAAAAATAATTCCAAGTTTCTCCCCATGCCCTAACTTATGACTGGAGGACACTGGGAGAATCCTGATGTGACCTCAGCTCTTTAAATACTTCCTGTTGTGTGAGAAGTCTGTAGGAGCAGCGGGCAGCACAGAAGCAGGGGAGCAGTTGCTACAGCAGGAACTGAATGAAAAGTGATGATGGTGACGAAGATGAAAAGTGGTTCTTGCCTACAGTCACGAGAACACGTCCTAAGGGGTCAGTTTGACTCCCAGAGACAACACGGGATTGTTTTTATCCTAATTAAGCCAATATGGAGGCAAATGTTTTGAGACTTGGTACCTTTTCTTCTCTTCTGCCTGGACTACCTACACATAACACTACCCTTGTGCAGTTATGAAAGTCACAGATCAACATCCCAGCAAGTCAGAAGTACTACTTTATTTAGTCAATGTACAAACTGGGCATTTTTTTTGAGTCATATTTTTAGTCACTAAGAGATATACAAAAAAAAAAAAAAAATGTACCTGGGACCTAGAGGTTACCTGTCCCACTCTACTTATAGGAATAAAAAAATGTTAGAATGTTGATTTATAAATATATTTCATTTGAAGTAATATAGAATGATTTATGTTCTCTTCACTCTGAAAATGTTTGAATCCACATGTAGATTATCAATTACAAATTTTTTTTTTTGGGGGGGGGACCTAAAATGAACCTGAAAGGCAAATCTAATAGCATTTTTTCCAATTCTTCCAAAATCACATTTTATCTTATTAAAGCATATGGCATTCTGACTAGTCAAACCAATGCATATTTTGTAATGATTATGTGGTTTATTATCATTATATTTGTTGTCACTAAATGAGAGGTGCTAAGAACACACATCTTGAGACCATGACCATCGGCCAAGACAGCCTAATTAGTGTTTTTTGGACAGGGTGGGACCTCCTACCCACAATCCAGGCTAGCCGTGCACTGAGGGTGTAGCGGGAAAGGCTGCCTGCAATGAAACAAGACCCATCTCCTTCGGAGCCACTCGGATCCAAGTGACTGCAGCACCTCAGGCCCCTCCTCTGGTTATTCAGAGAGGGGACACAAAGCGGAGGTAGCCTACACCCCAACACCAGGCGCCTCAAGGATCAGTGTCCACGCTGAGGACGGCTGACTGTTACGTGCAGTTGGTCTTTCCTGTGCTAGCAGAATCTTAAGAGGAGTAATGCTTTTCTTCTCCCCTGACACATTTCCTTTCTTTTTTGGTAACAAAACAAAAGGAAAAAAAAATCAAGTAATTTGATTTCTGTAAACCTCAGTTTTTTCCTATGTAAAGTAATTATAAGTGCATTTTATTTCCAGAAATTACAATGAAATACAAATGAATGTGATTTGTAAACAAAAATATCTTTTTCTGGATAGTACCATTAAATAAGCCAGTAGGCAAGGAATAAGAAAGATTGCAGTTTCATGGAAAAGCAGCATATATACAGATTTTGGTCTATTTTTCTCGGTTCTTGGAGAGCCAGGTTTTATTTATTTTGAGCTTATTTTTTTTCTAAAAAATAATTTGAGTGAGGGTACTTCAAAAAGCTCATGGTGCTCACGCATCATAAAGATATATGCATAGGTTTTTAAATTTCTTTGTAATAAAATAAATTTTCTCTTTTGATCTCATTTTTACAAACTTTCAAAGTGCCCGATATGTACTGTGTGTGAACCATTGCATGGCTTGCTGCAAAGCACTTAGATCAGGAAGTTTACTTTACTGAATCACAACACATCTTTCCCATGTGAACAAAATAAATAATTACACTATATTAATCACAGTTATTTTAATTGAATTAATAGTATTAGCTTAAACTCTGTAAATACAGCTTTTACACTAAATTCCTTTGAAATCCTTTCTATAGAGTTCATGCTATGCAGAAAAGCTGCCTAGAGCAGAAGTTTTGAAAACATTTCTCCCATGTTTAGATGGAGTCTAAACAGCAAATGTCTAAGCCTTTGGTGTCAGATTATTGTGCAACGGGGTTCCTTTCACATGATAACAGGAAATTGTCATTATCTACCAAATACTCTGTGTTGAGCACTGTGAGTTGAGCTAGTATAGCTTTTCTGTTCACAAGTTGTGTTTCGCTGTGGCATGATGTTTGAGCTCTGCCACAACTTTCAGAGGATGGATACACTTAGCCTCCACATCTTCAGACTCTGCATCCACACATCCAACCGGGTGCAGACACTTCAGAAACAAGTTGCACGGGTGGAAAGCACACAGACTTGTTAAACTTGTCATCTTTTTCCCTAAACAATGTCCCCTCAACAATCACTTCCATAGTTTTCATATTGTGTTAGGTCTCATACATAACCTAGAGATGATTTAAATTACATGGGAGGAAATGTGTAGCTTATTTGCAAATACTATAATACTTTATAAAAAGACCTTGAACATTGTGGGCTTGATAATCTACAGGGGGCTATGCATGGAACAAAGTTCCCATGGATACAGAATGATGACTGCACTTACAAGCTCTACTTCCCAAGGCAGGAAACAGAGACCAGCCTCATTGTAAACATTGGAGTCAGTCCTTTGTTACAGCTCCCACACTTCCTATCCTATCACTGGTCCCTCCAATATTATGTCCTTCTTCCTGGCTGGAACAAGAACTCAAGCACAGCCAAGCTCAGCTCGTTTTACTTTTAGATCTTCAGGAGCCACCATATCAAAAGTATTACATTTTCACTGAATGACTTGAGCATAACACAACAAACTTTAAGGAGACTTTTACCTGCTTCACAGCTTCGGCCCTGCTAAGAGGTGGCTGTGGGCTTGGCTTTAAGTCAGGCTGGACCCCAGAGAGCCACGCCTGACACTGCTGCAGCGTATCTTGCCGGCTGACATGCTTCTGAAGTTCATGTTCCAGACTCCGGTACACCTGCGACACAAAGTCAGGCTCAGAATGTGAGGGCTGCTTTACATCCCTGTAAAAGCCACAGGAATTACATAAAACACAACAATATGTGCACTTACACTTATTTGCCAGCAAAACTTGCTAGAAAATGTAGGTAAAATATGTCTCAAAATATCATAGAATTCTATATTCACCCTTACTTTGTAGTTTCCCAATATTCTGCTCAGGTGAGGGAACATGAGCACAGAGCCCTGTTACAATACATAAAATCATTGAAATGAATTGCAACATTTTTTCTTTTTTTGCTTTTTTTGCAGCTTCTCCCTCTGGTACACGTATTGCAATTTTTGTTTAAGCTACACAATAAAAGTGAAATTAACCACCAGCTCAGGAAATGACAGCCATAGGCAAACCAATACTACACTCACCCAGATGTTTTTGTTACAAAGATACAATCAAACTGGGATGAAATTGTAATAATGGAGAATATTACGCTCTCATTTCATCTTAGAGACTGTGCTCCACAACACCAATAATTCAAACACAATTCCTGTTCTCTGATATATTTAGTCAATTAACTTGTCCTTAACTAGCCAATTACATTTTATTCATGAGCACATAATGATAACTGCCATGTGTCTCCCTGAAATCAAAGCCATACACAACTATAATATATTCCAAGCAAACTATTTCATAAAAACATGAACAATAAGAAAGTAAGTGAATGTAGTCTGGAATTTCTTTCACTAATAACTATATTAGTCAATGAATTATGCCTTGTTCGGTAATCTATTCTGTACTGTTTCCTTCTGCCATTATTCACATTCTGTTTTTAACTTTTTGAAAGTAAATTATTGAGGCTGGGCTGTGGTGTATTAGGTTATGGTGCTAGCATCCCTTGTGGTTGCTGTTTCAACTACTGGCTACTCTACTTCCCAGTCAGTTCCCTGCTAATGTGCCTAAGAGAGCAACAAAAGATTCCCTCTCCCACATGGGACACTCCAAGAGGCTCCTGGTTTTGCAGCAGCCCAGTTGCAGCCAATGCAACCGTTTGGAGAGAGGCCAGGGGACTGGAGGACCCCCCCCCCCTCTCCTTTCTCTACACATCTGCCTTTCAAATAAAAATAAGTAAATCTTTAAAAAACGAATTGTCTACATTGACTGGTTTATTACCTATGTCAAATTTATAAACCTGATTTAAAAAAAGAATTTGCATCTTTTTAAAGCACAAGTCAAGCTCCCCACTTCTCACTGTATCTCTCCAGTTTTGATTGGCCATGCAAGTAGCAAAAATACCTGAAAGATCTTTATAGGCTTAGCAATGTTTTTGCTGCATAATTGAAAAGTTCTAGAATATGAAACTACTAACTACTATGTCATTATAGAAACATTCTTATACAGCTTAGACATACATTTCTATAATGTTAATGACAATATTTTAGCGGAAATACATAAAGTATAATTCAAAGTAGCCCTTTGTCTTTTATGTAATTTCCATATGAATGCCTAAAACACTGAGTAGATTTTAAATTGAAAAGTTGAAAATAAGATCATAATTGTGACAAATATGAAATAAATAATGTTGATGTTACAGAATAACTAGTAGATTAGAGAGATTTGTTGATGGCAAATCAACAACTTTCTAAGTAAAATTTTTAATAATGAACTCGCAGATGAAGACATTTTATTCAATGTTATGTCTGAAAACCACCACTCAGTCACATCAATCAAATATGACATGTCTCAATATTTCAGTGTTGTGAATCTGTCCTATTTCCTGTCTGGAAACGCACCAACTGTGTTGGTGAAAACCTCTGGCTGGCCTGGTGTTCTTCCGTAAGGAATCATCAGAGAGCATGCTGGCGGAGCTCACCCGCTGAGCGGTGCTGCAGATGGCGGAGTAGCTGTCTCGCGTCCCTTGCAGGTGCGCCTGCACGTTCTGCTTCAGCTTGGCTTGCAGGTGCTCTGCACACTGGCTTGTCAGAATGTCACCTTTGCTTTTCAGGGTGTTCAGACGGTCTTCAAAATTAGCAATATCTTCCATCATTGCCTGAGAAAAACAAAGTCCTTCAAAGCCCACTTCTAAATAACCTGTTCACAGCTCAATATTAGGAAATTTAAAAAAAAAGTGTGTTTGGTCTTGGAAAAATTAATGCATGTAAAGCAATGATGAAAAATTATCATGCTATAGGACATACATGCATTACTGCATTAGCAGAATAAATTATATTTATATTTTGTTCATTTCTACAAATTATAATGCTGACATATTTTTATCTAAAATAATTATTTTAGTAAACTTGTAACTGTATCATTCATTTTCCTCATATCTAATTTCCATAACAATCTAATATCCACTTATTAGTTTATATACTTAGCTAACATCTAATAATTAGGGTTAGAATAGCACCTAATATACATATAAATGTGTGATCTGATAAATGTGTGTGAGGTGTCTTCAAAAAACTTGTAGAAATAAATATTACAAAAAACTAGATGGAGTTCAAAATTTTTGCACTAAAATTATCCTTTCCTTTCATTTTCTAGACATGAACACGGAAACACAGAGATTTCATAGGATAAACCCAAGGTCACACATCCAGGACACGGCAGAACCCTCTAGCTTTGAGAAAAGCTCTTTCTTGGTTTCAGCTCACACCACTGGACCCACATATATGTTCTAGTGAGCATTCCCATCAACTACTCAGGGTGGAGAGACCCGTGTTTTAAAGTTAGATTGTAATTTCCTATCCACAATAGGATGTAATAACAAAAGACCTATTCAAACAGAAGTACTGAGATTGATATGTCAGTATACCTAAGAGAAATCCAGTGAGCAGTGCTGAATCAATATTATATACATCTAATCAACTAAAAATTAATTTTCCAGATGACCTAGTTATCCCACTTCTGAGAGTCTATCCAAGGGAAATGAAATCTGCATATGAGAAAGTGACCTATAATAGTGTATTTATAAGAGCACGATCTGCAATGGAAACGACCTAGATACCCATCAAAAGAGGAATGTACAGAGAAACTGCAGTACATCTATGCTATGGTATACTACTCAATCGTTAAAAAGAATAAAACTCTACTATTTGTAACAAAATGGTCCCAACTAGAGACCACTATGGTGTGAAAAAAGCCAACCCAAAAGGACAAATATCATATGTTCTCTATAAAGCATCCTTCATGCAATCAGTTAGATGAACTGTAAAATGGAGATTAGCAATGCCAAGAACTGAAGATATATTACAGTGTGCATCTCTATTTCCAAATAAAAGATGGACTCCTGATGAAATATATAAGATGTTGGACTTTCTACCATTTTCTATACCTACAATGTGATATAGTTAAATGGCAGAAAGATGGAATTACTGCTGAAGAACTATACTACTGTCATTATATTAGGAAAAACAGTGGGGGAGGGGGAAGAGGAAATCCCATTCTATGGAACTATGTCATAAAAAAATAAAAATTAAACAAAAAGAAATAAATTGCTTTGAGTTGAATGTAATCATGGTAGGATGCACCTCGGGCTGGCTCCTCCTCATGCTCCAGCGGACTCTGTGGTTTCCCACTCATAAGTGTGGGCTACAACTTGAATGCTGAAATGTAGGGAGGAAGGTGGGCTTTCCAAAGACACACTACAGATATCGACCACAACGTGGCTGAATTTGTTTCCCATTAATGTCACAAATAAGTCACTATAAACTTGTGGCCTTATGACATCTGCCAGCTGGAACAGCACACATAGGACTAAAGTCATGTTTACATAAAGATGATGGCTCCTGTTGGTGTTCTGCTGCCAGAAACTTGATCTTCTAGGATTACCAGAATAGCTCTGAGCTGGGGATGGTACCATCATTGACTCAGAGGCTCAAAAAGGCTCAGAGGAGCCAGGCGTCCTGAATGGAGGAGGAACAGGATATTCTAGAATTAAAACTTCCTGAATACGAGTCCTATATTCTAAAGCTGCATTTTCCTAAAATTAAAAAAAAAAATTTTTCTTGATAAATTTTGCCACAAAAACTGAATTCTGAGGAAAAGAGCAATTTGATTAAGTATTACAATGTATTCAGCAGTCAGATGCCAAGATTCAACTTTTATGATTCCTCTGTTGAGTTTCACTGTTTTTAGGTGACATGCACATGTGGGCACGCACGCGCACACACACATACACACACACACACACACACACACACACACACACACACACACACACACACACAGGCATGACAAACGCTGCCCTGTGGTGGCTCACTAGGGGCAGTGTACCTTGTGATGGGCCAGCTGCTGGGTGATTGTCTCCAGGCTGCTGGGCTCCAGCAGGTCAGGGGCCACCAGCCGGCCCGACATCTGTAGCAGCCATTTCTCCACCTCCTGGAGCTCACTGTTGTACTCCTCATGGTCTTTGACTTTTGCCTCCAGGCTGGAGACACGCTCCTGTAAAACCAAGTGCCACTAGATGTGATATTTCAACCTAAAACTTAATGAAAGCTATGGATTTCACAAAACCAAGCGTAACTCACAGGTTAGATAATATATTTCCTGACAACCATGAATTGAAAAACAGTCATTATGTCATTTAAATGTCCATCAGGCTCAAAGAAAAAGACAGTGACCCATGTCAATCCTTACAATTGTCCTGTGGATAGGAAGGGCTTAGGGACCCACCTGTTGGAAAACACAGGCTTCCTGGGACGGCAGCTCTGGCTTACCTTGGCTGTCTGGCAGAGGTCCTGGTAATCACTCTGAAGTGTGTCTATTTTGTCCTTCAGTGCAACATCCTGCACCAGTTCCAGGAGAGCTTCCCCTTTCTCTCTTACTGATTTTACTGATGGCTCCTGGGACAGCACCATTTGCTGAAGGGACTTGAATTCCAAATGAGAGAGAGAGAGACAGAAAGATGGGGAGGGAGAGAGGGAGAGCAGGAGATAAAGGGTGGGGGAGGGAGGGAGAGAAAAAGCTGTTACAGCCATTTAAAAGCATGTATATACACATGTGGGTGTGTGGAATGCATGTGACCCGCCTAGGAGAAAGACCTGGAACATAGCCCATGAATCAGCACGTGTGAAGCAGTAAAGAGAGAAGCATCATTTATGGCCAATACAGTTTTCAATCATGTATTAGCATTAACCGATCACATTTCTTTTTGGGTATGGAGAAGGTTTTGGAAATAATAACATTTGGCTAATAGCCATTCAGCTAATATGTAATGTTTCTTTTGGCTAATAGCTCCTATTTCTGGCTTCCATCTCATTCCTTTTGGCAGGGAAATTGAAATCTCAACATAAAATGCAGGGAGAGCAGCTAATGTCTTCTGCTTTTGAGAACACAAAGTTAGTTCTGTCTTAGAGCTGTAAATGGATTGGGGGAGAGGCAGAGATAAATTAGAGGTGAGAAGAGAGTGTGATGCTTACGTGGCACTTCCACAGACAAACTGTCGGCTTTGGCCAAGAGGCCAAGGACAAAAATAGATATATGTGGTGGGGAGACAAATCCTCTGAAGGAAAAGCTTGGGAGTAAGCAATCATTTAAACATTATTACTGAATTATCCAAACAAGTTTAGAACATAAATCATTCAACACGTAAACTTTGATAATTGTTCCCCAAATCTGAGCAAGTTAAACAGATTTTTCTATATCATGAGCAGCTACAGATGTACCACTATTCTTTCCAAACTTAATTTCTTGAGTATTCCAGCTACGATTTGTCCATTCAAATTTATTTCATTCCAAATATGACACCTCATTTTCTAATATACCAAACATCAGTTTCTAGGCCTTGGGTACCAAACGCTGAAGATTGCCCTGACTTGGACCAAGAAAGTCTGATATGGCATCTGCCTGGAGGACACATCCATTCAGGTCACAGAAAAGATCTATATTTGTTGCTAATATATGCAATAAATTCACTGATACAATCAGATCCTTGAATGGATGTGTAATCCTGAGGTAGCAGGCTGAGCCAAATGTGCACCATCTATTGACACATGTTTGGGTCATTTTCAGCACCAGTTATCAGTGGCACACACCAGGGCTGACCCCCCTCCCTGTACATCCCTCTACCTGCTTTTGTTGACAAGTATCCAATATTACCTTGTATTTAGATAACTGTGCTTTCTTCTCATACAACTCCATTTTGGGTTCCTCGGGACTGAGCAGAGACTCCTGGTACTCCGTCATCCACTGAGTCATGGCTTTGCACTTATCTGAGAACTCCTTTGCCAAAAGAAGCCCTCTCTCCAGGCTCACATGCTCCTTCCGCATAGCAGTGGTCAGCTCCTTCAGCTGCTCTACGTCATCATGGATCTCCTTTCTTAATGTCTCAGCCTCCTCCAGCTCCAAGTAACACAGAGCCCTCTCTCCTTTCTCCCGGGCTGATTTCAGCAAACTATGGCCTTTTTCCATTTCTTTAAGCAAACTCTGAAAAAGGCAGGGAGTGGAAAGCAAAGGCAAAATTATCCTCAATCATTTATTTCCCTTTAACATCAGTTGTTGAGAGAATGGGCATGAAGCCTGAGTTAAATTTTTGACTCTAATTCCTGACTCCAGTTTCCTACCAACACAGACAACAGCAGGCAGTGGCGATAGTTCAGCTGGTCGGGTTCCTACGCCTATGTGGGAGACCTAGAACAAGGAAGAATTTGTAAATGGAAACTTTAGGTGTCAGCCTCTCTGCCTCTTTGATAAAGTAAAAAGTGAATTGCTAACATTCATATAAAATTGATCTTCCAGCAAGCAAAGTTTTTTAACTTAGAGGTTTTAAACTTACTGATAAATATATCATTTCTAAAACAAATACTCAGAAAAAAAAAAAAACGTGATATTTCACTCATTCCACCCATTTCCCTAAATATCTAAAATAAATCTTGTTAGGACATTGGATTATGAATTTGGGTCAGAGTTTCTTAATATTAACAATTAAATTGGGGAACAGTGCTGTGGCTTAGAGAATAATTGTTTACCTTGGTAAACATTTTTAGAGAAATGGCAGATTGTATCAAAATAAATCGAAGAAACAAAAATCCGAAAGCAGGTGTCTGCATGTGTAAGGGAGGTCGCTTAGACTAGGGATCAAAAGGCTGAAGACGATGGCCGTGTCCTCTGTCGTAGCTAAGCTGCCACCTGCAGTACCAGCATCCCCTACGGGTACTGACCTAAGTACCAGCACCCCCTACGGGTACTGATCTAAGTACCAGCACCCCCTACGGGTACTGCTCTAAGTACCAGCAGCTCCGTTTTTGATTTAGCTCATTGTTAATAACCTGGAGAGGCAGAAGAGCATGGCTAAGTGTTCAGATCCTTGTACAAAGCAGAAGACCCACAAGAAACCCCGGGTTCCAGCTTGGCACAGACCCAGTGGCTGTGGTCCTGTCGGGGAGTGAACCGGCAGAGGGAAGACATCTCTCTCCCTCTCCCATTCCCATTCCTCTCCCCTGGCCATCTCTTCTTCTCCCTTTCCTTTTCCCTCTCTATAATTCCTTCAATTAAAAATAAGGCAAATCTTACAGAAAAGAGGTTAAGTCAGGAATTGGTTAAAGCTTTCATGGGCAGCACCACACATAAAGGAAACCTAAATGTTGGCTTTCATGAACATGTATGTTGATATTTGGAATGAAATAATGAGCCAAAGATCAACAGTCACAACGAATTTGGTATAGACACATGCTCTTCCCACAACCAGACAGGGAGAAGGGACACTGAATCAGAAAAGGTTTCAGACGAGTCTGTAGCATGCAGGCCTACCTCCAGTGCTTTCAATTTTTTCCCCATCATCACTGGATCAACTTTATCAATCCTGGTAGCCACATTCTTGAAATTTTTGTGAGTAGAACCATACCAATCAGAATAGGAACTGAGCGATAATTCCGATTCCTCCAAACTCTGGATCTCTTCCTCCAAGAATTTTACTTGTTCCTTGGTAAGCAAAGAAAAACGTGGAGCAGGTATTAAAGCCCTGTATCGGGTCTTTGTTGGTATACCAGTACATGTAATGGAAACTGTGGGAAGGTTTGCAAAGCTTTGGTCCAGCTTTTGGCCATTGGTGGCCACTCACCAGCACTTGCAGAAGGAGAGCCTGGTATCTAGAGGTCAGCTGAGTGGCCTGGCAGCCCAGTCTGCTGCCCACATGGCTCTCGTCCAGTATCTCTTGAGCTCTTGTTCCCACCCCCTCTACCTCGTCTCTGTAAGCAGTTACTTCTTCCTGCCATTTCTGAAATGATGGAAGAAACGGAGAGAAAGATTCAACTTTGGCTGCTATTGACAATGACAAATGCACAAATATACCTTCTTAATGGAAAGTGATTCCAACACATGTTTAGAATATAAACATCCTGAGACATAACTTTACACGTGTCACATATAGGCTTTGGGTAAAACACATTCATGGCAACAAGAAAAAGAAAAATATCAGTTTGTGGATTTGGGGATTTTTTGTATGTATTGAAATTCTGTTAAAAATGTAAAGAACAAAATGACAATTTTTTCAATCTTTTGTTGAATTTACACCGACTTCAAAATAAATAAGAAATTCCCCAAAGTCTAAGCATTACTTTGGAGGCAGACACTAAAATTGCATAAAATTAAAATAAAGTATTATAAAGTGTTACTTCAATGCACTATATTACAGCAAATTCATATCAGAACCATAAATGTACGAGGTGATTTTAGTACCAACCTGCATATCTTTACAAAGCAAGGTAATAGAGCATGAGAATAAATTCTAAAATATTTTCATTAAACTACAATTTATCAAAGAATTATTTATGAATGAGTCACTGTAAGAAGTATGCTCCATTATAATTTATTTAGAATTTCTAGGAAGGCACAGCAATTTTGCCAAACCTCTATCTTAAAAAGTTGCAGTGTTACATTGAGAAAGGTGAAGAAGTTTTGTGAGTTGTACCTTCATCTGATGTAGTTGTATCTCTTTAGTTGCCCGATTTGACTGACGCCCGGTCCTGAGATTAATTTTCTCTTCCACTGTTGTTAGCCATTCATCTACTTGCTGAAACTTCTGTTCCGTCAGCCTCAGCTTGTTTACAACATTATTGACCTGAGTCCGTGTCTCAGACAGTCTGTGCTGGAAGCCCTGCCAGTCCTGCCGGAGCGACTCCAGGGCCCGGTCCTCTGCCTGGGGGATGCCTGAGGGGATCACTTCCTCCCTGGCATGCAGCGCTGAATTCAGTAACGCCTGGCCCTCTGCACAATGCACTTGCAGCTCCTGCAAGCAAAAAGGCATGGTAGTTATACTTCCCTCAAATCTCACGCTTGTATCAGTTCACACAGCATAAGCAAGCCAGTTGGGCCAGTTTGAACCTGACATTTAGAAAAACAACAAGAACAAAACACCTTATAGAAGTTCGCATGTGGTACTAAAGGTTATTTCCCAAGTCAGGAGAAAGACTACACAAATGTTCAAATTAAAATCCCTGGCCCTTTCTCTCTTATTCATATTCTCTCTTTCTCTGTCTCTCTTTCAATACACACAAGCATACACACACACAAACAACTTAACTTTTCTCAAGCAACAGCTTCTGAAATTTGGCTTTTCAGTTAAAAGGCAAAAACGTATGTGATCAAAGTTGTTGTTGTTTCAAGGAATGATCTTAGGCTTTACCCAAAACCCGGCAATCTCTCATGGTTTACACTTAGGGAATATTTTCTTCCATATGACATTGCTTTTAAAATTGTGTAACGTGAAAGTGTCTGCACACAGAAACAGAAGATCAAAGGACATGCTAAAAAATTGACAAACATAATTGAAAACGCAGAAATAGAAACTGATTCCAAAATTCTCAGACTGCTTATCAAGGTAATTTCAAGATTATTTTCCCCAGACTCCGTGCCAGCAAACTGTGAACCTACTATGCAACCCCTACCTACCTCTCAAGGTCAGTTAAGGGACCCTCTTGCATGCTACCATAAGAGTTCTTGCATTTAGCTACTGTTTTCATGATATTTTTCATAATAATCTGTATGAGAGCTTGTGCTCATCTTATTGTGAGCTTCTCACACATAAGTGTTATTTTCATCAACTTTTCCTGACATGCTATCAAATGATCCACATTACATTGCCAACTCAATAAATCCTGAGTGAGTAAATATGTAGATGAATAATAACTCCTTTCTCTACTATATCCGTGATTTCAAAAGAATTGCAGCCTCTTGGCCTGTATACCAGGATTTGTTCTAGCTTCTCTGTTTATTGCTTGTCTGTTTTAGGAGAGCTTCGACCCTTAATCTATAGCTGTGGCAATGCGGAATATTTTATTGATACCAGATGGCCCAAGATACTGCCACCAATTTGACTTACTGTCATACTCCACTGGCTCCAATGATCATGTCTCATATCTGATTTGATGCTTTAGGGAGCAAGAGGCAGCGATCCAAAACAATGAGGTCATCGGTCATTTCTGTGAGGGGACACCTGGCTAGCCAAATGATCTCACCTAGGACACACTACTGGAGTGCCAGAATCTCTAAATCGAGTCTGACTATAGTTGTAGTGAATATGTATCCGGCCTCTGTAGGAGTCAAGGCCATTTTAACTTAGTGTGCTGCTTAAACCATCAGTTCCATGCTCAGGATGAAAAGTCTCTCCTTGTAAGACAAAGCAGATGTTACCTGGAGAGCCCTCAGCGTAGTCTCCCGAGTGTCAGCATCACCTTCGAGAAGTGAGTACCGGGTAAGCTTTTCTTGTTCTTGTGCCAACCAAACTTCAAAAGCCTTTAGGTCTCTCTGATACTCTTGGTGGAGGCGAAGAAGCTTTTCAGACCTGTTCACTGCTTCCTGTAATTCGTATTTCAAATTGTTAAGAAAGGAATGCATTGCTACAAGCAGTGTCAATGGGTTATAAGTAATCATTTTTGAAACTTTAGGAAATTGTTGCTAATAATCACTGAATGATTTCTTGGAAGAGAACAACTGCCTAGGAGTATGAAGTGTCCAGGTTCATATAAAAAGCATGAGAATATAATATTTTAAAAAATAAAATAGACAGTAAAGACCATATTGAATTGAGTAAGCTTTAAATGCCTTATGAAAGTTAGCACAGATGTGTCAAAATACAAATTTTCATAAAATTTTGATTTTGCCGATGAGTAAAATTGAAATTCTTACAATATTTCTGGAAACTTTGGACTCCGTGTGCGTTTAATGTTCCATGAACTTTTTCTAATAAGCTAGGATCTACTCTCTAAAAGAGCTTCCGGCTTGTTTGTGATGCCCAGGAAAATCATGAATATTACCAGTGATTGCCTTCTTCTTAAAACGCTCATCACTAGATGTGAAATCTTCACTGGGAATTTGTTGACCATTTTTTGTTAACTTGGTGCATTCCCATGAATTTTTAGCTGAGAATTACCTCATTTTAGGAAATTTCATATGTTAACAATATGTGAAGGATTTGGTTGGCTTTCCCAGGGACATATTTTCAATATTTAAATTAATTTTTGTTTCTGTAGTTCTGTTTTCATAAACCTGCCATTATCAAAAACTACATCCAAGGCTTCCAGTTTGAGGACATGTTAGAGGAATCTGCTAAGTCTTACCTTGGCTCGATCCCTGATTGTACGATAGCGTTCCTGCAAATCCTGGAGTTCTAACTGGGTGACGTAGTGCTCCGTCATGCCAGCCCCTTTGACTTCAATAGTCTCCAGCAGGCTGCTGTGACTCAACACTTCTTCATTTAACAACTAAAGAATATTGAAAAACAAAAATAAAAGAATTTCCCTTTTACCATCATATCAGTACTTCTGAACTTAACATATTTCAGCTATGCAGTTGACAAACAACCTCGGGTATATAACTATACTCACCTATATCTTTGGCTTTTTGCTATAAAAACACAAGTGGATGTATGAATGTACGATTATGGGTCTCTGTGTGTGCATTTGATACCTGGTCCAGAATTCTCTCTGAGATACTAATTCCCAACTGACTACTTCACATTTCTATTTTGCTATCTCAAAATACATCCATAAATGTGCTATTGGTCTTTATTCCACCCAACCCCTGCTTACTTCAGATAAACAGTAAATGCCCACAACAGCCATCTACATAGACAGCCCAGAAATATGGATATGCCCAGAGTTGCTTCTACATTACAATGTCAGAACATTTGTCCTCAGCATCTGTAAACTATTAGCCCATGGGGCCCTCATCTCCCCGTTAGGCTTTCTGCAAGAGCTTCTCAGCAGAAGTCTTGCCAATACTTCTTGCCCCATTCCTTTTTCGAAACTCTATAAAGCAGCTAATGTGACAAAATGTCTTATCACGGTAAACGGAATCATGTTGCTCTGCAGTGTGAAGCATCTGTCACATTCTCAATATTGGGAGATAACATGGGGAGTTCTCACGGCAGCTGACTGTGATGTGCAGTCAGCTCTCTGCCGTCTTTCTGTATTTACCTGGAGATTCCTTGCCAACTCTCTCTGCTCTAGGAACCCTCTGCTTTTCTTTATTTTTCTTAAAGATTTATTTAGTTTGATTATAAAGTCAGATATACTGGGCCCGGCGCGGTGGCACAAGTGGTTAAAGGTCCTCGCCTTGCACGCCCGGGATCCCATATGGGCGCCGGTTCTAATCCCGGCAGCCCCGCTTCCCTTCCAGCTCCCTGCTTGTGGCCTGGGAAAGCAGTCGAGGACAGCCCAAAGCTTTGGGAACCTGCACCCGCGTGGGAGACCCGGAAGAGGCTCCTGGCTTCGGATAGGCATAGCACCGGCCCGTTGCGCTCACTTGGGGAGTGAATCATCGGACGGAAGATCTTCCTCTCTGTCTCTCCTCTCTGTATATCCGCCTTTCCAATGAAAAAATAATAAAAATAAATCTTTAAAGTCAGATATACAGAGAGGAGGAGAGATAGAGAGAAAGATCTCCTGTCCCTGACTCACTCCCCAAGCCGCCGCAACAGCCAGACCTGAGCCAATCCAAAGCCAGGAGCCAGGAGGTTCCTCCAGGTCTCCCGTGCAGTCGCAGGATCCCAAGACCTTAGGCTGTTCTCAACTGCTTTCCCAGGCCACAAGCTAGATGGGAAGCAGGACTGCCAGGATTAGAACCGGTACCATATGGGATATTGGGGCATGCAAGGTGAGGACTTTAGCTGCTAGCCTACCACACTGGGCACATCCCCACCCCCTCTGCTCTTTTTTCAGTAGCTCATTGAATCAGGAATTTTCCTCTTCAGGGCCTGTGGATATACTGTTTATCCCAACTACAATGCTCTTTCCTCAACTAATTTCCCTATGCCAAATCCTTCAGGATATAATTTACTCACCTTCTGCAGAGAGGTGCTTGGTGTTCCCACCACTAGCCTTAAGCATCTATTTTGGCCCTTCCAATTCCTGTCTGTTACAACCTTTTATTTATTCACACATTTCTGTTGTGTGAAAATGTTGCAGCAAAAACACAACCCTTGCCTATTTATTCACCTTGAACAGATACATTGCCTGCATGGAAAACTTCTCAGTACCTATTGACTGACCAGTCTAGTGACTGAGTAATATGATCAACTGGACAATTAGTTAACACATAGTACATGTAGAGAATTTCAAGCAGATAATTATATTAACATATGAAAGCAGAGCTAAGATACAGAAATAATAAGTAACTTGACACAGAGCACATAAGAACATGAAATCTCTTCCATAACTTTTACCTAGCATTTGTTCTATCAGACCTTTGAGTACATGTTTCATTGAGAGTGACATACAAACATTTTTCCTACAAAATTTGTTGACAAAGAGTGATGAGAGAGTGAAACAATGAATAAAGCCCAGGACAGCTGCAGTGGTAATGTCAGAGCTAAAAAGGTTTCTGGAATAATTCAGAAAGGTTAGTAGGATTGTCAGGTGAAGAAGCAAAAAAAAAAAAAAAAAAAAAAACATTCTAGGAAAAAGGAAGAGATTTTGCGAAGAGCTGGAAACTTGGAAAACTGACATTTCCAGAAAATGAGATGTGTAGGCTGGGACATGAGTGGGTGGAGGGTGAGAAAGTGAAGGAGACGAGGACTGCAGAAAACCTGTCACGTGGAGTCCTGGACGGAGCTCCTGGCTTCCATTTGGGCAACGCACCAACTGATGGATGTCTACTCTCTCTCTTCCTCTAAATTGCACTTTCTATTTAAAAAAATCTTTAAAATCCATAAAAATAGTCTTGCAAATCAAGTGAGAGGAGTTGATACTCTACAATACCCAGTGGAAGCCATCAGGGACTCTTCAGCCAGGAAGGGAGATATGCACCTTTCTGGAAAGATAGCAGTGAACAGACAAGCTAGAAGTGTGAAACTCCATGTGCTTCAGCTTACATAAAGAGAAGAGGATGGTGCAGGAGAACATAGCAACAGAAATGAAGTAGGTGGTGGTGAGAAAGGAGGAGATGCACATAGTGAATTTTCTGATCTGGTGTGGTCACCACAGAGTGATCGATAGCAGTGGACAAGGAGAATGAAGAGCTCAGAGGGTTTCTGTGTGGAGGACACTACTTAGGTGGAAGACAGCATTGGAACATGCAACAAACGAGTTCACCTTGGAGTAAGGGTGTAGCTGTAAGTCAAAGATTTCCAAGATTTCATGTTTCAATACTATTGCCACAAAATGAATTAAGGACACATCCTTAGCCTTCATTAAACACTTGTGTGTGCTACTATACTGATACATGAATTATGACAAGCACACAAAGTTAGTAATCCAGAAGGATTGGTTACAAAGAAAGCATTTTTATTTTCTTCCTAATGATTAAGAAGCTGAAGATTACAGGCTGCTAGATATCAAATGGTCTCTATCATAAAATATAGCTCTCCTTAGTTTTCCTATAAAATGCATTTTCACTTACTAATAAAATAAACATAAATGACAATGTCTAGTTTATTAAGTCCCATGAAATTCTAGTTTAATCCCCAAATATAATTGACTTCTATGAGCATACTAGCAAACAGGTCATCCAAGTTTGTCTGGAGAGACATTCCAGGCAAGAACATAGGAGAGCAAACGGAAGCTGAAGCCCAGCTCTAACCTTGGCTTTCCCGAGCGCAGTCACTTTCTCCTGGAGCTCAGCATACTGCCTTTCAGACTCGTTTAGGCTGGCTTCCACGCTGTCCATCCAGCTGGAAAACTGCCGCACATCATCCTGATAACTCGTCCATTTCGAAAGCGCTCCTTCAAGTTGACTAAAGGAATTTGAAAAGAGAATAATCAATACTTAACATCTCTGTGAGCCCAAGAATTCATCACTATGTGTGTTCGTTCCCCAGGCTCCAGACATCAGCAAAGCGGCAGGCTTGGGAGTGGGCCAATGGGCCTGGCTCATCGCATCCAAGCCCAAGTTTTTGCCAAGAAGAGCATTAAGAAGCGAGGGACAGTGACGCCCACAATAGTTACATGGAAGAATTGGGACAAAACTCGAGTCAGCAAGCGAGGGACACACTGGAAGGTTCGGAGGAGGCTGGCAGATAAAACCAGGAGGGAGAGCGGGAGTGGGTTTTCTCCAAAGCCACAATTCTGGGCAGGCAGAGAGAGGGAATGCGACATTCTGTCAAGCTGGCCAGGGTATTTGGAACAGGAAAGAAACAACTAAGAAAAGAAGTCACTACTTTCATAAAAACTGAACATTTTTAAAGAATCACAATAGGAAAAGATGGAAGCACTTTCTGAATTGATCTAAATATTAAAACTTAGTTATTTCTCCAATAAATACTCACAGTACTTTAACTCACAATGTATTGTAAATTCTGTTAAGTGATTTGTGCCTAATTTTACCACCATGTTTTGAGTTCTTCTGTAGCAGTCAACGTCAGTGTCCCGCAGATAGGCTCCTGCAGCCCATCAGACACATGCTGTCAGCACCATCTTTCTATCCTAAGAACACGTTCTATGAGTGTACTCTGTAACCGAGGGCAATGGAAGGGGAGTCCAGGGCATGGTCTCCCCTTGGTGGAAGCCCTATCACCTGCCCTCCGTCCTCCCCAGTCCTGTTCTTGGTATTTGCTGGCGTTATTTCCCAAGTTAAATGACTTGGTTTTAATCAATATTACCTTTGTGGCAAAAAAAAAAAAAATCATCATCATTTATGTGAACAACACATCATGTATCTTAGTTATTTGTTGTATACTTTAATACATATTTAAATATATTATTAAAGATTCATTTATTGTTATTTGAAAGGCAGACTTTTACATAGACAGAATGAAGTCTTTGGTCTGCTGGTTTACTTCCCAAATGGCTGCAATAGGCGCAACTGAACAGATCTAAAGTTGAGAGCTAGGAGTGTTTTCCTGGCCTCCCACTTGGGTGCATGATCCAAAGACCTCAGGCTACCCTCCACTGCTTTCCGAGGCCACAAGCAGCGGGAGCTGGATCAGAAGCGGAGCAGTCTGGACATGAACAAACGTCCATATGAGATGCTGGGGCTTGCAGGTAAAGGATGAGCTTGCTATGGCAATGCGCTAATCCCTAAATACATTTTCTATTAGTTTTAATTTTAACCAATTAGGCAATTGGCAAGCAAGAAGGAGAGACACACATACGGACAGAGCTCTTTCATCTGCTGTTCCACTCCCCAAATGCCTACCATGACTGTGCCTGGGGCAGGTGTGGAAATGGAGCAGGAGCTGGGAATCCAAACCAAGACTGTCCTATAGATGACAGGGACCCAACCACGTGCCCTTTACCAGGAACTGGAGGCAAGAGCTGATAACTGAATCCAAGTATTACAGTGTTGGATGTAAGTGTCTTAACTGCTAGGCTAATTCTCTCCTAAAATGCATTCTTAATACTAGGATGTTCTGCAGATCAACCTAAGTGCCAAATTTGCATGTCAATTTCTTTGGTTTTAGTAAGAAAAAGGAGAGAGATGGAGAGTGAGAGGGAGCAATCAAACTACATGAATTGCTCTTGAAGTAGGAGTGTACTTCAAAATTTCATGAAAAACAGAATCAGAAGATGTTTATTTTGATACAAAAATGAAATCCACATCAATTTTTAACTGCACATTTCCAGGAACTTTTGGAAGGCCTTTCATATTTAATCAGTCTTTTAGAAAATGGCATGCCAGTGTTTGACTGCAGTTTTTCTTACCTCTTGCAACGAATGGCTGCAGACAGCAGGGATGCCCACGTGTCCTTCACACTCTGCAGTTGCTGCTGAATGGCAGGAATGCCTTCCAGGGAGGTGTTCTGCAGCACATACTCTCCCCTGGTCACTATCATTTTCATCTGAATCTCCTTTTCCTGTCTCACTGACAACAGACCCTGTAAAAGCAAATACAGAAGCTCTTTCTGTTAGTATGCTCAACGTTTCTGCTGCCAATATTTAGGAGCTCCTGAAAGTGGTAGAATAGTAGGCAGTCGTGTTGTGCTGGGGCATTCCCAGGCTGCAGAGGTAGTGGGTGGAAAAGTTACATTTGTTAAGATCTCTAACATTACAAAGTTATAGAAATGTATTGTATGTTCTAAGTCCTTTGTTAAGCACCTTTTAAAATGATTTTTTTTCTCAAAGCTATAAAAGTCAGTATCATCCCTGCAAGGTAAAGCTTCATGTCTCTTCCCAAACTGTATCTTGTTGAACTGAGCAGACTCCGCTTTATCGCTCAACGGCCACCTGTGTCTGCCACAGCCTCAAGAAGCCACTAGCAACTCCCCACTCACCCCGCTACCATCCTCAAGTTTCTACCTGGTCATCTTTGCTGTAATAAAGTGATAATTCTCTCCATCATTTATTATTATTTTCATTGTATTTGAGAGGCATACAAGCACACAGCTTAGAGAAATTATCCATCTGTTGATTCAGTCCCCAGGGTCACAATAGCCAAGGATGGGACAGGATTCTGAAACCCAATGTGGGTGTCCAGTGTGTGTGATAGTACCACATGTTTTGGGCTGTTACCTGTTACACATTACTAGGAAGCTGGAAACAGGAGCCCATAACTGAAATCAAGCATTCCAACACGGCACTTGGATGTCCCAAGCAGTAAACTGCACACACCTGTCCCCCTCCGTCAGTCTTAAAGCTTGGGTTACATATCATGATTGGTCTTTCAACCCCAGCCCTCCCACACAGTTCCATTCCTGTGTGTTTTTAACACTCCTGCTCTATATTTTGTTGTCTTCTGTATTTCAACCTCCAGTCTGCAACAGTAAAATCCCTAGGAAAAAGGTTAGTTTTACTAACATTTGATCTCTTTGAGTCAAGGATAGATTGCTTTCTGGAAGGCATCTAGTATATGATTGAATGTAAAGTAATTACTTTCATCACAAATACAAAGCAGAACAAACCTTGGGGGTGGGAAAAGAACTGACTGAGCAATAAAGGCTGGGAAGGAATTGAATAAAATTAGAAATGCTTTACCCTAAAAGATATTTTGTATGTTTCTCAGAATAAGTGTGTCTGTGGTATAATTGGAAAACAACCCCTTAAATGGTTAATATGGGAGCAATAACATTTGGGCTTTATATTATGTTCTGTGCTGCATTTTGGATAACTGTGTTTTTAATCAATCTTTTAGAAAATGGCGTGATTTAGCACTGCTTAGGCATGCCCTTCTGTGCAAACATCCTCAAAGAACCCTAAGATTCACAAGGAGTATGACCTCCTCACACCAGGCAGATGGAGAGACAAAACTCTAAGCAACATTTCCCTTTACAGGTGCACACCTCAAGCTTGAGCATCCTGCTGTCCAGTACACTTTTGTCCGAGGTGGGATGGCAGTAGGAATCCAGCATATGAACAGCATCCGTCATCCAGTCCTGCAGGTCTTTAATCCCAAGAGAGAACTGATTGTGTTCGGCCACAATTCTGTCCAGTCTTGACACTTTTTCCTGAAAGCACAGACATGGTGTTCTAGTTGTTGGTTCCCAGAGGCATCATAGCCCAGAGCCAATCACACTGTAACAGTTAGCCGTGACTGCCCACTCACAGCCTCACATGACACATGCATTGGAGGATGCCCGTAATGAACTCTGTGAGATTCATGAAACAGCCTTTTTATGGTGAAAGTACCACAATAACTGGGCCAAAAAACAGACCATTTTTATTTACTTGTCCTGAAATTCTTTACATGAATCATGGTTTCTTTGCAAGCCAGTGGAATTTCTTCCTAATGCCTTAATGGGAGAAATAGTCAAAGTGGTGTCTAGCTTTCACGTGAACACATTTAGTTCATCTGCCACCAAGCACCCTTATGACCTGCACTGCAGTTACACTCATAAAAAATACGAAGGAGGTTTTCTCAATTTCAAAATTATAGGCACTAAAACCATACATGTGCCTTTTCTTAAGAAATATAGTTCATAGCCAAGATATTAAAGACTTCACAAATAGTCCATAGGCTCTAAAGCAGTCCAATACTATATCTATTACTTTTTGGTATCTAAATTATACAACGAAATAGATGTCCTTAATTAATTCCAATTTTGATATGTGCAAAATTTTCTAAAGACAGAAATAACTTATGTGTAGAATTAAGTATGGTTGTAAGCCGACTGTCAATTCCAATGCCTCAAAAATGTTTCACTGAAGACCAAAATTGGCAGAAGTCTGCCCACACTGGAATAAGTGAGGTTGAATTAAAGATAGCATGGACATAGAATGAGCTGACTACACTTTAGCATCAAACATCACCAACACAGAGGATCCAAACGTTACAAGACACCTGCAGGTCTATAAGCCTATGCCATCCGTTCACATTGGTCAGCAGTTGGGTGAGCCGAGTGAAACCAGGGTGGCACTGGCAAATTTAAAAATAAATTATCCCAAACTAATTATACTTAAGCCAAAGGGGGAGTTGAGATGAATGTATGCTTTTCTGAAGTAATGAAATAAAAACTAAATTTTTCTTTAGGATTGAAATTTCAAAATTGAAGTCATGGGAATTTCCAGTTTAGTACTTAGAGGAATATTTCTGTGCAATAATAGAAACTGGAAATCGTTTCAGTCTTTGAAACTTTTCTTCTTCCTTTAAAAAAATGTGACGTGAGAGTGCTACACCTTTACCCTGTATTGCAAATTGGAGACAAGGCACTTTGCAGGCTTTACTGCTGACCAGGAGACACCACACGCACAGGGTCCAGATGCACTGTCAGCCTGGCCTACTCCAACGTCAGCTTTGCGACATCAAAATCATGCTCACACACCGCACACGCCAGGCGCGTTACCTTTGTTAAATTGCTCAGAGCTAGATACTGAGAAGACAGCCGTGACACTCTGTGCACAAAGCTCTTGCTGGCAGCCTGTCCTTCCCACAGCTGTTGAGCTTTCTCTTTCAGCCTGTTGAGCTGAGACTCGTAGCACTGTATCTCCTCAAGGACAGACTGTAAAGCACAAGCGAGTTACCATTCAGAAGCAGCGGGTAAGCACACTGCAGACACAGCGCTGGCGCAAAGGACACAGAATAAACACTCGCAAGCAGTTGGTGCCCCCTGTGTTATTTCAGGGCTGCACGTACTGGAGCGCTACTGGAAGAAATCAAACAAACCACACCTCAGAGGAGAGCAAGAAAACACAAAATCTGTCAGAAATAAGGAAAGACCCTACCAAGTCTCAAGGTGGCATGATTCTTGAGCATGCGTGGCTGCACCTGCAGCAGGGCACTCCTAGAGAGGAGCGGCAGGGTGTGCCCCCGGCTGGCTCGAGGTCCCTTACCTGGAGCTTCTGCTGCTCTCTCCTCTTGGCTGGCAGGTCGTAGAGGCGATTGCTGCTTTCATGCACCATCTTTTCAGTTTTGCTCAGCCAGTTCTGCAAAGGCTCAGCACTCACTTCAAAGTCCTTCATTTGGATCTTCAGATTCTAGGCAGGTTTAGACAGCGCCAAGGACAAAACAGATTGAATGGTGAGTCGGGAGTCCCCCACTTGACATTCAGAGTCCATTGCAAGCCAACCCCACTGCTTCCGCCCCGCCTTCCCTTCTTTCAATGCTTCAGACATCGCTTGCTGACGTTGGTACCAGTGGGAGTTTTGAGTAATCTTTGTGAAAATGTTATCACTTTATCTTTTAAAGTGAATTTTCCCTAACTCCCCAGCCTATTTTAAAAGTCATATCCAAGCTTCTAGACTTACTCAAAGCAGTAGCTGCAGACTTAATAAAAGGGGTGGATTGTGAGTTTTCTTTTTCTGGCTTCTTAATTTTCATTTTATGCAAGCAATCCTGTCTCCACACCTATGTGTAAATTCCACAAGAATGACCTCTGATTAAAATTTCCTGAGACACACTGCATTACCATTTAATAACATAAATCAGCGCTATCAAGCATTTTGTTGATTTGATTAACCATGAGACCAGAAGCAGCTTACATGATTATTATGTATTAATAAGATAAAAGAATATCAGGGTTACATGCTTACTACATAAGAATGCCATAAATAAGTTCAAAGACACTGTATAGATGTTAGCTATGAAATATAATGGACAGGGGTTAGCACAATAGCATACTAGCTTAAGCTGATTCAACAATACTAGCAGCCTATATGGGTGCTGGTTTGAGAGCTGGCTGCTCTACTTTCGACCCAGCTCCTTACTAATACATCTTGAAAACCATCAGAGAATGGGCCAAATGTTCAGGCTCCTGCACTCCTATGGGAGAGCCAGAAGCAGCTCCTGGATTCTGTCTGGCCCAGCCTCAGGCAGAAGAGGCCACTTGCAAAGTGAACCTTCACATGAAAGACTTCCCTTTCTGCCTCCTGTCATCATTTTTCCTTTCAAATAAGTAAGATACCTCTTCAAAAAATGTAATGGGTAAAGCTTTATATGGTACCACTTCACTCTAGCAAGCTTGTCTGTATCAGCTATCATTGATAAAGAACTACACTGAAGTGACTTTGAATTTTTTACAAGAAAATCAACTCAAGCTTCCGTCTGTATCTGGCACACCTACCTCTTAGGGATACCAGTGAACTACAGAAAGGCTTTGAAAAGTTAACATGCATCACAAACGTCAGATATCAAGGTGACTCTTGGAGTACAATTTAAAAAAGAAACACGAGGAAAGGATTTTATCTTGTTTTATTCTCTAATATATCCCCAAAGCCCAGAACAGTCTTTGGAAAACAGAAGATGTTCAACAGATATTTACTGAATAAAGAAAGGTGTTACTAAATTTCTTGGGACCACCAAATAGAGCCAACTGCGATGATTATTATTAGGAACTTAGATCCTGCAAGGAGCCCTGAGAAAAACAATTGATGGGATTTTGAGTTCTACCAAAGAGGGGAAATCATTTTCTATAGGGTGGGGAACTTATTTCCTATGGGGTACAGTCATAGCAATGAAGTGTTGGGGCCTGGAAGACAAAAATGAGAACAAGGCTTTACATTATCTTCTAAAGCTCCTCTTTAAAAATCATTCACTTTTTCATTGGAAAGTCCCACATACAGAGAGGAGGAGAGACAGAGAGAAAGATTTTCCATTCTCTGATTCACTCCCCAGGTGGTCACAACAGCTTCAACTAGCCCCTGAGCAAGGAGCCACTCTGGGACTCCCACTTGGGTGTAGGACCCCAAGCCTTTGGGCCGTCCTCAACTGCTTTCCCAGGCTGCAAGCAGGGAGCTGGATGGGAAATGCGTCCTCTGGGATTAGAACTGGCACCCACATGCGATCCCAGTGCATGCAAGGCAAGGGCTTTTTAGACAGTAGACTACCACACCGGGCCCTAAAGCTCCTCTTAATCTCCCAAAAGCTCTCAAGATACTTTCCCAGTAACTTCTCCAATGGCACCCACAAACTCTCAGAGCCTGACTTTCATGGAATTACACATTCCCTACACTTTCAGAAATACTGCCTAGATTTGAACTCGGCTCCATTCCTTCCTAGAGATGAGTTACATGCAGATGATCCCCGGCTTGTGCCTTAGTTCCTCCATGTATAAAACAGAGGAATTCCTAATTTTGTGGGCAGTTATGAGGAGTAAATGTGGATGACTGTAGGTTAGGTGTCCACTGTTCAGTGCTCTTAAGTGCATAGCTCTTCTTTCCCTTGTGAACCCTGCCCTTACATTAATGGCCCTGGCTTGATAACTTACCCCCTAGTTATTTTACATGCAGACCAAATCTGATATCTATTCACGTGAATAGATTGTTACCTTCTCTAAAGTTACTTTTCCTGCCACTTTACGACTCAGTTTTGCCATTGTCCAAAGGACAAACTGAGACAAATTTCTCTTTCACCCCTTTACCCTCATCTAATTTGTTACTAAATCTTGATATATTTTAACTTAAAGATAAATTTTCCATCCTATTATTATTATTTCACTAAATCTGACCTTTGCTTCTTTCATCTGTATCATTAAAAAATAAAAAATAAGAACTTTTCTCTGAAGTTCTGGCTACCTATTATTTTGCTTTGTGACTTCTTATGTGGTCAAGAGCTGGCACAGTTATCTCCAGCTTAACTATCTGCATATTCTTCAAATAGGTTCTGGTAGAGAATTAAGAAACAGCATATAAAGCATCCCTTTGTAGGTAACAAATGCACTTACTTCCTATACAACAGATTCAGTTTGAGCCTTGGGAACATTGAGTCTGGGGTTCATATAAGAAACCTGGCCAGGGTGATGTTGCATTAGGACACAAGACATTTTTGCCATCTGACTTTAAAGTTCATCTCCAGTGTCCTCATCCCTATTGCTCATTTTGCAAAAGTTCATGTCAAAGCCAAATTTTTTCACAGCCCTCCACTCACCTGATCCTACACATTTGATTTCTTCTACCTACAATGTATGTGAGCCATAGCAACATCAGAGAATGCTTGGGCTTGATTCAATTACCATTTCTCTGGAATTCTTCCTTAACTTTTCTCAAGAGCGTTAGTGGCATCCTGCAACAAGGGACTGACATCCCTGAGATATACCTACATGAAATTGCAATAATCTCTCTACACAGTTTCTCCTCTAGAATGCGTGTTCCCTGAGGCGACACAAAAGAATAGTCGACTCTTTTTCCTTCCATATGTCTGAAACATGGAAGGTACCATCAAGTGTCTATTTCAAATGTAAGGAAAGCGGGAGAGAGGGAAGAAGACAGGCAGGCAGGGACCAAATGAAAGTCGTTCTGCAGGAGAGGGCAGGTTAAGACTACAGGCAATTCCTGACCTATTTACTGCTGGATATTGCTAGAATTAGAGTTGCAGTCAGTGTGAGGCAGGCTATAGCCAACCCTTCACAGCTCAGGCCTTGTTGCACTAATGACTTTGAGAGTCCCCTGTTAATTTGTAGGTACTGCAAAGTAGTCGCAGCTCTATTTACTAGAGGATCATGTCATGATGGAATGGCTCCCCTTAGAAGAGAGAGCTTAATGGCTTTGAGTGATGAAAGAACTTCTCCTTTTCCTCTTCTGAGTAGTAATTCTCTAATACGATCCTTCCCATTCTGCACTAAATATGTCCTAACAAAATGAAGGGTTAAATCAAATACGGTGAAGTATCATTTTCAATGGAAAAGTCCTCCCCTTGCCTCCAAAATTTCATCTAATAGAATTATATACCAAACAGATGATCTCAAGAAAAAGTGAACTGTGGCAAGGGTTACATTATTGTTAAGATAAATTGTCTTAGAAGAAAGTGAAGCAGTATAAAAACTTTTGGCATATTTAGCACCTAAATACCTACTACTTGATATTTTATGTTAATTATGATTTATTTTATGTTAATTATGATTTTTTTAGCCTGACACGCGGATATTTCTGTTCATTCTCCTAAACAGCTGACAGATTTGAGGCATTTCAGAGGAAGGCTTAGGAGCTATACTTCAGTGTAAATGTTGTCGTTTCTTGCCTTGTGAGAAGGCATGGCAATTCTTTGATAATAATTCCTTCTGTGTAAGAAGCTGTCGGTCCGTTAGTCATTCACATACTTGAGCACTGAGTTACTTACTGTAGTTATGCAGGTGCTCATATCTAGTCACAGTCAGTGAAAAAGTTCCCCAGACACACTGGAACTGCTTTAACTGAGCAGCAACAAAAATAGTGTGGAACATGTCCCCACAGGTGGCTGTATTATACCTCCAGGGTCGACTCCTTCTGGTGGAGATTTGCATGAAAATTTTTCCAATCTTCTTTGGCAGTTGCAACCTTGGCCTGAATACCTTCGGCCTTCTCTTTGGTTAACAGGGTGCTCAGAAGTTCTCCTTTACACAGCATCGTGTTTAGCTTCTGCTGTCCATTTTCACTTTCTGACAAAAACTCCTATTAAAAAAATACAAAATCAGGCATGATAAAATGCATTATATCTTAAAATATTTTTCTGTAATTCTCAATAAAATTTTAAAAAATGAGTGAGTTTTCAGCTTAGTGGTTACCCATATCCCAAATTGGAGTGCCCGGTTTGATTCCCAGCTTCCTAACGTCAGCTTACTGCTCTTGCAAAGCCTTGGAGCAGCAGGAATGGCTCAGTGAATTGGATTCCAGTTACTCCTGTGCAAGGCCTGAACTGTGATCCCACTTGGCCCATCATCAGCCATGGGCATTTGCAGAGAGAGCCAGAAAATGGAAGCTCCTTTGTCACACATAAATATATTTTAAGAATTGAGGAGAACAAGTGAATAATTTCTATAGTACACATGAAATGACCTAGGTCTGCCTTTAAGAGTCAAATTTAAATTTGCTGATACAAATTCCGATTTGTTCAAAAAGGACCATAAACTATCTCATGAACTATGTTAGCCATTAGATTAAACATGTTTGGAAATAAAATATTAAGTTTCAGATAAAATGAATTTAAGAAGGAATGCAAGCCCAAGGGAAATAAGTATCATAAAATAACCTCTAAGATCAGCCTATATAATAAATATAATGCGTTGTGTGCAACTGGGGGACATGTGTTATCATTTATGCTCTGAGGAGCCCAGCTGCCCAAGCAGGGGGAAGCAGCCAATCACATGGCTACAGGGTCCACAGGATGGAAAGAAAAAAAAAATCTGTGCAGTAGAAACACAAGTATTTCTAGGCTGAGGCAAGAGATGAATTTATTTCAGGAATCTTAATAAAATAAGTGTTGTTGAGTAGAAATTATATTATTCATAGATTATTTTTTAAAACCAAAAAGAATGGTGTCATGTGGCACACTGAATGGCAGAAAGCCAGACTGCAATTGAGTAAAGAGCAGTGAGGTGTGGACTTCACCACCACTTCTCTAGATTCAAGGCCGTTGAGTGGCCTCTCCATGTGACAGCCTCTTATTCATGTTTTTATTTAAAGAAACAGAAAACATGACTGGAGGTACTTTATTCTGGCAAGCAACGGAAGCACAGATAATCTGCATTGTACATTTTGATTATAGGAACCCTGCCAGGACATCAACCTTAAGGGACAACTAACCCTGAACACAGGGCTGTTGCATTGAGGGGAGAGTGAGTGCCCATGGGTATCCTCTTATTTCCAGCACATTGAGGCTCCAAAGTGTTATCCTCCAGCCTGGATTAAAACTGGGACAATCTTGCACACAGCACATGTCGAATGCAGGAGTTAACCCTTATATTATGAATGAAGGAGAAATAGATACTGACAACAGTGTATGTGAGCCAGTGGAGAAACTCCAAGTACCATCTCTTACACACACCTTTCTACCTGTATTTGGTCTCCGAAAACAAGTTAGAGTTCATAACCACACACAGACTGGTATTACACAAAATGATCACACATGCACAAGCTGAAATAGGATTTCAGGAGCCAATGCTGTGGCACACTGGCTAACACAACAAGCTACGCCACTGGATTCCCAGATGTGCACTGGTTTGAGTCCTGGCTCTTCCCCTTATGATCCAGATTCCTGCTAATGGGACTGGATAAACAGTGGCAGACAGACCAAGTGCTTGGACCCTTACACACATGTAGGAAACCCAGAAGCACCTCCTGGCTCCAAGTTTCAAACTAGCCCAGCTTGGGCTGCTGTTAGAAACATTTTTTTAAAAATGCAATTTCAAGAACTGTGCCTAAAAAGTGCTGGAGTTGAAGATGATGTGTTGAGTGGCTCCAAGAAGTTGCGTCTAGCTTGAAAAATAAAAGCCCAAATGAACAACATAAAATGAACCTGTATCTTTGAGTGCTTTACATGGCCACCAGCTCTGTGACCTATGAGTTCTCTGCTTCGTCTGAATACCAGGCGGGTGAATTCTTACAGCTATTGTGCAAATTAAATGAGAAAATCCATGTAGAGTGCTCAGGCATAATGCTTGTCAAATAGAGATGTCATTATTTCCTAAATCCCTTTAATGCATCAAAACAGCTGACATCTATATAAATGGATTAACTTTTCTTCATTTATACAATTATCGCATGCAAGGATTTATCTGAAATTTGAGCTCCTTTGGCAAAACTTGAAAATGCAAACATTTAGAGTCACATTTTTAATGCTGTCAACACCAGTATTTGAATGGATAACACTGTTACCTGAATTTTCTGAAGACTTGTTGAAACTTCACTAATATTTTGAGGTATATCAAAACATTTGGCAGTAGCAATTTTTGCGTTAACCATCCACTGCTGGAAATCCCTGAAGGCTTTTCGGAATCTTTGCTGTAAAATCTGTTCTTTATTCTGGCAGCCCTTTGATGCTTGCAAGCAAAGACTGAAAAAAACGTTCAGAGAATTTAATGGAAGGACAAAAAGGTAAAATTAAGATAATGTTTGAGAGAATATGTGAACTTCATTTACGTATTTACTGTTTAATGAATGCTACTTTTTGAAATCTTGCCTTAAAATAAATAAGCCTCCAGCTTCTAATTTGTACAAAAATATGTTTAATACCAAAACGCTCTATTCTCACCAGTTATATTCTTTAATCAGGCCTGAAACCCTTCCACTGTATGCAGTCAGGTCTCTGGAAAACCGACACAGTTCATTCAGCTGGGACTTGAGGCTCTCTGTCCTCGGCTCTTCCTTCTGCAGAGCATCGAGGACCTCCTGTCAGGACACAAGACCACAGAGTCAGCATTCAAGTCAGATCATCTCCCTCTCCTCTCGCCATGCCTGCATGGACTATATAAATCACGAATGACGAAGGAAACACCACCGATTGAGTAAAGAAATGAGATATATTTTCAGAACATTCCATGGCCACTTATTACATTTGGCTGATTTTATCTTTTTCTAGTTGTGGGTAAATGCTACTGCATTGAATGTTGTGAAATAGTCAATCAAGTGGTCAAATGACAAAGTGAAACAATAAAAAGCATTAAACATCTTACATCAAAAACAACAGTCTAGGTAGGACATCAAGGGCAACTTGGTAAATAAATCATTTCAAAGAAAAGTAATACAGCAGTTGTGCTTGGCTTCGTCCGGGGAGTTTCACAATCCAGAAAAATATTGACACAATAGGCACTTATGCATAAAACCATGAAATGAATTAATTACTGATACATTCAGACCTGTGGATTAAAAATTGCTAAGTAAATTGTGCATACTATTTAAAAATGACATGAACGTGTGCATGGTGGCTGTTCTTGCAGAGTTCACAGAGTCAACAGATAAGAGAGACACACAAACGGATCCTCACTGTGCTCTGCGTACTTCTAAGCCCAAGCTGTTTTAGGTCTTGGCAAGCTCAGCTTTCAAACCCAAGCCACAGTCTTCTGAATTGCAGGTAAAACGAACAAATGATGCTGCGAGTGACAATACTTGGCTCAGTCCTCACGCTGTAAGGGACTTAATTAGTACAGTCACGGGGAACATGACTCCCAAATAGTCAACTGGGACTGTGCACATGGCAACACCTTCAAAGCAAAACAACAAATTAAAGAGGCAGAAAAAGAACAGTGAATGCTTCAAGAGTTATTCGAGTTACTGTTCCTGATCTCAGAGATACCTGTCCAGGGATTACCCAGTTTTCTAGAGAAATCACAGCCCTCCACAAACCAGGTCAGTGAGGCAGTGCTCACTGTGGTAAATGGCACCGCTGTTCTTCTGGAAACTAGAAGACTAAGCACACTGGGTCTCCGCTCACTCCACAGGCATGGCACCAGGTCTGGTCTGTTCCCTCAAAGCTCTTTTTGTCATGTTCCCCTTTGCCTCTGCATGTTGATTCTCACAGGTCCCAGACATTTCCAACATTTCTTTCTGGAATGATCCAACACCCTCTCAATTTGACTCCACTTTTGCAATTTCCTCCCTTGAGTTTTCTCAATGCCCAGTAATTTGACATCTTACTGCTGTCATTTGACCACAGTTCTCTGGACAAGATACAACCATTCCCCAAAGCTCTGGTCTAACCATGAGTGCCCTGCAGACCCTCTGCCTCCTCTGTCCCACAGGGATTCTCTAAACATCCGTCACAATCCATGCCGTCTTCAACGCTATGCTTGCCTCTGTGTCTCCACCTCCACTCCAACCTGGCGGGCAGGGATGGTGGCTGGTCTCCTGGTTTCTCCATTCTTGATTTAGATCAGTGTAATTTTTATTTACAAAACTCATAAATAAAACGAGACAATTTCTCTCTGAAAACCTAATGCCAAGCAAGAGACAATTGTTATCCAGAAATGAATCAATTGTCCAAAGGTTAAAACACTGAGACCTAAGTCATTCAAGGACAAATTAGGTGACAATAAATGTGAAAAAGTTTCTGACTGAAACTTTACATTTAAAAATTTTCATAATTTTACCCTAAAATACAATATTTTATATCACATTATATATTCCTACTTAAATAATTGCCAAATTTCCAATGCTAAATCTAAATATTGAAATAGATGAGTTTTGTAAACACAGTGAATAGGTTTTCTGTAATCTCATGCTGTTTATAGAACATTTTAAAAGATTTCTTGAGCATTATTGAATTGCAGAAAACAAATGTGTGTGAAGATTGGGGATTAGTGTAGTGATTGCCGCCAATGAAAAGACCCCCTAACAGCTAAAGCAATGCCAAAGACAGGCCAGCAAATCCAGCTTGTAAACATGTTCCTATACATTCATCCATCGGATCATCAAGAAGTTAATCAAAAAATGCATAATTCTTAAAAATTTTGCATGGGCCTTAAAAGGTTTTGACTCCAAGTAAACTTGCCTTTCCATGTCATTTTTCTAGAAACTTTGCGAAGCTTCTTTGTATTGTATCCAATTGGAGGTAAAATGTCATTTTAGTAGTAACAAAAAATATGAATATGGAGAGACAAAGTAGCATTGTCCTCCTAAGCAACTGCCTTGCAGGTCAGCCTGGAAGTGAGTCTATGGGTATGGCCATTCACTTGGAATTGTTAGCACAAATCCAATTCCACAAATTCCAAATCACAAACTTGCTATGATTTTATTATCATATGCATTTGTATAGGTCTCATACATTATTTTCAATATCAATGTAAGAATAAAATCCAAGAATAATGTAATCTAAGCATAATAAATTATTTTTAATGTTTCACTCATATTAATGAATAGGAAAGAGAAAGAAACAAAAGAGCACAATTTACTTTTTATAGTCTGTGCTTGTCTTATCCAAACATGCTTCCATAGAATTATTCCCAACATTTTTGCCCTATCTACAGAATTCATTTTTATACTTTCTTCTAGTACATTAGCCTAAAGAAGAGGAAAAGCATCAATTATACAAAACCCCAAACCTAGAGACATTACCAATAAAATAGCATGAAGACAGGATTATAACATTTTTATTTTATAGTGTGCTATCTTTGTACCCAACGGTTGTAAAACAAGACAATGCTAGCACCGCTGTCTGACTCTTACTGGCTGCAGCTATTTCGAAACGATCATAACATAAATAGAAGCCGAGTTTACTTTACAACTTCCTTTTAAGGACACGCATGATTTGCAGCATGATACAGCAGCAGTTACTGAAAAGTATTTCAAATACACAATTTAATCGGAAAAGAAAGAAAGGAAGGAAGAAAAGAAAAGAAAAGAGAAGAGAAGAGAAAAGAAAAGAAAAGAAAAGAAAGGAAGGAAGAAAAGAAAAGAAAAGAAAGGAAAAGAAAAGAAAAGAAAAGAAAAGAAAAGAAAAGAAAAGAAAAGAAAAGAAAAGAAAAGAAAAGAAAGGAAAGGAAAAGAAAAAGAGAGGATGCATAGCCTCTGCCCGTCTTCCCTTTCCGAAGGAGGTACCCTTATCTAAAAAAATGAATAAATCAACATCTAGGAGGTAACCAGTAAACCTGACCTAGGAGCTGAGATTAATTCAGGTAACTGCTGTCAAAACCACCCTCACCAGAGCTAGTCAGAGTACAACCCACTCTGTGAGCCCTCACTGGTGTGGAGGGCAACAAATGTGTTTTTTGAAACTGTAATCCAACACTTGATTGAAACAGTTAATTGGCCAGAAGACAGCTATGACTCTGTGTCTATTTATGTCCCTGCCCACAGGCCATTTTTCAGACTTGGTGTCTGAACAGCATTGCAAACTGTTACACCATCAGAACCAAAGTCCAGTGTCTCCACGAAGCAGCAACACTGCGCATGGCAAACAACTGCTGCTCCGCAGTATGTTAATTTGTACAAAAGGTCAACTGAAAACAGAATAAAACAAAACAAAACCAAAGCAGCTACTTTCTTCTTCCTAGTTTGACTGTTGCATGTTTTTAGTTAGGACAGATTTTGTTTTTTTACAACCATTTGAGCCAAACTTTTTTTTTTAAAGTTTTATTTTAGCCCAAGAACCAAGAGAGAGCAAGAAGCCAACTTACTCGTTCCTTGTGCCAGCATTCTGCAATCTCCTTATCCGTGTTCTTGCCTTCCAGAAGAGCCAGCTGCTGAGCCCAGGTCTTCAGGAGGGCATCGAACTGTTCCAGGGCCTGCTCCAGCTGAGCCACCTGGGCCGAGAACTCCTGTTCCGAAAGGGCCATCTGGCTGGCCAGACTCTCCAAGCTCCTGCGCGTTTGCAGCACGCTGTCTTCCCACTGCTTCCAGTCGGCGCGCAGGGCCTGCATCTCCGTGTGCATGAGCTCACACCCACTGGCAGCTGTGTTCTGTTTCACTTCAGGGGCCAGCGACTCCACTCTGCTTAGGCGGCCGGCCCCGATCTCTCTGGAATCTATCAGCTCCTGTAATGGAATATCGCCATGGTAACCAAGAAGGCCTTGTCTGAGTCACTTGGACAGCTCATTTCCAACTGTGGGGCAGAGGGGGACCCTGTCCTGCCAGCAAGCGGGAGCGAGTGCGCCACAAGGAGCCGAAATCAGTTCCCAGGTTTTACCAGCAGGAAATTAGCTCCATGAGCACTCAAGCTTATGGGAAAATAAAAAAAAAAAAAAAAAAAAAAAAAAAAAACCCGGCGACATCCTAAAACAGATTAAACAGGCATGCTAAACTCTGGTATCACTTGACTGTGTGTCTGCCACTTGTGTGTGTCTGCTGTGCAAAAGCAAACCCGTACTGCCAGTAGGTGGATGGACAAGTCAGGAAGCTGCAGCAGAACTGGGCTGGGCATGGTCTCCACACTGATGGGAACCGACTGCTGTTCTACCAGCAATCTGGCTCATCCGTCACAGGCTGTTGCTCCACTCAGTTTCAAAGATGTCAGCACATTACCTTAGCTAAATATTTTTTATTGTGGCTAAACAAAAAAATTCATAACTCACAATAAAAAAAATTTTAAACAACTTCTAGATTGGGCTTGTTTGCTACTATATTTTTACATTAAAAAAAAAAACAATCATTAGAAGGGCTGGCACTGTGGAATAGTGAATTAACCCACCATCCGCAGTACAGGCATCCCACCTGATTGACACTCAAGTCCCTTCTGCTCCACGTCTGATATGACCAGGGAAAAAGAACATGGCCCCAGTGCTTGGACCCCTGCCACCACGTGGAAGACCTTCCTGGGTTCCTGACCCAGCCGTTGGCTTTACCCAAGCATACATTTCTCTATCTGTCTTTATATGCTCCTCCACCTTTGAAATAAGTAAACCTGCTTAGGAAATACTAGAAATTGAATAATTTAACTAGTTGGGGTTTTTTTTTTTTCCTTTTGGTAAAAATATGTATTTGAAAGGCAGAATTACAGAACGAGTGAGAGGGACACAGAGAGATCTTCCATCTGCTGGTTCACTTCTCCCAGAAAGCATCATCAGCCGGGGGGGGGGGGGGGGGATTCCTCCTTGCCTCTCCTGGGCCATTAGCAGGGAGCTGGCTCAGAAGTGAAGCAGGCAGAAGAACAGGCACTCATATGGGATGTCAGCATCACAGGTGCTAACTGCTTTACATCCCAACATAATCCCCATTTTTCAACTTAAACTTAAATATTTCTAAAGGGCCAAGCACAGTGGCCTAGAGGCTAAAGTCCTCGCCTTGATCATGTCGGGATCCCATATGGGCACCAGTTCTAATCTTGGCACCCTGCTTGCCATCCAGTTCCCTGCTACTGGCCTGGGAAGGCAGTCGAGGATTGCCCAAAGCCTTGGAATCCTGCAGGAGACATGGAAGAGCTCCTGGCTTCAGATTAGCTCAGGTCCGGCCGTTGCGCTCACTTGGGGAGTGAATCATCAGACGGAAGATCTTCCTCTCTGTCTCTCCTGATCTATCTATTTGACTTTGCAATAAAAATAAATAAATCTTTAAAAAAATGTCTAAAGAACCACAAGATAAAATTAAAATATTCATTGCTAAGTGGTCACAGTAGTGGTGTCTTTTACTAAAAATAGGTTACTGTGAATTTTCTTGTGAAATTATCATCTACAATTTATCTGATTCATATCTGTTGGTAAGAACAGGACATTCTTAGTAACAACACAGTATTAGGCCTTCCCTCCCAAAATAAACACAAAGAAATGATCATGAAAAACAAAAACTTCAAGAAGAATATCAATTCCAAAAAAATAAACAAAAATTAGGATGTTAAATATGGTGCATGGTTTAATATATACATATAAACAAATATACATAATGTATATATACATTAACTTGTCTATATAATATTGTTTGCATTTAATTAATTTGAATTAAGTAAATCTTCTATTACATGGCCACAATTAATATAGATCAATTTAGAAGTATTTCACTATGTAGAAGGCTACATTATCAATACATGAAACTCCTCATTGGTACCCAGCATTTAATACCCCTATTTAATTTTTGCTCAGATTTCTAAAAACCATACCTGTTTTCCAGTGCATGTAGCAATCAGTGACTTGGTAAAGAAACATAATTTCTTAAAAGACACAGAATCTAACAGATTAGACAATAATAATTTGCAGGAGCTATTTCCCATTTAGAGTTCAACCAAATTCAGTCTCTCCAAATACCGTCTTGTGGATTATCTCAGCTTTCTTTGTCAAGGAAATGGGATATATCCACATCTGTAATCATTAATTTCCCCTCCAGGCTTTGAAGAAGGACAGAATCCTGGCAAAGTGCTTTGGAATGAAGTTAACATGCATTCTGTTGACTTGTACTTAACCTGTAAGAACAGTGTATACACATACAGGCATGGTAGCATGGGCACATTCCGGCCCTCCCACAGGTACCCATTGTGCTGCAGAATGGTGTCTCCCCATCGGTTGTCTGGGGATGGGTGGACTGGTTTGAAGGTCCTGCAGCGTTTTCTCCATCGTCACACACACCAGCCGACATTTAGGCCTAGCAGGGCAGCATCTAAGAGACTGCACCTTCTCTCGTCTCCATCCAATATTCCTGTTTCTCTCAGGCAACTCATTGTCCCGTAGTTTCTACCTAACACAGTATTTGGAACCCAGCAAGCAGCCTTGGTGAAAAGAGTCCCTTGCTTTCCCACGTTACCTTTGCAAAAGTTGGGTCCATCTTTGCTATCGCCTCTTCTCACCTGCCAACCACACATGTGGTCTCTTGATGTGAAAATGGCCCTCAGGGCAATTGACAAAGAGTGTGACTATCAAATCCAGGGGTGTCTTTCCATCTTCTTGCTATGTCTGAATGGAGATCACCGTCTCCATTCAGGCCTCCATTGCACCACGTCCCCCAGGCCTCTTACTTTGTCTCTTCTTGTACTTTCTCACTTTCCTGCCCTTTTCTTCTGGGGCTCCTTGAATGGCAGCAGTGTCTAGGTTGCAACCCTGAACATTGTCTGCTTTATGCATAAGGGCTTCTATTTTGGTGCCTTTAATTACAAATCATGTGCTACAAATGTCTAACTCTGGGTCTTCAATCAAGCTTTCTAACCTAAAATTTGGATCTGAACATTCCACTGTCTCAGAGACATTGACTATCACCTGACAGTTCAAATTGTTCTTGCACTCTTCCTGACTCTCCAGGTTCCTCGGCAGCCCCGTGTTTTCCTCAAGAGATGATACAGACCGTAAGTAACAACTTTCATGACTAATTATTTACTCCCATAGCATTCCACAACATTTTCTGGAGTGCTAACTATGTCATGTGCTTGGTCAAATTTAGTCCTTAAAATAACTCCATGAGGCAAGTTTTAAATTGCCTTCCCTGTTTGGTTGCTTGTTTACAAATCAAGAGATTGAAGTGAGGATTGTAAGTAACTTGCCCAAAGACACAACTAGAAAACCAGTAGAGGTATGACGTGTGCCTGATGTGTGCCTGACGTGTGTCTGACGTGTGTCTGACGTGTGCCTGACATGTGATGTGTGCCTGACGTGTGTCTGATGTATGTCTGATGTGTGCCTGACGTGTGCCTGACGTGTGCCTGACGTGTGCCTGATGTGTGCCTGATGTGTGCCTGACGTGTCTGACATGTGCCTGACATGTGCCTGACATGTGTCTGACGTGTGCCTGACGTGTGCCTGACGTGTGTCTGACGCGTGCCTGACATGTGTCTGATGTATGTCTGACGTGTGCCTGACATGTGCCTGATGTGTGCCTGGCATGTGCCTGACATGTGACGTGTGCCTGACATGTGTCTGATGTATGTCTGATGTGTGCCTGACGTGTGCCTGATGTGTGCCTGATGTGTGCCTGACGTGTGCCTGACATGTGATGTGTGTCTGACATGTGTCTGACATGTGTCTGACATGTGCCTGATGTGTGTCTGACATGTGTCTGATGTGTGTCTGACATGTGCCTGACGTGTGACGTGTGCCTGACATGTGTCTGACATGTGTATGACGTGTGACGTGTGCCTGACATGTGTATGACGTGTGTCTGACTGTTGAGCCTGAGATGCAGACAAAGTGAGCTGTCACTACATGAAGTCTATTACTTAACAAAGATCAGGATGTTTGCTATTGTTCACCACTAGATTGCAAGTTTCAGAGCAGGATATTTGCCCATGGTTGAAAAAACAAATGGAAATGATAGATAATGAATGAATAATCAGAATATCACTAAGAAATGTACAAAAGAAGCATTTGAAAGGATCTCACATATAAATAATAGAGATGTTAAAAAGTGACTTCATGACTATTTTCAATCAGCAGACATTGCAGAATTAATATTTTCAAAGCATGTACAAATATATCTTTGAAATATGCTTTTGTCAGGGGCCTGGATGCTAAATCCTTTCCTTGTGTATGTATATGTTATTACACACATACAATGCATATGCTGGGATCCTATATAGGTGCTGGTTCGTATCCTGGCAGCCCCACTTCCCATCCAGCTCCCTGCTTGTGGCCTGGGAGGGCAGTTGAGGACAGCCCAAAGCTTTGCGACCCTGTACCCATTTGAAGACTCAGAAGAAACTCTAGGCTCCTGGCTTCAGATCAGTGCAGTTCTGGCCATTGTGGCCACTTGGGGAGTGAATAAACGGATAGATCTTCCTCTTTGTCTCTCCTCCTGTTTGTATATCTGACTTTTCAATAAAGCTAAAATAAATCTTAAAATACAGTTATAGTGTGTTATAGTGTGAGTTTATGATTTTATGTTCTGAATCCAGGGACCAGAAATCCCTGCCTATCTGAAATTCCTGAGCCCAACTATCTAATCAACAATTGCACCAATATTTCCTCATCTAAAATTCAGCTATTGAGGATTCCACCATTCATCATTCCAGTGTAATAATCTATCATTTTCCATGGGGGAAAAATTGTAACACAATATTTAAGCAATTAGAAATATGCCAAAAGATGTAAATATTTCATTTCCCTCAGAATTATGAATTTCTATTTTTGAAGTTGTCCTTAAATTAGGTCATTATTTAATGTCCTTGAAAGTAGTTCTTCCATTAAGTTGTTGGCTAGGAAAGCAGAATAAAACATCCAGAATGATGTTTAAAATTTTTTCTAAAATATACAGGGGTTTCAAAAAGGTAATGAAAAATGGAAACCAAAACTATGCTTATTTTGGTGTTGAAAATTTTTTAAAAGCCTGTGAGATATCTTCCAACAGTTTATGAAAATGTGTGTGATGCAACAATTACGCCTGGATCGTGGTTGCTTTTTGCATCAAAATAAACATGCTTTAATTCTATTTTTCTCTCTCTCTTTTTTTTAAAGGTTTATTTTATTTTTATTAGAAAGGCAGTTATACAGAGAGGAGGAGAGACAGAGAGGAAGATCTTCCGTCTGATGATGCACTCCCCAAGTGAGCACAACAGCCAGTTCGGCGCCAGTCCGAAGCCAGGAGCCTCTTCCGGGTCTCCCGCGCAGGTGCAGGTTCCCAAAGCTTTGGGCCGTCCTCGACTGCTTTTCCAGGCCACAGGCAGGGAGCTGGATGGGAAGCAGGGCTGCCGGGATTAGAACCGGCGCCCATATGGGATACTGGAGCATGCAAGGCGAGGACCTTAACCACTTGCGCCATCGCGCCGGGCCCAATTCTATTTTTCTCAAAACTTTTTGAAATACCCTCATATGTTTAATTTTACTTCATAAAATTCTTTCCCACTGCATTAGAAAACAGTATCTGGTTTTATCATCTTAGCAAACTGGAATATATTTCTTAAGCATACTTACACATAGGCACATATATAGACAATGTTAAATTTTGTTCATACGTGTAGTCTTGATTTTTTTATGTCTTTCATGTTCTGATTGGTGAAGTGGAAAATAATGTACACCAATACAAAACAAGAAGGGAACAATGTGAATAACAAAATCTTAATCCTGCAAATTTTTGTCACAACTGTGTAGCGCTCCAGAACCGAGGACGCAATGCAGCACCTGTGAATTTCCTGACCTTAATTTTTGACAGCTTTTTCTGGGTGGCTGAGGAGTCTCCAGACATATCCGACCACCGATGAAGTTCCTCCTTTGCAGAATGAAGCCAGTCGGTGAACTCCTGGACTGCGTCTAAATACATCAGGTGGTCTTTCACAAGATCTTCCACTTTTCTCATTTTCTCCTAGTGAGAAAAGAAAAGGCCATCTTAAAGTAGTCATCATTGAGACCCTCCAGTCAGATAGGAAAATGGGCAGAAGCAGTGAGGGGTCAAGCGGAGGTGCTGTGATGACTGTGTTAAGCCATTACTTGGAACACCTGCGTCCCATACTGGACTGCCAGTTTGTGCCCCAGCTATTTGCTTCTGATCTAGCTGCCTATTAATTTGTCAGGGAAACAGCAGATGACAGTTCAAACAGTTGTGTTCACGCCACCCATGTGGGAAACCAGATGGAATTCCCACTCCTGTCCTCACACTAACAGCCCAGGTAGTTGAAGCCACTTGGAAACTCTTGGGAAATGAATCTGTGGATGACAGATTTCTCTCTCTCTCTCTCTCTCTATCTCTCTCCACCCCCCTCCGTTACTCTGCTCTTCAAACAAATCTTACAAATAAAAAAAAAAAAATAAGCCTCATACAGTTTCTTGCTATATTTCCAAAAATCTCATTTATATTCTTAATTTTTTTCTAGGGTTAATATCTTAAACCATATATTCTAACTGAAAGATTTGAGGAGACAATGACTTCCCTGTTAGTTTACCATTACTAGTCCTGCCCTAACAATCCATATTTAATTTGACTAGTGGCTAGCATCTGGTGCATGTCACTGTGCTCAGCAGCTCGACTCCTTTTCTCAATCTTCACAACAACCATGTGATACTAATACGATTATTATCATCATTTTAGAGGAGACAAGTATGAGGTTTGCAGAGGTTAAGTGATGTCCCCTCCCCCCCAAAAAAATGTCAAGGCCAAAATTATACTGGGGTCTTTTGACTCTTGAGTTTTGATTATTAATGATCACTAAGTTGAGAATCAAAAAGACAAACCTATATATTAATCGCTGCAGTATAAATTAGAATTTATAAAACATAAACCAAAGCATAAAGAGAAGTACATTTTATCTCATAATTTCTATAATATTCATATATATAACCAAGGAAAAAATCATGTAGAAAATATTCACATAAAGAACTGATAATATTTAATATGACTATATTTCAAAGATATGAAAATACAGCTTTAAGTAAGATGAGAGTTAAATACAATGCTTTGTACATAATTGAAATCTTGGAAACAGACTTTTATTTAATATAACACTATATAAACCACCAAAACCAAACACTGATACTTGATGTTCAATCTTTCCAAAAATGAAAAAAAAAGTGGAGAAATAAAAAATTTTTAAAAAAGCAAAGATTAGGATTGTACTCAAAGGTGGTATATGAACTTATTCACAAATGTTCCAATTTGGAAGCAGTTTATTTTCCTGTAACTTCACTAGTAACTATCTTGGTGCTTCTGCAAGATAAAGCACTAACCTTGGCAACAGTCACTATATCATTAAACTGAACTTTGAGTTCCTCTTGAACCGAATCCTTGAAGGACTCATCCCCTGTCTTCTCGTAGAGCTCCCTGGACTTGGCAGAGAGGCGGTGAAGGGCTGCGCTGCGTTCATCTGCCTCAGACACGATGGCCTGGAAGTGGTCCAGCAGGGAAAACTTCTCTTTCAGACCAGGCTGCAGCTGTACGGGATGTGCGACTTTCTGATCCATGGATTCCATCCATTGTTCCAACTGGTTCTTCCTCTCCATGTAGTCATTCCATTGGCTCATTACAGACTCTAAAGTGCTAAAATCAATATCACATATAATAAAATGGATTATTTGACATCTCTACTGAAAACCAACCACAATGTCATAACTGTGTACATTGCTTTAATCAAAAGACACTGTTAAATACACTGAATACAAGAAGAGAAACTACTTATGATTCATAGATGGGTGATGCAATCCCTTCAAATTAAGTAAATCTATGTGCAATTTGAAGAAAGAAGTTATAGTAGAGTCTCATACAGGCACTTAGAGACTTGTCCTAAGCACAAATTCAAAATGTCCTAAACACCTGAATCCTACTCAGAGACAAATTTTTGACGTATTTTGACGTATTTTACTGTCAAAAAAATTAACACTGCAACATTAACTTCATCTAATACACTCAAATCAACTCTTTATTTTCTTAGAGTTAGTTTATCTTACTGAAATAAGATGGTAATGATGTGTTCACTGGAGTTCAAAACTCAAGGTATTCTTCCTGAGTAAGTATTGTTACTACATTGGGTTTTGTAATAGTAAACACACACACACACACACACACACACACCCTAGTGCTTCAGTGTTAAATGTGTGAATGAATGAAAAATCCATGTATTTTCAAAGTAAGAAATGTAATAACAAATACAAGAATCAAGTAGACAAATTTGAGGATAGCCAAATACCATGGTTTCTAGGGACGAGCCCCACCATTCAGTTTTACACATTATCTTGGGCTCTCCATGGGGACGGCCCTCAACCCCAACCTCAACCTCCTTTACATATAAGCATGCCATCTTGCAGGTATGTTGCATGATATATGAACTTCTAACCAATCATCCTGCTGTGAACAAATGTTCACCAATTTCTCAAGCCATTGGTTTCACATCAATAGAAACTCACCATACATAAATCCCCATCCTTTACTTGAAACATTTTTTTTTCAGCCAACCATTGATTTAACTTCTGAGATGCTAGTGCCATAATGAACAGCACAATAAAGATGTTTATATTGAATAATTACCAAGCAGGATATTTACCTTATGAAGTATAGAAAGTAAAAGGATTATTATAAAATAGAAGCATGACTAATGGTAATGTCTCATTGTTTTTATGCTTAGATATATCTCATCAATTCCACCCTCATTGCTGAATAGTGAGAATCTATTTTAAGCAAGCAATTAATAGAACTAAAGCTAAGTTTTTTTGTGTGTGTGTTAAAGATTTTAAATAGGAAAATAGAGAAAATATCAGAAAAGTTCCAAAAAGAGGTAATTTTTGTGCTTTGTCTTGAAGAGGTACCACTGTATTATTTTATCAGTGATAATGTAGTAGAAAGATTTCAGAAAAGTAAGAACAGTAGCAGAAAAGGCCTGGGCATGTAAAGCAGATAAAGATTTAGAGGGGAGCAAGTAGCTTCAAAGAGATTTTCTTTGTTTTACACACGAAGCATGTAAAATCATATCACAGATTTCTCACAATTATCATGAAAGCCAGTTTTATTTTTATCTAGAAAAACTTCATTTTAGGGGGAACAGGATAGGATGGGTAACAGCTGCCCAAAGAGCAGGGTATTTGTAGGCTTCCTTCCCAGAAGATGGGGGTTTGGATTAAATAATTATACTAATAAAATATGCATAGGAAATTTTCTGAAACATCTGTAACAAAGGCCTGTCCCTGGGACCCCCCACGGCCTGCCCCGTGGGTCTTCAAGAGTCTTCAGAACCCAGTTTAACTGGCCTTTCCTGCACTGCACTCTACCTACCTTAGTCTGAGCTCTTACAAGGCAAGAGCCGTGTAGGTTTTGATCTTGCTTTTTCAATTGTTTTAACACAAGCATTTGGTTAGTGTGTAGTTGCCAAATTTAATTCCCTGCTGAGATAGGAAGTACTATACTAGTCTGCTTCTCGTTTTTAGCATTTGATGCCACCATCTGGAAAATACAGACGCATAATTCTATCCAATTTTATGAAGCCAGCACGTTACCAAGCATTCAGAAGTTTAGTTTCAGCTCCACAAGCCTACTGTATTGAATATGAGAATCACAGCGTCTGAGTTTTTTTTCTTTGCTGAACATTCTGAGTTATTACTAAAGCCATGCAATGGAGGTGCCCCATGACTAAATAGCAGGGCTATCCCCATTGTCACAAATTAAAAACACTTTGCATAATTCTTATATCTCAAGGCATGGGTATGACCTCCAGTTGATGAAAAGTTTATACTAAGACTCAACTGTTAGGTTCAACTTACTTTGCCATATGCTTTTCCAAACAGCCAAAACTTGCTCAAGTTAAAAAAATTCATCCTTGCTATGATGAATTTACAAAATGGTATTTTTAGTGATTCCATGTTATATACAAGATTTCAGGTAAGCTATTAAGGAAGTGAGTGTCAATATGAAATAAAATAAAACAGAAACAAGCAAGTAAACAAACAGGAACTAGTTTATGACCCATGAGCAATGTGGCGCAGGCAAAGACAGGCATACACACAGCTGGCTTTATGAAACAGCACACTGGGCAACTTGGCACAGGATCCCTCAGCTCTGCCCCATCATTTCCCTAACCCAGCCAGGTTGACTTGAGCAAATAAGCCCTGAAAGAGGCTCTGTACCTCTGAGCACGGACAGCAGAGCTCATGACGTCAGCCCACACCTCTTTCAGGGTCTGTAACTGGACCTGGATCACCTGCTGACCCTCTCGGTTGCTGCTTCTCAAGGCTTGTTCCCCTTTGCCGATGGCCATGTTCAGCTTCACCTCCCCTTCCCCTCTCATCAGCAGAATGTCCTGGGAGCGAAGGATGAGCAAGCGTTACCAGCAGCAGGAAAACATTCTCTACGTAAGTGACTTAGGCTCCTCATGAGAATTCAGGGAGATGGAAAGTTTGTGACACCGGTACAGAAATTGTAATTTTATTAACTTTCTTCCTAACATGCAAGGATTTTATTTCCAAAGTGACAATGTACCTGTTAAAAACCTAAGAGCCATCTGCCTTCATTGCTCGGTGAAGTTCAGGTGCACTGCCACAGTCTGGGATGGTGGTCTCCTTTGTGCTTGCAACACACCCTTGCTTGCTTCAGTTATGAGACCTATATTTGAACTCTGCTGCAAGCAACAATTCGCAGATTGTTCTCTCTTAATAGCCGAAGGACTCCCAGAATACAAGAACCAATGCTACTTCTGCATGGCCAGCATTTTACACAGGTGCTTGCTGTTTAACTACTGAAAGCAGTTTTAAAGGATTTGAAGCTATTCCCACAAGGCGAAATAGGAGCCCTACCTATCCCTTCTGTTACGTTTCTCCAGCGTAATACACAACCTCCATTTAGAGATGCCCCCAGAGCACTAGACTCCAACTCAAACGCCAGCGGTGCGAACCCAAGCACCTCAGCTGTTGTCAGTCTCCCTTACCTGGATCTGAGCCAGCCGTCTCTCCAAGGTGTCTTTGCTGCCGATGGTGCTGTCTGCACTAGCCAGTCTGTCTTGAACGTCTTTCACCCAGGACCACATGCTCTGCAGGGCATCCTCCAGGGCTTCGTGCTCCTGGATTGCCACCTGACAGCTGCGCAGCTTCTCTCTGGTCATCCTGAGCAAGTTCTGGTAGCTGGTGAGCAGCTGGGAGCACAGGCGGCCCTCTTTTCCAGCCCCATGGCCTTCCTCACTGAGCAGCTGCCCTCTCTGGGAAAACTTATCAAGCGACTCTCTGGGAAAAAAAAAAAAGGAAAAATATTTTTTTTAAAATTCTGACCTTCTAGACAGTGGGGGAGTGATCGGTGATTGTTGATGTTGGAGCGAGAAGCAGGCTAGAGTTTAGAACTGACATGCCAGTATAATTAGAACTCTGGGAACTGGGCTGGCTGCTTGCGTCCTCTTGTGGTCTCTCACAGAGTGGTCCAGACACATTTGGGAATAGGATTCAATCTGTATTGGTCCACAACCAAATGCCAGGGATGACGCCAACTGTCTTGTTAGGAATTCAGTCCAGAAAATGGGCCCAGGCTTTCTCTGGAGATTCGTTATTAGCACCTCTCTGTTTCTAGTTAATGCTTTTACCATGAAAAATGCCTTGAAATGTTCCAGGGGCTAATTCATGTACACGGTCATTTGCCTCCCTAGGAAATTGCTTTCATTAATGGATCACAACATACATGATAGTGGTCTCCTATGATTTTATCTCCTAGCATTGCTACATCCACCTTGGTATAAATAGACTCTGATGTTTACACGTGTCCCCTTTGTAAACAGCACATGACTACAAAGCAGATGCCTCCCTCACGAGCACCTTGGCACTCCTGTTACATTCCAAGCTGTACCATCTGAACTCAGTGTAGGCATCCCAACCGCAGGCGGTATCAACAACTACCCAGGACAGGGCACAGCGTGCAGGGCTCCTCACATACATCCTCTGTTAGTGGTCCTGGTGTCACCCAGCATCCCCAGGCTCAGTCCACTGGGCTTCCAGTGCCCGAGGCAAGGGCGCCAACCTTTATCACACAGCACAGGGCACACACACTACTGAGCAGAGACAAAAATGTTATGAATGTTCTCCCTTCAACCACTTTGGGTGTGCTCCGGAGTTTACAGCCATTTTCATCAGGTCAAGGAGAAAACATTTGCCCTTAGAAGCCTCTAGAATGCCTGGCTGCCTTTCCTTTTACAAAATTCTGAATTGTTACTTGCATATCAGGAAAGACCTCCAGATATCAGAGGTGACGGTGGGGACATCTTGAAACAGGTGATTTGACTACTAGAGAGAAAACAAACTATATGAACTGGTATATCCCACTTTTGTTTCCCCACCCCACCCCCCTTACAGGCGCTGATGAGAAAAGTGCAAGGCATCTCAAGCATGGATACTTTAACAATGCATAACTATCTCCCCCAAATACCTGGCTAACTAAAACTACTGCCATGAAAACATCCAACAGGTGTGAAGGTGCCAGAGACAAGCACATGCGAGGGAGCAGGTGACCCAGCTGGAGAATCCAAGCGATCAGCTAATGCACTCAGCGTATCCCAAGTGGCAAAGAACCTGAAGGCAAGTGCATTTCAGGACTCCTGGCACTTGGCCCCAACCTACCAGAGTCCAATCTCAAGGACTTTCTCAGGGCTAAAGCTTGCCAGCATTAGAAAAACATGGAGGAGTAAAGAAAGACATCGACTTTGGTGATTCAGCAAGATGCTTGGGCCACTTTTCTCTGAGGTAGTCAGAACAATTGATGAAAGTAAATACAAAAAAAGAATAAAACAGAGTCTGGAGAAGAGGAAAATGAGAATATGCCAAGTCAGTTTAAGGTTTTCAGAAAGTTTTCAATTTAGAATTATGGTATTATTTGACTAATTCTGTGCAATTTTTTGGTACTATCCTGGACCATGGATATTTAATTATAAGCATAATTAAAATCTAAAGCACTTAACACTGAGGAACTCCCAGGTGGGAACTGGGTGAAAAGAATTTGCAAAGGTTTGAAGAGATGAGACTAAAGCGCTGAGAACATGTTTCAGGGATTAAATCGGGACACAAGAAATCTGTTTTCAGTATGGGGCCTGTTCTCCATTTGTTTGCACGCTTTTCCCCAAAGTTAAGGAATGTTAGGCATGTTTGATCAAAAAGAGGACTCAGTGGAAATCTAGAAGGGATTAGGTGATATTGACTCAATTGGTGACACCTGATAATTTATCTGATCAAGAAAGTACCATCAGCTTCAGACAGAGCAAACTTGGATGGAAAGTTTGTCTTCTAAGGGTGAGGAAGCATTCCAAAATGACAGGGGTGAGAATGAATAGGGAACAAGTGTGAAAGGTGGGAAGGGTGGAAAGCACAGCTCGGAAAACAGTACCAGGGGCAAAAAGCCAGTGTCAATTCTGTATCTTTACAATCACTGTGAAGTCATGGTTTTCTCTTCTCCACATCACCTTCACAGTAATGTTAATAGGTTCTCAAAATAACCCCAGAGAAGAAGGTACAAAGTTATTAGCATAATTAGTGGAGGCTTCCCTGAGGAATTACAGGAGCTGAGTTCCATGGCTGAATATTTGCATTAAACACATGGTTCTGATACTCAGACAGTCTAACTCCACCTGCACACTCTTCAAATCCAGTGTGGCCTCAAAGATGCTGCATCATCTGAATTTGTATTCTAGAATTTCACAGTGGGGAAAAAATTACTAGCAACAGCCAAGCACCAAGCAAAAGTAAACCAAATAGCCAGTCAAGCCAGCAGCCTGAACCTGAACAGCAGGGAGCAAACCCAGCCCTTCAGCGTAGCATACCTGGCAGCCAGTAATTCTCCCAGAAACATTTCAACTTTGTGAACTTCGTTTTTCTTCTCAGGAACATTCTGTTTACTTCCTCCCAAGTTCTCTGTGCTTAACCTCTCTTCCATTTCATGGATCCACAAGTTCAGTTTTCTGTGCTGATCCTCAAAGCTAAAGAAAATTTCAAACAAAAATAGCAGAAAAAAAATTACATACTTTGTGTCATGCATAAGCTCTAGTGGTGGACATCACAGTGTCATTTCTGCAGCATTGAAAATCTTACGAATCTTCAGGTCACAGAAGTATGTGTCAAGCAGCCCGCCCGTCGATAAAGAAATGAGGAAACATGGTTGTATCGTTTGAGATTCAGGCCAAATCTCACGTATCTGGACTTCCTTCATGGCTTATAACTGCCTGCAAGAAGATCTCCTATGCCAGCATTCACTTAACCCCACATCTTACATCTTACACTGGCCTTAACTTAAGGCCAGTAAGCAGAGCAGTGGGAAAATGGAGGAAAAGGGGTTCTCCGTGTCTTTCTTTGTTAAATTAATTTGAAACTAAGCTTAGAAATTATGTCAGCTTGCAAAGAAACCCATTACTGTCACCACAAAGGCCTTGAAACTGTATCAACCATGTTCCCATACCTATTAGATTTCTTTTTCTTCTTCTAAATGTTTATTTACCTCCACTTACATGTGACTTTAACAGGTATTTTCTGTCATAACTCCATCCCAGCAGGAATAAACACAAAAATAAGATTTTAATAATTTAGAAACTGGAATGTCAAACTTCCCATATAATATAAAGATCATATATATATATTTTTTCTATTTGAAAGAATTTGGTATATATATATATATATACACATAGAGAGAGAGAGAATGCTTCTATGAGCTGGTTCATTCCTCAAATGCCACAGTGGTCAGGGGGAGGCCAGGTCAAACTCAGGATCCAGGAAAGCAATCTGGCCTCCCACATGAAAAGCAGGACAACACTGCTGAGCCATCACCTGCTGTCCTTGGGGTGTGCATTAGCAGGAAAGTAGCTGGGACCCCAACTAGGATCCAAATGCTGTGATTAAGGCAAGTGTTGTAATGACTATGTCAAATGCCTACCATAAGATACAGTATCCCGGGTTAACCAAAGAGACAAAAGTTACATGTACACACATCATTTACAAATACTAGTGAAAAATAATCACTTCATTTATGTAGAAAATAAAACCAAACAATATCTTCAGTCTAAGCAATTAACACCCTAGCGTAAGTGTGGCACCTCAAGTCAAAGCTGATTATAGCTGAAACAATTTCAGATATTATTTGACAACACAATCTGTGTAAATAAAATCTACATTAATTGAAACAACCTACCTCCCGAGTTCCGAAGCAGAGTCCTGCAAGGCCTGCTTGTCCTTAAGGCACTGTTTAAGAAATGCCTGGAATTCTTCATTGGCCTTAGTGATCTGTTCCTGAATGCTGCTGACAATTTGTTTAGGCAAATGGGCATATAAAGTTTGTCCTTCTTGAGTCACCGCGTCAAGCTTTTTCTGTCCATCACTGACTGAGTCCAAAAGTCTCTGTTTCAGAAAGTAAAAGTAATACAAGACATTTCTATTAGAGAGCTGGTGTGTCAGAGTATTAATTACAATTATGAAGTAAAGCAGAAGAAAAATAGAACCCAGTGGGGAAAAAATTTTCTACAAGATTGGTAAGAAAAGCAATACATGTAGTTGGGCGGAATGAAGGCTCCTGACTAAGGTTCGGATCAGCCAGTCATCGGTTTAGCTGGGGATACTGATGCATCATGTGGGTCTATAGAGGAAGGTCTGCTTCTCAATCATTACTACCTTCACTGTCGCAGCCAAGTTCCGGGGTCACCTCCTCATTTGGTAAGTGGCATCCCTCTAAACAGTTAGCTACTCAGCCCTCCCTCTTCCTGCTCCTGCGCTAACCCAGGCTGCACGAAGGTTCACTCTGAGTTTCGGGACCTTTCCTTTCTTCTCTGGATCAAATACAAGGGTTTCGTTTCTTTTTCTTTCTTTCTTTTTTTTTGGAATTCATTTATTTATTTTAGATGATGTTTGCATAGTCAATCTGATTGGGAAGAATCTAGGGTTAGGGAGAAGTGGGTGTGATCATTGTTTCCAAGCTTTCTATCATTTTGTTTGATTTGTTTAAAGATTTTTTTTATTGGAAATTCAGATATACACAGAGGAAGAGAGACAGAGAGGAAGATTTTCTGTCCGATGATTCACTCCCCATGCGGCCACAATGTGCCAATCCGAAGCCAAGAGCCAGGAGGCTCTTTTGGGTCTCCCATGTGGGTACAGGGTCCCAAGGCTTTTGGCTGTCCCCGACTGCTTTTTCAGGCCACACGCTGGATGGGAAGCATGGCTCCTGGGATTATAACTGGCACCCATATGGAATCCTGGTGCTTGCAAGGTGAGGACTTTAGCCACTAGGTTTCCGTGCTGAGACTCAAGCTTTCTATTTCTTCATCCCATTTCTGAGGGAAGGGGAGAGATAAACGGAAAGGCCATACCCAGCCTTCCTACCATCCTAGTACCCGAGGATGGGGAACGGGTACCCGATATCAATCCAGGGTCACAATGGCACATGTTCTGAAGGTTTTGCCCATGTAGATGCAAAAGATTCAAAATGCTATTAATCTCACTGATCTATGGATGAGGAATCCCTTCCAATGTCTATGGCCTGATACTGTCGACCTTTCAGTCTCCAGTCACCCAGATATTTGCTGTCATCATTTGGCTGTGGAAGTTGTCCATGTGTTCTGTTCTCCATTCTCTGCTATGGTACCAGATGTCCTTTGCAGGCCCTGATTAGCTACCACGTCTTCCATGTGCACCATGGTCTGCTATCTAGCACTCCATCTTCTACACTGGAGAGGACCAGTTCTCCCAGGTGGGCACATGGACCTGAGCCAGGTGAACTGGGCCATGCTGGAACCCCTACCACTGGGACTCACGGATCCAGTGACCACCTTGTAAGTGGGCCCATGGCCCTTAGTGGGTGCTAGACACATGAGCCTCACGGGCAGGGGGCTCCAAAGAGGCCTGGGTCTCCTGGTACAGATCATTGAGCCCACCTACGTGGAGGGGTTATGTCCATGAGCCCGGGGTTGGGAGTTCAGAAGGTCTGGGGTTGCATGGCCTGGGGCCTTGGGCCCACCTGTATGGTTGCTCAAACTGTAAGCCTCAGGGTTAGAGTGTCTGGCCTGGCCCCGAGTCTCACGGTCCAGGTGCTAGGGCCCATTGACACAGTGGGTAAAGGGCATAGTTTCAACAGAGTAAATCAGTCCTAGAATTCAGTGTTCTCCAGGGTGCCAATTGCAACGGCCACTCAGGAGTTGTTGTTTTTTTTTAAATAAACTTGTCTTTAAAAAATTATTTATTTATTTATTTGAGATTCAAAGTTATGGAGAGAGAGAGAGACAGGCAGACAGACAAGGAGAGGTCTTACATCCATTGGTTCGCTAGCCTCAACGGCCACATAGGCCAGAGTTGGGCTGGTCCAAAGATCCTCTGGATCTCTCATATGGGTGTAAGGACCCGAGATCTTGGGCTCTCCTCCACTGCTTTGCTAGGTACACTAGAAAGGAGCCGATTTGGAAGTGGAGTAGCAGGACTTGAATCCAACACCTACATGCAGTGCCAGCACCCCAGGCGGCAGCTTTACCTGCTGCACTGTGGCATCCACTTCTTTGTAGAATCTTGCCATGCATCAAGCTAGAAAGGGAGTGATTTTGATTTCACTTTTAATTTGCCTCTCCACCTGCAATAGTGAGATTGCTTCCCTACAACAACCTTGGTCTCCTGACTTCTGATATGACAAGTTGTCTACGCCAATTTCACTCCCTGATAGGCTGCAAAGTCAACAGGGTATTGCATTGACAAAACAATTTTAGTAATAGTTAACACTGTAAAAAAGCTTCAACAAAATGGCTTTCATTCATTAACTCTTCCTTACAATGGTCTTCTCTTTTCTGAATTCATGTTTTTATAGCCAATCAAATCTATATACTCTATACTGTTGATAAGTTTAGTTTGAACATATTCTATCTTCAAATTTAGATCATAAGCCATTAAAAAGCACAGGTAGTGTTCCATCCTGCTTTCAAAAACTCCACAAGAGACAGTAAAGATACTCAATTGTTGATATTGTTACTACTATAAACATTAAAATGAGTCTCTGAGTTGAATCAAATCCAAAGAACGGTCAGTAGGCTTAATAAAACAGAGGAAAGAGATGCAAGAAGTCCTTGGCTTCTAGTTATTTTCAAAACAGCCTTTTCGCACCATCTCTTAATTCTGCCAGGCAAAAAGAGAGAATTGACTAAGAAAAAATGCAGTGATGACCTGAAGATCTCTGGGGCCCAGAATGAGGAGCAAAGAACAGGAAGCAGACTGCTTACCTGCAGGTCCTGCAACCTTGCCTCCAATACTTTGCTGTCACCAGTGCGATCTGAGGATTCTTTTGCTGCTGCCTTTGCATGCAAAAACCAATCTTGGAATTCCTGCATTGAATCTGTGGAAGGTGAGAAAAATCAGGAGGAAATCCAAGACATCCAATGAGCTTCCAGGATTACCACAGTGAACTTCTGCTGTCCTTCAGCCCATGTCATCCTACTTTGCAAACTATTTCAGACAGAAGATGTACAAAACAATAGAATCTGCAATCATGAAGGTTCAGGGTGGAATTGAGAGATTTCTCCCAGAGGAAAGAATGAGAAGAATGAGAAGAAATTTGTATCCTCAAAATGTTTAATGTCCCAAAGTATTTCTTTCTTTGGGTAAAGACGGTGAGTTGCCTGATGCATCATCCAGGAGTGCAAAGAGGAAAATGCACCAAAGGCACTGAGGCCACATAGGAGGCCTGGGAAAGAGATAGCTCTTCTTTCTACTCTATTGATCGGGGGTCCTTACATTCCTGTCTCAGTTCAGCCACGGCTCTAGGGAAGCGGCCACAGAGACACAGGACAGCCCATTTGTTCATAGCCTCTCCTTTGTCCCATCACTTCATCACAGCACCAAACCTTCAGCAGTTCTTTGGGCAGTGCCTGAGGGCCACACCAGTGGAAGTAATTTTCCATACACGTGAACTATGTGTGGAAAAACCATAAGAAATTTGGATTTGCTAGCATGGTGCACCCCAAACTTCTCAGATAGAAACAGGAGGGAGTCTGCACAAGGACTGCAGTCCTGTTGTTCAAACCCCCAAATACAAACATATTTGAAATTATATCCATCTGGAAAATTTCCTCGAAGTTGCTGGCAGTTTCTAGGCAGCAATTGCTTTGGATCCTTCCTAATCGAATTACTCACACCAAGAGCCCTCGGAGCTTACCATGGAAGTGTTTCTCCAGGGATTCCTGCAGACTGGCCTGAGTTTTGGAGCACAGCTGGCTCACAGCTTCATGCTTCTTTGTCAAGCCTGTCAGTGCCACACCCAGACTCTCCAGCTCCACTGAGTGGTACTTGCGGCACAAGCTGTTAAGGTTTTCTTGGGTTGAGCTGATGCTGTTTTGCTGACTTTGGAGTTCCTTTTGCGTGTCCTATGGAAGAACAGTGTACTGCTGTCGAGGACAGTCATCATTCAAGAAAGCAATACTCTAGCAAATCCACTGGGGTATTATGTTTTAAATCTCAAACTGATGCTGTTGAAATTCACTCACTAGAGGCCCGGTACGGTGGCCTAGCAGCTAAAGTCGTCATGTTGAACGCACCGGGATCCCATATGGGCGCCAGTTCTAATCCCGGCAGCTCCACTTCCTATCCAGCTCCCTGCTTGTGGCCTGGGAAATCAGCCAAGGACAGCCCAAAGCCTTGGGACCCTGCACCAGTGTGGGAGACCAAGAAAGAAGTCCCTGGCTCCTGGCTTTAGATCAGCACAGCACCGGCCATTGTGCTCACTTGGGGAGTGAATCATCGGACAGAAGATCCTCCTGTCTCCTCCTCTCTGTATATCTGACTTTGCAATAAAAACTTAAAAAAAGAAATTCACTCAGTGCTGTAGAAACATTTTGGTGATATTTTCATTTTGAATATTTGTGATAGAACTACACTGATTTTTTCAACCTTTTTTCTAGCTTTTCTCCTTGAGCAAAAATAGCTGTTGGAAGATGGCTAGGATTCAGATTGTAGTGTAAGACTTTAAGCAAATGAAATCTATCCTTAAGCTTTCCAGCTCCCCATCATGGTTTTAGCCACTTAAAATTACGGCAGTGCGTGGGGCAGTCATGTAGCTGGTGTTTAAGACATTCCAATGCTGTATTGGATGGAGTACTGGAGTACTGGGTGCAATACCTGGCTAGGATTCCTGATTAGAGCTTCTTGAAGGTACAGGCCCAGGGAGGCAGCAGAAATAAATAATTGCCACCCCTTAGGGACACCTGGATTGAATTCCTGTTTCCTAGTTAAAGCCTCAACCAGGGCCATGCCAGCATCTGGGGAGTCAAGCAGGACAACAGCTTCCGCTCCCAGACTGCCTTCTTGTTTCTCAGAAGTAAATGGTTCTTTCATAAAAGCGCACCACCACTGTTCATATTCTCCAGGAGCTGTTTGTACTTTGTTTTGGGTCAGAGGCAACACCAGAAGCAGCAGCTATACATTTAAAATGATCTATCCCTTGTGTAGCAGGACTAGAGATTACCTCATCAGTTAGTCAGATAACATGCACAAAATCATTTATTCTGGCAGTGCCAAGGCAACCATTGAAGAGATCCTGAATTTAATAAATCTATCGCAGGCTAATTCTTAAGTTAATAATTTTGTATGGCCTGTGATGAAGTTATAAATCTCCAAATTTTCCTGAAAAGAAAAAAAAAGTTTCCCACTCCGAAGGATGGTGTGCAAGCTTGTTAAATGAAAGTAGAACAAATATGTTGAAAAGCAACTCACATCTTTTCAAGACATTTGAGCAGAAATATCATTCATTGATGCAGACATGGAAGTCAAGTGCTTTCTCAGTTCATTTCTGCCTCTTACCAAAAATATATCATTCTACAGATGAAAATAGTCCTATTGGCCATTTTTTAAAAAGTAATAAAAAGCTATCTGCCATTCTAGCTTGAAAATTCATAGACAGTCAAATAGCTCTTCTGGAACTTCGGAGCAGGACCTAATGCAATGCATAATTTCTGTTTCCAGACTATTCTTAGATTCCCAAATATCTGCATGCAATTTTTCATCTACTGCTTTCTTTGCTGTGCTCAGTCTCATGACTGACCTTGCTGCTATTACTAGGAGTAACTGAGAACAGAGGTTATATCTGTGTTATGGTCACTGTGGAAGAGAAGTAATATCACCAGTCAAGTACAAGCACTTAATGAGAGTTTATTACGCACCTTCACTTTCTTCAGCCCTTCACAAGTCTCAGTTTGGGCAGAGTTCATCAGGGACTCTTCCACTTTTGTCAGCCACGATGTCATGTCCTTCATAAATTTCTCCACTTGTGCACTTTGAGTAGTATAATCTTTCAAAGTTTCTTTGGCTTCTTCAGTGAGTTCTTTGGTATGCTCCAATTTTTGCCTTAAATCCACTTCTATAAACTAAACATGCATAATTGAGATTGAAATTTTATTTGGAAGGATACCTATTCATGTACAGTTAATTGTCAAATATACAGAAGTCTTACCACAGAAGTCAGTTCCAAAGCTAATATGTCTTTTTCCAGGATAGAAAAGCAATGGGTGAAGTTGTCAAACATAGGAAGTGATGTGAAGAAATCAACAGGGTAAATTATAATAAACATGGATATTAAAGTAGTAGTCATTTTATAAACTCTATCTATCTATCTATCTATCTATCTATCTATCTATCTATCTATTAAATGAGTGGGAGAAAGAGCTGGAAGAGAGAGACAATGAAGGAGGAAGGAATGGAATGAGCAAGGAGGTATCTTTCATCTGTTGCTTTACTCCCTAACTGGCCACAATGGCTTGGGTTAGGCCATGTTAAATCCAGCAGTTTGGAATGGCACTCAGGTTTCTCACATGGGTAGCAAAGGCCCAAACCATCTTCTGTTGCTTTCCTTGCTACATTATCAGGGAACCAGACAGGAAGCAAAGCAACTGAGTTTAGTACCCACCGGTGGGAGGGAGGGGTTACTCAATCCAGCTGAGAAAAGTAGCAGACTGGCTCAGGGTTCCAGTAACTCCTTGTGCTAAAAACAGATCTAAACAGAATTCCCAAAGGTGTTCTTGCATTCTCTCTGGGGAGCAGGCACTTTCTGCCCAGATGTGTTCACTAATTAGAATAAACAAAGCACGTTTTCTTCTATTTTCCATGTTCCTTTATAAACAGTGTTACTGGATAGTTTCCACACAACAAATTATGTATTTCAGGAGGATTGAGTCCTCTGGAGCAGATTCAACTGTACAAACAGCCAAGCCTATTTGGTAATCAAAGTTTTGAGCTTTGAATAGCAGCTTCTTTTCTTACTCCCAGTTCTGATTTGCTGCAAGCAGAGAAGCACACAGTGGAGAAGGGGCCCAGGGACTCGCTTCTCTCTCTTTGTTTCTATTCCAACTCCACTGCAATTTCTGAAGTCTGCAGTTTCAGACTGACGGGAAACAGATTAAGATGTTCTGAGTCATTTGACAGCTACGGTATGCTGGCATCTGTTCTTTCTAAGGTGAGGCTTAGTGATGCAGAGAAAGTGAGAGAAGAGAGACAGATAAGAGAAAGACAGCTTCGAACTGTTGTTGACTCCCCAAATCCTCACAGTAGCCAGCGCTGGGCCAGGCCAAAGCCAGGAGCTCAATCCAGGCCTCCCAGATCAGTAGCAGGAACCCAAGTACCACAGTACTTTCACTGCCTTTCAAAGTCAGCATTGGCAGTGAGCTGGAGAGAGGTGCCAGAGCCAGAACTTAAACCTAAGCACTTAGTATCGCATAGGAGCCTCCTTGCCCACACACCGAAGCTTCCTTGATGGAGCTGCACGCTAGTCTGTCTCTTTCTCTTGTCTCTTTGGGATCTCTGAGTCCTGTTACTAGGATCTCTCCAACCCCCATTCCACTTCCTTAGACAATCTAAGGAAGCCTCCCATGGGAATCCTCTTTTCCTCTCATGTATCAGTTTTGGACCACAGTTCACATTCTAGCATCCTTCAGGCCATCCCAAAATCTGAGGTGTTGGCCATCACAACCAATTGTTTCTCCTTTGGCAAATGTAACAGCATTTAGCAGGTCCATCCATCCCCTTGAGGACTGTTGGACACTCCTGTGCCTGCCATCTAATGCAGCAGAGTGACATTCACTAGATGGGACCACTGAAACTTTCTCCGCAAGATTAAGGCATCTCTTTCCTTCAGTTTACACAGGGGTGGGGTAGGGTAGGGGGTGGGGTGGGGGGGTGGGGGGGGTGGGGTGAGGCAGGGGGTGGTGCGTGCGTGTGTGTGTGGGTGGGGAGTGAGAGGGAAAGGGAGGAATGGGGGAGAAGAAAAAGAAAGGAGAGAGAGAGGGGAAAGGAGAAAGGAAGAAGGGAAAGAGATATTTGCAATGGGGATCCTTCCAACACTAGCTATTCAGTTTGGCATCATCAACAGGAACATTAATATTCATGAAAGTGATTTCTGTTCCTATTTAGACATAAGATGATCTTTGCAGCAAACTGGCTAATGTTTCCAAGGCTCAGAAAAGGGGAAAAATCCAACTAATGTTATAGCATTTCAGTTGGGAATGTTATTGCTTTTAGCAAAAGGAATTATAAAAATACCGATATTTTATCCCCTATGTCTCTGATAAAATCCACATGTTTTCTTAGAGCTTTGATAACAATGAGAACGTAAAGATCTATCTATCTATCTACACACACACACACACACACACACACACACAAACGCGCGTGCAAGCCCGTCAGACAGACACAGAACCCCGTATACAGAACAACAGTCATAAAATAGAAGTGCTTACCTGAAGGCCCAGTGGTGTCTCAGGATTTTTTGTTAATTCCTTAAGATCATTAACTTTACAATGCAATTCTTCCAATCTCAATGCTTTGTTTTTAACTTCACACTGTCCAAATTAAGGAGAAAAGTGGTGGAGAGGAGTGGGGGAAGCACAGCTAATCAAAAACGGACACACTGTATTTGGCATTTAGTATTGTCAAGCGCTTACTCTAAGTACCAACCTTAAGTCAGCATGAAAAATAATTGTCTCATTTTCTGAGCAGCATTATTCCTAAATGTGAAAATGCTGCCATAATGTCCACTTGGGATGTGAGGGAGGATATGGAAATTTCTTTCTCCCCACTCTCTTTTAGTAGGGGAAAAAAAGCCCCTGGAAAAAATTAAATACTGACCAAAAATCCTGAGTCAGTGAGTATTTTCATAAAGTTAACTGCCATTTATTCGTTAGCAGCAATACCACTGGTTACTATGGACACATGAAACTCTAAAAGAAGCACTTTCCATCAGCAGAGCCTAATAGCTGTAGACCAGCTATAATACATGGGAACATTTAAAGCAGAAATTTATAGGTTATTAATGTAGAAAATCAAGTTAACTAGTAAACTGGCATCCAGTTTTTTTTTTTTAATTTTTTTAGTACTGAGGAAACAAGAAAAAATCAAATGATTGAGCAACTTACATGATCATGGACTTTATTGGTTATTTATGGACACAAAGAAACCTCTAAAGAATCGCTGATCTTTACCTAAAGAGACTGACTTGGTGCTCTGTGGATGCTAATGAACTTCCTGATGCCTTGAATTTGTCATATACTAGGATGGGACAAAGCAGAGCCAGAGCCAGCAGCCTGCTCCTGAAGCAGACTTTGCCATGAGAGCTCCCGTCCACATGCCCAAATCACGGCACTGCAACCCAGGGGGCTCTGGGACTCACACCCAGATGCCAATGCCCTGAGCCCATCAGTGAGTGGATCCCACAGTGAGTGGGCTGAGGCACACTGGTTCCCTGAGTCCCTGAGCACCACAGTCACGGTCACAACCCTCCCGCCTCTAGTCACCCACGCGTGATGTCTTGCACCAAGAGCTGGAGGATGCACAGCTTCAGCCCAGTCTACAGGACTCCCAGCACCTACAACACAGCTAGTTTTTACGCCAACAAGTTAAGGCCCTAGAGAAACATGATGTATGCGAGAATAATGTGGAAATCATACAGTTCGAGTGTTTATTATCTTCACCTTTAAATAAATGTAAGTAAATTTATTTACAATTTCATTTTAAGGACTTTTTTTATCACTTTTATAAAATTATTGAAAATTTAACAATTGTATTTTCTAAGCCAGATGCGGGACAGGCAAACCAGCATTGGAACTAAAATGTAAATTTAATATCAGAGACAGCAACTAAAATATAGTATGTCTTACTCTGACTTTTCTCCTTTGGAAAAATTCTACTTCTGATTACCCTCAGAAATCATATTTAGATCATAATAAAATCCAGAATGTTCTTTTAGGTCAAAGAGATCTGCATAGCTGCGCAAGAAAATTCATTCCCCTATTATTATTTTTAAAAATTTCCTCACTCTAGTTTCTCTCCCAGTGCTTCTTTTTCCGTAATCCAGTTAGTACTTGAAACTTTATATGGTTCACATCATAACCTAAGTAATGCTAGGTCCATGATAGCCAGGACTTGTTTTTCCACTGTATTTTTGGTGTCTTAAACAGTGTCCCACATATTTTAAGTAGATATTAAGAACTGAAGAATGAATGGATAAATATAGATGCTAGAAATGGGAGCAAAAGGTCAAAACACGTAGGTGACTGGAAACTTTCTATGGATGCCGATAACACTTTCATTTCCCATTTTCTTTCCAGTTCTGAAAAGGGAGTAGAATAGCAGCAAAGTTGCACGTGGGTGAGTGTCAGTAAACAGGTATGTGTCCAGTGAAGAAAACAGATGCTAAATATTACTAAATTACAAACACGACTTTGTTCTCAAGTCTCCTGTGGCTCCTCCAAATACCATATTCTCATAAAAATTGAGACAAGTATACTTTTATTTTACTATTACTTCAAGTAGAGGCCCCTACTAAGAAATGACAAAGATAAAAGCAAAACAAAAAAACAAAAACAAAACCAAACAAAACAAAACCCCTCTTACTGTAGCCTATTCAAATTGCAGGTAACTAGCAAAAGGTCCTGTAACCTCACATGCTTTATTGAAAGCAAGGATGAACTTGTGAAACATGTTGTAGCCCATGGGGTCCCACAAGCTCATACCACAAGTCCCCCCGCCCGTACAACCAATGTACCTCGAGCTCTTTAAGGAATTCTTCATCTCTGATGCTGTTGTCCAAGTTGCTGGTGTTCGCAGCCAGCTGTGAAACGGAGTTACTCGACCATGCTTCAATTTCATCTTTACTTGAAAGAATATCATCCCAGATGGACAGGCTTCTCCTCAGCCTATCCATGGCTTCTTCAATTTTCTCTGACACCTAGGATTGAAGATACAAGACACGGCAGGGATTTCTGGAGCTTTCCAGGTCTCATTTTCTCACCAAGAATGCTTCCTTCATCTGTCCCTGACTCGGCTTAATGCCAGCCAATACACAGCTAGTTTCATGTTATTTAGAAGAGTCGTTTGAGGGGTTGGGATTGTTTTGCTGTGGGTAAAGCTGCTTCCTGCTGTGCTGGCATCCCATCTGGGTAAGGATCCATGTCACACCTGTTGCACTTCTGATGCAGCAACCTGCTAATGGCCAGGGAAAAGCAGCTGAAGATGGTCCAAGTGCATGGGCTCCTGCACCCACATGGGAAACCTAGAAGCAGTTTTTGGCTCCTGGCTTTAGCTTGGCTCTGTCCTGGCCCTTATAGCCATCTGGCAAGTGAACCAGCAAATGCAGGAATTCTGTCTGTGTGTGTGTATCTATGTATAACTTTCCAACAAATGAATAAAAATCTTAAAAAGAGTTGTTTGGATTTCTTGGATTTTTTATTGGTAAGTTGGGATACCAGCAACAGGTCTACTTATGAATCTACTAAAATATAATTAACCGTGTCAGAATTCTACAAGATCAAGGTTTATTTCAGAAGGTGTTACACTTATTTTTAATAATAACAGGATGATATTTTTGGAATACTGAGGCACAATAACAGGCATTATATTCTTTTAAAAATATTTATGTATTTGGAAGTCAGAGAATTAGAGAAAGAGAGACAGAACACAGACAGAGGTTGGGCAGGGGAGGAGAAAGAGAAAAAAAATTCCTCCATCTGCTGGTTCATCAGTCAGATGTCTGGCTGCAATGACTGAAGCCCAGCCAGGCCAAAACCAGAAACTTCTCGATCTCCCACAAGAGCTACAGAGGCTCAATCACTTGGGCCCTTTTTCACTGCTTTCCCAGGTGCATTAGTAAGGAGCGAAGTCAGACTTGAGATGAGGCAGATGGAATAGGAACTGTTGCCCATCTGGGATGGTGGCTTCACAGATAAAAGCTTTATCCACTGCGCCACAATACCAATCCTGGCATTGTAGTCTTGCATATAACAAAACACATGCACTTAAAATTGTATTGGTTAACACTTCACTTATGCAATGAGTGATCTCTCTGAACTACAGGTATATAATGTCTTATCTAGCTGTCTTGATTCCATTACACAAATATTAATGTCTAACTTTTGTGAACTTAGCTTAGGTAAGGAACTTCTGAACTTAGTGGTAATAGGGTACTAAAAAAAAATAAAAATAAAAATAAACTTCCCTGTGTTTTTTTTAACTGTAAGGTAATATGAAACATTTATGAGTAGACACTTAGAATTCCAGGAAGCTCAGATGACTTATTCTGTGGTCACATAGCTAGTAAGTGACAAAGCAAACTAAAACCCAGCAACGTGAGGTCTGTTATTTCCCAGTGCAAAATTACAACCTCCGTGCTTTACACTATTACATAATACAACTTCATATTCAGTAAGATATTTATAAATGATTCCTCTACTTTAATCTATAATTTCAGAATTTTTGAGTAGAAAAGCCGTCAGAGGTATAATTTGTTATGATTAAAGCTATCATGTGGAATTCCAAAAAATCTGCTGGTCAGATTTTAATAAAATCAAGCAAACAGATCTCTTTGCTTTCTAAAATTTTTTTTTGCAAACATTACTTTCTTTTAGAATATTCTGTTGTCTTCAGCATTAGAAATTACAGGTAAATGCACATCTCTGAATAATTCTTTGCCCAGGAGTGTAAGTAATATGAATATTTAAACTGTTTGGTGAATGCTTGGAGATTGTCTTACATCCAGCCACTTGTCCACGATGCTTTCCATGTCTGTTCTCACCAGGATGAAATCACCACTCTGGATTTTTTTCAGCTCAGATAACAAATGTTTTCCTTTACTGGTAAAACTATCCAGTACTTTCTGTTTATTATTCATTTCATTCTTGGCAGTTTCATGCTGTGGACATAAATTAATTAATGAGTATTAAATCTAGCTTAAAACAATATTACTCTAAGAAATTTAATTATGATCAACCAAATGCAATGCCATTAGTCAATACTGCTCATTATATATACACTTAGTTATATTTCCTTAAAATACTAGAATTTTAGGATATCAATATGTCCAAAAAAAGGTTGACCTTGTTAGCATGAATTATTCACAAATAATTATGCTGCAAGAAGAATTAGGTAACGGATTAGTTGTGAGTGAAAAACAGCTCTACAATTCACTAAAATAAACATAGTTTGAATTTTACCTTGGAAAAAGCCCACTTCAGATCTTCTTGATCTTTTATAGCAGTTCTAGTTACAAGTACACTGCTGGCATTTTCTAGGACTGAAGATACAGCTGCCCTCAAGTTCTGATATTCTCTCACTAGGTCAATGAGTCCACAGCATTGGCCCTGGCTGTAATGATTACAGAAAACAAAGCATTTATTCTCCTGTATCAGTAAAGGAAGTGTGTCACTGAAGCTGGTATATCTCTCTCCATGCAAACTCACTCACAGAGGAATGCTGAAAGCATGAGGACACCATATCTCTCCATAAACAGGACGCAATAATGATGTTGATGAATATGGTTTAATTCAAATGGAACAAGATCTATGAGCTTGGGGACAACTGACATATTTATTCTTAACATCTCAAACTTATTTAGATTACTCATGGCAATTTTTGAAACACTTTTTTGTTTACTTTATAATGACATTTGTTAAAGGAAAGAAGATACAGTATAAATAAATAAAGCAAGCAAGCAAAACCCAGGAAGCACTTGATGTTTATATCTTTCTCGAACATTTCTGTGTGACAAAGTTTCACTAAGGATGAATCTCTTGAAAACTGTCAGGAGAGCATTTTTGTTTACAAGAGCAAAGTATCTATAATTCTACATTTAAGGGGTTTCTAAAGAAACAGATTTGTGTTCACTAAGATTTTGGTTAAAAAAAATTTTACTCCATTATTTTTATTTATAAGAGTGTGAAAAGAAATCATCTTAATGTTAAAAATGAATCAATCTATGATTGAAACAGTCATACCACAATCTTAAAACCGAACATTGTAAAATCTCTAAGAAGTCACAAACTAAAGAATTTTTTTAAAAGGAAAAAATTGTGTGAATGGTTAAATTTAAGAAGCCTACATTAATAATATATATCTTAAAATGTATTCACAGTTGCATTTAAGATGCTTTTGTGTATGGTGCAAAGAACACGTTTCTAATGCAGAAGTGTCTAATTCTTCCAGCACTAGTTGTTGAAACCACTGTCCTTTCTTCATCAAATTGCCTTTGTGCTTCTACTGAAAATCCATTGATCATGGGTCTATGTCTTTTGCATTTACAAGTCAATTTTAGAATGAGTTTACTAATTTCTAAAAAAAAAAAGTGAGAGTTTTGTTGTTATATTGATATAAAAATGACAACATTAAATCCAAAAAATGATCAATGCAAATGGATGCCTAATCGATACAGATACACAGATGGCAGATAAAATTTCAAACAACAACAAAAAATCACTCAGTGTCCTTTTTCAGGGTAATTCAAATGAAAAGCACAAAGTGATGTCAAGAGAACGTCATCTATCGAATATCAAATAAGAAGCTAAAAAATTGACAATATAAAGTGTTGAAAATTATAATGAGGGAATGAAATTCTCATATATCTGCACTCTGTTGAAAGTGCAAAATGATGAGTGGAATTATTTAGGAAAATAATTCAGTGACATCTTATAATGCCAAACATATACTTTACTATACAACCCAGAGACCCATTTTCTAGGTATCTGTCCAGCTTATTTAAAGAAATGAGAATTGGAACATTCACAGATATTTCTTCATGCTCATCAAACTAGAAAAAAACACAGCTGTCCATCAACTAGTCAATGGATCCCATGGATACTCATAAAAAGAATAAACAATCGATGTAGGATGCTGTGCAAAGAAAGAAGACAAATAATTATGCTCTATATGACACACTTTACACTGTGACTCTGAAAAAAGACAAAACTACAGATACAGAGAATGGCTTTAGAACTTCCAGGAATTCAAGGCGAGAGCACTGAATTTTGAGAGACAGGAGGAATTTTTTTTTTCACGGTGGCAGCACTGTTATGAAATGTGAATGTTGCCGTAGTCCCATAGTTTTGTCCAAGCTCAGAGCAGTGAGCATTTGGGGTCATGGTTAAGGTGCCACTTGGGACTTGCATTCCCCGTGTCTGACTGCCAGGGTTGCTGTGCCTGCTCTGCTTCCCATTCCAGCTCCCAGCTGACACACACCTTGGGAGACAACAAGCGATGGGACTAGGTCTCTGTGACAGCAGAGTCACACTGAGCTCTTGGTTTTGGCCTGGCCCTGTCCCAGCGAGGGGCATGTAGGCAGTGAATTAGCGGACAGAAGATTCTCTCTGCCTCCTTGCCTTTCAAATAAAGAAAAACAGAATTTAAAATAATTGAAATATTGAAGTGTACATGAGAAAGGGAATGTTTTATTGTATTTATATACTTCTATTCCATTTGAAAAGTACAATATGAGAACAAAAAAGAAAACTTAGAGTTTAAGACTCTTATTGTAGCTCCTTTTAATTGCTAACATCTGCTTTAGGGCACTGGCTTGCATGTGTAATATCTATCTCAAGACCACATGCCTGATAACTTCTGGAGGCCTGGATTTTTAAATGCGACTAAAGGTGCCAAGAGATTACTGTTGCTCACATTAAGGCAAATCAATAGGACATGGTGCAATGTCACAAAATAGGAGGAAAATAAAAAATAGAACTGGAGCATTTTTCACTTACTTTTCATGAATTAATTTTTTTGTATCATCCCAGGTGGCTTCCAGGCGGTTTATCTCTTTGTCAACTTCTGGTGCAAAAGCCACATCTTTCTGGGCAATTTGCTTAGCTTTCTCTTTGAGCCAACATAGTTCATGCTCATGGGAATTCAGTTCATCTTCTAGCTGATTAAACATTCTCAACCTGGGAATTAAATGTTATTTTATGGTTAATTTTCTTAAGGCAAGAAAGTAAAATTTCTCTCCCACAGGATATGAGGGAGAATATAGACAAAGACTGCTAGAAAAACTTGACCTGACAATCAGTGTATCTTAACTGGGAAAGATGCTTTCTGATTTTGCAGAACAGTAAATGTCATTCTACTGTACGCCTTCATCTTTCTGCTGTGCCTATATACTTTATTGTGATAGTATGATTTTGACCTGTGTACCAAGTAGGTGAATATTATTGCAAATGAAATCCTTTTGTGTCATGAGATTCAATTCACACGAATAACATTCAAGTATCACACTTGCTCCTCATCAAAATAGCTTTATAAAAAATTTGAACCTGAACGCACAACTTAATCAAAAAGATTGCCATGAGAAGCTGATTATTTGGTCTCTTACAATATTTGAGTATTTATTGCCTCAAAGAAGCTCTTTCACTCTTGGATTTTGGCATAGTTTTGTATAATTTACAAAGGGAATATCAAGATAGTACTCCACTTTATTTTCACAATGAAGAGGCTGGAGGTGGTTTTCCCAAGGGGGGCACAGGGAAGCATGGATAGATTAACTAAATCCATTAATCTAAATCTAAATTAAAATACGGCATCTGGTGGGACACCATAATTCTTATTAGTTGTTGAGGTTAGCATGAGTGCTTGCCAAATGCTTTTACCAAAAGTACTCCTGAAAATAGGACAGGAGAGAAAGTTCTATTAGCTGGGGAAAGGACATTGAAATCTACTACACAGTGAACAAAGTATGAAGGGAGTGCAGGCTTGATCGCTTGGCTTCTCGAATGCACTCACTTCGCAAAACACAAATTTGGCTTAGATCCATTTCTTTGCCCTCTTCTCCCCGAACAAGTTTCTCCATGTGGATAAACCCACCAAGTGGATTGGTATCATTGGAAACGCATAAGCACAGACCTCAAAGGGCTGCCTAGCTCCTTGCTAACCTGCTAATGCACCTGGAAAAATCACCAAAAGTGGCTCTAGGTCCTGGATCCCTTCCTTCCTCATGGGAGACCTGGATGACAGAGTCACTGGCTCCTGCCACCACTGGCTGTTGCAGCCATTTGACCAGTTCTTTCTTTCTCTCTTCCTCCCTCACTCTCAACTATCTTTTAAAAAATAAATGATATGATCTAGATGAGCTCTCATGTAAGATCTCAGAGTGGATTATAGGGAATCTTTTTCAAACTCAAGGAAGCCAAAAATATGTACTTCTCAAATGTCAAGCCAGTCATGAACTTTATCTTCAATTATTCTTTAAAAGTTGCTGCATGCAGTCCTATTAAGTTTTACACAAAAGCTAATTTGAGCATAAATAAAAAGTGCCAGCTAGCACGCACGCCTCTTCCATTACCTCTGCTGCAGAGCCTGGCGGGTGGGTTCCCTCAGGCGCTCTTTGTCCGTCCTTTCTTCAATGTCCTCGATGCTTCTCAGTAGCTCCTCTTTCTGCTCGTGGAATGCTTGCTTCAACACTCTCAGGGCATCTGCCTCACTCTGCTTGGTTCCCAGAAGGTTCTGGATCCTTTCTACTTCCACGGAGAGCTGATCGGCCATGGCTCTGCATGAAGTCCTTTGCTCGGAGCTCCCGCCTTTTAGACGATACTGGGCTTTGGCAAGGGCGCCATCCAGACCGATGGCAGTGCATTCTAAGGTTTTAACATCTCCAATAGCATCATTCAGGTCCTTCTCTAATAGCTCAGATTGTTTCTTGTTCATGCTGCTGGTTGCCTCCACTGTTTCCCGCAGCCGGTGCAGGAGTCCAGACAGAGAGGCATGGCTCTGTAAGAATTCTGTCAACTGGGACAGGGCAAGCTGCCTCCTCCCCACAACCTGGCTGGCCTCCTCAAACAGCTGGAAGCAGTCCTCTGCCTTGCCCTGCAGCAGGTGGAGGTCCTCAGCTCGGCCCAGAGAACCCAGCTTGACTAGGTGGCCCTGCAGGCTCTGCAGGTCTCCCTTTTTGCCTTCTACTTCCGCTGCATGGTCCTGAAAGGGAAGAGAAAGGGGCTGATGTCTCAGGGACACAACCATTTATGAGATGGATGCACTGCAGATTTTGTGATGTCAACTTACATTCCAAGTGTAATACAGGCTGCAGCATGTACAAGTTATTTATGGCAATTAGGTTTTGGAAATGTTCATAAAATATCTCATTTTCCTCATTTGGTTATTTCATATAAAACACAATTCTGAATTGCTTTGTGAGTAGAAACTATCCATTATAACATACTGATTATTTGGAAGATGTTTTTGAAAGAGGGAGACCCAGAGAGAGCTCTTCTATTGCTAGCCTATCCCCCCGATGTCTGCAATGGCCAGAGCTGGGTTGGTCTGAAGCTGAGAGCCGGGAGCTTCTTGCAGATTTTCCAGATGGATTCAGGGGCTCAAGGTCTTAGCCTACCTGCACACCGTTTTCCAAGGCTGCAAGTGGGGAATTGTATAAGAAGTGGAGCAGCCGGGACTCAACCCAGCACTCAGCTGAAGATTTTTACAAGCTACCTAATACAGAATATGTTTATAACATTGAATACATTTTCAGGGTAGGCATTTGAGGAATGATTGAGCCACAAGTTAGGATGCCCGCAGCAGAGGGCCTGGTCCAAGTCCTAGCTCTGTTCCCAGCTCCTCACCTTCTGTTAAGGCAGTGCTTGAGAGGCAACCATCAATGGCTCACGCAGTTAGTTCCCTAACTCTCATGTGGGGGACCTGGACAGAGTTCCTGGTTTCTGACTTCAGCTTGTTCTTGCCCTACACAACGAGGACATTCGGGAAGTGAAGCCAAAGATGGGAGCCTTCTGTCTCCCTGCCTGTCTCTTTGTGTTTCTAGTAAATAAAAAAATTAAATATTGTATATACAAATGCATATATATATATATACATACATATACATATATATGTGAGTGTAATGGTATGGCTAATTTTTTTTTCTTTAATTTTTGCTTTTCATGATAGTTTCTTAGGCTCAGGGAATTCCTCTTCCACCCTCCCCATTCCCCAGTGTGTTCCCCTAAATAACAATAGCATAATCCTTCCACTACAGTCACAAGTCCATCATTCTGCTATTTATATCATGGCATTGTAGGCACAGATAATGGCAAGAAGTCCAGCATCCTATCGTCAAGTTTCACTGGGGGTGTGTGGGCAGAGATGCATACTGCAATGTATCTTCACTTCACAGTCTATTTGCCCCATTGTACGGTCCATCTAGATAAATATATGTATACATATGTTTGTATATATATGTATGTATATATGATCTTGTATTTTGCATGAAGGCTGCCTTATATCACAGAGTCCTTTCGAGATTGGATTAATTTCAAAATGCAGTTAATTCTAGCAGAGTTTGTCGAAGGAGGAGATACTCCAAGATGCACAGTAGCATCCTTTCAGAGGTGAAGATTTGAAAAAATCTTAGTTGCCCCTTTAACGCAGGGCAGAGCAGAGCAGACCATCCAAGGGGGTTTGACTGCCTCACCAGGACTCCTGCTTACACCTCACTGCCTCCCATCCTGAAGAAACAGATCAACAAACCATCACGAGGTAATCAATGAGCAAGTGCTAAATGTTTTAAGTGTTGTCATAAGCACATTAGGTAGCTTATCTTAAATACCCAATTAATAATCACATCATTTTTTCTACATTTTTGGATAGCATATAGAATTCATAAAAGGTAAAATCACAAATATTAAACCACTTTAAATGTAAATCATAACTCAAACTAGATTGTTCAGAGTGCAAGCATTCAGTTTTCGGTTTGAACATTGGAATAAAACATAGTAGCTAGCTTAAAAATGGGTCTTCACATCATTTTATCCTAAAAACAATCACTATTTTACAAAGGTAAAATAAGGTGGTTGCTTATTTAATGAAAAATGACTTTGCCTATGTATTTGCATTAACATTGCCCGGACAGAGAAGCTCAATTGTCTGAATGTTTTCAAATGAGGAAGAAGCTGAATTGCCGCTGTGTGTTTCACACAGATGCTCCATCCCGTTGTAACCCAAGAACCTTTCTTAATGGGCAACATGTTCTTCGGTCCAAAAAGAACACACTTTACCTTGTGCCGAGTGAGAGCCACCTGCTGGTCTGCCATGCTGATCTCAGAAGTGGTTTGTAATTCACCCAGAAACAGCTTAATCCACACGGAAAAGGAAAGCAGCAGCTCATCAAACTGCTGGTGTTCAGCCAGCACAGACCGAAGAAAGTTAACCCTGTGGAGGAGAGCAGGCTGCTGTGACGCCCGAGCGAGCAGAGCCCATGACACATTTAGGGACATGAACTTACATCAAGGCAGCAATCGATACTTCCCCGTCCTGATCCTCTCACCGCATCCCTGTCACAGTTACCACTGCCACATGCTCCCAAATCCATATCTTATTCACCACATCCGGTCTGTTTTCCCATCAGTGCCTCTGCAGGCACAGACTCTGGAACCTTCTCTATTTCTAATACCCTAATCCTGGTTGAAATAACATCTCCTACCCAGCATAAAACTTAGCATCATCTGGATCAGCCTTGTGCATTGACTTGCTTAATTGTATATTCACCTTTTCCCTGCTCCCTTCTGTGACCCTATAATGAGAGCAAGGATTTGCTGGACTGGTTCACCGTTAAACCTCTAGCACCCATAGAGGTGCCTGGTTTAGGGTCAGAGATGAACTGGGAATAATGTAATAAATGAACTCAGAAGGTGTTTGCTGAATGAGGGAAGGATAAAAACGTCTGGGAAGGCTAAAGGCTTGTCTAGGACTACACAGTAAATGGCAGCCATTTAAAGGAAATGTGTCCTCTTTGATCAGAAAGGAGTAGATAGATAATTGGTAGCCATCAAAATAAAATCGAATACACCTGTATAACAGATATAATACCCACTCTCCCTGTTTGCCCTACATCATCTAGACTGAAATGAACTAGAGGCAGTGGCATGTGTGCAACACCTCTGTTGGAAAAGCAGCTTAAGAGGCAAAGCTTTAGTTACCAGCTTCTTCCCGCTCTCAAACTGTTCAGTCAATAAACAAGCATTACAAATCTACTTTGCGTAATACATTTCAACTGATCAAAATGTTCGCTCTGATTTCAACAAAAATGTAGTATAATTGTTAGAGATTTATTTTTATATTAAATATACTTCTTGAATTATTTAATGGTACACTTCCTTAGGCTTTGGGGTTTCCCTCCCCCCCACACACACTCCAAAAGACTTGGATATTAAAATGATTCACCAGTTTTGTCTGTGATATTCTCTGATAAGCTGAGTTAAGTTCAAACAAACCAACTATGCTTTCGTTCCTTCCACACTCATCAGTCAAAAGCCAGAGCGCAGGGCAGTAACTGCTTCGGCACCAACCGTTTGCTCATCAGCTGTGGCAAATCTCTCCATCTCTCATCCAGCTGCTCCAAGTGCTGTGCCATCATCTCCACGTCGTCTTTGGAGGCCACCGAGAACAGGGACTCCTTCAGCTGCACAAGACAGCTATAGGAGGGGCCCTGAGACGCTGCTTCGTTCTGCAAAGCCTGAAGGCAACAGAACGCATCACACAGGTGGAACAGAACACATCACACAGGTGGAACAGAACACATCACACAGGTGGAACAGAACGCATCACACAGGTGGAACAGAACACATCACACAGGTGGAACAGAATGCATCACACAGGTGGAACAGAACGCATCACACAGGTGGAACAGAATGAATCACACAGGTGGAACAGAATGCATCACACAGGTGGAACAGAACGCATCACACAGGTGGAACAGAACACATCACACAGGTGGAACAGAATGAATCACACAGGTAGAACAGAACACATCACACAGGTGGAACAGAACACATCACACAGGTGGAACAGAATGAATCACACAGGTGGAACAGAATGAATCACACAGGTGGAACAGAACGCATCACACAGGTGGAACAGAATGCATCACACAGGTAGAACAGAACACATCACACAGGTGGAACAGAATGAATCACACAGGTGGAACAGAACGCATCACACAGGTGGAACAGAACGCATCACACAGGTTGGTCCATCGAGAAACACTACAGGACAAGGTGCATGCCACCAAAGGTTTGTGTTCTAGCTTGGGCTGAAGAACATTTTATTACTTGGTTATTATTATTACTATGACTATTATTACTATTATTAAATTTACTTAAGGGGTAGACACACACACACACATAAGACAGGCAGACTTTTATTTGCTGCCTTACTTCCTCAAATTCCCACAATACCAGGGCTGGTCCTAAACCAAATCCAGAAACTGGAAAATCAACCTCGGGCTTCCACATGAATGACACAGAGCCAAGTGTTTGAGCCATCACCTGCTGCCTCCTCGGGTGCAAACCAACAGGAAGCTAGAATAGGGAACATTTGGGACTGGAGTGTCGGCACTCCAATATGGGATGTGGGAATCCTGAGTGCTGCCGTAACCACTCTCCCAAATGCCTGTCCGTATCATTTGATTTAGACATGGAAACACTTCACCTTTTTTTTTAAGGTTTATTTTATTTTCAATTGGAAAGTTATATATACAGAAAGAAGGAGAGACAGAGAAGAAGATCTTCTGTCCACTGATTCACTTCCCAAGCAGCCACAATGGCTGGAGCTGTGCCAATCTGAAACCAGGAGCCAGGAGGCTCTTCCAGGTCTCCCACATGGGTGCAGGGTCCCAAGGCTTTGGGCCATCCTCAACTGCTTTCCAAGGCTGCAAGCAGGGCGCTGGATGGGAAGTGGGGCCACCAGGGACTAGAACTGGTGCCCATATGGGATCCTAGTGTGTGTGAGCTGTGGACTTTAGCCACTGGGCTATTGCTCCAGGTCCAGAAACACTTTATCTTTAACGCAAATGTTTGAATACTACTAGAATGGAGTGAATCTTACAAAATCTAAATTACATTAAATTATAATAATGTAGAAGTCGTTGACTCATTTTCATGGTACAGAGCCAAAATCCATTAAGTCTCTTCAGCACTGTGGTCAAAAATCCAAGTTGATTCTAAGAGATAACCACTCATTCCAACAGAGAACACCATAACACGGTGTTAAGGGAGATAATTACAGCACGGCTCATGGTGGATGCCTGTCCCAAGGGAGCCAATGAATGAGCAAAGGTACCACGAAGCAGACCCTGGATTGTGCTGAGTCACATTTGGCCCACAGGAGAGAAGTGTGGCTGGTGCAGTGTGTGGCCGCACCAGGACTGCAAACTCCCCACCATCTCCCAACTCGTTTCCACGTAGTGACACACAGGAACACGGCTTCAGTGTACAAATGTCTTTATCCTCATGTGCCTTAAAACTTTCAGAATGGAGCTAGAGCGTCCCCTCTTGGAACGCCTTACATGTGCTGGTAAAAATAAACCTGTGGTACCAGAATCCCATATGGGCCCTGGTTCTAATCTTGCTCCATGCTAATGTCTGGGAAAGGAGTGGGGGAGTGGGCCAAGTGCTTGGGCCCCTATACCCACGTGGGAGAATTAGGAGAAGCCCGTGGCATCCAGGTTTTGCCTGGTCCTGCTCTGGCCTCTGCTACTGATTGGAAGTGAACCAACAAAGAGAAGACCTCTTTCTTCCTTTCTCCCCACCCACTATAACATTGTCTTTCAAATAAAAATAAACACAGTGGGCCCGGCACAGTGGCGCAAGTGGTTAAGGTCCTTGCCTTGCACACCCGGGATCCCATATGGAGGCCGGTTCTAATCCCGGCAGCCCCGCTTGCTTCCCTTCCAGCTCCCTGCCTGTGGCCCGGGAAAGCAGTCCAGGACAGCCCAAAGCTTTGGGACCCTGCACCCGCGTGGGAGTCCCGGAAGAGTCTCCTGGCTTCGGATCAGCATAGCATCAGCCGTTGCGCTCACTTGGGGAGTGAATCATTGGACGGAAGATCTTCCTCTCTGTCTCTCCTCTGTATATCCGCCTTTCCAATAAAAAAAATAATAAAAATAAATCTTTAAAAAAATAAACACATTAAAAGAAGAGGAGGAGGAGGAGGGAGGGGGATGAGGAAGAAGAGCCAGACTGTGAACTAAAGACAGGATTTTTCTCAGTGGAGGAAAGAGTCGCTGCTGCTTTCTGATGAGAACCTGTTCGGGAAGGTGGGAACATCAGTGTCTAACGAGCTTGGAAGGTAGAACGCAGAATACAGAGGACAGTCATGGTTAGGGAGGGAAAAAGGACGCTCTGATCAAGGCTATCTAGAAGTGATCACAAAAAGCAAAGGAGCTGAGCTTCACCCCAGGCTTACCGTGAAGTTTGATGGGAGAAAACTGGGTTATAAATCTAATGTGACAAATTTCTTCTGAGAAGCGATTTTGTCTGTTGAGGACTTTTGGTTTTTTGTTTGCTTTTTCATAGTCAGCGCCACTTACAGAAAATTACTAACCTCCAAACATCAGCAATATTACTTCTAGCTTCCATAACATTAAAATATTTGCGAGTTAATTAGCTGGCTTTTACAAGAATGCAATAAGCTGTGTTTTTTTTTTTTTGCATTTTTGTCTACCTGAATTTCTGCACATTCACTTTTAAGAATTGCCTGAAGGTGAAACCTCCCTACCTTTTACTACCCGTCACTTTTTTTTAGTAAAACTTCACATACGTGTGTGTCGGATTATCCCTACACTCAGCTTTCACAATCATTAACTGACAACCAAGCGTGTTTGAGCTACACCTGTTTTCTGCCCCTCTTTGGTCAACTCTGCCAACATCATCTCTGTTCAAATGTGAGAAGACTCCGCGCCATAGGATTTCTAGCCCATCAGAGAAATTGACTAGCACAAAGTCCCTGTCATCATTACTTCTCCTTCCAGGGCGACACTGCTGCATTGAGGGGACCCTCGCTTTATGTGACAATGCAAGGGCCACAAAGCCAACCCCACGTTAAGTTGGATGCAGGTTTCTTCAGTTATTTTTTTTAAGAGAATGAAGACATAACAGAGCGTTTGGTCTCCCAGCCGTGAACCTCCCTGGACTCGCCTGTACTAGTTGAAGTTCACGCTCCACCTTGACTCTGTCGCTCAAGAGATCTGTCGCCGGAGAAGTGGCTATCGCTTCGCACCGCTCCAGCCATGTCATAAAGGACAGCAGCTCTTTTTCCAACCTATGGCCATCAGAGAAAAGACACGTGTTGACCCAACATTGCCGTGTTAAAGGATGAGACATTTCTGAAGTTGGAGTGTCCAACCAGGGTCATTATAAATGAGCCAGTGCGAGTCATTTCACTCTGAATAATTTGTATGATCAATATGAATCCCCTCAACCCTGGAAGATCTTCATCTTCTATGGAGGTCAATGACCCCCAAAATATACAAATGAGTTTCTGTGTTTTACAACTGGAATGGTAAGTCCCACCTCTTAAAGAAGATTTATCCCAGAATTTCCTACTTACCAGTTGAAGAAGCTCAAGACAAAAACCAAGTTTAGGGTCCAGTGTGATAGCCTAGTGGCTAAAGTTCTCACCCTGGATGTGTCAAGTTCTAACCCTGGCGGCCCCACTTCCCATCCAGCTCCCTGCTTGTGGCCTGAGAAAGCAGTGGAGGACAGCCCAAAGCCTTGGGGCCCTGCATGTGTTTGGAAGACTCAGAAAAGGCTCCATGCTTGGGGAGTAAATCATTGGATAGATCTTCTTGTCTCTCCTCCTCTCTGTATATCTGAGCTCACAATAAAAATAAATAAATCTTTGAAAAAAAAACAAAAACAAAAACAAAAACAAAACAGCTTACCTCTGCCAGTGGGCCAGCAGGGTCCCCAGCAGAGCCTGCCTCTCTTTCGCCCTCTTTAGAGACTCCTCATATCGCTGGCTCAGAGCCACAGCCTCTTGCACGCAGGAGTCCCTGCTTGCCACCTTCTGGGCACTGGCTGAGAAGGCAGTCACGGTGCTGCTCAGCGCCTCCAGGCCCTGGCAGAGGTCCTACAAACACAAATGGAACATGGGGGTTCTGAGACGTGCAGTGGCAATTAGGAGCAGTAAAAGATCAACAGCAACTAAAAACTGCACAACCGTAACAAAACTTGCAATAAAAATCATTTAAAATGTAGTTATGTTTGGTATTTTCCATTGAGTACTCTTAGGCCACAGCTCAGTGTAAGTAGCTAGAACTACAAGGAAGCTGCTGTACAGCAAACACACCAGATTCAGCAAGGAGACAAAGGATCTGGCGCCCCATCATCACAAAATGCTTTCCCTCTGACATCATCGGCAGCAACGGCACCAATGATTGATGGCAAACACAGCTCTCCTCCATCTCCATCCAGTGGGAGCTTCCAGCTCTGCCCTGAGCCTGCTCCGCGCTTCCTGGATGTGCTCCGCAGAGGCTGTCCACAAGGGAGAGTGGGCCCCTCTGCATCCGACCAACTCCAGCTCTCTCTCAACATTCTGGCATTTTCATGAGCATTATGAGTCCTTTTCTACTGACTTTGTATTTAAAGGAAACCACTTTCTTAAAAATATTTTTATTGGAAACTCAGATTTACAGAGAAAAGGAGAGACAGGGAGAAAGATTTTCTATCTGCTGGTTCACTCTTCAAGTAGCTACAATCACTGCAGCTGAGTCAATTTGAAGCCAAAAGGCAGGAGCTTCTGCTGTATCTCCCTCATGAGTACAGAGTCCCAAGGCTTTTGGCCATCCTCCAATGCTTTGGGAACTGAATGGGAAGTGGAGCAGCTGGGACGATAACTGGCATCCACAAGGGATCCCAGTGTATGCAAGACAAGGACGTAATAAAGCCACTAGGCTACCGTGTTATCTTTGTTAAAATAATCTCCTGGCACCAGGTACCAGTGCAGCACTGGGTTGAGCATTGTGTGGATGGACTCTTCGTTCTCATAAGAATAACAGACACATACGGTCATTACGCTGATTTTACAGGTGGCAACATCAAGACAGAGAAAAATAACTTAGGGCCAGCAGCGGGGGTACTGCAGGCTAAGCTTCTGCCTGTGGTGCCAGCAATACCAGCATCCCATAGAGGTGACGGTTCCAATCCTGGCTGTTCCATATCTGATTCAGTACCCTGCTTATGGTTTGGGAAAGCAGTGGATAATGGTCCAAGGCCTTGGGACCTGCAGCTGTATGTGAGAGCTGAAGAGTCTCTGGCTCTGGTTTCAGAGCAGCCCCAGCTCTGGGTCTTGTGGTCACTTGGAGAGTGAGCTAGCGGAGAGATCTTTGTCTCTCCTCTCTCTGTAACTCTATCTTTCAAATAAAAAAATCAATAAATCATAACAAAGGAAATCTATTATTGGAAAAAAAAATAGAATGCTATTCTCTCCTGAGTTGCATTACTAACCTTTTGTCTATTAAAATAGTCTACCAAACAGATTTTTCTTTTGAAAGGATTAAAAAACCTTAACTCCCAAGCTAAATGGCCACCCTATCAAATACATTCTAAATAAACACTCTTTTCATGTATATTTTAGTTAGAACTTATTTATATAGTCACATTTCTTACATGAAGTGAATGTTCGAACTATATAATGTGTGAACATGAAAGTCTTTCCAACTTATTTTTCATAAAAATATTGACTGTTTTGTTTTCAAGTAGGAATGATCAAATTTTCAGCTGAAATGTTAGAGCATATTCTTACCATATGTTCTTGGAGTACTTTGTATGTTTCTGTAGCTGAAGAACATATTTTAATTGGACCACAAAGCTTATCTTCAAATTCAGACACAGACAGCTGGATCTAAAACATGAGTCGAAATCAAAAACACTGGTGACAAAAATATAGCACAAGACTAAAAAGATGACAAAGCAATTTTCTTACATTTTATAATCAGCATTCAATGCAGTAATAAAATTCATTTTAAAATGCACAAAATCAGTGGGCTTTGTTATTTGAAAAAAATCAGGCTACATGACCATTTGAATGGCAATGTATAATACATACACACCACTACGTATGATTATAGGAATGCTTATAATTTTGATAATCATTGATAACTGGATTAACAGATGGTAAATTGCATCTCGTTTGTTCCATTACTCGCAGCTTTACTGCCGTTCTTTAAAATTGCGATGAGAGATGCAAAGCAGCATCCAGGGAGCGGTTCGTACCTTCCTGAGATTCTCGTCAAACTTGTGCTGCTGAGCCAGATGCGCCAGCGCCGTCCCCTCCAGGCTCTGCGCGCGCTCCCGCAGCTCTTCGCGGTACCTCCTCACTTGGGTCAGTTTGGCTTTGATTCGAGCAGACTCTCCAGTGGTAATAAACTGAGCCAAAGACTGAACTTCTTCTTCTAAGCCTGCAATGCTGCCCATCTTGCTTTCTATTTCCTGAATGGTGACCTGATGTTTGAAACAAGAAACACTGAATGTAGGCTGAGCAAGCATGGCTTTCTGAATGAATGATCTCAGAGACAGAAAAGCAAGGGAAATTCCCTTTGCAGATTCGCACATTTGAGCAGAAAGCAGCTGCGGGGTAACACCTTGCTCCCTGACCCCAAGGGGGACGAAGAGGCAGACACAGCGAGTACAAGGCAGCAGGGCTGCACTGGCTGGCCACAGGGTAAAGTGAAGCAGCTATGGGGCTCAGAGGGAGACTTTCCAGTGTACCTGGAGATGCAGAGAGCCACCTGCTGGCCTTACCACCATGCACTGTCATTGACTGACCTTGGGAAGGAATGTTCTAGCAACTCTGGGGAATGTAAACATTGACACTCATTTCAGTCTCCCAAACATGTAGCTGCTATTTCATGTTTTGCCTGAACAAGGTTTCCTGGTTGCATTTCTGGTTCAAACCAGTCTTTTGAAAATGTGTCAACTGTTTTCCATGTCTATGATTTCCACATTTAGAACGGATTTTCTGGTCCCATCTCAGACTCATCATGTTTAAGGAGGGATCTAAGATTTCACTTATTCAAAAATTCTCTGAGAAGTGGACACGGTAGTGTCAGGGACTCCTCGGCTGTACCTCTTTCATTTTCCTCCCCAGGAAGAAACCCGCACACTGGGAATTTAATCTGAGGCACAGATGACATAACACACATTAGCATGTGCCTGGAAAGTACCAGAGAACTACTACAGGACGTGTCTATCCCTCAGAAACATTTGTGTATAAGAAAAGTAAAATTGTATCTTTGAGGAAAAGGACTAAACCATTCCATCACAACAGTGCAAAATTTTAGACAAATCTCCACAAAGAATCTAAATGAAAACTGCCATGTTAGAAAAAACATTTGTGACTTCTGTTAATATTATACTCTTACAGGACAGTAAGCTTCAGGTAGATATTGCTTATTTTTCATGTGTGACAAACAGCAGAATAGCTGATGACTTATTGTTTAATAGTTTTTTTTTAATCCTAATTTTAGAAAAAAAAATTACCCATAAATTCAAGATATAGGTCTTCTATAACTGTTCTATGTGTCACAGGAATACTAATCCATCTCAGTAAGACGTTCAACCCATCGCATTGTTGGTTTCTGGATAACAAGAGGAGACGTGTGTGTGTGTGTGTGTGTGTGTGTGTGTGTGTGTGTGTGTGTGTGTGTGTGTGTGTGTGTGTGCTGCTTAGCCACAGGCAGTGAGGAACAAAAAACCAGTCCCACGGAAGTGCCCTCAACGCTCAGTGGAAATTGGCTTCAGGCATCTATCCTCGAAGCAAGGTAAATGCTTTGTTAATTTTAATCTCAAATGAAGAAAGTTATGGTAAAAATACTGCTCTCTCTGTAATATTTTCTCTAAGAGTTCTCTCTTTGGAAATGGAATGAGCCTGGTCAGCCTGCTGCCCTGGAACAGATATCTCTGTTCCCTCTCTTCCCGTAGACGCATGTTCCTTTGTATATATCCTCAGCTAATACATCTTTGGATAATCTTCCACACGGCATATGGGACATATAAAATGCAGCATTCTTCTAGTCCAATGGCATGGTCATCACACGTGAATATTTACATCTTTAATAGATATAAACATAGTCTATGCTATTTCATCCTGCGGAGATGAACAGAGGTGACCCTGGACCGTGGGTGTGGTTCAGAGGTCTGAGAACACGTGTTACGACAGCAGTAAATGAATCCTAGTCAGGGCATAGATATTTAGAAGCATATTTTCATTTTTTAAAAGGGAAAATATTGGAGACCAAACTATTCAAATGTGAGAATTTAGGGGAAATGCTTGGGCGTCAGATATCTACGACAGGTTTAAAGGTTTAAATGATTTCTTGAATGTTCTTCATCATGTTGCATCTATCTTTCCCAGCAGACAAGGCAGACTGTGGGCCCCGCATCTCACGTACCCACGGTGACAGGAGGCCTGGGCCAGGCAAGGAGCAGCGACACAACCTTGCACCCGCCCACCTGACACATGGCATAGCTTGTTCTGTCATTATGTAACATGTTTTCTCGCCTCACCACTTATTTCGCTCTTTTAGATTGAACAAAATGGCAGAGGGACTTTCTTTCCCCATCCCCACCAATGAAAGGTTAAAACAAAGGCAGAGGAATTGATTTTAAAAAGGATTGACTGAATTTTGAAAATGTGTAAATTTCATAAAAATAAAGCAAAGGAGATGAGCACCCCAAGCTTACTTCTTTCAGCCCATTTTTTTTCTGACAGTCTGAGGCAAGGAGATGATGGTACCCCTACCTACAGAAGCATTTAGAACTTGAAGAACTAAAATTTCAGAATATGTCTGTTCATGTTCTTGGTCATTAACAAAAATATCGCATGGGTGGGAAGCTTTCTTTCTGCCAGGAGCCATTTGGATACTTACAACATCATGAATGTGCCATGTAGAATTATCAACTCACAAATTAACCTGCTATAGATTTGCTGAATTTCAATTCTACCTGTGGCTGCCTTGCCAGTGCCAGACCAAATGAATTCAAGGGCTTATGCAAATTGCAAGTTGAATGTTCCTCACCCTGGCAGTCTGATGCTTCACCTAAGGAAAGCGACCTCTTGAGCTCCCTCGTGTGGTGGGTGAAGGAAACAGCACTAATCCTTGAGCTATTTGGGTTCTAACAAGATGAAGACATTCCTTGCTGTAAGATTGAATTAACAGAGTAGTTCACGGGAGGTTAATTCAAAATCAAGGAAAAGAACTGTGTAACCATAAAAATAGTTTAATGATATTTCACACAATGTTGACTTTAGATGCATCATTCAGACAATGTTAGTACATAATTCCATCTCTAAAGTAGGGTCTGTTGCATTCATCAAGATCTCTCAGCTGGTATTTTATGTGAATTTAACTGCAATGGAGTCATGCAACAATGAAAGATTTGTCAGGGAACCACATGGCTTTTAGGAAAGAAGTTGTTAAAAGCTAGACATAGATGCTAAACGCAATGTGGGAGCAGGTCACCTTGATTTGGCTGATCTGCGTGTCCAGGGTGGATGACGATGCTTCCAAGGCATTGAGTTCATTTTCTTTCTCAGTTATCCAGGCAGACAGGGTCTCAAAATTACTGCCAAAATGATCCCATTTGCTTTTCACCATTTCCATGGTTTTAATACTAAAATTAACCAAATTAAGTAAATAAAATACAGTATTTTAACAGAGAACAGCAGCACATTTTTTTTTCTTCAGTCACCAGGTGAAACTACAGTGAAGGCATCTGACTATCTCTAAGTTGAAACCACAGAACGGAATCCTAATTCACACGCTTGGAGTCTTCCATCTACCTCAGAGAATGAATACTGAGCAAAACCCCGCCTGCGCTCTGCTACAAACAGCACTGAACCCAAGTGTAGCATGGCACTAACTCTGCATGTGACCGGTGGTTGCCATGCCTCATTCGAATAAACTACACCAGAGTAGATGCCCTAGCACAGTTTTGTATGCGCTATTCCTCTGGGCAAGCTCTTCCCTCTCATACAGGAGACACACTGCCAGCATGTTACAATGAAACACACTTAGACAATGCACCTTTGTGATCCAATCCCCAGGCCATCAGGTAGGATCTGTTTTGACCATGGGTGCTAGGACTATGATTTTTTTTAAACTGAAGTGATTCCAACTTCTGATAAATGTCCCCCTGTCCTGATTCCAAAAGGTTTTCAAAAACTTGTGCACGAGTGCTCTGTTTTCAACTGGGGCATTATCTGTAACAGATCTAATCAACAAAACTTCAACTTGTAATATCTACATATTTATGCTCAGTTGAATATGGCTTTCAGTTCAGAGACAGACTAAGAAAGTAATGGTATAATGTTGAGCTGGTCAGACTTTGGGTACAAGGAGAAAGAAGGTCCCTGTTTACCAGAAGGCACTTGAAGACAGAAGCAAAACAGAGCGGCATCATTGATTGTCAGATTAAAGAGGATTGCAGAAACAAATTTATACCCTGTTGTGCCTAATGCAGTACAGGTAATGCAGGCTCTTGTACTGCAAGATTTTTAAAAATAAAGGTTCAAATGGACATTAATAAAAAGGACTTATATATTCTTTTACTATTTCCATAATTTACTCTCAAGTTTTCCAAATTTTGTATAATGAGTTTTTTTACTGTAAAAAGTTATCAAATCTTAAATTGAGGTGATTAAAGTGTCAGTTACAAAGTGTGAATAGTATCAGAAGCTTACATTTCAACGTTGGTCTTAGGCATACCCTGCTTCTCCACAGTATTGTTATGTGTCATTCATATTTTTTTCAAATGAAAAATTGTTAAGCGTATTATGAGGCTATTTTCTAATAAGTTTATATTCTCAAAACTTTATGTATTGTATGTATTACACAATGATCAGTAGGCCAGATTATTTATGGTTTTTTTTTAGAAAGACAATGATAGAATTCTTAAAAATTAGACATGATTCAAGGTAACTTCTGGAAAAGTCATATCAATCAGTGACGTCTGTTTCCTGAGGGCATGGAAACCAGCTCCCCGCGCTTCTCCAAGCTAGGGACCTCTGATCCACGGGATGCCATGTAGGCCTAGAATCTAAAGTCAAAAGCTCTCCCGTCCCCTCCAGCTGAGGAATCCAGAAAGACGTAGTAAAAATGTATGAAACGTTGGGGTACTTTTCTCCCTCTACCAAGTCCGAAGGCCACAGAATTGAAGAGATATGGCTTTCTTATAACATGGCTTCCTACGCTGCAGACACCACACCCCCTCATGACCCCGGCTTGCTTTAATCCTCTGGTTCCCGTATTGATGACACTTTGTGAATTGCGCACCTTCTCCCAGCCATGCTAAAGACAGACACGTGGGATTAAGAGACTGCTTTGGATACAAGACACAGGACAGACTGTGTTAAGCTTTATCTCAGGGAAGTTTAGGACTTTTCAAGCACGTACTCTTCTTCAAGTGTGTCTTCTAATTTTTTTACTTGCTCTTTGATTGACTTAGCCTGCTGTTGCAGCAGCTGCTTATTCTTGGGCCCAAGTGGGATCTCTGAGGCTTCCTTGACAAGATTCTCAGCCTGGACTGCCACGTTCTCCATCCGTTTAGAAAACTCCTGGAAACAAAATGGAATTGTTAGATGAGTGTATTCCTACATGAACTTAGCTCTGCTCTCTGCATATGTGCATGAGCCATGGCACCCGTGAGGCACTGCTGCCAGAAGCCTTCATGGACAACTTCTATGGAGTCCCTTATACAAAAGGGTGTCATGTTGGCATAGAACCCCTGTGTGTCTTTCTGTATGGTTTAAATCGTGTCTGCTTGCACATACAGTGGAAATGGTATACACATAGTTGTTTTCCTACATTGTTGAGACAGTAAGAAAGAAGACCACGTCATTCAGCAGAGATTCATTTAAAGAAAAATACGTGAGATCCACAGATGCATCCATCTACAGACATGGACCATGGAGATACACAGCGCCTGCACGGCAGGTTCTCCCCAGGGGAGACGGTAAAGAGAGGAGGGCTTCGCGCACGCATGCACCTACAGCGGCACACACAGCAAAACTCACTCCGCTAAAACGCCTTCATTTTGCAGTTACGATCAACTACCTTCTCCCTGGCTACATCCTTGTCCCCAAAGCTCCACAAAATAACCTATCCACTCCCCCCTGGTTTTGATTTAGTGCTTAGAATTGCGATCTATCCTAAAATGATTAACTTGTCTACAAATATTTATTACAGGCCAGCTCACAAAGTGTTTAATGATTCAATCACAGAAATAATAAATTCCTAAGACAATAAAGAGAAATGTGTTTATTTAGATACAGAATATCGTAGGCAACACGCAGTATCAGTGGTCCTTGCTAAAAAAATATTTTGTTAAATTTCTCTCTCGAAGCAGATATTAACTGATCTTGGTGCCATTCTATCTTATTTATCAGCCATGCAACTACAACATGAAGGGAACAAAGAATGAACATCCATCCTGGTCTGGAATCCTGGATCTGTCAATCACAAATTGTCTGTCTTTGGTGAATTCGTTTCCAGCTTCTTCGCCTTAAACACAGAAAGGAACGCTTTCCAAGGAAGGAAAGCCTTTCACTCAGAGCTTCCACTAGAAACGTGCCACTCTGGCAGCTTATCATCTGTCAATTTTTATAATTCTTAAATAGAAATAAGGAAATAAATGGCTTATTAAATCCATACACTAATTTTGCATAAACTGTTTTAATATTTAAACTTGTTTTAAGTAGGTCTATTTCTATAGACTATCTTAATTCAAATGTTAATATACGTCAGGCACTGGTCAACTTCAGGTATTGTATGAATTGGTTGGTTAATACACTGAGTTCTTAATGCTAAACGTAACCTGCAGGGATAATATCGAGTAAAGAACATTTGCTTTTATAGCTCACACTTCGTATAAGGCAGTCTTAAATTCTAGTCCTCAACCTTTTGTAGGAATACAGTGTAAACATTTGTAAAAAGTCATTTACAAATTTAAAGAAAAAATGAAATTTTATTTCATTTAAAGCCTCTCTTGGAATAATTATGTAATTTCCTGTGGGCCAGAGCCACTAATTAATACTGTTACTGCCTTGCTTTGAAAGTCTTCTTGTCTTTATGTAAATATCAGTGTGACTATGAAGAAACAGCCTACGATCTGAGAGCATCAAAATGCGCAAGTGCAGCTTCACCTGGTCACATTCATAGTGCTCTAAAACATGACACTTGCTAGCATCCAGCACTAGATTTCGAGTTTAAAGGACATAATGTTACGGCACATGATCAGTCACTGCAGATTTAATTGTAAAGACTGTGAATCCAAGCATCATTTCCTGGAATCAAAAGCGTAAAATAAAGTGTTTGCCCTCTAATATTTTCCTGAACGCAGGGGGAAAAAATACGAAGAAAGCAACACTTAAAACTGCTTCACACTTGGAGCTGTTTGTATGAACTGTTTGAGGAAAGCACCAAGTGGAAGAATCCAGAAGGCAGAGTGCTGTGGATGGAAACAGGCAGAACACTGTGAGATCTTATTCCGGAACCTGAAGAAGGCATTCTGCCGTAGCAGGTTGCATGACCAAGAACTGACTGGCCTTAGACACATCTGCAGTTGACCCCTAGGCTGTCTTCCAGTAGCTGAGTGACTTGAATATCGTAACTTTTCTCATCAGGAAAGTTATGCTTAGGGGGTTGGGGATTAAGCATGATACGGTTATTGAACACTCTGTGATGGCTTTGCAGGCAGAGGACAAGTCACTCAGCATAACCTCTCAAGTGCCAACTGCACTGAGGGCTGTAATCAAAGTGCAGAACAAGCAAAGGAAATGGTTGATGCTAGGCATTTGTGTGTAATATACGCCTTGGTGAATAAACTCAATGTTTGAATGAAAATAGGAGCCAAGGACATGGGCTCTGGACTAGTTCTACCACTTAGCAGCCCAGAAATGTTACATGTTCATCACTGATTGTATGCCTCGTTTGATCGCAGTGATCCAACAAGGTGAGCAGTGGTAGCCATTTCTTGGTATTAGCTTGAGGATTAAAGATGACAAGCATCAAACGATTAAACCAGGATACATTTAATCTTAGTTTATACTATCAGATCAATCCTAAAGCAGGGAAGATCATCAAATAAGGGACGTTTTAATAAGGATTTAAAAGGTTACATTTTTGTTTCATTTATAAGAACTTAAACTGGTCCAGAGAAATGCAGTTAGACACAGACAGTCAAATGCCCCAGACAGAATCTCAACAGAATGTGTGAATGTCTCTGTGTTTATAAAAGACACCTGTACTATTTTAACATGAAATAATTCAAATGGAAACAATGTCCTGTTTCAATGGCTGATGAACATGATACAGAATCAAAAGACTCTGTAGAACCATAGAACCTCACATCTCCTTGGCCGGTCCATGAGTGATATGAGAGAGAAGCGTTTTAGTGGGTTAGAAAAGCATCAACCAAATAAACCAACACCAAAACAGAAGCCCAGCAATGTACGTGCTAGTGGCGAGCACACAGTGGAGGCGTGCAATTCTCATCTTTCTTACACATTGGCTAACCCATTTCTAGGCTGGTTTAGTCTTTGTGTAAATCCTGAACATACAAGAGAAATAAAATACTTCTGACTTACTCCAACAACTCTGAGTGAACGGAAGGGTAGGCTTGTTTGACCTGTTTGAATTCAGTTTCCTTGAAGCCATGGGAAACTCAGTTCTCTATCAGTTGCTCAGTTTTCCCCAGTGACAGCCACTCTTTCAATTTCCCCATCTCTCTGTTATCCTTGAAGCATTTTCATTTGACATGAGCCAACTAACTGCCCGATTTTAGCAGGAATGCTGCGTCATGGGCATTTGTTCTCAGTGTATCAACTGCCACTTTCCACCATCGTTATTCACACCCTAGAATCATACACAGCAACTGTTTACTTGATTCCAATACCCCCCCCGGCTTTTTCTACACCTGGCCAGAAATGCATCTCGGGAAGTCCTTCAGGAGCCCAGTTCCATGCTGCCGTGAGAATTGTTCTGTAGGCCTTTCAGACTGCTGCCAATGTGTTATCTTTCTTTGGCAAATCCATTTCCTTTTATTCTGCTTTACAACACGGAAACTTGCTCCAAACACTACTTTTGTCAGTATCATCTGGCCTCCAAAGTTCATTTAAAAGCACCGTTTCTCACCTATTTTTTTTTTATTTCCTTGGCTCTTGATTTTAAATGCTCATGATGGTTAAATTCCCCAGTGCATTGACATAGCCAGTCATGAATAGATATGTATTGATTGAATGAACAGTAACAACAATAATAATGGAGAAGAAATAGGTGACATTTTATGAGGAATTAGTACCAAAGAATTACGTAGTTTTATATACCTTTGTCTGTTCCAGTTCTGAAGACAGGCTTTCCAAACTGCTGAAACTCAAGAAGCGCTCATGACTGGAGCCTGTTTGGAAAAGGTATCTCACCACCGTCTCTTTGTTTGTTTCAAATCGTTCCCACTTTCTTAACGAAACCTACATGTGAAAAAATAAGCAAGTAAGGTTGCAAATCAGAGTGTGTCAGAAAACACTGTCACATTTCCATTCCTTTGCTAAACTGTCCACTCCCAGAGAACTCTCACTTGAAACACACAGTCAACATTGAACAACATGAGTCCGATGTCACATAGTTTTGATTTGTAAAGACAGAGGCTGTATGAATTACCCATCAACCTGGCAACCCAAAGAACCTGAGGAAATTACTTAAGGGACAAAGTGACAACGGCAAGAAAAGTTCCCAACTTCGGAAAAGGAAGGGGAGAGGAGGGAAGGGCAGGGAGTGGGACGAAGGAGCAGGCTCAGAAAAGAGGAGGCAAATGAGTAGGTGACAAAAGCTGCAAACTGTAAAATCATGTGTCAACATCACAGTGAAAGGTCAAGGTAAAAATATGTGGCTGTTGGACTTCCCGGAAATGGCCATGTTTCCGGACTGAGAAAAGAGTAGATCAAATCCTGGGTCCTTTATTGATCGCCACTGTGTGACATTTGGCTAAAGTCCTCCAAACTCTTCATGTTAAGTATACTCACTTGAGCATCATGTCAAGACAGTACTGACCTTGCAAGGCTGATGCAATGATTCAAGGACATTCTTGATGTAAAGCACCGCGCTGCTGAGGGTCAGACGTGGGAACACACATCGGCTCCTGCTGTTAGCCAGTGTAATCCAGAGAGCAACCTGGCCTCTCCCGGGCTAAGGTGGCCTCTGCCCTGCAGCTCCTACCTGAATGCGGCGCTCCTGCCTCTCCCTGTTCTGTTCCACGTGGTCCAGCGTGCTCTCCAGGTTCCGCAGTTCCTCTTGCCCAGGGCCTGGACGTCCGCCTTCTCCCTCCTGTGCCTGCCCAATCTGCTGCTGCAGCTCTTTCTTCTTAGCTGCAATCCTCTTTGTTTTTTGCTGGAAGCGTTTATTCAACAAATACAAATGTTACTCTCCGAGCAGGGGTCAGTGACAAACACCCACACGTGGAGGGCCTGATGGGTTCCAATGCATGCAACACAGGTCAAAACTGCATTATAAAGTTAAGACCAACAGTGAAACCAGTAATGGGGACTGTATAGGTCAAGATGGACAAGTCATATAAGTATTTTGCTTTTAATATAAGCAACATAAATACTTTGGTTTTATTGCTTTCATTGCATGCACATTCGAAAGACATTTACACTTTGTGTAATAATAAAAAATGGAGCAAAATAATTCATTTCATTGTATTCCTTCTACATGGTATTTTCGGCCTAAAAACAAAGTCCCAACTTTAACTCTTTGGAATTAGGTTATAAAATGTTAAGAGTTTTTTCTCCCTGGGTGTATTTACTGTGACTAATGTGCTAAATATTTGGAAGAAATTATACTGAAAAGATAATTTTTCATGGAAATACAGGGGATTTCAAAATATTCATATAAAATGGAATTCAGAAATATATTTGTTTTACAAAAAAAAAATGTAGAAAGCATGTTTATCAGGACCTTTGAAAAAGATCATCGAAAAGCATAAAGTGAGAACAAACATGAATTTTAAAATTTCTTGCACTAAAATTGTTTATTTTCATTTTTCATGAACTTTAATTCCTTTGTATAACATTTGAACATAACGGTACACAAGTGCTTTACTTACGAATTCCCAAGGTACATTCACTTAAACAAGAATTAATGTGCCGGGATCCCATCTGCATGCTGGTTCAAGTCCCGGATGCTCCACTTCCCTTCCAGCTCCCTGCTTGTGGTCTGGGAAAGCAGTCGAGGACGGCCCAAAGACTTTGGATCCTACACTGCTGTGGAGCCGTGGAAGAGCTTCCTGGCTCCTGGCTTCAGATTGGCTTAGCTCCAGCCATTGTGGCCACTTGAAGAGTGAACCAGCAGATGAAGATCTTTCTGTCTTTCCTTCTCTCTATAAATCTGACTTTCCAATAAAAAAATAAATCTTAAAAAGAAAAAGATCTCCCATCCACTGGTCCATTTCCCAAATGGCCACAATGGGCAGAACTGAGTTGATCTAAAGCCAGGAGCTAAGGAGAGTTCCTTCCAGGTCTCCCTTGCAGGTGCACAGTTCCAAGGTTTTGAGCCATTTTTTGTGGCTTTCCCAGGACACAGGCAGGGAAACAGATGGGAAGCGAGACCTGGGGCACAAACTACTGTCCATATGGGATGCCAGTGCTTGGAAGCGGATGATTAGCCAATTAAGCCATTACGCTGGTCCCATGTTGAGTTTTTAAAGTGATGTTTTCCTCTTATACACATATTTTAAAGTCCACAATAGGATCATCAAGGAATAAATTGATTAAATTGGTTATTATCAATATGTATATACCAGAATCCTCTGCTTCTAGTTAGTCTTCTAAGAGCATGTTCTGCTGAGCAATCTAGTGTTTCAATTAGTAACAAATTCCAGAGCTAAAACCTATTCAAAGTTATAAATTTAAGAGGAAGATCTCAGCATACTGACACAATAGTGACTTCAAAGAAAGAAATTTGTCACTATGCTAATAAATCCATATTATGAAGCACATAAAATTTGTTCACCTTATAAAAATTATTTTTTAGAAAAAAAATTCTATCTCCATGCCTCCCTTCTCTGTTAAATCACTTTTCTCCCCTCAGTACTCCTTGAACCTTTTGCTATTATTGATAACTTTTCTGGGAATTTGTCTTACTGGAAAATCTAAAGTATTTATGAGACAGAACACAGAAGTATCACTTTCTTTTCACCATTCAATCCACTCTTTTTTGTAGCTCTCTTCTCCAAACCCTTAGTCCTATGGATGAAACTCTTCCTTCTGTCTCTTGTTTGGTCATCACCTAATCAACTTCAGCAATAGGCATAGCAGTAAAGAGGCATTTCTACCTGGTGATGAAGAAGTAACTGCTGAGCTTCAAACAGATTTTCTGTGTCTAAGATCTTCTCAGCTTCTTCCTGGACTTCTTTAGAGCCAGAGATTAAGTCTTCAAGGGAACTTCGGACTATTTCTTTATACTGGACACAGTCTCTGAAGTTGCTTAACATCTTTTCAACCTAGATTTTCATGAAGAAAATGCATATCAAATGCTACTTATAGAGCCTTTTTATATTGAGATACAATCGATAAAAACTGTAAATATATATATGCATGTATTTATGTATGGAATACAATGTGATTCTTTGATAAACATATATAAGGAAAATAATTTCTCACATCAAGCTAAAAAAAGCTATCCATCAGCCCCTTTTGTACCTTCGTGCATGTATTCGAGAACACCTAATCTTTATTCTGTTAGCAAAGTTCAAGTTTACAAAACAGTGTTAGTAAGTATCAATATGCTATATTAGATCTTTGGAATTTACTCATAGGATTTTGTTTCCTTTGATCAACACCCCCGTTAATGTAACTGTATATTTTGTAAATATACATATACTCTATCTTAATAAATATCTTTTCTTCTTGCACACATGTTAAGGCTGATCTGATTATTTTTAAACTGCATAATGACTTGTGATTACAAGCCTAATTTGATGTGGTACTTGGGACCCATTAAACACCCATGTGGCTTGACAATCACAAGCAGAAAAATAAAGTGCATATATTGTCGCCAGTATCCAAATAGGAAAAAGCTGAAGAGAAGAATATCTGTGCAAAACCCATTTCTAACATTTTTAACTTGAAGCAAAATTTTTAACATTGTAATTTCTTAGTGGATTCTATTTTTTTTTATAATTTTCCTGAATCTTTTCTTTCTGTTTCTGATTTCACTCCTTTAGTTCTAACAATATCTTTTGTTTTTCAAATTTTGCTTTCCCTACTTTCATCAATTTCACACTTATTGAACATGGCCATAATTTGTCTTCTGCAGAAGCTGGAAGCCTTCTGATTTCTCCTTCCCTATCCTCTCATCCTTTGATCTTCCAGGCTGAGTTTCTGCAAGGCCATGTGCTGATGCCCAAACAGCTGTCAGACCTGTGGAACCTCTCCCTCCAAACCTTAGCAGAAATCCTCAGCTCTGCCAAAGACATGACAACTCAGAGTGAGGGCCGACCCACATCCCTGCCTTCTTACACTGCGCAAGTGCCAACACAGCGCAGACCTTCAGAATCAAGGAGTTCTGTGAGCTTTTCAGAGCCTTCGAATGGGTCATTTTCCCCTCTCACACTTATTCTTGAACCAATTCAAGAAACACTGGCCAATATATACTCTACAACCTGACATGATCTTCCCTTGCACAAATTATACAATACCCAATGAGAAAAGTTATTCTCTCTGAGGGGAGAGAGTCCCTAACAGAAACAAGATAATTAGGATTGCATATTTTAATTTAAAAAAAAAGAATATGGATAAACACTTACATGTCAACAAAAAATTCAACGTGAGTAGCTCACATCTAAAAGAGAAATTCATGGGCATAATGCCTAAATAGACTTTGTAAGTATTAGCTGTTATTGGACATTCATTGTGTTGAAGCATAGTACTGAGTACTTCAAGGTCTTTGTTACAGCTAATCCCTTGGTACTGTCTTTTAGAGTATTTTTAATCCTGTTATAGGCGTAAAGAAATTAAGGGCTGGAGATGTTGAGTAACAAACTCCAGGCTGCTTTTACCTCAAGTTTAACTCTATGTCTTTTTCTTGACCTCCGTGATACCTCTTAAACCAACTGTGAAATAACAATGCTTTTACTAAGAATAAAAAAAAAAAAAGTTTGCATTTGGTAAACTTTCAACTTTTAATATAGGCCATTTAAAATAGGCCACATATCCAATAATGGCACAGACCACAATTTAAACACCGAAGTCATGTTTTCCAACAGCTTCCGTTTCAGTGAAGCACTGTAAGTTTGCCTACGAGATGAGCTGCTCTGCTACGATCAGGGCAGCTTTTCAGAGTCCTTCTCTAGAACTGTTTGCTTCGGGTAAGGAAAGGATGTACCTCCGACAGTAACGCCACCAGAGCCTTGAAGGAGCTGGATAACTTGGCCAGCTCATCCCCTTGTCTTTGTGCTTCTTTCTCAGAGGAAACTTCAGTCAGAATTTTAAGTCTGGATTTTAGCCAGCTGAGTGTCTCGCCTCCTTTGGTAACACCACTTCTGATTTCCTGAAATCAAAGAACTCTGTTGATGAAAAAGTGCCACTATGGTTCCCAAAATTCCAGCAAGAAAGGGCTCAGTGCAAGGAAGTTTGCAAGGTGGAGGCAGGAGAACCAGGCATTGTTTTCCCCATCAAGCGACTCATGTTTTTAGATAGTACACCTCTTTCACAAAAGACTACCAGTACTCAAGTGGAATTTCCCCAATATGGATAATACATTTCCTTGAGCATAACAAAGATGCTTCCATGTGATAGATGAATATTAGATAGCAAAGTTAGAAATTATAACATAGACAAAAATTGTTATCTCATTCTCTGTAAGCTAGAAGAAACATGATAATATAAAAAGAGAACAACAGTTGTTTTTTTTCAGCTTTTAACTTCCATTACTATAAAGTTGGTACATTTAAGTACATAAATAGGGTCCCAGCTCTAACTCAGGAGGGTTTAGCAGCCAAAACAACACGGTGAAGCCTCTGAGGCTTTGGGCCTTATAGGTTTGGCACAGGAGGGAACAGTGTCTGGGGTAGACTACCCTCCCTTTTACTGGTGTGGTTTGCAAGCACATATCCTGCTCCTGAGCTTTTGCAGGACAAACATATACCACCAGAAATTCCTTAGTTCCAAAAGCTAAGTAATCTTCATTCTAAGAAGCATTTTTTTTTCCTACTGTGACAATAACCAATGGCAAATGCAGATATCCTTTCGCATGAATATTGTGACCTTAAGGACCTCTAGCATTTGATGGGGTTCCAGGATTTAATTGAAAGGAATGGATCTCTGAGAATAGGAAGAAAACATCCTTACAACAATTAGATGACTTGCAAGGGTTAAAAAGTCCTGAAAGCAAAAATACGTTCATAACTGCCCAATGTGTCTACAAAATGAAGAGCTTAGATGACAGGAAGAGGAATTGCTGGGGACATTACCCAGAAGGCCCGAGGCTCTGTCACACTGGCAGCAAAATTAAACCATTCACTCTGAGTATGAAACAGAATGGAGGCTGAAAGACCCTTCTAAGCTCTCTCTGGCTTAGCTTTTGCATGGCTGAAAACATTCTACAAAAGCATACAGTGTTCCTATTTTGATGACTATTTTCAGCACTCTGCTTTGTAATCCATCCATGCATGCAATATTCCACTCAGGAATCCCCATTAGCTCATGGTCCATTGGGATCATCACCTAGTCTGACAATTTCTAAGTACTCAAACACTCCACAGAGCAAAACTCTACATAGTTCTTCACAGTAGCACAAAAAAAAAAAAATCATTTAAAAAAAAATTTCAGGGACTTAATTTTTTCTAGAAAATCAAAGACAACCATTAGATTGTCTAACTTTTTTTTATAAGTTATTATGGGAAAATTTCCTCCACTAAACAGAGACCTTGGACTTACGTCTATAGTGTACTTGACCTCTCCATGGTTGGCAGCATGGATGGCTTCACCCTTGATCCCCTTCAACTGCATGTCCTTGGCAGATATCCAAGAGGAGAATTCACTAAACCTAATAGAGCACAAGCATTTTCTTAGCAGAGAGGAAAATACCAGAATGGAAATGGGTTGAATCTTGAAGTCACTCACATACATGGAGCAATTGCTTACACATTTTTTTAAGAAGTGTTCATTTAATTCTTGCTAAGTTATTTGAAGAGACCTTAACTGAAGACAAAGATCTTTCTCAGGTCTTGAGTACCTCCAAGGAAGGAAGGGAGGGAGAGAGGAACCGCTTGAGGTCTGGCCTCATTTGCCCCCACCAAGCTGAGACACTTGCCCAAAGAGGGCAACCTACAGTGGGAGGATGTGAAGAGATCAGAAGAAAGGGGTGGGCCCACGATGGCGCTAGATCTCCCAGAGACCAAGTGCCTCACCAGATGCTGACTGGCCTTCTTCTTTTATTAAATGGATAATTTTTGCATACGAATATGGACAGGATCAGATCATCTGATTATCACTTAGAAAGAAACATATGCTCTTTCTCCTTTGGTCATGTTGTCTGAAATAACAAATGAAGGTAGACGGCCAGGACTACCTGCTTGTGTAGTCCTTCCACTTGTCTGGGTCTTCCATGAGCTTTGCATATGTGCTGTCAATGGCAGCCCGGAGCTCCCTGAGGGATGAGCGGCACCTGCCAGGTGTGTCTCTCACTGGGTCCCGGCCCGGGAGCTTCCCACACAGTTCTTCGATAAGCTGCAACCTTTTCTCACAGAGATGATGAGGACTTTTGTCACTGAAGAATATCTAACGAGCAATAAACATGTTTATAATGCCTGTGAGCATTCATCCAAATACCTTGACACTAAAAAAATAAGGAAGATTTTTGCATAGATTATCATAGTAACTAAGCTACTTTATTCAGACCCAAGCTGTAGTCCCAGATCTTCTGCTTAAGTGACAACATGCCTTTCCCTGACTACACATTTGGTGGCACAAGAGAGACGCACCCTGTGCTCTTTGATGATCTTTTCGCTGCCTTCCTGGGCCACCAGCCTGGTCTCCCGGTCCAGCTCACTTCGGCATTCTTCTAGAGAGGCCAAGAATCGGTTCTTCTCCACATCAATCTTCAGATGAAGCAAATGATAAGGGGCTTCTCCTTGAAGATCCTGAAACCCACAAGAAGATCCAGAACACAGGAGAATGTTCCACCCATTCAATAGGCCCTTTGGAGACAATGCATCGAAGTAGTCTTGTCCACACTCCCCTCTCTCCTAACACTTTCAAGGGGCTGCTGCAGCAATCGCTTCACCCCTTCCTCCCCCGTGGGTCAGCTACGTTCACGGTGATTATTCTATCTGATTCTAATAATACCTTGCACATTAACGTGCCTATGTGGCAGAGTAGAACAGAGACATTCGGGGTAACTGGAGAAGCTATGAGTTGAACCTAGATGCACGCCTTAATGTTATTCACCCTCTCCTTGCCATGTGTCCCTTTTGATTTTTGCAACAACTCTGTGAGGTAGAAAGCACTGATATTGTGCTTACTACACAAAGAGGAGCATAAGGAAATCTTAACATAAAGAAGTAAGAGCGAATGAGGAGCTGACACTTGAAAGCCAGCTGGCCAATGCTATGACCTCTTTCCCTGGTGAACAGATGAGCAAGCAAGCAGCACCTAAACACATAAACTTCGACTTTCTTCTCTGAAATGGATATTGATTCCATCATTACCTTCCACCCTACCATTTATGGACAACTTGCATACCATAGCATTGAGAATCTGCCTTAAAAGGAGGATATTAAGGTAGCTGAAGGGAGAAATAAGGCAGAGCTATAAAGACAACGATACCTTATATCCTAGAGGGTTTAATGTCTAGGTAATAAAGCACTTCTAATTAAGGTCTGTATGCAATAACACGATTATAACATGTTAAGCTACAAAAATATAAACTTGTGTTTGTGAATCCCTGTTTTAATGAAGTACTCACATGTTCAAATGCAGCAACTAAAAAAAAATGTGTTTTTCTTATGCATGTGGTTTTTTATGGATAATACTTTCTTACAATGTTAAGAATTTAAAAATCTGTAAAATAGCACAAGCTGATGAAGACAGTTTTATAACTGCTGATTTTTTGAGCCTTGAAACTTTCCAACGTAACACAAAGGAAATATCACCTCGCAGCAGCACCTGTTCACCCACGGCTGGAGCAGCCCTTCAGTTTATCTCATAGAAGCTGACTCTGTAGATCTTAATTGTGCTGTGGCTGGTTCCAGAATGTAGGTCCAGCCCGCCTTCGTGTCAGTCCTGGCCTCGTGTCCCCCAGCAGACGATCAGAAGACCGAGCCTGTGTGGCTCCTGGTCCCCCACTGCACACAACTGCGGCTTGCTTCTAGTTGCTTTGGCTGCCATTCTAGCACACTCACATCTCTGCCTCTTCACGGTTGCATCTCAGGCGCAGGATTTGGCCCAGCGGTTACGATACCCACGGCCAACATCAAAGTGTCTGGGTTCGATTCCTGTCTCCAGCTACTGATTCTAGCTTCTCAATAGAGTAAATTCTGAGAAGGCATAATAATGATCCAAGTGATTGGGTACGAAAGAATCATGGTTGTTTACTGTTGAATCCTAACCAATAAATGCTTTTCTAACCATTTTCTAAACCAGATAACAAAAACTTTCCTACAAAATCTGTGTGTCTAGCTTTACAATTTCATCTAAAAAGAGTTCACTAAATGTTACTTAGATAAGTCACATGTCATTGCTATTCCTGTAAAAAAAAAAATATTCAAGAAGTGATGCTAGTAAAAAAAATTTACTTGCAGAGTTCTATCACATTTTGTCATGCTGTATTCATTTTTAAATCATGAATGTAGCTACAGCCACTTTTCTATGAATTTCTAACTTTCTCTTACAGTCACCACTCTCTCCCTTCCTTCACGACATGTCTGACTCACCTTCCACTGCTTATGGAGCTTCCGCACAGCCTCCTGCAGGCCCTGCTGCTCCTGCTCGGGCAGGATGTCCGTGAGCTCATCACAGGCTTTCAGGAAGGCATTGAGCACCCTCTGATCCAGCTGGCTGAAAAACTCCTGGCACAGAGCGGCAAGAAACGAGAAGAAGGGCAAGGTAAAAGGGGCGTTAAACATAATCTCACTCCCAGAAAGTTCCGATAGAGAGCTGCTGCCCTCTGTATAACTTTATGAAGCAACTAGATTTGTTTTTCAGAAATAAACTAGAAACAACTATGTTTTTAAATTAAAAATATCAGCATCTTCGAAATTCAGTACTTTTTGTTCTTTAGAGAAAAATAGTCTCAGCTTTCACATTCAAAAGCTCAGGGGTGATCCTAAAACCTTGAACAGGGAAGAAGCCAGCAGTGACACTCACAGAGCCTCATTCCCTAACTGCGATGCTTCCCAAGCCCGGTTGGTTCAATGCGAGCCATCCTGATAGTCGCACATGCATACAGAAGCTATAGACTGCGTGCACCACCCCCAATCTCATACGTTCAAGTCTGACTCCAACAACAGTGGTACTCGGAGATTTAGCCTTTGGGATTTATTACATTTAGTTGAAGTGGGGCTATCATGATGGGACTGATGTTCTTTCAAAAAGAAATTCCAGTAAGCTTGCTATACTTTCTCTCTCTCCCCTCTCTCTCTCTCAGGATCACTTGAGAACACAGGATAAAGTAACCATGTGTAAGTCAGGAAGAGGTCACACTCTAGAGCCATACAATAGTGGAACTTGGAGCGAGGCACTCTGAACTTGGACTCTCTGCCTCCAGACTGTGAAACAACACATTTCTGTTGCCAAATCCACCACTGCGTTTTGTAGCAGCAACCAAAGCAGAACAAGACAATGCTTGCATAAACAGTGAGGTAGCCAATCACACAAAACCTCAGGTGTATACAAAATGAAACAACCGTGATTGAAAACATTAGATGCCATACCAAGACTTATACAAATGCAACGGGATGTTTAGTCCCAGACATGAACTCTCTGGTCAGCTCTGTTAAAATTCATTCACCTTTGAGAGTGTAATTTACACAACTGCTCATTAAAATGTCAGGAAAAACAGCTAAAATGTGTATTAGTGCTGGCCATTTCTTTACATCATTTCATTTATTATGAAGCTTCTCAATCTGAAGCAACTTAAACAAGTATGATAAACATGGATTGGCTTTACAATCCTGGCACAGCACAGCTTGTGTATTTCAGGCATGAGACCTCAAGTGTCTTGATATATCTGTAAAATAAACACAAGGAATATCTTACTAGATGCTATTCTAATTATCTGTTTAAAGGAATAGTGAGTTGCCAATAAAGTCCTAAGCTAAATAATGAATTTCTGTTTTTCTTCCCGTTATTGATTCTGTTTTGTGGCTTTTCATTTAAAGGGATGTATAGCAACTGTGTAAAGGAGACTATCATATCCAGATGTGAGGATACAATGCAGTATGCATCTCTACTTCCAGATCAAAGATGGACTCACAATGAAATTTTTAAACATATTGTGATAACAGGATGCTGGGCTCTGCCACACCTGCAACAATGGACTTACAACTATTTATGAAGAACTATACTATAGTTAACAACATAGGGGGGCCCGGTGCGGTAGCCTAAAGGCTAAAATCCTCCTCTTGCATGTGCTAGGATCCCATATGGGTGCCGGTTCATGTCCCAACAGCCCTGCTTCTCATCCAGCTTCCTGCTTGTGGCCTGGGAGAGCAGTTGAAGATGGCGCAAAGCCTTGGGATCCTGTACCCCTGTGGGAGTCCCAGAAGAAGCTCCTGCCTCCTGACTTCGGTTTGGCTCAGCTCCAGGTATGTAGCCACATAGGGAGTAAATCAGAGGATGGAGGGTATTCCTCTCTCTCTTCTTCTCTGTATATCTGACTTCCAATAAAAATAAATAAATCTTAAACATATATATAGGGAAAATCACTGTGGGGTGAGAGAGGAGTTTAAGAAGGGAATAAGGGAACTCACAGACTCTATGGAACTGTACCATAAGGTAATAATAGCAATAATAATAAAAATAAAATGAATTATTTAGTAATCAAAAAAACTCACCAATTCAGTCATTTATACTATTTTAATTGTCCTTTGCCTCTTGGCTATTCCAGGGGCTAACTAATGGTCCACTCAGGGTGTGTTTAAGCCTCTCAGTTAAGACACAGCCACACGCAGTCCTTATCTTAGTGTCTTCATATTATGCCCAATTCCAGCTCATAAATCCAACATCTTACTGATACAACAGGTACCTGGGACTTGGCCACCCACAAGGGAGATATGGATTGTTCTTGGCTTCCAATTTGTACTTCCAAGCTGGGGCCATTGCAGTCATATGGGAAGTGACCTAGAGGATGAGTCTCTCTCCTTTCTCTCTCTCTCTCTCTGCCTCTCAAATAAATTACTTCTTAAAAATAAAAATGAAAAGAAAAGCCAATGACAAATCAATCAGCTGCTCTCAGAATTCTTTTCGCCATTCCTTCTTTGGGTCTCGTACCTAAAAGGTTCTTCCTTCCCGACTCGTCCCATCTGTCTCCCTCTGCGTTAGACCACAACACTCTGCATCTCCCCATCCAAGACCACTCGGTTCACGCGCTCAGGAGCGAGTGACTCACGGTGTGCCTCTTCAGGAGCTCCTCCGGATCACCTTTCTCCTGCAGGCCCTCCTGTGCCATACGGAGCACCTTCTCCAACTCGGCTCGAGATTCCTCGAACTTCTTCATCAAGCGACTATTGGTTTCCACGTGCTTCTTCCAATCTCCAGTTTTCTTGACCATATTCTTGATGTAAAACAAACATGTGTCCCCTGGTATCCACGGGGGCAAGATGCTAGGATCCCCGTGGATACCCAAGCCCTTACAAAAATGGGTATGTATTTGCACATGACACAGGTACACAGGTAAATCCTCCTGTGCATTTTAAATCACCTCTCAATTACTCCTATCGTTTCAGATCATGAAAATATAAAGTATAAATAGTTGTTATTTGATATTTTATATGGAATAATGGCAAGAAATTTATACTTGTTCCCTATAAATGAATTTAAAACCTTTTCTTCTCTACAAGTAAATCCACAGATGTGGAAGCAACCGTACTGATCAATGGGTGCTGCTTTCTCATTGTTCAAATTGCCATGTGTCAGAGAATATTAATATTTTGTCTTCCAAAAAAAATACTTGGAAGAAAGTTGTCTCATTAGGATGAGTATAATTAGCACTTTTAAATTGGCACTCAAAAATTGTGAAACAATTGGTTTTTCTAAACCAAAGCAAGGAGTTCAGCAAGACAGAGGGCCACATAATGATTACTCATTCTCACTCACAATGCAAGAGAGGAACTTACCTGAAACGCAACATAAAGATCTGCAATCTGTCTTTGCAGCTTTGTCAGATCAAAATGCTTTAACACCTTGCTCGAGGTCACAAAACTTTGAACACTTTGACTGCCTTTCTCAATGCGTGTCAAGGTTTTCTTACAATTATCCTGACAGGCTAACAGTTCCTACAAAGAAAGGAAACCAATAACAACACCATTTACAAGTGAGAATGAGAACAGAAAGTGAGTAGCCTGACGGAACAGCAATAACACCATTATATAGCTTTTATTTTTATAAATCAGGAAAGGAAAACCAAAAGTAGGAAGAGAGAGTTCCATAGCACTTACTTTTAAGCAACTTGCATGTAAAGCATTTAAATGCCATAATGCGTATTTTTGAGATTTTAAATATTTTATGGACATTTCTTTGAGATTAAATGAAACAGCATCGCAATTGCTACTAATCCAATGTGTGTGTTCTTCCAGTCAGGTCAATGACAGGCTTTAGGATTTACTGGGAGAACATCTATGAAGCCCATCTAGACGTTTGTTTATAATTGATTTATCTACTTGAAAGTTACAGAGTGAGAGAAAAGAAATCTCTCCTCCACTATTTCTCTCTCCAGATGCTTGCAACAGCCAGGGTTACACCAGACCGGATCCAGGCGCCTAGAACTCAATTTGGATCTTTTTTTTTTTATGGGTGGCAAAGACCCAAATACTTGAATTCATCACTTGTCGTCTCCCATGACATGCATTAGCAGAAAGCTGGAACAGGAAGTAGGGATGGGACTTGAACATAAGCATCCAGCTATGCGAGACAGAGATTGCAAGCAACATCTGAACTGTTGTTCCAAATGCCTGCATGCAATCTAGATGCAAATATTAAGAGCATTTGTTTATTTTGTTTTGGCAAAAGAGTATAAAGGCACATCTTTTCTTTTTAAAGATAAGAGAGAAGGTTGAAATATGTTACAAAATGTGAGTTTTGCTAATAAAAATGTTCAAATTGTTTTAATTATGAACATATTATCTGGCAATGATAGTAATTTACAGAAATTTTTGACTAGAGAAAGTGGCATGTTTTCAAAATGCAAGAAAAATTGTATCCAATATTATGAGAATTATTTCTTAGTATAATCATTCAGATCTCAATGGGAGAATAACAATTGTGCTTGGCGTACAGCATAAAGTTTATCCACTTCTGTTCTTAAAATAGGAAGTCAAAGCTAATCAAGCCTTTGTAATTTGCTTAAGATTTGAAGATTTGTCGCATCTCAGACACTCTCTGTTCTGTGTACCAAGAGATGTGGTCTTTCTTCCACAATCTACTGCAAGCAATGCAGGAACAAATCCTTTGTGTGTTCACTTTACCCTCCTCTGATAGGTGGGTTTTTATAACACACCAGCTAAAAATGTCAGTCAGTGGCCAACCTCAATAGGAGACTGCTCTCTCTATAGTTCTTACTGAAAATTAAAGAGTAATGTTGTTTAAACAGACCCCTCTCTGGAGACAAAACAAAAGGTGTTGGGGCAGGTGTTTGGTGCCTGGGACCTGGGCATCCCATATCACAATGCCCAGTAGAAGTCTCAACGCTTCCATTTGAGATGCAGAAGAGTTCTGCTACTGCACACCCTGACAGGCAGCAGGAGTTTCTGCCCTTCATTTGTGCTCCTGCTCACTCAGATGTGTGTTCCTGACTTCCATAAAAGACGCCTGTATGCAGTTCTAAGTCCGTGGTTTTGACCTGGTTCAACATGTTGTAGGAATTTGGAGAATGAACCAGTAGGTGGGAGATACCTGCATCCTTGCTTTTCCAATAAAATGAAAATAATTTTAAAAATCTCTTATTGTAGATAGTAGATGGAAATGGAATGCAATTACTTCTTTTTCCATCATGAATCTCTAAATGTACATGCAACAGATTTCTTTTTGTGATGGCAAGAAATGAAGGGATGAAGTGACATAGAGCTTTTTAAAGTGAAATTAATCCTTTCAGAAATTAAGGACGTAACAGGTGACACCTAAAGACAGAAGTAGGAAGCGGTACTGAGTGGTTTCTACAAAAAACAAAAAACAAACAAACAAACAAAAATATATATATATATATATATAGAGAGAGAGAGAGAGGCAGTTTGAAGAGAGGGAAAACCACCAATGTGCGTGTGTGTGTGTGTGTGTGTCTTCTATTCATTTAAAGATGCAAATGAAAATTCATACCTTCACAGACTTTGATGCTAAAAAATTTATTCCTAGAGTCAAGGACAGAAAGTTGCTATGTGAGAATACATAAATATAGAGCAGAGGACAATGGCAGGCCTTCTCTTGCGTGTATCCTTTCAGTTTCAAGAAAGCAGTGACTCTGTTGCTAACTGGTGCTCTTTATTTGCACGGAGACATCCTGCACACCTTACCTTTTGAACTTGGAGTTCAGAGTGAATGTGCAGAATAGCTGCTCAATACAACTTGTTGCGTACTGCCAGCTCAGAACACTGCTTTGTTCACGGGACAAACGCTTCATACCAACGGGCCGTGCCAAATTCTGCTGAAGTCCTTGAATTTCTTAATGAGCTAATTAATGCCTGTCTCTAATGAACCCAGCTTGCAGCTCAGAATTCAGGTCAGCTGCTCATTGGATACAGCTCAAATCCCTTCCACCAACATTGGATAGGTTTGCATCCTTGGGCAAGATGCATAATTTTATTTCTTTTATTATCAACACTGTATTATTCTAGAAAAGAGTCTCACATCCTAACTTAATTTCTATTTGGTCTCTCTCTTATGTACTTTAAAATAACTGTGTTTCCTGAAGGCTATTTTTCTTACCTGATGTTTTTGTTTAAAAAGAGCACTAGATTGTGCCTCATGCTCTAGCACTGCCATAATATCATTGATTTTTCCAAGTGAGTCATAAAAGGACGTCATCTGCTTCTCTAATTCTTCCAACGGCACCAACAGCTGCTGAGACTCATAAAGGAGTGGGGAGGAACATTCTTTGATCTTTAAAAACACAAAGACAAAACTCCCGTGAAAAAGCATGCCGTGTCATAGGCTCTGGCACTGTTCACAGCTCTTAGAAACACTCTCTCTAGGGCTGTGGTCATTCAGTGCTTACAAATACCCACCGACGTTTCAAAATATGTCCTGCATATTGTGAACTGCTGCCATCAAAGCAAGTACTACTAGCCAGAGAAGTGGCTACTAGTTTTTTTTTTTTCCACATGAAAGTTCATCCAAATTGTCCATATTGATAGAACCTTCTCACCTGAATAATGGCAGTTGGAAGGGCAGGTGGCATCAAATTCCACTTCATAAACCATGGAACTCATGTGTACTTTGGCCTTGAACTCTAAGGTAATAGTGTAATAAACTGCTATTTCATTACCTAGACTATCCCACTCTTTCTGCATTATTTTCATAAGTTCTCCTGCTTGAACCTTGACTCTTGACAAACTTAGAAGCCTCTGACTTACTCTCTCACACAGGCCTAATGCTTTCCTATCTGCCACCAACTTAACAAGTTACCAAGCGCTGATGTCAGATGCCAATTTATCCATGAAGAGCCCATGCTTACGAATACCTGCTTCATCTAAATTGGCTCAGCTCTCATCTACCACTGACTTTTAAAAATGGTATCAGTTCATATGCCTGCATTAGTCTCATGATGCACTAATAAGGTGGAATCCAAAAGCTTCATAAAGTGGCTACATTTTCACGTTTGTCCAGGACCTTATAATTCCCCAATGTGCCTTATAGTTCACCACCTGCTTTATTTTCCTTAGGATTATTATTACTTTCAAAGAACCAAGAAAACAATTAATCAGTATTTTATTAAAGTTCTTTGTTTTTCATAAAATATGAAAACAATAACATATTCAATGCATATTATATAGCAGTTGTATAAGTGATATATATGAAGATGTTACATCAAACATATTTAAATAAATATATATGAAGAAAATGATACATTAAATGTATTCAATATGTGAAGACAACAATATATTATATATCACTTATATAAGTGATATTCTGAAAATACTTCTTGAAGAAAGTGCGAGGTGATAATTTGTTAGATTGTATGGAAGTACGCACACAGAAATACTGTCATGTTGCAGGATATGCTCCCTAAAGGTCAGACTTAGCCAAACCAACTGCATGCCTTCTACTGCAATAGACATCGGCTAAAATCATCCCGGTGAAAACCAGCAAGGCCTACTAGTGCATACACATGCAGTGTGCTTTACTGAACCTCCCCGAGCACAATTGAGAATCGACCCAAACGCCACGACTGAAACACTAGTCAGAAAGCATGGCGACCCTTGCAAGGCACATTGGCTTTCTCAGGGTTTGCCCTGAACAAGTGAATCTGGCTCAACCAGCGTTCTGTAAGCGTAGTTCCAGCCCTGAAGGCTGCAGGGAGGCGGTCAAATGGAAAACCTGGGCTTCAAAGCAAAACCATCACTTGTGAATGTCACTGGATGGCCACATCTACCACTGTTGTGAATTACCATGAAATAAAGAAGACTCTAATTTGAGTATTCAATGAATTGTGAGTGAGCAGCCTAATACCTTACTAAGCTGACAAAGTTTTTTTTCACTTTTACATGAACATGAGTCTTCCTATTCTTCGTCTGTATTTTTTCCTATTTCGTTCTCATCAGTTCCTCCTTGTTGTCATAAATGTTAACCACTCTTTTCTACCTCTCCATAATGTCTGCTAGGTTATTTCTGCCTTTTTCTTTGCTTGCCACTTGTATGTTCCAAAATGTTTCCATTAGTTATGTAATGGATTTTTTTAAAGTGAATTGCCCAATATAAGAGGACATTGCAAATGATGTCATCAATCCAACCAAAATATAGAAAAAGATAAAAGAGCTCAAGGAAATGCCAAAGCTCTTACAAAAATAAAAAGAAAAACCTTCAAAAAGAATAGGAAATACCTATGGCTAGCTCTTACATCCATCCAATATCCTAGATAGAGGTGGCATAAATGTGTATGTTCTAAGGCCCTGAGACCAGCTATGTGAGATGAGGAAGACTGAATTTTAAGTACTTCCATCTTTGTTAGCAGAAGATTGCAAAAATAAACTTCATGGAGGAATGTCAGATCTCAATAATTCTCATTTAAATATACAACACATGCTTCCTCTTTTTATTTACCTCTGTTTCATCACATTCGCCTTCCCTAGTAGCTATTGCTACCAAATAATAGAGATAATACTTGGCATCAGCCTCATCAGCTTATAAATAAATTTACAAGGAAGTTAATAAATTTGAAAAAATAGTAAGAATACAGTAAGAAACAGAAGCATGATTTGTTATCAATACTTTGCCTGTGCAGGTTAATGATGGACTGGGTACCACAGGATGTACAAAGAAAGCCCCACCTTGGTTAGCTGTTCTTTGAGCCCAGACATGGTGGCAAACATTTTATTGGCTTCCTCTTGGGGACTTTCTTTGGTAATGAGGTGTGCTGTCTTTGTGATGATCTTGTACTGAGCATCCATTACAGGCACTCTCTGTTCCATGTCCTGTGAAAACATGGAGACAGACAGATGAGCATCAGAGGTACCTTAGACAAAAGGCAGAACCAAAGGCAATAGGTATGGTGTAAAAATTGTATTCTTGAAGTAAACATTCGTGTATTTGTTATTTTTGTCCTTTGTTACTAACCTGTTGGTAATATTACATAAATAGAAGCTTCCCTATAAAAGTGCTTTTAAAAATCCATTAATCTAAGAATTCTTTGTTCTTTCTAACCAAAGCCACAGTTAATAGGTTGTGAAAATAATTCATCATGAAAATGCATGTTATAAATTTCGAATACTTATGTTTCTAATAATCAGCTTTTTTAAAAAAGCAACAAATTGTCATTGTTGAAAAACAATAAATTGGGTGTTTTAGGAGAATGAAAACTTAAAATACTTACAGCCTTCTTACTCAATAGGAAGTAAAGGAAACATCTCATTAACCCTTTTGCAATGTATTAACATTCATTTTTTAATGATAAATTCATTCAACATTTATTTTTACTAAAACAGAAAGTTGATATCAGTGTCGGTTTTCCTCACTTAATAAAACATTTAAAAATCTTTCCATGTTATTTAATGTTCTTTCCCAATACTTTATTTTTGAGAGCTGCTGGTTATATGTGAGTACCATAATACATGTGGTAATTTCCTTTATTGTTGAAAGTATTTATGTAAAGGTGCTATTTATAGAGATCTTCTAGCTTTTCATTTTATAGTTTGGTTGTCAGAAAGTTTCCAATTAAAGAGTAGTTTGAAGTTGCTCCTTATGATCAAAGCATATCATAAAGAATATAGATGTATTTTTACGGAAGTAATAATCAAGACAATAAGGTATGTCAAAACGACCCCAGGAGTCGCTGTGTCAAAGTTTGCAATGATCTGATTTTTGCATACTGACATTTGTCTTCATGATAAAGCAGGTTTTGCATTTGGTGATCCAGTAGCCACTCACCTCCAAGTCTTGAATGAACAACTTGACGTTCAGGAAGGAGACTTCCAAGGGTTCAGACAACTTCCCACGTGCTTCAGCTGCAAAACCTGACAGGACAGTCACACAGTCCGTGTACTCTTTCTTCATTCTGTCCATCTCATCAGCTCGTGCATACTGCAAGACACACGGGGGACACTGTGAAAGCCATCAAAGTGCAACACCAGAAGCCCGCAGACTTCATTTCAGCACACCCTCCTATTTGCTGGATTTGTTAAGTGGTAAGAACAACTCTTGATTCTTAATTTAGATATATTTGAAGAAAGTCCAACTGCTCTGAAAATAAAAGGAACTAGCATAGAAAGGAAGAACTATGATTTTAAAGGCAAATCAGTGCATATAAGTAGGCTCCATATGCCAACATAATCCTTATCAAACTGTACATTTCTATAATGTTCCTTTATGATAAATGGAAAAGATGACTAATGAGCCATAAAACATACCATTTATAAACACATAAATCCCCGCCTAATGAAGTCATGTCAAGAAAATAACATCTTCACAGCCTATTTACCACGTTGATAACATATGCAGGTGAGAGGTGAACACGGATTTGAAAGACATACTTGCTTGACTTCCATAAACAACTCCCTCCATCGCCCATTTAGCAACAGTAACTGCTGCTTGAGGTCATGGGAAACCAGCTCATCACAAGTTTCAATGAGAAAATTTCCAGCATCGTTCATGGTAGTGTGTTGTTGAATCCAATGAGGCAGATTTCGAAAAAAATCCTAAACAGTAAAGAACACACACTATTGAAAACTGTAAGCCAGATATTAATAACTGACATAAAAACAACCCAGTTAGGAAAATATGTTTGTTCTAAATTTTAAACTCTCAAATACCTTTCAAAGCGCAAATTTTAATAGCTACTAATTAGGAACTAGAGATATTGTTTTCCTAAATAAATTAATATTTTAATTAATTTTCCAGCAACATTAAAAATTGACTTCGCCGTTCAGAAATGGGCCGGCCTGAAGCCAGGATTCCTGGGATTCAGGAAGGGCTCCCAGGTGGGTAATGGGGGCCAAGCATTTGTGTCATATTCCTTTCCTAGTGCCACTGTTAGCTTTATCCACTCAGAGAAAACACTGGTCTCCCAAACGCTGATTTTTAAAATGAAGACATTTATGTCGCACAAGCTGAAAACTAGACAAAAATGATCATTTTTCACCATTTTCTGGAGAAACACTACATTTCTTCACGTATGTATGAAGGGCTCATGTGGCCTTCAGCAGGTAGCACACTTTCAAGGGTCATATAAAAGGTACTTCATACTGAGGAATTTTACACAGATGCTGGAATTCCTTTTGATTTTGAAATCTGAATGTAGTATATGAAGAAAAGAAAGACATCAAAGAAAACATTTTGTATTGAATAATAAGGCTCAGAACCACACAGTAACATTTTCTTATTTAAGAGTACACGGCACTATAGTTTCCAACTCACTTACAATTAAATGCCTGTGTGCACATATGCATACAGATACTACATTAAAATGACACCAAAGACAAGTCAAAATAAATTTCCCAAGAAACATGTGGGAAGACCTTCAATGTAAGTAGATGAGAGTATTCTTGTTTCTGGAGATTAAGCCTTGGGCCCAATTAACACACAGCATCTATTACAGTACAATTACTCTGATCAGAAAAAACAAAGCCCATGGGCTGGCACTGTAACACAGTAGATAAAAGTGTTCCTTGAGATACTTGTTTGATTATTGCTTTCTCCACTTCCTAACCAGGTTTCTGCCACTGTGCCTGGGAAAGCCATGGTTGAGGATCTATCTTCGGAAAGCCCTGTTTTCCATGACAGAGAACAAACTGGAACTCCTGGCTCCTAGTTTTAGCCTGGCCCAGGCCTGGCTCTGTTAGGGATTCAGGAATACACTAGCAGATGAAAGGTATCTCCCTCTCTCACTCTGCCTCCCTCTATGTCACTTGACCTTTCAAATAAAGTTTTAAAAAGAAAGCCACAACATGCATGGGTACATAGTTAATGCCATCTTCATCTATACAATATTTATGTAAAAGATAGAATAATTTAAATGTCAACATCTACAATTACAAAGGAACAACTTGGATGGCAAGCAATGATTCTAATAACTGGATTGCTTCACTCTTATTATTTAAAAGGACGGACGAAAAGAAAAGAAAAGAAAAGAAAAGAAAAGAAAAGAAAAGAAAAGAAAAGAAAAGAAAAGAAAAGAAAAGAAAAGAAAAGAAAAAAAGAAAGGAAAAGAAAGGAAAGGAAAAAGAAAAGAAAAAAGAAAAGAAAAGAAGGAAAGAAGAAAGAAAGAGGGAAGGGGAGAGAGGGAGAGGAAGGGAGGGAGAGAGGGAGAGGGAGGAAGGAAGAAAGGGAGGGAGGAAGGAACGGAGGGAGGAAGGAAGGGAGGGAGGGAAACAGACAGGGTACCTATTTCCTGGTTTGCTCTGTATTAAACGCACGCAACAGGGCTTGGCTGGAATCAAATTTAGGAGCCAGGGATACAATCTAAATCTGTCACATGGGTGGAAGGAACCCAGGGAACCCACAGTATTAGCCATCATTTCTAGTCCAGGTTCTGCGTGGGCAGGAAGCTGGAGTTAGGAGCTGGAAATGGGGATTGAACCTGATACTCAGATATGTAACATGGCTGAGTGCCTCGGGAGAAACTCCCATCCTGACACATTTCATATGTACATGAGCCCTGCATGCCAAAGTGCCAGCCGGCCATTAGCAATATCACGCGTAGGATCCAGTCCATGCTGTGTGTTATCTACCTGTGACGGAGTAAGACATTAACTCTCACAAGCCAACACCCATGGATATTTCAAATGGTATAAGAGAAATCATTCCTAACTCAGGATGACCACTTAACTGAGGATTAATAAAATCCAGAATGAGTAGAGTCAAACGCTACATGCCAGATGTTCTGGTGTAGGTCTCAAGTTCAGCCTTACGTTAGCTAAACTTGTTTCCTTCCACACTCCCAAGGTGGGCTCTTTTCCAGACAGTGCCAGCACTCTTCGTGCAGTTCAGATGATGACCTATTACTTCTCTGGTTGTAAATGTTATTATTTCTCTGAATGCAAAAGTCAAAGACTGAACCAGTCAGAAGTGGAGCTGTTCTAGAAGAGCTTTTGCTAAGCAGCACATTTATTGATCTAAAATGACTAATCTGAAAGTACAATTTTCAGGTAAATTGAGGATTCTCATGAGCATCACACTCTCAAATATGTAATACTCTCTAGAGAACCATGCTGTGAGGGTCTCATTTATATTAACAAAAAAAATGAAAATATAATAATAAAAAGTCATTTCTACATCTGCAACTTTATGTATAAAATCATTGTACCTGGCCCGGCACGATGGCCTAGCAGCTAAAGTCCGTGCCTTGAACACCCCAGGATCATATGGGCGCCGGTTCTAATCCCGGCAGCTCTGCTTCCCATTCAGCTTCCTGCTTGTGGCTTGGGAAAGCAGTCAAGGACGGCCCAAAGCTTTGGGACCCTGCGCCTGTGTGGGAGACCTGGAAGAGGTTCCTGGTTCCCGGCTTTGGATCGGCACCGGCCAGCCATTGTGGCCACTTGGGGAGTGAATCATAGGACGGAAGATCTTCCTCTCTGCCTCTCTTTATATCTGACTTTGTAATAAAAATAAATCTTAAAAAAAAAAATCATTGTACCTTTTTGGCATTTTCTGATTGATTCAGCATTTTTTCGGCATCTTCCAGCCAAGCTTGAAGACTAGCCACCGTATTGCCATAACGATCCCAGTTAGCAATCACTTCTTCCAGCATGCTCCGCACACTCCTGACTTCGACCGAGAGATTCCTCCACTGCGCAGTAGTTTCATTCATGAATTTCATTACATTCTCGGCTTCTTCCACTAGAACAATAAGCCAATTACAAGTTTTAGCTTGGTATTTAAAATATTCTCAATGTTTTCTTTCTGCGGTCTTTTATACTGCATTTATCACAACTGCTATATTTTTTCCAGATGTTTTTATAAATGGAAAGTATATTTTATACGTTGTATCTTAACACTTACTGAAGTTCCCATTAAGTTATGATAACCAAGACTTTACAATTTATTTTAATCCTTAGATTGTAAAGTAGGATAAAAATTAATTTAGAAAATGAGTACTTAGCAATCTCTTAGGAGATGAGAGAGAGCGAGAATATGATTATGAAGGTTGAGCATAGCGAAAAGTCAGGTAGATTAAATCCAGTATTTCTAACCATTGACTTGGTCATGTGAAGATTCTGCAGAGAAAAAGCTGAGCTGATCACCCAGTTAAACCCTGTGAGGATTCCACAGTCGGCTTTACCTGATCCATCAGCTTTGACATACATCTCAGCTGTCTGCTTCAAGATCTGGTATGTCACTTCATATTGTTCAAAGAACTTGCTGTTTTCTATAAAAGACTAGAAGACCAGGCATGGTTACAAAATAGCAAACATCGGTTTTAGTTAGGAAGAGTAAACTCAATTTCTTTTCAAGATAGCTGAATGGATACTTTATCCAGATTCTCCAACCTCATCTTTAAAATGCAAATTAATTCCACTTCCACAAATAACCGATTAATTCTGAGCACATAAAATTTGATTCTACACTATTGATTTTAACTCAACACTAGGCAGAGACAATATTTTATCGCTTTGCCACCCACCCAAAGGTTTGTTCTTTGAAAAAATGAAATTTCTCCAGATAAGTAGGGCTTAATGTTTAGAAAGCACTAAATTTGGAAGAACATTTTAAATATCCCACTGAGTTTTAGCTGTGGGATTTTGTTATTCTTGAACACTCACATGGGTGAATGACTGCTTTGAGGAAATTCAGATTATAAATAAACGGTGGCTTTGCAAATACTTAAAATAAAATGTAGGTGGAACAATTTTAAATAACTGCATGATTCACCCATTTTATCAATACTTATATTCCAAGTATCTAGTGTAAAATTACAGATAAATCATGTCTAAGTCCATATCTGTATGTAAATGACATAATGTAATAAAATCCCCACCAGCAAAGAGATATTAGAGACATCAGAACACACAAAAATGGTTAGGTAAACATTGTTAATTATAAAAAGTATGATTCTGTTTCAAAGTGTATTCTTTCTCCTCTAAAAAAAAAAAACTACAATTACAGAAACATTCACTGAAGTCTCTTTAAACTTATTTTAGTAATACAATGAATTTTTCTATTATTTCACTCTATTGAAATGCTTAACAAGGTCACTATCATAAAATGCAACATTAGCCTTCCCAAACCAGTTGAACTCCTCTGCGGTAATGTTGGCCAAGGAGCAATGCACAAATACAAAATACTGGTCACAGAGCAGCCTCACAGCCACACTTGGATTTGTGTGGGTAACTATTTAATACATTCTAGGGTAACATTTAAAAACACTAAAAAAAATGTCATATTTTATGCTTGTAAAACACTGACTGATAAATTGTCCTTCAGGATGAAAATGAATAGACACAGCTGAGCGTTATTCTCATGGAGTGTGAAGCTCCATGTTGAATGCCTGACTCCATATTATGAAGAGATGTTGTCATTTTTGCTTGAGAATAGAACAAGACAACAAAAGTCTGAGTAATCCTAGTCCTCAATAGGAAGAAGAGAATTGGCTAGAAGTCAAATGTTAAATAATTTAGCCAAACAGGCAAGTTATCGTTTGATGAAAAATGAAAAAAAAAAACTAAGCTTAATGTGAAAAACACTGTATAAGAAAATAAAGAGGTAATTATATTTCACAAATTTTTGGACATGTTTCAAGGAGATAATGGGGAAAACAATTGCTCTGTGCCAAAGAAAAGGCAACCGTGCCCCACTCAGGGGACATCATGATTTAAATAGGATTTTTCTTGAGTAGTCTATGAATTAATTCATTTTAAAAACAAACAAAAAAATTATTTCCAGTTTCATTTTTTGTGGTTAGGTGATTGCTTTAAATATTAGTCATTTTGTAGGGATTAATAAAATAATATTTGAAGTTTACTTATTGAAGAGAGAGAGACATAGAGACAGAGATGTGGAGGAAAGAAGGACAAGAATTCTCATCTCTCTGTAGATGTTTTCTGTGGCTAAGACTGGGTCGGGGCAAAAAGCTGGGAGCCAAGGATCCAATCCAGTTCTCCCTTGTAAGAGGCAGTGCAGAACTGCCTGAACCACCACGACTGCCAGGGCCACACCAGCCAAAGCTAGAAACAAGAGGCAGAGCTAAAAGGCAAGTCCAGGATCTAAGATGGAGGACACAGACTTCTCAACTGTTAAGACAGGTGCCTGAGCTTCCATGAAGAAATACAAAGCAATTAATTTTTGAAGATACTTATTTTATTTTTTCATGATTTCATTTAACTTGGCCCTGTTTTCTGAGTATGGAATAAATCCATTTGACTTTATTTAATTTTAGCAAGAGAACCTTTAAGCCTGCTTTTTATTGTCACCTGTCTAGATTTCTCAGATAAATTTAAAAATGCAAATGAATGATAAAGATCATCTCATAATAACCAATAGTTATTGCATAACAGTACTAATAATGAATAAGATTTCTGCAGGATAAATTAGGTTTGGGTCTTTTGAACAACTATTGCATGGTTTCTTTGATATATGGCAGTTAATAGGGAATATAAAAATGTGTAGGGATGAAGTAATATGTTGTGATTTGATTGTGGCTTTGGTTTTGTTTACATTCCTGTAGAACTGGGTTTTTTTTTTTTCCTACCTTTTACTTGTTGAATATTATGGCTACTAGTGCATTAAACCTGTGAATATGCTTTTGAAATCATGTTTTTGCAAGGATTCAAGAAAGGAAGAAGGAGGGAAATTGAGGGGGATAAAGCAGGAATGGTTATAGTAAAGTTGTCTTATTCTCATGCCAGTGAAATACTTGAAATCTGCTCTCAAATTAATATTTAAAAATAAAAATGAAAATACATTTGATGGTGCTTCAAGAAAAATTAAATGTGTCTAATGTCACTAGCTCAAAATATCAAAGGAGGTAATCAGATTTCTATTCTCACAAGATGAGCAGATATAATGAATAAGACTCATCAATTTAATTTGAAGGGAGTATGTGTAAATTGTTTGTTGCCATCTGTTCTAATTTCAAGGATCAAATCACTTATCATCTGATTCTTATTTCACTCTGTACTTGTCAATAGCATTTGGGTGAAATCAATCCTAACAAGCATTTATGAAGCATTTTAAACGAGTTTGTTAAGCACTCAGTGTGTGCACACCCAAGCAAGAAAACATGTTCTGTCATTCTCCATCCCTCAAAAAACACATCATTGTTTAATGAATGAACCAACTTCAGTTGAGAATTTAAACTAAAGCAAAGGCAATTATGAAATTTTTACAACCAAATAGGACTTTGGCTTTCAGATGATATAGCAGCATATCATATTACAACAATTTTTGTAGCCAAGAAAAAGATTATATATAAGCAAATGACTATGATTTCACCTGCAAGTCTATGAAATAATCTCTTCTAGAGGGAATGGTCTTTGCCAGAACTCCAAGAGAAGGAGACTGGCTCAATGGGACATGATACAGAAAAAAACATCATCTGCAGTCTTCGCTCCTTCCTTAGGAAAACCCCTATGTATCATTGCCATTATTATTATTAGGACTTGAGAAGAACCACAGAAGTTAAGCTATTAACAAATTCACTTTTAGGAAGTAGCAGATCCATCATTCAAAAAAATTCCCATGATTGGTGGCATGGCTTCAACAGTCTACCCTCCAGACTGTGGTTTTATCCAGTACCTGGGCAACAAAATCGACTGTGATGTAGCATAAGTTTCAAACATTATCAAGTACAGACTACCATCCAACAGAATTGTATTTATGTGTAACACATGTTGTAGCTTACGAAAATGTGCAACATACGACCTATCTGTTCATTTTAGCAACCCCTTTTTCAGGAGCTCATGAGCAGGTTTTTGAGATGGTAACAGTCAGTATTTGAGAACAAGGGCCCTTGATTTAGAAAAACTTCCACATCTTTCCAACTGTGCCATTTGGGGTATGTGACCTGAGTCTCGGAGCTGCAAGTTCTCTACATTTTCATTTCCTCAATATAAAGCAATCTGGAAAGAACTGGCATTCAGAGGGAAGGTAAAAGGCTCCATAACCTGCAGTGACTAACACTATTACACTAAATCGCCTTCAGGTGATGCATAGGGCGTCTGCTACGAGATGAGAATATTAGGGAACAGTAATTAACAGTACAAATCAGTGCAATGGTTGTCCAGCAGTCTGCAGTTAGCAACCTGGTGAGCCTCTCTTTAACGTACAGAGTATGTGGAAGTAGTGCCTTTTTTCATCATTAAAAATAAATCCACATTTGTGTCATTTCATTGAATGTTTTTATTGTGGTGGAAAGGTCCCATTAGGTGCTTAAATTGGATTCCTATTTAAAATAGCTAGAACAAATTATAGTGAATCTACATAATTAATCACAGGGTTCTGAGTGCATCATTTCATGTGGCTAGACAAGAAAATATACATGCAAGATTGTAGTTAATAATCAAGGGCTAACTGACTGAAGTTTATGTCTCCTTATTACTTTCCAAAATTTTAAAATGAATAAACAGATTTCACATTTTTGACAAATGTTTCTCAGATAATTTTAGTAAATCTAAAATCCGAGAAGGATTTTACTTTAAACCAGTTGAACATTTTTTTCCACATAAGGGCCATTCACTCATCACTTAGGAAATAAAATTATAATGCAGCAGAATGTATCATGGTTCTAAAACAGTAAAGACAGAGTTTTAGTATTCAAGCATAATATATTAGTCATCTCCACTATTCAAGCCAGAAATTGGCTTGTATTTTTAAAAGTTCACTGATTTAATTTAGAAGCAAATTTAGAATATTTATTTTAACACAAATGAAGCAGCTTATGACGGTAATGGCCTGTTAATATTAACTTTAGGAACAAATTTGGCAACTTTTTGAGGGGGAAGTCCAACTGACCAAGAGAAAGTCACCACCTGGAATAAACATGGTGCACAGGTCATATGTAAATTGAAGCGCTTATCTTTAGAAAGAATACCTAATCATTTCACTAAGAAAAGGCTACTATCCAACATAAACGTAGTCTCACCTATCCTGGAATCCCTTTATATAAAGTCATTCTTAAAAGTTTTTGCTTCCAGGAAGATTCAGAAAACAAGCTGCTATTTAAGAAACAATAAGAACCCGAGAATGATGAGAATTGTTCTAAACCACTCTGGATGAGGTTTTAGAAACCCTCTCAGATTTTCAACTCAGCTTCAGACTGAATTCCAATCAAAGGTGTGAATGCACAATGAAAAAATGTCCTTAAAGCAGAAAAGTCAGGCACGACGGTCATGAGGATTCAGGCAGCAAAACCTCTCTGAAGGGTCAGATTCGAAAGAATGAAAACCCAAAGAACACAGAGTTTCATTTCAGATGATTATCATAAGCTCACAACTTACATCCAACCTACTTTATACAAGTTTAAAATAACTTGATCAACTAAGCCGGTAGCTGTTGTCTGACTTCTCTGGGAAAGCACCAGGACTTACGATGTAGTTTTGTAGAAGCAGCTCCACCGACTCCCTCCTTCCGTACTTGATGATCCAAGACTTTAGCTTTGACTCTGCAAGAACCAGCAGTGAGAGCAGACGGTACTTTAATTCTAGAAATTCCATTTTCATTAAGTGTAGCTCTGATGTGGAGGAAACAAAATGAAACCTAGAAATAAAACACCGAGAGTTTATAGGATGTAGCTACTAGTACCGGAGCGATGCTGACTTCACCTGTGAAATTCCCTTACAAGGAATGCAGAGGTCTGAACACGCTGGTGCATCACTGCCTGGAGGTCCTATTCCTTTCCTAGCTCTGGGCTGAAAAGCAAAACATGACTGACTGAAGTCTTTGATTTAGTTCTCTCCCCTGCCAACACATCCCTCCTCTGTTTCTTTTATAAGCTGTTTTTGCAATATTACATAATGTTCCTTACAGTGCTGAATAAAAACACAGGCTTTGAAGAAACCCCCTTTGTGATTTCCAGGCTCTGGGTACATTCAGGTCCACTCTTTTCAGTTAATAATATATTAGCATGTTGGCAATCTCAGTGTAGGTCAAAGGAGCCCATTTTTTAAAAAAATTTTTCAAATGGATGCATGTATATATTTAAAAAGATCCAAGAATTCACTGAAATGTCCAAAGCATTCACTTAGCATTCTTAAAAAAAAAGAAAGAAAAAAAAAAACATTTAGTTTCAAACCATACATTTTCTTACCTCTCGGCCATGTCCTCTAGCTGATCATATGGCACTGGGATCCCATTCACAGTCCTGGTCCGGTAGATCTCATGAAATGCTCTTTTGTGGGCATCTGTGTTTTGAAACAGATCCTAAGATACAATTTTAAAAAAATGAGAAAATACATTCACAGGAGGCTAAGAAGCAAAATTTTCAGCCTGTACCGATGAGTCAATGCATTCAACAATTTGATCTTGCTGCCACGCTCATATGCTGTGTGAAGGCGTCACAGGCTTTTACCTTGAACAGGAGCCCAGTGTGTGCATGTCAGGCACTCGGTGAGAACTGCATCTAACAGCGATGGCACACATTTGGAACACACATGACATTTGCTTAGCAATGCATTCAGACATTTTAAAGGCATATGATCCATAGGGAAGTACAATTCCTGCCAGGAAGAATGATTTCAGTATTTTTCTTCGACTTTGGAAATGCTGGTATTTAAAAGCTTAAAATTGAGCCAACTAAGAACTACAAACTTAACTCTTGATGGGTAAAACAAAACTAGATTCTCAGTTTTGATCTGATTTTGAATTCAATTCATATTATAAAAAATTTTAGAGGTATGTGCTTTCTTCTTAAGGTGAGTGAATTTTATTGCAGCATATTTTGATATTTTTTCTGGTTAGAGAATTTTTTAAAATTGCAAACAATATTCATAATACAGTCAGAGGATCAAATGTGCAGTGAGTAAGTATTCTTTAGCAAGGAACATACAGCTAAATTGCATTTATTCAGATTAATTTGGAACGTCCCTAAACTGGCTGAGGGCAAAATGTACTTAGAAAACACATGTATAGGTTGTACTTCAAAAGGCTTAGAAAAGAACAGAATAAAAAGCTTCTTTGTGCACAAATGTTGAAATGCCTGCAATTGTTTCATGATCTGTATTTCCCCGAATTTATGGAATTACCCTATACTTTATATTTCCTAGTTGCTTTTTCACAGAGAAGCAAGAAGAGAGTGAAGTGGTTTATGCCATATTTTCTAGAACATGGTTTTTCTCCTATAGCATAACAAATACCTGACTGCATAGCACTCCATGAAAAGCACATTAGCCTAAGAAAACAAATGAATATTGCTTCTCTCAAGATGGAATACAGTGAATTAATCTGAGAAAACCCAAGAGTAAAGTTGGTAAGATGGTTGAACAGGGAGGGAAAAGGTATGCTAACTCTGACCAGGCAAAGCCTGTTTTCTGAAAGAAAAGAGGAAATGCGCTTCCAGGGGAAGAGTTAGAGACAGCTCAATGGAGAGATTCCACGGAGGAATGTGGATAGTAGTGACCAGAGACAAAATGCTGGGGACTGGAGAAGACAGAAGATCCAGAGAGCAAGGTGGGAGCAGCCCATCGCAGCAGGAGCCATTGATGACATCACTGGCAGAATCTCTAGGACCACACTGACCCTGGGTTCTTCCTGGAGCCAGGGCTGGGGGAAGGGTCCTTAGATCAATGCAGGGGAAAAGCACACTTTTTTCTGCCATACCATCACCCACCACCCACCCCTGAGTAAATAAATAAAGCACCTGGGACAGAGGTAAGAAACGGACAAGTTGAACAGGGCCTGGGCTACCCAAGAGAGTCAGCCATACATAGTTCAGCAAAGGTCTCAAGGGTGTGGCAACTTTAGCAATGGCTTGGCTCTGTGTGGGAAAACTCTAGTGAAGGAATAAATTCACTCCCTACTGACACTGAGTCTGGGATGATGGCCTGGCAGGAGGCTCGCATATGCATCAGGAACCATGAGGCAAGTAACTTGCCTATCCTTGTAGGTTTCAAGGGTAAGTTGCCAAGGCAGAGTAAGTAGCTGGTGCTAGGATTACCTCTGCTGGAGCAGGCTCGCAGGGCTGAGTGGATCCTCAGCATGATAACAGTGGGAATTTTGTGTACAAAAACTGAGGTCACTGTGAATGCATGAGAGTGAATGATGTGTGCCTGGGTCTCTGGATGCATAACATGTCTGACTTCAGAAACTCTGATCATGCACAGAGCTCTTCAGTTCTTCTGTGTGGCACATGTGCTGGCATGGGATGGGTGGAGGATATAGCCACCATGGGCAAACTCAGGGCATGGACCACCTTGAAAGAGATGTGGTGAGGCTGTGATTACACTCACAATCATAAGCATCACCTCTCTGCTGACAAGAGACACAATCTGGGCCTGGTGCAGTAGCCTAGTGGCTAAAGTCCTCGCCTTACATGTATGTGCCTGGATCCCATATGGGCACCAGTTCCTGTGCCAGCTGCTTTACTTCCCTTCCAGCTCCCTCTTGTGGACTGAGAAAGCAGACAAGGATGGCCCAATGACTGGGACCCTGCACCTGTGTGGGAGACTGGGAAGAAGCTCCTGGCTTTCAATCAGCTCAGCTTTTGCCATTGTGGCACCTGAGGGAGTGAATCAGTGGATGGAAGATCTTTCTATGTCTCCTTCTCTGTAAATCTGATTTTGCAATGAGAAAGAATTAGATAGGAAGGAAGGAAAGAAGGGAGGAAGGGAGAGACGGAGGGAGGGAGGGAGGGAGGGAGGGAGGGAGGAAGGGAGGGAGGAAGGGAGGAAGGAAGGGAGGGAGGGAGGGAGGGAGGGAGGGAGGGAGGGAGGGAGGGAGAAAGGAAAGAAGGAAGGAAGGAAAGAAGGAAGGAAGGAAGGAAGGAAGGAAGGAAGGAAGGAAGGAAGGAAGGAAGGAAGGGGAAACCCAGCAGATGCAGTTTGGTTGTTACCTTATACCCTCGCCCCACTCACGCACAGACCAGAGAATGCCCACACTTAAAGGTATTCACTGAAGCAACAGTTACTTCACCAAATCATACTGATGGATAAAATCCATCAGAGAAAACAAACTAGTGTTTCCAGGGGTGCCTAAAAATACATGCAGAAATACAAGAAACTTAACGAAGAAGACATTATGACTCCCCCAAAGTGAGTTCTTCAAATCAGAATGTAAAGGATGAAGAGTTTAATAATATGACTTAAAACTGACTAGGTAAAAACAATCACAGGATTACCCAAAAGAACTACAAAATAAATTATGGAGAAAAAGAAATCCATATATGATGTTGATGAAGAGTTTTGCAGAGGTTCAGCTTTTTGGAGAGACCTCAAATGAAAATATTAGAAATGAAAGCTTAAATATGCTGAATATAATACACAAAGGAAAGCTTCAACAATAGGCTTCATGAAACAGAAGAAGAAATACCCAAGCTAGGAGACAAATCATTGGAACTATTTTAGTCTGATAAAAAAAAAAGCAAAAGGAAGAATTAGAGAAACTCAAAAAGCATCCAAGATTAACAAACTATTTCAGGATTTCCTGAAGGTATGGAAAGAAACAGCTGATTAGAAGGACTATTCATTAAAATAACAGCAGAAAGTGGAAAAAGTTGAAAAAGGTAACACATAAAACAGGAAACACATAAAACTCCTAATGAGTATGATCAGAAATGATTTTCATCATGATGTTTTATAATCAAACTTTCAACAGAACAAAAAGATTTTTAAAAAAGACTAAAATGTTAAGGAGAGAAAAATGGGGTAACCTTCAAAAATCCCCAATTAGACTAACAGCTGATTTCTCGTTAGAAACCCTGTAGGCTATGGAAGATGGAGAGACAGAGTGCAGGTCCTAAAAAAACCTACCAACTGAGAAAACAAGAAACCCTAATTATCAGATGAAAGAATATCAAAATGGAAAATCTCCAAGTAAAAGACTAAAGGAAAGCCAGAACAAGCAGTGATAGCATTTCGATTATAACCATGAATGCCAATGGCCTAATCTCTTTAATCCAAAGGAATAAACTGGCTGAAAAGGATTAATAACAGCACAGGATCAGACCTCGCCAACAAAGATGCACACAAACTGAACGAGAAGAGGAAAATGAGCAGCCTCAGTCATTCTAATATCAGACAAGACACTTTAACACAAAAACTGTTACAACAGCAAAGGAAAGCATTATTTAATCATTAAGGGATCAATTTGACAAGAAATCTTTATATGAAATGTATATACACCCCGTGCCAAGGAGCCAGACCATGTAAAACAGTAAAGGATGTAAAGAGAGACACAGACCCCAACATAACATGCAGGGCTTCAGTAACCACTTTCATCAATGCACAGAACAACTTGATAGGAAATCTCAACAAAGAAGAAAACTAATCTCTGCTATAAATCAAATGTTTCTGTCTTTCAAACTTGTCATTCGCAGCTGCAGAATGCACATGTATCAGATTCTGTAATACCATGTACGCGCATGTATCAGATTCTGAAGATACCATGTATCTTCTCTGAACACCACCAAATGAACCTGGAATTCCACAATTTAAACTTTAGAAAATAGGCAAACACAGGAGACTTAACAATACACTAATGAGGAGTAGGGCATTGAAGAAATCAAAAGGGAAAGCACACTGCAAAAAATCAACATGACACCCCAACATATTAAAATTCAGGGAGTGCACAGAAATCAGTGTTAAGAGGGAAGTACATAGAAATTAATGCCTAATCAAGAAATTAGCAAGGCATCAAATAAATTATTTATCAGTGTAGCTCAAGGACCCAGAGAACAGCTACCCAAGCCAGTTAGAAATTACTAAACTTAGAAACTAAATGAAAACCAAAAAAAGATACACAAAATTGATGAATTAAACATTTTAAATGTAAAAGTGATACATCATCGATCAACAAAAGACTGAATCCATGATAAGAACACCCCCCGCCCCCACTCCAAAGAAAAGCCCAGGACTAAATGACTTCACTGTTGAATTCTACCAAACTTTTCAAGATGAACTAATTCCAATTTCTTCTCAAACTATTTCAAACAATTGAAAGGGAGGGAATTTTACCAAACTCCTTCTGTGTATTAATCTCCAAACCAGAAAAATACAACAAAGAGAACTTAGACAAATATCTCCAATGGATATAGATGTAAAAATCCTCAACAACATGCTGCTTAACAGATTCCAGCAATCCATCAGAAATATCATTCACCTGGACAACCTAAGATTTATCCCCAACATGCAGAGATGGTTCAACTTACGCAAATTATTAAATGTGATATATCTCTTTGCAGCTGAAAAAACAAACCCCGTGATTATAAC